AAAGTTATATTTAATACTTCATAATTCAAATAAACAAGGCTCAGTTGGTAAACAATCCCCATAAACTATTTCTCTTCACTTTTACATGGTAGAATTTATTATATACAGTCTTTTCAATAGTGAGTTACCTTTGAATAAAATAATAAATTGTCCATGATGTTAATATTGATACTGGTAACATAGAAATAAAACAATTTATTGGATAATAAGGAAAACTATTAGCATTTTATTATAACACCTCATTTTCCAAAGATATTGAATAATAAAAATATTTTCTTTTAAATCCACACAGATGAAATATTTTTCTAATTTGATAATATAAATTTCATGAAACAACATCTTACAGATTAAAAATAGTGTTTAAAATTCTCAACTTTTAAATTCAATATAACCATTTACATTTGTAGAAAACATAAGAATATTTATAGCTGAATTCTATTTTCTAACTCTGTCAACACCATTTATATAGTAGATTCAATGTCCAGTACTCTTGCTTTTAATGCTTGGGATCGAACTTGAGTATCAGAAACTTGAGTTTCAGAAAATCTCTGTCTTCTAGTTGATGAAGTTTTCATTTTTATTGAATTTTGAATACTGCTTGATATAAAATAATATATTATAGGGTCAAAACAACAGTTTGAAACAGCAATACACAGAGTGATTGGATACATAATTCTAACAGCAGTAACAATTGAACAATTAATCCATGCTTGGGTTCTCATGAGGGCATAAAATATTAGGGTGATGTTATAAGGAACAAAACAGAAACAGAAAATCAGTAAGTGAACAAATATCATTCGTAGAACTTTTTTTTTACTTAATTTATTCCTGGTCAGTGTAATTGGCTTATTTAATGTCCTTATAACTATTGCAGAGCATGTCACATTCAGTATGAGAGGAATAAAAAAGCCTACTGTTTCAATGAAAATAATAATTCTTGAAAGGTAGGTTTTCCAAGTTTTTTCAGAAAAGTGTTCAAAACATGTATTGTGTGTCCATCCTTCAGTACTAACACGAGCATTGGTGGATTGAAAGAAGCTTGCTGGTATGCTTCCTGTTGTCACAATTATCCAAATTATAATGCAGATGATCTTTGCATTTCTTTTTGTTCTGATTGTCTTTGACCAAAATGGATATACAATTGCTAAAAAACGATCAACACTGATACTGGTTAAAAACAAAATGCTTCCATACATGTTTGTATAAAACAGTGTGACAGAAATCTTGCATAGTACATCTCCAAATGGCCAGTCTTTTGATGCAAAAGAGTAAATTCTGAATGGTAATGTAAACACAAAAAGGAGATCTGATATTGCTAAATTAAGCATGTAAGTTGTAGTTTCATTTCTGATTTTTAGTGTGCACGTAAAGATGTAAATAGCAACACAGTTTGATATTAAACCAAGGACAAATACCATACTAAACACACAGCCATATAAAGTATATTTAAAAGAGTCTTGAACAGTACAATTGGAATTTGCCACCATAATGACAACTTAATTATTTATAATTACAAAATTCCTCAGTAAGTCTGTACCTTTGTTATAGTTGTAGTAAATCCTCAGATCGTTTATAAATCTAGTCTTTCCCTTCACTTGGGTCCACATTATTTGAAATTTTCATAGTTCAGTAAGCCAGTCTACTTATCAATATGTCATTCCTTTCTTCCAAAAATATTAGTTGTTCATGTTCACAAATCTAGACAGTAGTAAATTTCAGAAATAAGGAATATTGTCCTTCAAATTAATTAAAATCCAAAATATAATTTCTTCAAATGTTGAGATTTCTCTTCTTATTCACTGGAAAAAATATTGGAAATAAAAAAATATTACAAATAAATCCTTTGTAAATTTAAATTAAATAACTTTGAAACTCCTGGGAAAATAGACGTCCAGGTTTCATCACTGTGTTGCAGTTTTCAATCTTCTTGTCGTTGAACTGTACGATAGAATAAAATTCCGAAGCATGTCCTTTCTTGCTGAATTTCAGCTCCCTCCTCAGATGCTACTCTGCTATTATGCGTTTCCGTCTTCAGAGAAGATTAAACAAAAAGCCCTACCCATGCTTACTCAACTTACATGATAACATCACAGGAAGAAGGGGCTGAGCTACAAAAGGTTTCAGTTTTCAATTCTGCTTTAAGGTGTTTAGTTGAAAAGATTTTAGTCACAAATATTTGTATTGGAAAGTATGCATATAACTCAGTATGATAATCAAAACTTCTTTAACTCTCTTGAAATCTTTGCTAGACTGAACTTATTTTAGAGACACGTAAACTTTATTAGGCTTAAACATAAGTGTTTTTCTGTAATAAACCTAATACATGTACATTATTTAAAGCTTGTTGTAAAGGCATGTTTGCCACATTCATGCAATGAAGTATGGAATGGGACTTTCAGGCTCCCACCCTTGGCTGCGCCTCCTTCGCCTCCAGCCACCTGCCTCAGCCCATTTACAGCCAGCTTTCCTCCTCCAATTCTCCTGGCCAATGGGCCTCTGGCTTCCTATTTTTACCCCCTTCCCATTTTCACCCCCGTCATTGCCTCTGCACCTGGACTCTGGCCTGATGCCTAACTGGCAGTTCGGCTGCTGCCTCTCCCCCTCCCCCTGCCTGCTTGATACCGAATGGGCTGTTTGACTGCCCCCCCCCCCCCACTATGCATCACCACCTTTCAATATCCTCCACTGCCAGGAGCTGCACACAAACAGCGTTTGCCTGCTGCCCCCCCCCCAAGCCCCCAGGAGCAGCGCGCAGGCAGCGTTAGCCTGTTTCTTCCTACCAGCACCAGCACCAGCCATATGCAGGCAGCGCTTGCCTGCGTCCGCCCCTCCAGCCGCCCAGAAAGTTTATAAATAAGAATATTTTTGCTCTGCTGTGTTCTTACAGATTTTTCAAAACACTTACTTTTTTGCATTAAACTGTATTTTCTGAGCTGGCATTTCCTTGTTGATTCAAATGAGCTTTAGAGTTGAGCTACTTTGAAACCAGTCTTTATTTGATGAAAGCCTTAATTAATGTTTCACCTTGATTTCCTATACATGTATATGTAACTAAATATAGGATGCTTAATGCTATGGGACAGAATTTAATATATTTAACTTTATGTACAAATGTGGTATCTAAATATTTTCCCTAGATAAAAGTGAAAGAAGGTACAAAGTCCTAGATGTAGGGTGTGGCTCTGCTTAGTAACGTTCCTTTAAAATTCAGCTCTATAGTGCTGGATTATCTGGGCAGATCAAGTGAATTTATATGGATTTTATGGCATCTTATTTCTTGTGTGACCATTCAGAAACTATGACAACAGCTTATTGATCATACATTGGATAGAAAGGACTCTTGTTAGATTTTAAGTGTTTCATAAATTTGTCTTTGATCATAAATACTATAGATATGTATGTATGTACTACTTTAAAATCCATTTATGAAACTTATAGTCTAGCACCACTAAGTGGTGGAATTGTGCTATATCTCACTTAGAAGAATTGATATGGCATTTTCTGTAAACATGCTATTGTCTTTTAAAACTTCTGAGGAAATGCTGAAAACAATGTGTAATGAATTCCTAAAAAAATAATGCACACTTATCTTTAGGTAATAGTAGATGGTTTTTTTCCTCCAGAAAAGTAACATCTTTGTATAGATACTGTTTTACTTGGGTGCTGCTTTTTACTGTTTTGTTATTATATTTTTAAAAATCTACACAAAGACTCAAGATAATGGGGTTTGCCTACTTTGAGAACCTGTACCTACAGCATTTCTGAAGAGGTTCTGTGTGTGTCATGCTCTGTCACTATTTTGGTAGTTTTGATTATTCAACTAGTTGTCGTTTATCACAAAAGTTGACCTATGGAGAATAAAGAAACTTGTACTATTACTTAATATAAATGAATTTCTGTATACAAAGTTGGAAAGAATAATATAAATTGGTTGCACTTTTTAAGTACTTTAATATACTCATTTCACTCTCTACATATAATCTCTCATATTTCCTTAACAATAGAATAAATTATTTGCAAAATTTCCAACAGAATAAATAGTTTAATTTTGGGAGCCTCCATAGTATGATGACTTAAGCTAGAAATAATAAAAGCTACTTTGATTGTTTTTAAATCAAATGTTGATAATTGAGGTAAATAAGTGTAGCATTCAATGAGCCTAGAGGTAATTTCATTCCATTTCAGCTATGATTTTGGTTCCTTCCCAACTTTTAGAGAATATTTCATGACCCCTGGACATGCTTAGTTCTTACCAACATTTTGAAAAAGTTTATATCACAGCTTGCCTTTTTGGTAACATTGTTTTGTGCGATATTGTTATTCTACTGTATGATATTTGGGAATTGTTTTACTACATATTTCTTGGCCATTTTCCTTTATATAGCCTTATCTTTGTTCTAGGGTTAAATAAGAAATATTCCTTTGAATCATAGCTATGTAGTACTTGAATAAGAGACCTCTAGGAAATTTCACTACTTGGCTTCTACTGTGGTACTCTGCAGCACTGCACCTTTTTCATTGGCATCCAGAATTGGCAGTCCAAGATTTAGAAGGCCTGTCCATCTAATATTATAAACTTATAGAATTGAACCTTATTGGGATTCAGTATAGCACATTTTTACATGGTATTATTAATGTGGAAATCAGGCTTATTTGTGACACAAAATGAAGCAGAATAGTATGAAAGTCTTACAAATTTGTGTATGCTTATTATATCTTATTGGTTTCTTTATATATTTCATAATTTGTGATTTACTAATGTAATTATTTAAATAACTTAACATGCAACTTTCTGTATTCATATATACTTCATATATACTGTAAGTTTTATGGTTGCTAAATTCCTTGCTGTTAAAAGCTGTATTGACAAATGTTTGAAATGTATATGAAAGTTAGCTTCCATTCTGAGTAGTCATAGATGGCACTTCTAAGATAGACTATTGTGTTATGAGTAAGAAGAATTTAAATAAGAAATGTAATTATTGTTTGGTGTCTTTTAGAATTCACCATTATTTGAACTGATAAAACAGTCCAAAGACCGAGAGGGGCAGGCTGATGAGCCCGAACCTGCCCACTATTTTACTCAGCCTCTTCAACATAATCACAGTGCTGCAGATTTGTAAGTAAAAGGAAATATTTTCCACTTTCATACAGAGCTACCCTCAATGGGAATCCAGATTAAAAGATTGCTGATAGATGGTTGTCTAGCATCTGCTTGAACATAATGCAGCAGGAAACGGAAGATTGCTACCTCTCTGGGTAACTGTTACCATTGTCAAGTGGTACTTTCTCTTAAGAATTTCCCTAATATTCACTCAGAATTTGCTTTCCTGTAATCATAAGCTTCAGTACTTGTTGCTTTTGTCAAAGTAGCATTCTGCTATTGTTTTGCAAGCTTTGCTTTTGTGGGGCAGGCAGGCATCCTTATAATGCAGAAAAGAGTGAGCAGGCTTTTTGATAACGCAAGGCTGTTTTTGTCAGTCTGCTTCCCCCTATAGCCTGCGATCTAAATCCACGATCCCATATCTTGCACTTTGCACCATCCTTTTATCTGTTTGAACAGTGCTACTTTCTGCTATTTTATTCGGTATTTTACTGTCTTTGAGAGATAATGGCATCTAAGGAAGTTTACAGTAAATGCAAGTTTAAAACACTTGGATTAAAATTTAAGTAGGTTAAGACAGTAAACAGACAAGATGCAGCAGGAAATAGATCCAGTATGATGTTTTGTCTGCAATTTTTCTAGCAATGTGAGCTGTGTCTTATTAGTAACAGTCATTGAGAGCTGGATTGGAAAGCAATTAATGGAGAAGGAGGTAGCCCACCTTATACTCAGTCATTTTGAAAATAAGGTTTATGGTCTAGAATATCATTACCCTAATTATCCTTTTTATTCTGTGTGTCTGTATCCTTTTTTTTTAAAGGTACCTCTCTCCTACGAAGTCTCCTAAGAAAAAAGTTTCTTCCACTTTTGTATATTCTTCTCCAGAGTCACAGGCTGTGGGATTAAATCAGTCTCAGAAACCACATAAATCTATTTCTTTGTCATATTTCTATAAAAAAGGTAGGTGGATTTTAAAAGCTATTTTTCAACATTATCTCATCGAATCTAGATTGGGCTGTCTAACCTTGGCAATTTTAAGACTAGTGGACCTCAACTCTCAGAATTATAGGAGTTGAGGTCCACCAGTCTTAAAGTTGCTAGGGTTGGACACCCCTGATTTGGAGTAAATCAGAAAGGTAGCAGTGAGGGGGCAGATGAGCCAACTGCACAGGGAAGTCTCCTGCGCCAGTCTTTTTTGCCTGGCAAAAGCCATTTCTGGCTGGAGGGAAGGACTGGAGATGGAACAGATATTTAAGGCATGTTTCGATTCTAAGTTAATGCATTGCCCCCTTTACCACTAACTTTTTTGCAATTTAATAGTCCTGAAGTATATTTTAATTGCAGCATTATGTAAATTATCAATATTTCTTAAATATTTTAATGCATTTGATATCTTTTGGAATTACTTGCCCATGACATATGTCACACAATTTTCTTAAATATAGAATTTTACCAAATTAAAACATTATTTCATTATTATGTATTACTAATTCCTAATATGTTTCTACAAATTCAAGTAATGATTTCAGATTACTAAAAAGACTTCTGCTGAAATCACAGCAGAGTTTTAGAAAAGAAGAGCTTCTATACCATTCTCAAAAGTGACAGTCTCTCAATAAATATGCTGACTTTGTACAGGCTAATATAATTTTTGCTGTGATTAAAATAACACATACACCTTGTTACATTCCTGGAGTAAACTCTTAAATATATTCTGTACATTATATTACATTATCTCCCTGTGTTTCTATAAATATAAATATTGATTTGACCTTGTTTGTAATTTATAAACAAATCTCTTTCCAGTGTATTGCTTGGCTTATAGAAGATTAAATAACTTATGTTTGCGTCTTCTGCCTGACCATCCTGAACTTGAACATTTGATATGGACCCTTTTTCATCACACACTGCAAAATGAATATGAACTGATGAAAGACAGACACTTAGACCAGGTAATATATTTGACTGGATCCACTTATTTACTTTTTTTTTTTAATTTAGATTTTTCCATGCTCAAGCGAGTTTACATAACATTATGTTACATTACATTGCCTTAGTCCTATCAGAAACTTGATAATAGGCAAGCAAAAACAAATGATAATGTTATCCATTCAGTCATGTCCGACTCTTGGCAGTTCTGTGGGCCAGGTCTCTCCACATCTTTCAATCTTGGACTACTTTGAGCATTTCTGTGCTCTGGCTGCTGAGAGCTTTGATGTTGTCCAGCCACCGTATTCTTTGACAGCCAGGTTTCCTTTTACCGCTATCTCTTCCAAACATAATTGCTTTCTTCAGTGAATTGCCCCGCATGACATGGCCAAACAAGCAGTAACACACAAATGGTAAGACAAGATTAGAGGGAATATGAGTCAATTATATTCCTTCAGGGTTATTTATCATTGAAAGCTAGTATCCTTATTTAGAGTGGTAAATGTAGGAAGTAAAGGATTTAATATCATTCCCAAGTTTGGCATATAATTGGTGTTCCATATCTATTTCTCATATTAAATATCTACATGAAACTTTCTCAGGCTGGTGCCCCAATTATTTTGTAGTACAATGTTTAAAGGATTTTGTTTTTGGTATTTAATATTGCATAGTTTTATTATTCTTATTATTCTTATAATTTTGTTATGTTTGTTATTTCAATTGTTTAAATAAATTTTACATATTTTTTAAATTAAACAAGTGCTCCAATAGCTAAGGTTTTAAAGCTTTTTCCATTCCTGAAAAGCCGGGGCTGGACTTTCTTTAATAACGAGTGATGATGGTGATGAGAATAATGATGGCTCCTCTCTGCATTTAAACAGATTATGATGTGTTCCATGTATGGCATATGTAAGGTGAAGAATATTGATCTCAGGTTTAAAACTATTGTGACAGCATACAAGGAACTCAACAATGCAAATCAAGAGGTATGGGACACTTTTTAGCAGTTATTATTGCTATTATTTGTATTAAAACTCTTATTTTGTCGAGTACCTTTGCAACAATAGCAAACAGCCAGAAGCTTCTAGACATCACTGATTTATGGATGTTACCTCTGACAACTTCTAGCAGATGTGGCAGGAAACAATTTAATCAACTTGCCTTTCTGCTAGCAATCAGATTTTGCAAGAATGCGACATGTTCTCAAAATTCCAAATGAATATGTGGTCAAAAACTAAGCATAATGTCAACATTAATTAGTATATCACTATATCCAAATATGAGGTTCCAGTTAAAAATACTTCCCTCACATTTTATTCAGTATACCACCTGTCTAAAGCATTTGAAAAGGATGATTAAAAAAAGGTGAAATTCACTGAACAGTAATTATTCATTATATTTTTAATTCATTCAGGACCAAACTTTTTCTGAATAAATCATCCTCAGATTAAGGAAGCTAACATTGTTGTGGGAGGGAATGTGAGCATAAGAATTTTCCAAAGAAGGAAAATTCTGTACAAATTAAGTATAACAGAGATGTTACAAACAGATATAGCTACTGGAAGAAGTTGTTATTATAGGGGGCTGATGCTTAAATTTCTAATCAATTTCATCTAGACATTCAAGTGTGTTTTGATCAGGGAAGGACAATACGATTCCATTATAGTCTTCTACAACATGGTATTTATGCAAAGACTGAAAACTAATATTTTGCAATATGCTTCCAATAGGGTAAGTATTACATGTCTATCCTCTAATGAATATTTCTCAATAAAAATTGACAAATCCCCATAGCGCTAATTTAAAATTTCATCTTCCAGCCTCCAACATTAACACCCATTCCTCACATTCTACAGAGCCCTTATAAGTTTTCTAATTCTCCTTTACGTGTTTCTGCTGGAAATAACATCTATGTCTCACCTTTGAAGAATCCCAGCAAATTTTCTGAAGGGCTATTGTCACCCACAAAAATGACACCCAGAACAAGGTTAGTAAATTATTCCTTTAAGCAACTAAATCAAACGCCAGCCTAAGATGGATAGATATTTTTCAGTTTTAATACAAGTGATCACAATTCTGCTCTTCTTCCATTATAGGAAATATCTATTTGATTAGACATAAAAAGTTGTTTGTACAATCTGCATACCCTCACCCTCAAAAAGAAACCTTGCTCCCATAGACACTATATTTATTCTATATAGACATTCTGGATGTAATGTGAATGGCATTCATAGTTTCCTAGATTTTAATGTATTTGTTAGTGGGCTAATAGAGCCTCACGTGGACTTTCATATTGAGCTGTCTATGGGGGACTTCTATTGAGGCCAAGGGAACCATAGATTCAAATAGCTAATTGGGAGGAATGATCAGTTCTAGCCTCCTTTCTCTCTGTTCTCCCCTTGGCCTGTTTACTGTCATCCCTGCTGCTTGCTAGTAATTGCTCTTTTGCTGCTCTGACATTCACGTAGCTGGCCTCAATTGCTGATGTGAACAGCAGCACCCTTTTCTTGGTCAGGTGGGGATCCAGTTTCTATCAACTAACAACCCTTGTTTTGCTGCTTTTACCCATATTTTATTGTAAAATACAGTTTTTCTGGAAAAATGCTAAAAAAAAAAAATCAAAACCTGAGCGCAGTGAAAAATAGTGCTCACAGAAACACATTAACACTGGGCTGAAAGAAAGCCTGCCCCAAAGAAATTAAAAATGGAGCTGCATTGTTCTAATGCTAATATGACAGTAATCAACACAAGGGCTACAGAAACTTTAGGGCACCAGATGGAGCAAAGAAGATGGAGCTGTTGTTTGAAAGGGAATCCGCCCTTCCCCTCTCTGCAAAAGTTGTATAAATGAGCAAGTGCTTCCCACCCAGTTTAAGCTGACTGCTGCTGGGCAGGTTTTAGGGCATTCTGGCAGATAAACTCACTGACTGACCAGGGAAGCTTATTTTAAAGGACCTTTAAATTTATGGACCCTTACATTCCCAAAGTATCCTTCTAGTAAAACTTGGTGGAGGCTTGAATATTTTCCTAGAAACTACATGTGTGGCAAACATGAATGAGAAGACTGTTTCACAGAACTTCCATGTATTTTTCTGATTATTATTGGGAAGAAAAAACATTTCAGGTACAATTATGTTTAAAGGTTATGCCTCATGAATATGATTTGAGTATTTAGAATTAACATTTTAGATTTATTGTCGGAGAAAGCATCTATTCCATCTCAAGCTGAAAATCATGATTCACTCTAAAAAAATTGGGATCAATAACTCTCAAAATTTATCTTTATGAATCTCCAAAAATTGAGGCAAACATCAAATCCAGATTAATTTATCTGCATGTTTGAATAATTTCTGGATGTGCTTTTGATTTTGGCATAATCAAAAGTTAATGAGTGCGACTTCTTTTTAGAATATTTCTGTTTGCCTTTTCTGTCTTCAGAAAGTGGATCCTGTTGTGGCATGGGGAATTAGTAAAACAGATACTATCTGTATACCTGTTTTTCCTGAAAATAAGCCCTATCCCAAAATAAGCCCTATTTAAGAGCCTGCGCCTATTCAGTCTGGTTGCTTGTGATGCCTTGGCCGCAAGGCGAGCTGGAGCTGCTCCACACACCCTGCATTGGCTTAACTCAGGGCCTCCTCAGCCAGGCCATCCACGCCCTGATACCTGCCTTGCAGCGGCAGCACCAACAACAACGTGCAGGAGTCCACGTGCCCACCGACCCACTTCTGCTTCTCATGGCCGCAATGGAGCAGGAGACTGAGTGGTGTGCCGGTGTCATAGCTGAGAGGTGAGGCAGGCGTTGGGATGTGGATGGCCTGGCTGCGGGGGCCCTGAGGTAAGCCAGTGTGGGGCAGCTCCACCCCCCCACCTCACAGTGGTGGCACTGGCGCACCGCATGGCCTCCTGTCCCGCTGTGAGCAAGCAGAAAAAGTGGGCCTCCCGTACATTGGAGGGGGGAATAAGACACCCCTGAAAATAAGCCCTAGTGCTTATTTTGAGGCCCTTAAAGAAAATAAGACCTGGTCTTATTTTCGGGAAAACACGGGCAGTAATACAACTGGACAATATTATATAAATTGCTTTATATTAATATATGTCTATGTAGTGTGTAGTCTCAAACATCATTTCTAGAAAAAAGATTAAATACTTTTTTTTATCTTGTCCTACAGAATATTGGTTTCAATTGGTGAATCCTTTGGGGTAAGTTTCCTATTTTGAGTAATTATTTAAATTAAATGTATTGCATTGGGGCTTGCTCTACATACAGCTGAGGTTTTACGTTTCTCCTAATATTTTTTGATGAAAAGTAATTGAAAGTCAGTTGACACTGGAAGAAAAAACAAGACGCAAGGTGTTATGACCCAGATGGTCAAGGCAAAGCAGGCCTCTAGAGAGTCCTTTATTGCTATAAGTAAATATTGCAACAAACAGCCCTCCAACGACCCCATGCTACCCTGAAGACATCCACCCTCTCTTCCCCCAAACAACAGCCCATATATAACAAAGGAAGTCCACAGAGTAGGAGCATGCTCACAGGGTGAGTTCCAGGGTCCCAAGAGTCCATCCAGCTAAGCGAGTTCACAAGACACACTGTACTCCACAAGGCAAGGCATGAGACAAAAGGCAGTCTCCTCAGGGCAAAAGGAAGGTATAAGCAAAAGGCAGTCCTCAAGGCAAGGCAAAAAGCACGAGTCAAGGCTGGGGGAGTATAAGCCAAAACAAACAATTGTTCCTGGCAAAGACTAAATCCCCATAGATTCTCCTTAAATCAATCCACTCCAGGTGTTCCTTGTGAGGAAGGGGTGGGGCGACCTTCTACTGAGTACCCTCACAGCCCTTCTCTGAGCTTGCCTATGCTCTGCTCTCCGTGCCTTTGAATTGAGGTGGGGAGGCAGCTGTTCCTCATCGGAGGGAATCTGCTGCCTATCAGCACCACTGCTTGTCAGCAGTCGATCCTCCCGTGTCTGAGTGCAGGTAGCTCTCCATCTGGTTGACACCCCTCCCCCCCAAATGTCTGAGAGGCCTGGGACAGCAATGTCCTCAGCCCCAGGCCTCTTCAAATATGTCGTCCCCGTTGGACGGTCCCGATACCACCACCACCTCCGAACCAGGCTCCGATGGGGCCATGACACTAGGTTTCCTCTGCCTGTTTTTCTGTTCCAAAATTAACATATGTTTATTCCCAACTATTAGTAAGGAACAGACATTCATTAGTAGGAAAAGGGTTCAAATGGAACCATAGGTAATGGTTGTGCAAAAGATTGTAGATCTGGCTTTGAGGAAGGGAAAATGGAAATTGTCCTGAGAAATTGGAAAGGGTGAGAAAGAAACTCAGGATAATACTGTCTCAGTTTTATTGTAATATGAGATGAGGCAAAGAGAACCTCTTCACAAGCTTTCCAGATTCTGGTTATCCTACTCTGCAACAATTACTGGAATCCCCGCTGCTTCTCTTTCTTTATCTTGCTTGCTTCAGAGGGATGACAACTGCCTACATTAGCAATGTCAGTTCACCTCCATAGAAATTGGAGCCAAAATATTTTGTGGGCATCAAAGTGCATGTCAATAAAGGAGAATATTTATAGTTCAGGATTGAAACAAAGGGTTCTTTATGTTCTCTGATCTTGGTTGCTTTCTTTCTTTCGTTACGTTTTCTTTTTCCCTCATGAATTGGATTCCTTTAAAGGTGTTGATGATTTTATGGGTGTTGTCTAATTGACCTTTTTTCATTATGATGAAGGTGTCATCTACATATCTGATCCATTTTTGTGTTGCATTTGTGGGAGTGCTATTGATTCCAGATGTTGCGTAACGACCTCCATTGACAAAACTCTTTGAATTATGACTCAGATTATCAAGATTTTAGGTTTCCATTTAATTGTGAACATAGAACAAGTGTAATCAGAATGGAATGGGGTGCTTTGTCAAATCTTTTGCTGAAATCAAGATGTATCTGCATCATTCTCCAAATCTCTTGAAAGAATTATCTGTTCAAAACAGGATATATCATTAATTTGTACAGTCTTAAAAGCTCAGTCCTAATTTCTTTTAATTACTCCATCGTTTTTGGGAAGCTTAGAGATCAATCACATTATACTCCTGTTCTGACCCAGCCCTTGCAGAAGCAAGAAACTGACTCCCTGCAAAGAAAACCCCTTCTTTATTTACACATTGGGAATTAACTGCATTCACCAACAGAAAGGCCAGGCAAGAGTCCAGCAAGAAGTTAACTGAAACAATATTCCTTATCCACTCATTATGATAAATGCAAGGCTGTGAACTCCCAGCCAGGAGGCTGCAAATTAAGTCAGTTCAAACAGAAATAGACAAGCTTCAGTTTTGGCAAGGCAATCTTTGTCACTCTCTGTTGCTCGGCATTCTGAACAACGGCATGCGTAGAGGTTTGGAATATGCTGTCAATTTGTTTTAAGAGCCCGATTCATATTTTCTCTTAAAGGATTCCACTTAATACTTATCCAACCATATGTAAAAATAAATTATCTTTTTAATTATCTTCCTGGTATTCTAGAGTTCTGAAAAGTTTCAAAAGATAAACAAGATGGTATGTAACAGTGATCGTCATCTCAAACGAAGCTCTGAACTAAGCACCACTCCTAAGCCTTTGAAGAGATTGCGTTTTGATATAGAAGGTCAGGATGAAGCTGATGGAAGGTGAGCCGATTTCTGAATAAAATAATGCAGGTCTGTATTAGTGGCCCCATTTCAGTATCTAGGTTCATTCATGTAGAGTTTTGGCTTACTGTGTGGAAACCCATCTCTGCCATCTAGTTTATGGCAGAAATGTTGTAATTTTTAATGAGATTATGGTGAAAAAAGACATGATTACAAAGTCATCAGAATAGTTTCATTTAATTTTCATTAAATTTATATATGAACTCAGTATAATAAACTTTAGTTTTTTATTCATGTCTCTGCATTTCATTGTATTGCAATGATTTGTGTGTAGGAGAATGGTTGGGATATGTAGATGGGAGGGATCAATTGATTTTATAAAATGGATTATTTTATTAGTTAATGCTATTAGTCCTGGCCTGCCTGAAGTCTCTCTTTTGGCATACCCAAGCATATGTGGACAGGCAGATATGTCTGTCCATGCATCTTTGTACTAAGCAACGGGACATCCCCAGGATTGATTTTAACTGGGTTGACACCTTTAGGTTGATATGATGTAGAAAATGGACATTGGATAGGATGTTTGTTATATATTTATAAGAAAAATCTCAGTTTAGTCCACTTGGATGCAGTGGACAAATTTCCCTGTTATTTGCATCATTTATTCTATTTGCATATTGATTATCAGATGGGTACAAATGATGTAATTTATATCATTAGCATAATATTGCTATAGCCCAGGTATGTCTAACATTTGGCTTGCCTGGGCTGCATTGAGTGAAGGGGAATTGTCCTGGGCTGCACATAAAATGGTTCATTGCAGTCAGCCAAATGTTCAGACAGGATTTGGCATTTTATTTACCTATCGAGTCCTTCCCAGAAGCCTGGGATAGGAAGATGTTGTTTCATGGTGTTAGAGGTATTGCAGGACGAAAGCTGTTTTTAGTAAACCTGCCTTTTGCAATTGACTGATGGTGAGTTTATCAATGCCGATGGTGTTCAGGTAGTGCTCCAGTTGTTTTGGGATTGCATCAAGGGCTTATTACTATTGGTACTACCTTTGTTTTCTTTTGTATGTATATAAATAACCAATTTCCTTTATTTTTTAATTTTTTTAAATAAAATCTTGGGCCACATTACTACCTGTCTAGGGCTGCATGCGGCCCGTGGCCTGGACATGCCTGTTAATAGATGATATGCTGTCTAATTCAGTGGGCACCCCCTTTTTTTCCAGCTGGTCCATAAATTATTTATTTGCAATTTCTTCAAATTTTATTTTTAGTAAAAGCAGTATGTAGAAGCTAAAAATGAAATTTGAACACTGTTAAATTGATATCTCTCTTTAACAATATCCCCCTGCCCTCCTTGGCGGTTCTGCCTGCTGGTTTTTGGTGGTTTTCTTGTCCTCTACGCAGGGAACTTTCCAGCTCAACCAGACTACTTCTTGAACTGTTTTCTACATATACAGTACATATACCACTTATTGGTAGTTTATTAACATATTAGTTTGCAGGTTCCTGACTTCAAAAATTGTTGCTGTCTTAGCAAGTTAGTAATAATAGTAATAGTAACTTAGTTAGACATAGTGTTATGTCTAATTTAGTTATACTAATTAGTATATATGGCAGAGAATCCTCTGAAATAGAGCTGTTGTGTTGAAATTGGAAATTCTGTGTAATTTGTTATTTTTGGGAAAAAAATGAAATTTGAATTTTAAGTTTTAAACTCAGGATTATATAAAAATGAAAGTATAGTCTTACTTTTCAAAGGACATCTGCATAGGGAAGGCATGTTCCCCAAGCAGAAGATAACCTTGATTTATTCGAAGTTTCTACATGTGGCAGATATGCAGCTGAAGGAGATTTATTCAATTTGGTTACTATAGGTATTGCAGTGTGAATTGTCATTTGCTGTCTAGAGCAGACCTGGGCATTTTATGGTCCACAGGCACATCCGGTTTGCAGATGGTCCCAGTCTGGTCCGTGGTGGTGATGGGGCGGTGGTAGTACTGTAGGGACAGGGTGGCAGGGGGTGGGGCAGTAGCCCTTCACAACAATTCTACTTTCTCATGTAGCCCCTTGATAAAATTGCCTGCCCCTGGTCTGGAGTCACAAGTTATGTGCAACACACTTTGAAATCAGAACTGTGTAAAATGTATAATTTATCTTCCCTTATCTACAGGGAACATCTTTCTGGAGAGTCAAAATTCCAACAAAAGCTTGCAGAAATGAGTAAGTTTTTGTACTGCATGAGAATAATATAAATTACTACTGGGGACATTTGAGATGGTCTTATACAACAATGAGCAAGTTCCCCACTAGTGCCATGTATTTACTGGGCTTTGGGGGTAGTGGTTCCCAAGCACATAAAGCAACATGCTATAATCCAACAAGCTCAGCTAGTCACTATTTAAATACTTCATGTAAAAGGAATCTCCATGCCATTTGGATTCTAATCAACCTCCAGTATCATCTGGCCTGTTCTTTAGCTTCCCAGCACCTTTACTTTTCCTCTTCCCCAGGAAATCCCTCAACCTTGGTTTTTCCCACCCCGAAATCCTCTCCATTTTGGTCTGTGTCCAAAAGAGAAGAACTCCATTTCACTCCATATCTTGGCCACTTTTCAGTTCATGCACGAACAATTTTATGAATAATATCAAAATCCCCAAGATGTAATGGAAATCTAGGTACCTGCATTTCATGAGGATTCTGTTTTTAATTTACAGATCCAAGATTAGCTGCTTGCATGTCTTCAATTTTATTTTAGCAAATGTCTTATTTATCAGTTTAGACTAACACATTTAAAAAGGCAGTACTGTTTTTGTTTTTCTAGCATCTACTAGGACTAGAATTCAAAACCAGAAACTGAATGATGGTGCTGAAGTTTCAGACACTGTACAGAAGTGAACTGCTCTTGAGACCCTGGATCTGCACTGTAGCTTTTATTTCTACTACATTGTTTTGCATATATTGCGTAGCTAATTTAATTAGTTGAGTTTAATGTTTTTCAGTGTTTCATGCTATGACATAGCATATGTATTATCCATTTAAGTGTTAATTTATACATATTAGTTTTCAGTAAAATTGATTTCCCAGTGCATTGTTGTTGAATTATATTACCTTTTCAGTTTTTATTGAACTACTTTGTTTTAGATATTCGGGTTCAATATACAAAATGCACTAGTATTTTATTAAGAATTGTCATTTTAATGTTAGAATTGATGCACTATTTATATGTTTGAGGTCCCCCTCCAAGGAACACCCAACACTATGTCAAAGAACTGTCTGCAGGACAGAGTTCTACAATAATTTATACAATTGGATTTATAGTCATTAGTTCTGAATGCCCCCCACTTGCCTGGGCAGTGCACTTAAGTATGGTGTCTAGATCAAATACATTAGCTAACAATTTTATCTTTTTTTCCATCTTAAAACTCATATACAAATTAGAAAATTTGGCAGCCTGGTTGAATGTTATTATTTTATTTCAGTAAACCACAATGACTGCAACAAAACACCTACACTGCACACTCTTATCTGTCTCCTGAGCAGAGAAGTGTAATTCTGTAGCTGTCATTCTTTAGTCTGTTAGTTTTGTAATAATCAGTAGTCAAGATTGCAAACTCAATATAGACTATGAAAATAAAGTTCTGAAATTTTATTAACAGTAACTATCAAGAGTTGGCTAACCTAAACTATCATAACGAAGTATTTTGACAAATTGAGCATAGAAATATTCTGTATTCTAATAAAAATTAAAGATTAATAAAATAATTTTAAAAATAAGAATGAGAATCATTAATATACAATGAAAATTATATTTAATATCTTTTATCCTGAAGTTGAGTTGCTGATATAATTTAGTTTATTGGCTTGCTAACTATAATTTAGTAAACATGAAATAGAAAGCAATGAAACTTTCAGAAATATTTCATACAGTGAACTTAAACCTGGAAAACTGGCTGATGGAATGCAATCCACATTCTTTACATCCTATGAATCTGTGTTTTCTCAGTAAGTATAAGAAAATAAGGACCTTAATGTTTAAATGTGTTACCTTATGAAATATACTATTTAAACTCAAATTCAAAACCTTCAGATTTAAGTTTAGAATCTAGGTTACTTATTGTTTTGTGAATCTATTCATTAGTGTAAACAAATTCTCCCACAAACAATTATTTCTCTACTTATCTGAATTTATTTGCAATAAATGTCATGAAGAAACACATATATTTACATTTTCATTTAAAATTTCAGAAATATAAAAGAACAGGACTGTGTGGAATCATCCTCATTCTTATAGTCTTAATATGATTTTTAAAATTGGGTTATTTCATTGAAAGTTTGGGTTCTGGCAAAATAGTGACTCAATATTACTTTATCTCATACACAACTTTAATTGACTAGGGACAATGATGTAGGTTTAGCTGTTCCGGGATTAGATTGTTTGGAAATACGAGAGCAAGACATTTATTTCTTGCTTCAGGCATGCCCCTTGAGCTTCCCGAACTCCTGTTTGAGAACTTTGTTAGATGTTCTAGCCACTCTGTATACAGTCTTCACCATCGACTCTTCAGTTTCTCATGAGCAAAACCTCCTACCTCAAGCAGAATCCCTGAAGGTTTGATCAGTACTATGTATAAGTCAAGGCAGATTTAGCGATAGTTTTCAATGTTACATATCCAGAAATTGTTCCACTATTAGAATTAGTTACTTGCTCCTAAACTGTAAAAAACTCTTAATAGAAAGAAGTAAATATTTGTGTCAATCAATTGGGATATTTTTCACTCTGCAGAGGATATCAATGCCATTGTCTTTTAGAAGATAATTAATATTAGCACTGCGGGAGATGGTCTGGCTGGAAAAAAGATTCTGCCCAAGAGAGGTGAACAATTTTACAGCAAGATATATGACTTTTCCTTTATCAGCCTGTTGCCCCAACCTGTATTCTAAAAATAAGTGTTCCGCCTGGCCATCAGTCCCAGTTTGGAAATTGTTAAACTAATCAATCAATTAAAAACTAGGAAAGCCTCCAACAGTGAACTAATGCTGGCCAAATTGTTATTAAAAATATTGATTGGTGAGTTTGCCATCTCCTGCTTTATTCACATATCCCAAATACCTGAAGGCTGAAACTCTTCTTTCATCATCCTACTTTTAAAGAAAAGCAACAGCCTAATTATCATCCAGTAGCATTCCAATAAACTAGATAGACACTTTCACTTTTGCAAGATTGGTTTGGCTGGGACAAGAGAAATTTCTAGATGTACAAGTTGGCTTTATGGAAGGGATGACACAAAGTTACCTAGCATAGTTTTAATTTTATTAAATCTCTAATACTTTCATAATTGCTGTGGGGTTCCAGAGGTTTTATCTTTTGTGGGCTTCCCTTTCCCTTCTAATTTTCCAAAGCTCATATTCCTATTCATAGACTAGCAACTTCAGCTGTTGGTAAGAAAAACGGTTGCTTTCATATTGCAAGATACTGTAGCAACTGTCTGCAGATATGATATCTGTGGACAGGCTTTTCCTGAAGCATGGAAGATTATTTCAAGATATTTAAAGTAGTTTAGCTGTATCAAAATTTAATTACTTAGCTTTTAGTGAAAACTGTTGTTTTGGTGTTTCCTTAATTTCTAAGATCAGTTGTCACAGTAGGGAGCCAGAATGCATAATGCTCTTTTTAAATAAGGTTTATGAGAAAATTATCATGACATCAGAAATACAAATAATGATAATGAAACTATCTTCATTATTAGGCAAGGGTTTTACTTCAGTTTTTAAATGCTCCAACTCGACTGGCTTTGCTTATGAAGTTCTTCATGAGGTCATGGTCCATTTCTGCAAAACCTGGAGACTGAGTAACGACAGTCAGGTGGTTGATGCAAAACCGGAAGCAAAATTCCTCTAACTCCTAGAAATGGAGTGTTTACATATTAATACACACTACTAATGTGTGATATTGTTCCACATAATCACTATAGGTGGCAGGTCAGGGCTGAAAAAAAGATAACCCTATAATGGAAAAAGAAATCTGGAACAGAAAAACAGCCATGACAATCTATTCCACTCATTAAAAATCAACTTGTTGCATCTCATAGCTAACTGAGGTGCCAATTTCTCACTCAGGAAAATTTTGCTCTTGAGGGGGAAGAAAATTAAATGGAGTGAGAGAAATGTTCATATTAAAAAACCTCAAGAACTATTTCAACAATCCTACAAAATATGAAATAAGTAAAAAACCATGATAAATAAAGTATCAAATCATACTCTCCTGTGTCCCTGCCTTCCCAATCAGTGAAGAGCAGATTCCCAAATGAAATGACCCAATAGGCGTTCAATTAAACTTTTCCTAAGCTCTAATTTACACCTCTTTGTCTTGGGTCCTCCCCCTACAGTTTTCCATATCCCTTAAATGTAGTTGGGTCACACCCTAACTAAATCCAGAGTTCTAAAACAAATAGCAATTGACTGTCAGGACTGAAAAAAAATTCTTGGATGAGAAGCAAAACATTTTCAAGGGAAAAAACCAAGAAAGTCCAGTTGCCTTTTGGAAAAGCACCTTTGAGACAACTATGACCTAGGTGATTGAGAGTTTAAGAAGCTAGTTTCACTGAGTTCAGAATATTTCCTTTATTCACCTCTTTTATGGCGTTCTCTAGACACCAAATATATCCTTCCCAACAAATTGTGAAATTGCTCTGATATCTTGAAAACTACAAAAATTGTTATTTTTAACAGCAATTCTTAGCATTTGCACAATGGTTTCACTTCTTCAAAGTACTTCACATACAGACAGGTCCAGAAATATTGGGATATCGACACAATTCTAACATCTTTGGCTCTATACACCACCACAATGGAGTTGGAATGAAACAAACACAATGTGCTTTAACTGCAGACTGTCAGCTTTAATTTGAGGGTATGTACATCCAACTCAGGAGAACGGTGTAGGACTTACAGCAGTTTGCATATGTGCCTCCCACTTGTTAAGGGACCAAAAATAATGGGACAGAATAATAATCATAAATCAAACTTTCCCTTCTTAATACTTGGTTGCAAATCCTTTGCAGTCAATCACAGCCTGAAGTCTGGAACGCATAGACATCACCAGACGCTGGGTTTCATTCCTGGTGATGCTCTGCCAGGCCTCTACTGCAACTGTCTTCAGTTCCTGCTTGTTCTTGGGGCATTTTCCCTTCAGTTTTGTCTTCAGCAAGTGAAATGCATGCTCAATGGGATTCAGGTCAGGTGATTGACTTGGCCATTGCATAACATTCCACTTCTGTCCCTTCAAAAACTCTTTGGTTGCTTTTGCAGTATGATTTGGGTCATTGTCCATCTGCGCTATGAAGTGCCGTCCAATGAGTTCTGCAGCATTTGGCTGAATGTGAGCAGATAATATTGCCCAAAACACTTCAGAATTCATCCTGCTGCTTTTGTCAGCAGTCACATCATCAATAAATACAAGAGAACTAGTTCCATTGGCAGCCATACATGCCCACGCCATGACACTGCCACCACCATGCTTCACTGATGAGGTGATATGCTTAGGATCATGAGCAATTCCTTTCCTTCTCCATACTCTTCTCTTCCCATCACTCTGGTACAAGTTGATCTTGGTCTCATCTGTCCATAGGATCTTGTTCCAGAACTGTGAAGGCTTTGTTAGATGTTGTTTGGCAAACTCTAATCTGGCCTTCCTATTTTTGAGGTTCACCAATGGTTTACATCTTGTGGTGAACCCTCTGTATTCACTCTGGTGAAGTCTTCTCTTGATTGTTGACTTTGACACACATACACCTACCTCCTGGAGAGTGTTCTTGATCTGGCCAACTGTTGTGAAGGGTGTTTTCTTCACCAGGGAAAGAATTCTTCGGTCATCCACCACACTTGTTTTCCATGTTCTCCCAGGTCTTTTGGTGTTGCTGAGCTCACCGGTGCATTCCTTCTTTTTGAGAATGTTTCAAACAGTTGTTTTGGCCACGCCTAATGTTCTTGCTATGTCTCTGATGGGTTTGTTTTGTTTCTTCAGCCTAATGATGGCTTGCTTCACTGATAGTGACAGCTCTTTGGATCTCATCTTGAGAGTTGACAGCAACAGATTCCAAATGCAAATAGCACACTTGAAATGAACTCTGGGCCTTTTATCTGCACATTGTAATTGGGGTAATGAGGGAATATCACACACCTGGCCATGGAACAGCTAAGCCAATTGTCCCATTACTTTTGGTCCCTTAACAAGTGGGAGGCACATATACAAACTGCTGTAAGTCCTACACCGTTCACCTGAGTTGGATGTACATACCCTCAAATTAAAGCTGACAGTCTGCAGTTAACACACATTGTGTTTGTTTCATTCCAACTCCATTGTGGTAGTGTATAGAGCCAAAGATGTTAGAATTGTGTCGATGTCCCAATATTTCTGGACCTGACTGTACAAGAACTGCTTCTAATTTTTACCAGACCCCATAAGATAGGCCAAGCAGTATTCCAACAGCGTGGATTCCTTGACTAACACTACTCAATATATTAATTGCACAGACAAATTCAAGCTCATAGCTCAATGTAGAACAAGGACCCCCAGTCAGTAGCAACTCAGTAAAGAACATTTTCCATACCTTTGCTTCATACTTGATTGCAGTTGATAGAAGAGCAATTGCATTCTCTTCAGAAATGCCCTGCTTAATTGTTTGTTGGCAAAGCTTCTTTAGTCGGTTGTCTCTATAGAAGCTTGCCAAGTCTAACAGGCCTGCCAAAAGAGGGGGGGGGGGATCAAGTCTATACACAGGCTAGAAGAAACCTTTAGTAACACACAACTATAAAATACTTCTGGAATAAAAATGTTGCTAGTGATGTCACATATGAAAAGCTGGTGTTTTAAACATAGTTATCTGCAAATTTAATATGCGTTCTAAATGATGACTGTTGATAGCAGTTCTAGGCTCAAAAAATGATGACAATCCAGAAATGGGGGGGGGGGTGTTAAGTTTGGAACCTCTTTTCATCAGAACATTTCTGCCCTGGGCCATCTAAAGCACTTTACAGATGCCTGGAGGTTGTATGCATGTGGATGAGGAGGAATCAGCTTCAGCTTTGGCTCAAACCTGACAAGACCAAATAGTTTTAGGTCCCCCCGTCTGTCTTTTCCACCATAGAGTGGCTCCTTTGCCTTTGAGTTAGAGACCATCACAATCAGGGAGATTCTGTCTTTTATTTTGTACTAAGCATCTGGAAAAGTCGAAATTTGCTTCAAGGTTTTAGCAAATGTATGGAGCTTCTAGTCTCTTTTCCCCCTTTCGCATATAATAGAAATGGGCAAGGAAATTCTTCCTCATTCTCCCTTCTCTGACTGCCAATTTAACATTAATTTCCCAATTAAATGGAAAGACAATTCAACATTGGAGCCACCAATGGAGCTTCCACTATCTGGAAATCCAAAATTATATCTTGTGGAGTTCTGTGCTCTGGAAATATTTTTTTTTAAATAAAATTTTCTAAGCTACAATTCTTATAGCAACAAAAAACTCTCAAGACAGATTCCAGCAGAAATATTTTCAACTCAGCAAAAATGTTAAAATGGTTTTAAGGAAAAATAATATATTGGTTAAACTGCCTTTTTTGACACCTGTGACAGCTTCATGGGAATGAGCTGCTTTTATTTTAACTTTTCTTATTCAGTGCCTTGTCTGCCTAACAATTATATTATGGTAAAATCTCAATTTAAGAGACTAACTGAGGGACAAGATGTCTGTTACTGAGGAAAGTTTGATGAATCCAAGAGTGAGGATTTACATCATTTGCATAATGATATAAATTCATTTCTGAATTCTATTTGCATTATTTCTGCCGTAATTTGTTCTACTCCAGTTAAAATCTACTATATCTGTGATGGCAAACCTATGGCACGCGTGCCATAGGTGGCACATGGAGTCATATCAGTGGGCACGCGAGCTCAGCCAATTTTCAGGCCTTCTGGGCCCACCGGAAGTAGGGAAATAGGCTGTTTCCGGCCTCCAGGGGGTGAAGAAGGCCATTTTCGCCCTCCCCAGGCTCTTAGAAAGACTGGGGAGCCTGGGGAGAGCAAAAAACGGGCTTTCCGGTCCCACTGGAAGTCAGCAAATGGGCCGTTTCCGGCCTCCAGAGGGCCTCCAGGAGGTGGGCTCCTAGAAAGGTTCTGGAGCCTGGGGAGGGTGAAAAATGGGCCTACCGGGCCCACTGTGCCATTGCATGCCAAAAGCAGGGGAAGTGCGAATGGCTCACGGACGCATGCACAGGTGAGGGCAGGGCACATTGAATTATGGGTGTGGGCACATGCACGCACGACCCACCCCCACTCCCCCCACTTTTGGCACCCAATGGCAAAAAGGTTAGCCATCACTGTACTATATCAATGTCTGGTAAAATAAGATTTCACTGAATTACTTACATATAGAATAGCTAAGTAGTCTGCATTTCATTTGCAGACAATTGTCAGGTGAATTTTTTCATAGTTCTAGTGGGAAATATGGGATTTTCCCTACATAAAGGTAAGCTGATATTATCTTGGACAATATCAGCTTACCTTCAATGAAGGTAACAGTAGCAAGGCTTAATTTTAATTTAATGCCCATGCCTGATTTTTTTGCTGCTAAAGCAATTGCTTTTTCCAAGGTGAGACAGAAGAGAGAAAAGGGCGTAATGAATACTTTCAATTCTCATACGTACTCCCCAAACTATACACAGTTAAATAGCTTTGGAGCCAACAGAGATGACTAAATTCCTAACTATCCTGTTACTATTGATTAAAACAAAGGATGCAACAAAGGACAACTAGGCTACTTAAATCTTTCTTAAAACTATTCTCATAATTATTCATAGAAATATTAAATTCTGAAAAAAAAGACCTTTAATTACTAATTATGAACATCTACATGTGCCTATCTTTATTCTGGCCTACTGGGAAAGTCACAAAAATGTAGAATATATATATACTCTATTGTTAGTGTGTGTGTGTGTGTGTGTGTGTGTGTGCAATATAATGCTTTTTCTTATAACACTGCACAACTTGTTATACCAGTCTGTTTATTTTCCTTCGTCACTAACAAAATACTTTCTCTAATGCTACAAGATGTGAAAAATATATGCAAACTCATTTCATACTCTGAACTAAGTTTGCACAAGTCAGTATATTCAAGAGTTAATAGTGTATGTATGTATACACAAATATGTATGTAAATATCATGAAAATATATATTAACACCTTAGCTGGTTGTTCCAATTACCTATGGCATCTTCAGGAGGGAGACTGATGCTATCTGTATAAAGATACTCCAAAAATGCTCGGTAAACAGGATATGAGAATTCACTTATTTCTATGATTTCCTCAGTACCATTGTTCAGAACTGAATGAAAATGTTCACACCTAGGCATAAAAGGGAAACAGTTATAACATCAGCACCAACAAACAACTCAATTCCTACCATGTAAAAGAAAACCTGAAATATTAACATGAAAATGATATGGGAAAGATGAACCCCTGCGAATGTAACTTGTATTAAGAGGGACTGAACCATTCCTTTCCATATTAGTTGTGTTTTTAGAATTGACAGTATTTTGTGCCTTACTGCCACACTAAACTGGCTTTGAAATGAATTATATACCTTGTAGAGACTTATTTCTATTTTTGACAATGTAATAATCAGCACAATATTTTGCTGATCATGAAGCTGCTTATTCATGCATGGTAGATTTTTCATTTAATGAAAAACATACCGTGTTTCCCTGAAAATAAGACAGGGTCTTATTTTGTTTTGAATCCCAAAATAAGGGCTTGGCCTTATTATCGGGGGGTCTTATTATTTTGGGGGTGCAGGAGGCCCCGGGTGGCCTGCGCACTCACAGCCGGGAGTCTGGCAGAAAGAGGCTCCCTTCAAGTGCTATCAAGCCCCTCCCCTTCTGCAGGATGTGTGTGTAGAACACAAGCAGCCCGAAGGTACCAAGCCGCGCGAGTGTCTGTTCCCCCACTGCTCTCGCGCCTCCCAGGCCTCACCATGTTGATGTGGGCGAATGCCACTGGTGCCCACCACTAGCACCCGCGTGGAAGCCATGGCCTGGGCCAGCTCTCCCTGCAGGGTTCAGCTCCAGCCGTCACCATAGAGTGGGAAGCACACTCCCAGAGCGGCCACTGCCCTGGCTGGGGTTTGGAAGCCACAGAAGCATAGTTTGGGGGAGAAAAAGAAAGACTTCTGCTGCTTCCCTAGCATGCAACCAAAAGCAGAAGCTGTATTTTAATAGTACTGGAAAAAATTTCTGTATATGGGCAAAAAAGGCCAAAAAAGGGAAGCTAATGAAAATATTGGAGAAGATTTAGAATTTCATACCTAATTTTGAGGAACACTTTATGAACATAAATGTATTTTCCATCTACTTGAAACCTCAAATCAGCATTATCTGGGTTGTCAAATGCCTTTTTTATTGATTGAGCTATTGTTAAGTGATTGTCAGGTTCTGAAACAAAAATATTACGAATATTTTTCAGCAATACTTTCTATTTCAATCTCTTTCATAGTACATAAAAACAAAAAAATAATGGAAATCAAACATTTTTCATTACACAAATAAAATCACTACAAAACCTGGATATAAACAAAGCAACAAGAGAATATTTTTGTTACATTCTTCTCTTATTCAGGAATAATGAGCAAATGATTCATTTTTTGACAAAGTGACTAAATTAATGGACCAGCGAAATTCATCAAATTTGAAGACACTAAACTGTCAGGAATAGCTAACACCGTAGAACCATGATGGCGAACCTATGGCACACGTGCCAGATGTGGCACACAGCATCCTGTAGGCACACGAGCTATCGCCCCATTTCAGCTCTGCTGCACATATGTGCGTGCCTCCAGCTGGTCTTTGGGTCTCTGCTGCAAATGCATGGGGATGGGGCGCATGCAGGGGGCATGCAAATACATGTTTGGGGAGTGGGGCATGTGCGGGGGGTTGCACTCGCATGGGGTGGGGTGCGTGCAGGGAGGTGCACACATATGCACAGGGGGCGTGCACACACGCAGAGGGCACGCACGCATGCGTGGGGGCACGCGCATTTGAGCAAGGGGTGGGGCGCAGGGGTGGGGCGCATTGCATCTTGGGGGTTTGGGCGCGTTTTGGGCACTCAATTCAGAAAAGGTTAGCCATCACTGCCCTAGAAGATAGACTCAAGACCCAGATGGATCTCGAGAGATTTGAACGCTGGGCTGTATTTAACAAAATGAACTTCAATGTAGAGAAAAGTAAGGTTTTACACTTAGGAAAGAAAACCCAAATGTATAGGTACAGATTAGGTGAAACATGGCTCAATAGCAGTAACTGTGAGAGGGAACTTGGAGTCCTAATGGACAATCACTTAAATATGAGCCAGCAGTGTGCAGCAACAGTCAAAAAAGCCAATACAATCTTAGGTTGCATTAACAGAGGGGTAGAATCAAGATCGCATGAAGTACTAGTACAGCTTTATAAAGCCTTAGTATGATCACACTTAGAATACTGCATTCTTTTTTTATCACCATATTATAAAAAAGATGTTGAGATGTTAACAGATTAACAGAGTTGGAAGGGATTTTGTAGGTCATCTAGTCCAACCCCATGCCCAAGCTGGAGACCCTGCACCATTTTTGACAGATGTCAGTCTGGAAAGAGTGCAGAAAACAGCAACAATTATTATTAGGGAGCCTGAAACACAGTGCACTTTTTTGATTTGGGGAGGGGATCTCAGCGCTGCTGCCTGAAAACCCTTTCCTCTCTGAAGGCTTCAATCCCTCCCCTGGAGGCCTGAAATGCAATGCACTTTTTTGGCCTCCGCACACCCCGTTTTTGGATTCAGAGAGGAAAATCAATTGGAAACAAGGTATCATAAAATTTCAGATGCACGTGACTTTTGCTGAGAACTGAGGAGGCAGAGAATATAAAAGAACTGAGGGGGCAGAGAATCGAGAAACAGCCATGCCTGGTCACGCCACACCAATTGAGGGCATACCCATAGAATACAAGGATTTAGCTGAGGTTTTTAGCGAAAAAGCCTCAGATGAGCTCCCCCCCCACCGCGCCACTGACTGTGCAATAGAAATCTTACCCGGTGCGAAACTCCCTAAACCCAAGATGTACAGCATGTCACCGAGGGAGTTGGAAGAGCTGAGAACATTCATTGAGAAAAATCTAGCAAGGGGTTTCATCGAGCCAGCCCGACCAAAAATTGCAGCTCCAATGTTATTTAGAGAAAAAAAAGATGGCTCAAAATGTCTCTGTGTTGATTTTCGAAATTTGAATACGATCAGTGTGGAGAACATGTATCCCCTCCCCCTTATGAAAGATATGCTAACACACCTCGCTAAAGGGAAAAGTTTTTCAAAGCTGGACTTAAGGGAGGCTTACTACTGTGTCAGAATTAAGGAGAGGGATGAGTGGGAAAAGGCATTTAACACCCCCCTCGGGTGCTACCAATTCAAGGTGCTCCCCTTTAGGTTACAAGGAGCCCCTGCAGTGTTTATGCAGTTAATAAATGAAGTGCTGCATCAGCATTTATATAAGGGGGTCCTGGACTACTTGGGCAACATTTTAATATATACCAAGACCAAAGCAGAACATGTAAAACTAGTTAGGGCAGTTTTAAACAAACTCTGCTCTGCCAAACTTTATGCTAAACTTTCTAAATGTGAATTCCACCAAGAGAAGATTGACTATTTCGGGTACCGCATTTCACACCAGGGCGTAGAAATGGCCCCTCTAAAAGTGCAGACTGTATTTGATTAGGAACCTCCATGCATGTGTAAACAGTTACAAAGCTTCCTGGGTTTTGCCAACTTTTACTGCCAATTTATCCCCGCTTTCACTCAAATTGCCCTCCCCATCACCAAGCTCTTAAAAACGAAGTGGGAGGGCAATCCTAAACCAAGGCAGTCGTTGAACTGGACTATGGAATGCCAGGAGGCATTTGAAAAACTTAAACGGCTGTTCTCGGCAGTACAAATTCTAAAACACCTGGACCCGGAGAAACCATTTGTCATACAAGCAGATGCCAGCGAAGCGGTCCTCTTCAGAAAAATGAGCAAGACCAACTACAATCATGCGCTTACACATCCAAAAAGTTGAATGAGACTGAGCAAAGGTGGGCCATTTGGGAGAAAGAGGCTTATGCAGTTCGTTGGGCATTGTTAACCTGGAGACACTTCCTAGAAGGCAGTAAGACCCCTTTTGAAGTCTGGACTGATCATAAAAATCTAGAAGCCCTAAAGACCCCAAGGAAACTCTCCCCAAAACAAGTACGATGGGCTCAGTACTTTAAACGGTTTGATTTTACTCTAAAATACCTCCCGGGAGGAAAAAACTTTCTGATGCGCTATCCAGAAAACCACAATACAATAGTGTGAAGTCAGACGTAATCAAACCCATAGTACAAAACAATCAACTAGCCGCTAAAGTAGTCACCAGATCCCAGGCAAAAGAAGAAACATTGATGGACAATGACACCACCCAAACTTTTAAACAAGCATTGGCCACCGATGAATTGTTTTTGAACAACAAATCTAGCTGTCTGATGAAAGAAGACTTGGCTTGGGTGGGAGGGAAGTTGTATGTTCCAGCGAGCCAAAGACTAGGTTTAAGGTAAGGCGCCATGACTCCAGATTAGCTGGACATTTTGGGTTTCTGAAAACTTTACACCTAATTAAAAGACAATTTTGGTGGCCATTACTAAAAAAGGACATAGAAAGCTATGTAGCTAACTGCCCCATTTGTGCAGCAGCAAAAAGATGTCAGGGGAAAACCCCAGGTCTTTTGCAGAAAGTAGCTGAACCTTCAGCGCCATGGAGAGAGATTGCTATGGATTTCATTGTAGAATTGCCAAACATGAGGGAAATACCGTTATTTGGGTCGTAACAGACCTGTTTTCAAAACAGGCACATTTTATACCTTGCCAAAAGATCCCAACTGCTAAAAGTTTAGCCAAATTATTCCTAATACACATTTATTGACTTCATGGAGCTCCACAAAGGATCATCTCCGGCAGAGGGGTTCAATTCACCTCCAAATTTTGGAGGGCATTTTTGGACATACTTGGTACTAGCCAAGGGTTGAGCTCCTCACACCACCCGTCTACTAATGGAAATTCTGAAATTTTGAACTCGGTATTAGAACAATATTTAAGATGTTTTATTAATTTTCAACAGGATAACTGGACCGAACTTTTGCCTTTTGCTGAAGTTGTGTTTAATAATGCTGTACATTCAAGCACTGGTTTTACCCCTTTTAGAGTAGCAACAGGCCAGGATTTCAGCCCCATGCCTGAACTACCCACAGAAGAACCTACCATCACCTCACTTAAGGAGTGGATGGATAATTTGCAAAACTCATGGCCAATGGTTAGATTAGCCTTAAAGGAAGCTAGAGAGGCTTTTAACATTCAAGCTGACAAGCAAAGGATAGAACCCAAACCCTTTCATGTTGGAGACAGAGTATACTTATCTAAAAAATTCCTGAAATCATTACAACCATTGAAGAAACTACGGCCAAAGTTCATTGGACCCTTTCCCATCACTAGAGTCATCAATCCAGTAGCAGTTGAACTACTCCTTCCAAAGACACTCAGGCAAGTCCAGGCAGTACTCAGGCAGTATTCCGTATTAGTTTACTCAAGTGAGAAGTAATCTCATCCCTCAGACCACCTGCATCTACACCACCTGTTCCCATCATGATTGAAGGTGAAGAACACTTTGAAATCAAGGAAATCCTTGACTCTAGGATCCACAGAGGGAAAATCCAATACTTAGTCACTTGGAAACATTTACCATCAGCACACAACGAATGGGTCACTAAACACCATGTTAGGGATCCAACCTTACTGAGAAAATTTCATTCCCAATACCCTAACAAACCTTGTTAATATACTATCATGAAATTTTGTTTATATTTGTTTTTTTTTTTTTACAGGTAGACCCTTTCGTTTTCTAAGGAGGGTAGCATGTCAGATTCCTAAGAGTGATACTGCCAATCAATTGGGAGAAGGGGGAGACTTGGATTCGATTTACTAGCACTGCCTGTGTCAACAGATATTTTACAATCTATATCCTGGCGCCAAAGAGCCCTGAGATCCTCTTAAAGTGGAGGAATGTTTATGATAGCCGTGCGGGTTGTTTCACTTTAAAGGATAACGGTGTGAATACATGTTTGTTTGGGTTCTCAGGGAAACTAGTAAAGAAAACATCTTCATACTTGTGTACTGGCTAAAATCTGCATTCTGACTTAAAGGGAGGGGTCTCTACTGCTTCAATCCTACTTGTCTTGCCGAAGGGTATTCAGATCTTGCTTTAACTTGGTTGCTATCACTTCTGCTTAATAAAAGGATCCGTTTGAACTACCATGGTTCGAGTCTTTACTTTCTTAAGTTGGAAGGAGAGGCAATCCTTACACTAGCCCTCTGCTCTTCCCCAGTAGCATATTGGACACCTTCTGACCTGAGGGGCTCATCTTTCAGCATCATATATTTTTTCCTTTTGGTACTGTCCATGGGGTTTTCATGGCAAAGATACTGGAGTGGGTTGCCATTTCCTTCTCCAGTGGATCACGTTTTGTCAGAACTCTCTGCTATGACCTATCCATCTTGGGTGGTCCTGCACGGCATAGCTCATAGCTTCATTGAGCTACCCAAGCCCCTTCACCACGATAAGGCAGTAATCCATTAAGGGGGTACTTTTACCCCCTTGAGTTATGAATTTGGAGTCTCCAAATCCATAACCCAAAGTTCTTATTTTTCTTTGTGGCACTCTCTTGGGACCTTATATTACTATTGGAAAGACTGCTGCTTTTATTCTACTGATCTAGATAGTCACAGAAATATTATCTTTTATGATCATCATTGTCTGCTTCCCTAGGATTAAAGTTTTTTTTTAATTTCTCCAATACAATTTTCTATCTTTTAAGTTTTGTGTCTTGATATCCTTACCTTTTTGCTGTCTACTTCAGAACCCTAAAAACTGTGTCTCAAATGAAAAGTAATAATTAGAGTTTCTCTAATTTTAGGTGCCTTAATTTGAATGAAATAATGGGATGAGTGGAGGGGAAGAACTAACCTCTCCTCCTAAAAGCATTAACCTTGTCTTTATTAGTAATGCAAATTCTGCTCAGAGTGGCTTACCCCAGGTCTCTTGACCCCAGGATGCAAAACATTTGCACAGCTTGAGTTAGAGGGTAATATATTGAGCAAGCTCATGTCTGGGAAGGAAGTCTTCCAGTAAAGCTAGAAGCCACAGTTGGATACTGATTGGCTCGAAGGACAAGCATACTTTAGCAGACTAAACAGTAAAATTTCATATATTCCACAGCAAAAAGCTGTTAAATGAGTACTCTGTATTCATTTACTCCATGTCAATTCAGCCCAAATCATTAGTTTTATATGGGAGGACAAAGAAGATAATTAAAACAAGTGGTAAAATATCTGCATAATCGTCTAGTAGTACATGTTGTTGTATGTAACTGATAAAAGTATTTTCTTCTTAAAATTATTTGTTCAAAGACTCTTCTATGGATTTTACATGTTAAAGGCCTTTGTCCCTCAAGTAAATGTATGTACGTATCTATTTCTCTCTCTTTCTTTCATGTACCCACTTACCCACCCATTTGGTGAACTTTAAAATGTGCTTTCTACCAATGTTGTGCAGGTCTCTTCACATCAACTTGGTTTGGAAGTTTCTACTACAAAATTAAATCAATGTGGCTCTAAGCAAAACAGATAAAAGCGTCCTTAAGAATTTTTCATGGCAATTTCTATTATCTGCATGCTGGCATGAAATTTCCTAAAATAATACAAACCAAAAACTTCTAATTCTAACCTTAATCCACATAAAGCCATAATACTTTACAATTGGAAATTTCAGATAATCTTTCTTTCAAATTCCATTTAAAGATTAAAGCTTTTGGTGAAACAACAAAGAGTGGTATTTTATGAATTCATTCTTCCAGGATCACCCCATTTGACTTCTTGATAACCAACTTTTTGACTCCCAATGCATTTGATGTTTACTTTCACATCTTCTGCAGCAGGGGTCCCCAACCCCAGGACAGTGGACAAGTACCAGTCCGTGGCCTGCATGGAACTGGGTCACACAAGCAGCAGGTTCATTTGCGCAAAAGTGCATCAAACCATCCCCTCTCTCACCCTCATGCCACGCTACTGCTGCTGCCTATCCATGGAGCCAGAAAGGTTGGGGAGCACTGCTACAGAATACCAGACTGAAAGAAATGTCAAAAGTCCAGAATGGGTGGTTGTTCCTTACTGTCATTATAGCACATAGCAATGAATGGTTTAGGACCTGGCTATCTACAAGACCGCATTCTGCCACCGATTGCCTCCCACCGACCGGTACGCTCACACAGAGAGGGCCTCCTCAGGGTACTGGCAGCCAAACAATGTAGACTGGCGATCCCCAGGGGGAGAGCCTTCTCTGTGGGGGCCCCTGCCCTCTGGAATGAATTGCCCCCGGATATACGAAGGATCCCCGACCTCTGCGCCTTCCGTCGTGCAGTGAAGACCCTGTTATTCCAGCAAGCCACTCTGATGGGATAAATGGTTTTAATTTGGTTTTAATGGGGTTTTAAAATTGGTTTTAAATGAGAGTTTTAAATTCGGCCTATGATTTAATTATTTTAATCTGCTTTTAAATTCTATTTTGTACACTGTTTTATTATGGCTGTTCACCACCCTGAGTCCTTCGGGAGCAGGGCGGTATTTAAATTAAATTAAATTAAATAATTAAATTAAATTAAATTAAATTAAATTAAATTAAATTAAATTAAATTAAATTAAATTAAGCAGAAAAATGGGGAACACACGAAAGAGTTGTATCTTTAGCCTAGGATGCACTACTGATAGCGAAAAAGAATGTGACTTTTTCCTCCAAATCATGATTCAAACTCTTTTTAAGGACTGCACTTAAAATATGGTAACTTATACATCTCCAAGATCTAATTTAGATTCAGGAATGCAAGCATTAAAAAAAGTTAATTTGAAGCTCACCTACTGAAAGGAGACGCCAAGTCACTGCAGGAGTAGCAAAACAAGCAAACACATCATCAGTGCAGCAGAAGTGGGTGAGGAATGGAAGAATGATGGACTGTCCCCGGCACTGACCCCACATATACACATCATCACCCTGGGTTTTAGCAGCAGAGGTGTGAGAAGAGTGACATGCTGCAATCTCTACAATTCTAAATTTGAAAAGAAAAAATAAAAATTTCAGAAGTGTAAGGAGAACATTCACAGCCAGGTTACCTGCGGAGCCATCTTACATCTGCATGCCCCACCTAGTCAGGCAGGGAAGGCATGTTATGTATCCCATCAATTAAAGAATTCCAACTGATAAGAGTCCAAGAAGAGAGCCTTCTCACCCCAGAGGTGAGGTGAGTCCTCACTCTTCTGGCCTTTCGGAAGAGTTTGAAAACCTGGCTCTGCCAACTCGCATGAAGCTCACAGAGGAACACACAATCTTGAGGTTGGTTACTACCTTGAAGGCTCTCTCCCCACTTTTTTGGGGGTGTGTAGCTTGCAACATGGTGGAACGACACAAACTCTGGGGCTCTGGAGTAAGCTTCGATATCTCAGCTGTTTTGGGGGTTCATAGGGGACCATAGCTGACCCGTAGGGTCAGTGAAGAAAGGAGGCACAGGCTGGTGTGGGCAGGGAATCTGTAATTTCCCTGTAACGCCAGCGAAGAGCCTTCGACTCTACAGCTGGGAGGACAGCATTGAGAGCTGTCACAAAGCCAGAGCAGTCACGAGTGAAGAGAAAGAGGAAACAAGGCATGACATCTGGGTGAGAAAGTAATTGCTATCTTGGAAATAAGACTTCTATTTTTTAAGAGATAACCTGAACTGTAAAAAAAATTAATTAGAACAAAAAGGAACTGCAAGAGCGAAAGGGGAGGAACTGGATATCTGGCTACCTCCCCATTTCTGGATCAGTGGCGATATAAAATGCTGGCCAAGTATAAAAATTAATTTTTTCAAAGAATATGAACTGATTGTGAAAATAAGGGAAAGCATATTGGGCAGAGTGAATTTAGATTGAAATCTGGATGGTTTTTGGACTTTTAATTAGAAACCGGAAAGGTCTAATGCAGAACGAATAGACTTTAGATCAGAGAAAAAAAGTTGTGAAGATATACAGTGCCATCTAGTGGCAAAAAAAAAAATCCTCTTTTTTTGGGGGAAGTGTGGGATGAACAAATGACCTTGAGATAAACTGTTTTATGACTCAGTGAGAGTAAAAGTGGAGAAGGGGAAGAAGAAAAAAGATTAACAACTGAGTAATAGTTCAAAGACTACTTTGTTGGAATTGTTTTTTTTCCCTGTCTATATATTATCTGCTGATAAATTATTTTTGCTGACTACCTGGAGTGCAAATTTTTGGATCTTTTCTCTTCCTTTCCTCTATTTTTTTCTGTTTAAAACCTGAAATGTGGAAAAGCTAAAATTTGGATATTGTATTTTTCTTTCTTTCTTTTTCCTTTTTTGGATTTTGCATTTCTTGATATTTAATATTTTGTATTTGGGATAACTACTCTTTTTTCTTCTACTTATTGTTTTTTTATTGCATTTCGATAACCAGATTTTTATTTTTTATTCATTTATATTTTTTCTTTACTCTCTTTTTTATAGTTGGGTTTTTTATATTTTTTGGCTGACCGCTGGACTTCTTGCTTTTATTTCTTGATTATTAAAACTTCTTTTTGGCAGTTAGTATTTTTTTTCTTTTCTTTTTTCTTCCACTGCCTGGATTTTCTTTTTCTTTTCTTTTTTCTTATTTCAGTTTCCCTTTAGGAGGAACATTAGTGTTTGGTTTTGTTAATATCATTTTTTAAACGTATGGATTAGGGTATCAAGAACCTGAAGATCTGTGGTGACCAGGACAATAAACGTGGATTATAAATATTGATTTATGAAATTTGGATTATAAATTGGGCGATTTGAAAGTAAAGATTAAAATGAAGAAGCAACCACAACATTTATCATCACCATCAGTAACAGCAGCATCAAGCTCCGCAGCACAAAAAGTAGCAGAAACAACAAGACAAAACCAACATGGAATTAAAAAGCATGATACAAGCAATGCATGATGACCTTAAGGAAATGAAAGAAATGATGGGAAGAAATGAAAAAGATTGATAACAGTGGAAGAGAAAGCAGAAGTGACAGAGAAAAAGTTGGAGATAGACTACAGACTTACAACTACAGATAAAAGCCAGGAAAAGACAATTATACAGCTTGAGATGGAGAGGGCAGATTTTTACTTAAGGTTCCAAAACATAGAGGAAGAAAAAGGAGAGAATTTACTAGAAAAAATTGCTGGAATATTAGCGGAAGTTATGAAAGAAAGCCCAGAACATGATCATGATTAACAACCTTCCCTGCTGGCTTCAATGGGGAAACCTGCAGGAAGTCAGAAGTAATGGTCATGTGAGGTCCTTGCTTAACAGTCTGTAATGATTTCCTTTACAATGGTAATCAGGGACTGCCATCACTACGCAGAATAGCCATGTGAGATCATTCTTTACAACTGCATTGCTTTAGCGACAGAAATTCCAGTTCCAATTACCATTGTTAAGCAAGAATGACTTTTATTGGAAGACATTACAGGCAGTCCTGGACTTACAACAATTCATGATTGTTCAAAATAAAGACAGAGCTGAAAAACATGACCCACAACCAGTTGTTGTACTTATGACCATGATAGTGTCCCTCGTAGTCATCAAAATTTGTGCACATGGCAACTGGCATGCAGTTATGATGGTTGCAACATCTCAGTGTCCTGTGATCACCAACTGACCTTCCTAGGATGCTTTTGAGAAGTAAAGTCAATGGGTAAGCTGGATTTACTTGATGACCATGGCAAAAAAGGTCGTAAAGTTGGGTACAACTCACGTAATGACCATATCACTTAGCAATAGAAGTTTCAATTCCAATTGTGGTCGTAAGTCAAGGACTACCTATATGACCTCACTCAAGGCAAAATACCAAGCTGAAATAAAATTTGTTAATTGTCAGTATTATACAACATTAACACAAAGTAAAAATTGTTTTTGGTCAATATGGCTAGAGATTTCTTTTCAACTTCAGAAAATAAGTTTATAAATACCTTTGCTTTATGCCTAATCACTAACTCTTATTTTAGAACTTAGAATAACTTTATTGTCACTTTAAATGTACACTAATCGGCATACATTAAAATGAAATTTCGTTCCACACATCTCTCGAAAGGTCACTACCTCCAATATACACTACATAAACATGACACAATAAATAAATGAAAAATTATGTATAGAATTTTATATAATATGTATAATATATGTATAATAAAATGTATATAATAAAGTGACTTATGACCATTTTTCACATTTTTAAAAAATTTTTTGATTTATATGCCGCCCTTCTCCGGGGACTCAGAGCAGCTTACAATGCGTTAAGCAATAGCCTTCATACTTTAGTATATTTATACAAAGTCAGCTTATTGCCCCCACAAACTGGGTCCTCAATTTACCTACCTTAGAAAGGATGGAAGGCTGAGTCAACCTTCAGCCTGGTGAGATTCAAACTTACAGTAATTGCAGACAGCTGGTGTTAATCACAATGCTATCAGTCTGCTGAGCCACCAGACCCTATTTATGACCACTGTAGCATCCTGATGGTCACATGATTTACATTCGGATGCTTGACAACTGGTTCATATTTATGACGGCTGCAGTGTCCAGGGGGCATGTGACCATCTTTTGTGACTTTTGCTGAGCAAAATCAATAGGGAAATCAGATTCACTTAACAACCATGTTACTAATTTAACAACTGCAGTGATTGCAGTTAATCACTTAAGTAATGTGGCAAGAAAAGTCATAAAATGGGACAAAACTCACTTAACAAATTTCTCGCTTAGCAACATATATTATATGCTCAATTGTGGTCTTAAGTCAAGACTACTTGTATTTTCTTTACTACTATTTTTGTACTACTATTACTTATTTTTGTTTTAATCTTTTTTATTAACAAATTGAGATAGCTATGATTTGGATCATATTTAGGGGATAAAAACAGAGAATATAACCTTGTATATAAATAATTACTAATTCACAAGAATTAGTAATTGGTTCTGCAGAGCAGTTGGGAAGCACAGAAAACTATCAAAAGATATAACTTAACATCGAATGGCCATTTTTGTCTGCTAGAAGTTATTTTATGTGATTGTAGCTGCCTTAGAATCAGACAGACAAACAATTCAGTAACAAGTATTTTTTCTTAGGTCCTTGCCTAATGTTTAAAGCTAGAAGCATTCTTACAGCGTAAAACTTGTCCAATTGAGTCAAGATGAACAGAACTGTACCTGTCTTGATGTATTGTGACCAGCACAGGGTGTAACTGGTTACTCCTATTGCCAGTTCCCAGCTGGCCATAAGAATTGGCTCCCCAGGCATAGATATGGCCTTCATCTGTTAACACTAGTGTATGTGCATAGCCGCAGGCAATCTAGAAAAGAAAAAGAATTACGTTCTATTATTCAGAAATTATGTTTTTTTTCTGATTCCATGAAAAGATAGGAAAAAACATCCAATTTCTTTAATTGCATTTTTGAAAAACAAAATAAAAAATAAAGTATAGTTGAATCATTTTCAAAAAAATCAAAGTTGCTCATAAGAGCTGTGCCTAACTGTGAGGTACACTGAGCTTCTTGTCTCAAAAGCAGATGGGCAGATAATAAAACATGTAGGTTGATTCATTAACCTTACTTAAGAGAGATCAACCATCCTCCCTAATTCCAAAATAAGCAAGCCAAACTTTGGCTATCTTCTTGCTGGATTTCAGAGTGTGATGTTCCCATAAAGCTGGGGAAGATGCACTAAAGAGGTTGCCAAATGGGCAATATCCAGGCCAAGAATGAAATCAAGAATTATGAGGAAGAGCGGGAATTAGGAGGCATTTAATCTACTAAATATTTATGTCAGCTTTGTTCTTTCTAGTACAACCTATAAGACCTTGATTTACAACCACAATTGGGATTGGAACTTCATTGTTAAGCAATATGGTCATTATGTGAGTAATCATGTGACTGTTCCCAATTCTATGATCTTTTTCGTCACAGTCACTAAATAAATCACTAAGTCATTAAATGAATCCAGCTTCCTCCACTGACTCCATTGTTGGAACCCAACTGAGGAGGTTGAAATGCTGATTTTGTACCCCAACATACTACAACTGTTGTAAAAACATCAGTTGCCAAGTGGCTGAATCATATTATTACATGACTCTAGGGATGCTGCAATGGTTTTAAATGTGTGGATGTTGTATGCAACTTCAAGTCCTGCCTAAGCCATGAAAACCAACTGGTTGATTTTGGGCCAGCCACGCTCCCTCAGCACAACCCACCTCACAGGATGGGGAAATAGGAGGGGGAAGGTATGTTTGGATATGTTTGCTGCCTTGGGTTATTTATAAAAATAATAAAGGTGAGAGACAAAACAAATAAACAAACAAATAAATATATTTATGAAAGAGAGCCAGTTTGGCATGGTGGATAAGACATCAGGCTAAAAACAGGAAACTGAATTCTAGTCCTGTCTTAAGCACAAAGCCAGCTGGGTGACCTTGAGCTAATCTTGCCTTCCAACTCTTTCAGATTCTTATTTCTGCAAGCACTGGACAACTCATTAAGTTATTGGCAATATCACTTTGTTTTCAATACATAAGACATCTAACTGAATTTTACTTATACTTTCTATTCATCTCAATATTTAAAATGGCTAGTATCAGCTAAAATATGAAATAAAGATGCAAAATATAAAAATAGTACAAATGAAAACTAATATTTAAATTATTTACAATTTGCTATTGGTTTGTAACTAATGTTTTGGATACATCAGAAATCCCAGTAATTAGCAATTAGGATCTGAAGATGCTGAAAACATACCCTTTGCACGTGGATGCCTTGTAAAGCTGCTATTCTGCATGGTGTCGGCTGATTGCCACCATTGCCTAATCCAAGCTGACCATTACCATTATAACCCCAAACATAAACCTTAAAAAGGAGATAAATCTAGTTAGTATGTGGGTGTACATATAAATCAACATAAAGCATATAAAAATAACACACACACACCATTAAAATTGATCTGTAAATTAGACTAATTTTATGTATGATTTTTTGCTACATATTTTACTCTTCATTTATGTAAAACAGTAACAATATTGTCCTGTATGGAGATATTAAAATACCTGAGATCAGGCTAACATTAAAACACCTGTCCTTTCTTAACCGGGGTGGGGGGTGGGGATAATAAATTGTCTCATGCTCAGGGAAATCTCAACTGATTCAAGGTGGCAAACAGCTTGAATATTTTTATCCTTAAACACTCTCTTTCAACTCCAACACTGCATCGGTGAAAATGGCAGCTTGATGCTTTAGGAACTAGTTTTTACCTAGATAGTGGTTTTTCTTGTTCTCCCTTCCCATTATCTCTGGTGTCCTTCAGATAAGAGTGATAGGCCATAAGAATCTTAGAGAAAGAGGTGTCATTTCTCAACTACTTTTTTTTTTTTAAAAAAACCACAACGAAGAACATAAGCTGTACATTTCCACCCCAGACCATCCCAATGATGCCTTGGAAGTGATGTCCCAGTGCCTGGAGGCCGTGCGGGTCTGGATGGGGAGAAACAGGCTTCGACTCAACCCTTCCAAGACCGAGTGGCTGTGGCTGCCGGCGTCCCGGTATAGCCAGCTGACGCCATCGCTGGTTATTGGGGGCGAATCATTGGCCCCCACAGAGAGGGTCCGCAACTTGGGTGTCCTCCTGGATGCGCGGCTGTCCTTGGAAGGGCATATGACAGCCGTGGCCAGGAGGGCTTTTTGTCAGGTTCGCCTGATACGCCAGTTGCGTCCCTTTCTGGACCGGGACTCCCTACGCACGGTCACTCAAGCACTCGTCACTTCTCGTCTGGACTATTGTAACGCTCTCTACATGGGGCTCCCCTTGGGGTGCACCCGGAGGCTCCAACTGGTGCAGAATGCGGCTGCGCGGGGGATTATGGGAGCGACGGGGCGCTCCCATGTGACTCCTCTCCTGCGCGAGCTGCATTGGCTTCCGGTGGACTTCCGGGTGCGCTTCAAGGTGTTGGTGATTACCTTTAAAGCGCTCCATGGCTTAGGGCCAGGGTACTTACGGGACCGCCTTCTGCCACCAATAGCCTCCCACCGGCCGGTTCGCTCCCACAGAGAGGGTCTCCTCAGGGTGCCGTCGGCCAGACAATGCCGGCTGACGACCCCCAGGAGGAGAGCCTTCTCTGTGGTGGCACCTACCCTATGGAACAATCTACCCCCAGAGATACGAGTGATCTCCGACCTCCGGATTTTTCGTCGGGCCCTAAAAACTCATTTTTTTCAACTAGCTGGTCTGTCCTGATTTTAGGGTTAGTTTTAAAATTTTTAAAATTTTAATATTTATTTTAATTGACAAGTTTTAAATTATGAGCCAAATTTATAAATTATCTTAATTTTATTTTAATTGTGATGTTTGTATAGATGTTTTTTATCTGGCTGTTCACCGCCCTGAGTCCGAAAGGAGAAGGGCGGTATAGAAATGCGAATAAATAAATAAATAAATAAAAATAAAGTCAATCATCATAACAAAGTACATAAATGTATAAGTCAATAGCTGTTTAAAAGCTCCATATAGTAAATTATCTTTGCTAGCTTCCCTATGAACAGTCCATCTTTATAGGAGGCAGCCCAATTCTACAAACTACTTTGGTCTTCATGATGTTCAGATGACAGCATCTCATGAAAATCTGAATCAGAGGTTTGAGTCAGAAGAATAAAATTGCCACATGACTGCTAGACCTCTTTTAAGTTTAAGAAAGTATTAAACTGAATGATGAATTAGTGGAATCTAACTTGAAACTAATTCAACATCTATAACATCTATATAAGTGCATCAGGGGTGGGTTCTAATTATCTTTACTACCGGTTTGCAACTGGGCCGTGCATGCGAACTTTGTTTGCGCGCTCTTCTGCGCAAGCGCAGAAGCGTTTTTATGACGTCAGGGTCAGTGGGCGGAGCGTCCCGCCAGTTTTACTACCGGTTCTATAGAACCGGTGCAAACCGGGGGCAACCAAATACTGAAGTGCATTTTATAAACAATTTGCTCCAATTTACACTGGTTGCAATCAAGCAAAGGCTACCTATCATACATTCAACAACTGAGACAGGAAGTCAGACAGACATCTAAGCAAGTGTTAGTTTTTCAAGGAGCATAGTGGAAGGATAAACCAAGACTACTCAAAACTATTTGTCCCATATACTTAATATGGTAAATAAAACCTGTAATATATCTATTTAATTTCCAGTCTACAACAACTTTTAATTAATTATTCAGAACTTAACCTTCATTATTTCTATTGAATTATATCAAGATAAAATGCTAATACTATCTCAATTAAAACTATCTTTCCAATTTACTATACAGATTTACAAGCACAAAATACATTCTCTTTATATTAATTCTTGGAAAATATAATGATAAGGTTGAAACTTCCTAGCTGAAATCCAGAGATTCATGAAAGTTCAGGTATGTGTCACAACCTAAAGGTCACTAGCCCACATTACACAACAAGGGAGGGGGAGGAGAGGTATTGTCCAAATGATTTAGATTAAGGCATCTGATTTATTCTGTATTCTGGGAGTCCTCAAATAACAATGGCAATTAGGACTGCTGTTGCAATATGGTTGCAAAGCAAACCAAGCAGTCCCTGTTGCTATTGCAATCCAAGACAAGTGATTAAAGGGAAAGCAGAGGGAATATGAGGGTGCCACAGGAAGGATGGAGAAGGCCCTGGGATGCCTGGCTTAGGTTGTGTGCGAGTTAGTGAGGAGAATGCTAAAGTCTGGCATAAGTACAGGAAGGAGGTTGCAGTGGGTGCAAGCAAAGGGAGGGAAAGTGGGTGCATTGAATGCATGAGTGGAAAGTAATGAGGGAAAGGATAACTACATAACCATGTAGCTGCTATAATGGCCAGGACTTTTGAGTCTCTTTGGATAGACTTTGAAGAGTTGCTGAACCAATCAACATTAAATGAGGTATAACTGTATCTAAAACACTTTATATCAAAACTTCTGACTAATGAATTCCAAGTAGAGCAAAGAAGAGGGGAATAAGAAAAGAAATGGAATGGTTAAAGAGAGAAAGAGTCAAATCCAAACAGAAACAGAATATACTCATATAAAAAGGGAAAACTATTCTGAGGCTGTGACAGAAGGGAGGCAAACATTTGAGTAATTATCAAGAGATAGGAAAAAGGAGGAATTTTCAATTTTTTCAATTTAATTCAATTTATATGCCGCCCCTCTCTGAAGACTCAGGGCGGCTCACAATACATTTAAAATCCTAATAAAAAACATTTAAAAATTAAAAACATTAAAACTCATTCATACCATTCATGGCCGGATCTCGCGAGCGAGATCAACGGCCCCAGGCCTGCCAGAAAAGCCAGGTCTTCACCGCTTTTCAGAAGGCCAATAGGGTGGGGATGGTCCGGACCTCAGGAGGTAACTGGTTCCAGAGAGCTGGGGCACCCACAGAGAAGGCCCTCCCCCATGGGCCTGCCAGCCAGCATTGTTTAGCTGATGGGACCCGGAGGAGACCAACTCTATGGAATTTTACCGGTCACTGGGAGCTATGCAGTAGAAGGTGGTCTCGAAGATAACCTGGCCCTGAGCCATGTAGGGCTTTAAAAGTAATAACCAACACCTTGAATTGTGACCGGAGACCAATAGGGAGCCAGTGCAGCTCGCGAAGAATTGGTGTAATGTGGGTGTACCTAGGTGTACCCATGACAGCCCGCGCGGCTGTGTTCTGGACCAACTGTAGTCTCCGAACATTTTTCAAGGGTAGCCCCATGTAGAGCGCGTTGCAATAATCTAACCATGAGGTGACAAGGGCATAAGTGACCGTGAAGAGAGACTCCCAATCCAAGTAGGGTCGCAATTGGTGCACTAGGCGAACCTGTGCAAAGGTCCCCCTAACCACAGCTGTCAGATGTTGCTCTAATCTTAGCTGTGAGTCTAGGAGGACACCCAAATTGCGAGCCCGTTCTGAGGGGGACAATTTCTCCTCCCCCAGAACCAAGGATGGACAGTCAACATAGTCTTTAGGAGGCAATATCCACAGCCATTCAGTCTTGTCTGGGTTAAGTCTGAGCCTGTTGACTCCCATCCAGACCCTCACAGCCTCCAGGCACCGGCACATCACATCCACCGCATCACTGAATATGAGCAAACAGCCCTTGAAAGGCAGAAGGGCTGCTGGATGTTTCAGTTCAGAAGCCAGTTTGGGCTCCATCATTTGAACTGTAAAAAAGACAACAAAAACAGAGATGAAGGGAGAAAATACAACCAAAAGCATCCAGAAGGAAATGTAACAGGGGTGGGTTCCAAATTTTTTTACTACCGGTTCTGTGGGCGTGGCTTGTTTGGTGGGCGTGTTTTGGTGGTCATGTGACTGGGTGGGCGTGGCCAACTTGACATCACTCATGTCAAGGGTTAGGGTTAGGATGCCTGGCCTCTCCTCACCTCAAAGGCCTCAACGAGATACAATTTCCCTGTCTATTTATTTACTACTACTGAACATCCAAAATATACTATTTAATCCTATGTACATATGCCATATGTGTACATACATATTACATAGTATAGAGTGTATATAGGCACACAAAAGGATACATTATCTACTATATATACTGTATCTGTATGTATACACACAGAGAGCTCTTTTAAAACTATACACATTCAACCTCACTTACTACATTTGGAAAAACACACCCAGAATTTCTGTCACACATTTAACTATAACTTCTATACCTTTAGAACATTACACAGACCTTCAGATATTCTTCCCTACCTAGCCTGCACATGACTGTTAAGAGCCAGGAGAGGTCATGGATTGAGTAAAATGTGGTGAAACTCACTTAACAATGCTCTTGTTTAGCAACCAAAATTTTGGGCTCAATTGTGGTCATAAGTCAAGGACTATCTCTGCCTTCCTCTGCATGGCAGCCTTGTCCTAGTAAACTCCTTCTCCTTTCTGGCAATTTTCCTCTCTGTTGGAGGCACCAAAACAATCTAGACGATATAAGGTTTCCTGCTGGAGCAGGGGGTTGGACTAGATGGCCTCCAAGGTCCCTTCCAGCCCTAGATTGCTATCCTGTTTCAAAGCATCTTCTGAAGCCACGTCTAGTGCCAGAGTTTGTGGTCCTTCCTTTCTTTCTTTTTCTTTCTCTCTCTCTCCCTTCCTTCCTTCCTTTTTCTCTCTCTTTTCTCTCTTTCTCTTCCTCCCTCCTTTCCTTTCCTCCTTAAATGCCAGCAAAACCCACCACTTTGCTCCTAAAGTGGTCTAGGGCAGAGGTCTCCAACCTTGGAAACTTTTGGACTTGTGGACTTCAACTCCCATAATTCCTCAGCCAGCAAAGCTCCCAGAGTTCCTTAGCCAGCAAAGCAAAGCTGGCTGAGGAACTCTGGGAGTTGAAGTCCACAAATCTTAAAGTTGCCAAGGTTGGAGACTCCTGCCCTAGGAAAGCAATCCATGTTGCTAAAGCAAACAAATAACCCACATTGCATCTGTTTTAGGGGAGTAGGTTCAATTCATTGCCCAGTTGAAGACTGAAATGAAATGCTCCAAGCTGACAGCATTGCTTCTAATAACATTCCGCTCCAGATCAGATCTGGCTTTTTTTTTTTTTTTTTTTTTGCATAAAGGGGGAACACGGAGCGAATGAAAACAAAAAGCCTCCAGCCTCCGATGCAAAGCAAATTAAAGCCTCTTTCTCCCCCCCTTCCCCTGCTTCCCTTTTACCTTTGTTTAATGCTCTGAAAGTTTTTCTCTCCCAGGCAAGCAGCAGCAGGGGACAGAAGCAGCAGCCACTGACTTGGAGATGACATGGAGCCCTTCACGTGTTCTCCGGCAAGCTGCTTTCTCTCCCCTGCTCTCTTGCTGGGAGAGAGAGAGAGAGTTTTTTGCAGCACTGTGTTTTGGGGACCCATCCAGAAAGCCTGGCACAGAGAAACAGCCAGGTTGAAGGCCGGTATTTTCAACGCCCACAAGGAACCGCTCTTTGGTTCCTTGTTTTTTCAAGCTCAGGCTGCTTGGAATGAAGAGCTATTGCATAAAACGCATGGCTGGGGCTGAGGAGTGGTTCCTCGTGAGTGCTGACTTGCCTTCCCATCTACCACCAGCCATGGGAGGAAGAAGGTAAGATCGCAAGCCCGGCGGGATGGGGGGGGGGGGGCGTAGCAAGCTAGGCCACAGGCAGCATGGCCTGGAATGGAGCTGGGCTGGGCCGTGGCAGCTTAGCCAGGCACGCGAGCCCGGCAGAGACAGTAGGAGGGGCCATGGCAAGCAACAGGGACCGGGGGAGGGGGCTAGCGCGACTTGCATACTTACCTGAAGAGGCAACTCAGTTGGGGTACAGGGCAGGCACCACATGGGAAGGCAGTTTAGTCAGGCAAGCCGCAGAGCAGACTGTGCGCATGTGCAAGTGCCACACAGTCTGCTCTGCCGCCCGGGCAGGGCAAGCGGGTGGGGCAAGTGGCGACCGGGGAACCAGTTCGGGGGCGTGGCCAGCCAGCCATCTTTACCAGTTCCACGACCGACAACAAATTATCGCTACCGGATTGCCTGAACCGGTGCGAACCGGTTGGAACCCACCACTGAAATGTAAGTATAACCACTCTTATCCTTCATTAGAATTTTTCCTGAGAGGAAGACTAACCAGATTTCTTTTGATTTAATTCACGAGTCTCAACAAGAGCATGAGAAACCCTATTTACTGATGGTGACACTTCTTATGCAATAGTACTGGGTGTCCATTTAAATCTCATATAAAAAAAATTACTATTTTTGTTTATGAAACTTTAGAAAGTTAGCTAATATCTAAATTCTATTATCTTAGAATTCAGCATATAGTTTTGACATATAATTCTTCTTAATTGGCTCCATTGACTAATAATTGAAGAGACAGGCACCATGAACAATTTAGCACATAAGGCTTCGCATGTTAAAAAAATAAGGTCTGTAATACAGAACAATACCTTACCTCACCATTTTCTATCACAGCCATTGAGCACATCTGACCACAAGCAATGTTAATTGCTATCTTGTTTTGTAAGCAGCCAGTAACTCTTCGAGGAATAGGCTGATTGGCTGTTGAACCAGATCCAATTTGTCCTGAATTATTATAACCCCATGAATACACCTGCAAAAATAAACTAGTAACAGACTGATATGCCATTCTAGAAATACATTTGTTTTCATAAAAATAGCACAAAGAAAGAATGCTAACTGATATGGACTCAACTCCATGCAGATCTATTGTGTTTTGTGCATGGAATAAAACATGTCTTTTTTTGTGGACAGATTTCTGTCAACATTTCTAGTACCTTTTCCCTAGAAAACTGTTATTGAATTATCATGTCTTAAAGTACAAAAATAATATTGAAATAAAAGTAATACAAAAGTATTTGCAACTAATGCTTCAGTCAAAAAAATTCAAATATTTTTACCTACTATAAAAAAATTCAATTATTGGTACATAAAATTAATGCTGCTTAATTATTCATGTTTCACATTTGAAGTCAACAAGATGCTTCAGAGTCTGCAGCAATCTTGCAACTCCTTAAATCAAAGGTGTCTCTTCCCAAAACTGCATGCAGATGCATTTATTTCCCAGTTCACAGACTTCCTAACTGAGTATATAGGTTTATCTGGTTAAGTCTAATTCTGACCTACGTTTAAACAGTCCACTTATGCTGAGCCAATGGGGAAAAAAGACCTATAAAAAGTCTATCTAAAATGGAGTTGAAATGTACCGGCTACAAAAAAGGTGGTTCCGCCCCAGGCGCCTGATGGATCCTGAGAGATTCCAGATGGAGCTTGGGCCATTTCTTGAGGTTCTGGCACACGACTCGGCTGGGACTTAGTGGCCGCCTGGGATAGGGCGGCGGCTGGAGCTTTAGACCGAGTCATGCCTTTGCGGCCTCTGACCCGGCGCCGGTCTCACCTGGCTCCTTGGTATACTAGGAGCTGAGGGAGATGAAGTGCCGGAAAAGACGCCTAGAGAGCAGTTGAAGGGCTAGTCGTTCTGAATCCGACCGGACACTGGTAATATCTCATATTAAGAATTACCTAGTGGCGATAAGAGTAGAGAAGAGTAACTACTTTTCTGCTCTTATTGCGTCATCAGATAATCGCCCAGCCGCCCTGTTTAGGGTGACCCGCTCCCTGCTCCACCAAGGGGCGCGGGAAGACCCCTTGGAGGGTAGAGCTGAGGATTTTGTACAATATCTGTATGACAAAATCGCTCAGATTCGGGAACAGCTGGACTCTGACTGGGTTGATCCAGGGGAGATGACAAGGGCAGGTCCTGAGAATATTATTTGGGAAGAGTTTGATCCTGTGATTCCCGAAAGCGTGGACAGAATACTGAACAGACTAAATGCGACCACATGTTTATTGGACCCGTGTCCCTCCTGGTTGGTACTGGCCTCCCGCGAGGTGACGCGAGGCTGGCTCCAGGAGATTATAAATGCTTCTTTGAGTGAGGGTGTCTTTCCCGCCGCCTTGAAAGAGGCGGTGGTGAGGCCCCTCCTCAAGAAGCCCTCCCTGGACCCAGCTGTGTTAGCAAATTATCGTCCTGTCTCCAACCTTCGCTTTGTTGCGAAGGTTGTTGAGAGTGTGGTTGCACGACAACTGCCTTAGTACCTGGATGAATCGAATTATCTAGATCCGTTCCAGTCAGGCTTCAGGCCCGGGTACAGCACAGAGACAGCATTGGTCGCATTGGTTGATGATCTCTGGAGGGCTCGGGACAGGGGTTGCTCCTCTGTCCTGGTCCTATTAGACCTCTCAGCGGCTTTTGATACCATCGACCATGATATCATGCTGCACCGGTTGGAAGGGTTGGGGGTGGGGGGCACTGTTTTACAGTGGTTCTCCTCCTTTCTCTCTGACCGGTCGCAGTCTGTGTTGACAGGGGGGCAGAGGTCGACCCCGAGGCCCCTTATATGTGGGGTGCTGCAAGGATTGGTCCTCTCGCCCCTTCTGTTCAACATTTATGTGAAGCCGCTGGGTGAGATCATCCGTGGCTTTGGGGTGAAGTACCATCAGTACGCTGATGACACCCAGCTGTACATCTCCACCCCAGACCACCCCAATGATGCCCTCGAGGTGATGTCCTGGTGCCTGGAGGCCGTACGGATCTGGATGGGGAGGAACAGACTCAGGCTCAACCCATCCAAGACCGAGTGGCTGTGGTTTCCGTCGTCCCGATATAGTCAGTTGGCACCATCTCTGACTATTGGGGGCGACTCGTTGGGATTCGCAACTTGGGCATCCTCCTAGACTCGCGGCTGTCTTTAGAAGAGCATATGACGGCCGTGGCCAGGAGGACTTTTTATCAGGTTCGCCTGATTCGCCAGTTGCGTCCCTTTCTGGATCGGGACTCGTTACGCACGGTCATTCACGCCCTTGTCACCTCACGCCTGGATTATTGTAATGCTCTCTACATGGGGCTCCCCTTGAGAAGCACCCGGAGACTCCAACTGGTCCAGAATGCGGCCGCGCGGGTGGTGACGGGAGCAATGTGGCGCTCTCATGTGACCCCTCCTGCGCGAGCTGCACTGGCTCCCGGTGGTCTTCCGGGTGCGCTTCAAGGTTTTGGTTACTACCTTTAGAGCGCTCCATGGCTCAGGACCAGGGTACTTACGAGACCGCCTCCTGCCACCAGTAGCCTCTCACCGACCTGTTCGTTCCCATAGAGAGGGGCTCCTCGGGGTGCCGTCAGCCAAACAATGTCGACTGGCGGCCCCCAGGGGGAGAGCCTTCTCTGTGGGGCACCTGCCATCTGGAACGAGCTCCCCCCAGAGATACAGAGGATCCAAGACCTACGCATCTTCCGCCGCGCCCTAAAAACGTTTTTATTCCAACAGGCTGGTCTGGCCTAACTCTCCCTTTTAAATTGGCCTTTAAATTGGCTTTTAAATTGGGTTTTAAATCTCTTTTAGATAAGTTTGGATGTTTTAATCTTTGAACCTAAACCTAAATTATTTAATCTGTTTTTTAATAGTTTTTAACTTTTGTATGTCTTTGTATTTATTTATGGCTGTTCACCGCCCTGAGTCCCTCGGGAGTAGGGCGGTATACAAATATGAAAAATAAATAAATAAATAAAATAAATAAAATAACAGACGGGTAAGTGCCAGTTCTATGAAGTAGAACGATGATCATTGTTCCAATAATTTGGTATAACTCTGAGAATGGAGATTTGAAAAATAGCACTACTGTAAGACTCCTGAAGTGTGGTTACAATTTTACTTTCAATAGAAAAGCAATGCATTTGTAGAATTATGATATGGAAGCAATTGAACTGGAACATATACAGTACATTTTTTTATATTTTTTTAAGCATGTGCAGTACCTTCCTATATATTGTAAAGATAGTACAGCACAGCATGTTAAAAAAATTCCGCCTTCCTGGTTACAGCTAAAAAATGAACCACTTGCTCCAACAGAGTTATACCTTGTTCATATTTTTATCAGAAAGAATAAAAATCAATGCTTAGGTAATTAAGGACCACAAAAATGACAGCATTAAGGAATTAGAAGTCATTAGTTTTAACGCTGTGGGGGTATGATGGCTGAGAAAGCTGACAGTCTCGATTTGAGACCCAAGCACCGAGCTCTTCTTATTTGTTTGAAGTCCTGCCCACCTAGCAATACAAATGTGAATAGATAAATAGATACTTCAGTGGGAAGGTAAGAGTGTTCCATGTGCTTTGGCATATAGTCATGCTGGCCACATGACCACAGCAGCGTCTTTGGGCAACACTGGCTCTCTCGGCTAAGAATTAGAGATGAGTATTGCCCCCTTGAGTAGGACACGACTGGACAGGGGAAACCTTTACCTTTAAGTTTTAACATTGAATTCTTGCTGTTTTAAAAATTTTATATAAAACTCCCCCCTTATGTTTTTTCTTCCTGAAAATGGAAAAACATGAACTGGTGATTTCTGGATTTAACCATTTAAAAAGGGCTATATATGGAAGAAGGAAATTACACGACGTTATTTTGAAAGGGGAAATGGAATCAAGTAAATCTAATTGGTGTAAAGATTGAAAGTAGCTTCTTTAAGCACCTTCACTTTCTATTGTTTTCAACACATTTTTCTTCTCTTTGATTTTTCTTCATTTTTCATATCTTTTAACTTTGTTAAAAATTATATTAAAAAATAAAATTGATACAAAATTCAAAAGCAACTTGCACAGAATTACAATAATTCTTCTCACCTCACCATCAGCAGTCAATACCATTGAATGATGTGAGCCACAGGCAACTTCAATTACTTTTTTGTTTACCAAGTTGGTGGAGATTTGGCAAGGAATGTAGCTGTGACTGGTTGTTCCATTTCCCAGTTGACTGTAAGCATTATGACCCCAAGCATATACTTCTCCCTCTATAATATAAGAAAATAATTTTGAAAGGCTGATATAAAAATTGGCTACATTACAAGCTATCTTTTTCACAATGAATAACAAGATGATTTTCCTTCATTGTGAAATAATTACATAAATCACAAAAAAATGAAAAACGAACCCTTTGCTAACATTAATCAATATAATAACGGTTGAAACAAATAAACAGAGTAGATGGCAGGCTGAGAAGGGAATGATGTCTGTAAACCAATCAATATTCAAATATTGTTATCCTTGAAGTGGAATTTCTTTTACATGATATACAAAATAGTGTGACTATCTGCTTTCTCTTTTATTATCTCATTCTTATTAAAAAGATCCAAACATCAAAGCTTTTCCCCACACTGGCTTCAAAGGGCTTGTTACCAGCTGCACAGATATCATCAGAACGTTCTACAGCTAAACTACATTTGACAGACCTGAAAAGATTCCTTCTTTGGGGCATATACCTCAAAGATTTACTTTGAGTTACCTAAGTTCCTTAAGGCCACCATCGTAACTCTAATTTAGACATAATGCTTGAACGGGAAATATAGAAAGATTATACTTTGAAGAACTAGAATTTCACATATACTGCCTGTTCTTCACTTCTTTGTACATCACTTATATAGATATCTAGTAAGCTGCAGTTATCTGACAATTAGGCCTTAACTACACCCTATCTAGGCAATAGTGTCACACAAAGTTTGACATCTGATCTAATAGTTGTGGTACATATGTCAGAAAACTGAATACTTTATGAACTTGCAAGTGACATTGATATTGTTCAGGTCCACAGATAATGGTGAAAAAGTTTAGCTAAGTGACCTATGCACATACTTTTGTGACATGCAAATATAGGTAACCATTGTAAATAACTGGCTCTATTCCAAATAAAAACTATGATAATTAATCAATAGTGACTAATTTTCACAACCGTTTTATTATTATGAAACTGGGCAGATGGCCTATAGCATTTGTCCAAATAACGAAACAGTATGGGAAAGCATTCCCTAAAGGTCTGGTCCAAGGCTTGTCCAGGTACAGAAGTTAAGAATCCAAATGGATCTTACATGAAGCATGGAAGCATTTGATTCATGTTGCTCTACAAATGTGATGAAACAAAGTAAACAGTTGAGTTGAAACAGTGCTTGGTAAGCTTGTGGAGAAAAGTATATTATAAACCAACACTGCAGTGATCATATCTGAAAACTGGCATTCTGAACATCCATAATCATCACAATATAGCCCAAGATCAACTTCTGCAAATGGATTCAAAGTGATTGTATTACCATTAATCACAATTCAAGAGCATAGGGCATCAGTACTTTATCAACCAGTAAGAACAGGTTAATTGACTAGGGAACTAATTTGAGACTTTGGAGAATATGTAGTGCAAGTTGCTCAGTAGTGACCTCTCATAGTTGACATAAAAGTGCAGGTGATCCAGTAGAGTCAAGATAGCTGTAATATGGATAGCTTCTTCACTCAAGGGACTGTTAGTAAAAACAAGATAAGGAAAACTGCCAATAGCCATTAAACATGCAAACACTTAAGGCAATGGAAGGCAAATTCCTTTATTGCAAAATGAAGAAATTTCTGATGATCTGCTCAGATGGTCTGATAGAAACCAGCATCCATCAAATCAATGTAAACCAATCTCTGAAGATTTTGCAATGAAAGAAAGAATGCAAACAGAAATGGCAGCATGTTATGAATCCTACATGTACTGGTAGCAACAGTATTGAAACTAGAACTGATGCAATTTACTATTCAGCCTAGGCGGCTAGCTTGTTATTAACTAGATTAATCATCTAGACTGGAGAACAAGTGGTTATTTCACGATCTCTCCTTTATTCAGAGATGTCTCTAAATAAATTTAAATAACTCAACAGAAATATCATTTTAATATTTTTAATTTTTTAAAGTATAACACAGTGGCTAGAATGCATAACTGCAGGCTAACTCTGCCCACAGCTAGGAGTTAGATTCTGACCGACTTAATGTTGACTCAGCCTTCCATCCTTCTGAGGTTGATAGATTGTTGAGGGCAATATGCTGTCTCTGCAAATCGCTCAGAGAGGGCTGTAAAGCACTATGAAGTATATATATGTAAGTTTAAGTGCTATTACTATAACTGTTAAAATTGAACAGTATCAAGATAATGAAGCACAGCTCAGCAACTACAATGATCTTATAAGCAGAGCCTGTTCATTGTTCCTTGTAAACCTTGAGAGGGAACCTTTCAGAGCCCATCAAATATAGCTCATTTCTAGAATGTTCCAAGGAAATTTGGATAAAAAGTTAATTATCTAGAAAGAAATTACGTTCATACAATACTGCTATATTGTTTTTTTTCCATTCTCTAATGTCTTTGTAGTCCAATCTACTACCTCCTAATTGCTTCCCTAATATCACTAGGTACAGGATGCATTATATTCAATCAATTATTTATTGTTGTTTATATCCCATCTAATACCTTGCTGCTGTATCCAAGCACACATATCTTTTACATAAATTTATAAAGAGGGACTTTAACAAAATAATGTATTTTCAGCATCTCCCATTGACCAAAATTCTAGGGCAAACAGAAACAATATTTGAAACTTTGAACCTAGTCAGATTGTATAGACTTGCTTGATTTTTGATGTATTTTGAGGTATAAACACATTTCATTTCTCATGATGTTTTGTAACATTTAATGAAGAATATGTACAGCTATAGAATAAATATATCCTAAAATTCATAGCTTGCCTGTCATACAAGTTGTTTTATTACAAATTTTGAATATTTCTTAGCCATGTGACATTTAAAAGCAAATTGCTAAGTGTTATTACAAGTAGTCCTTAACTCATGACCATTTGTTTTATGACTGTTTGAAGTTATGACGGTGTTGAAAAAAATGATTTTATGACCAGTCCTCACCCTTACAACTCATGCAGCATTCACACAATTAAAGTTCAGGCACTTAGCAGCCAGCATTATATTTACAATGGCTGCAGTGTCCCAGAGTTAGATGATTGTCATGTGCGACCTTCTCAGGGCTTCTGACAAATCAATGGGTTAAACTGGATTCTCGTAATACTCACAGCATAAAAGTAATACAATAGGGTGTGACTCATTTAATCATTGCATTGTTTAGCAACAGAAATTACAGTCCCAATTTTAAGTACAAGTCAAGGATTATTTGTACATCCCTTCCATGTACTATTCTAACAACTAAGCTCTAAGTACCCAATTGTATAAGAACCCCATCTACTTTATCATTTAAAGAAAAGTAATTTCAGCATCTCCCCAGAATTTCTTAGCTTTCCTTTCTTAATAATATTGTTATTTTAAAAAGAAAAAACCTTTCCAAGTAATATATTAATAAAATAACCATAGCAAGAGCCATATAACATACCAGTAGTAGCCAGAACAACATGAGGTCCACTTCCATAACTGAGGGAAGCTAATTTTTTGCCACATAAAATATTTATTCTTCGAGGTTCAATGCTGCTCTGTACATCACCAATTCCCAAACTTCCGCTGCAGTTAGTGCCTAAAGCAAAAACCTATTACACAATGATACTGTCAGTACCAAAATACTTTTATAAGCATATATAATTAAAATATTTAAAAACACCCAAAATGCATTTATAATGAATTTTGAGTTTACATATTTGAGGATATATATTTTAGCCACATTTCTGCCATGTATTCTGCCCTAAAGGAAACCAAAAGTGTACATCAAGTATAAAATTTATAATAAACATCATGGAAGTGAGACTTATTTAACAGATGTACAATATAGTATATTTATTCTTTTTTGTGTTAGACCTGGGGAAAAGCTACATATTAAGCAAGGCAGAGAAGTCTCATGCCTTCCAAATCTTAAAACAAATGTGCATGCAAAGATTCTTGGCATGTCAAGCTTCAAATTTGTATGGAATCATGAACAACTAAAGATAAAGTCGATACCAAGACAAATAGCTATTCACTGTTATATCTTCAAAAATTACCTCATCATTTTCAGTTGCATAAAGAACTTCATTGCCAGCACTGCCAAATACGCAAACCTGACGAATTAACTTCAATTCCTCTTGAGAGTGGAGAGCAAATAATGGCCATTTCCCAACATCCAGCATCTTCTGTTTCGGTAAAAATATAGTATATACAGATATTGCATAATCTGTTATACTGCTGCCCAAACTTATACAAGTATGAGATAGTTCAGACTTGGCAAATTTTGGGATAACTGTGTACTGTAACTTCCTAACTCTGTGGAAACAATGCAGTTTAATGAGTCAAATTAAGATTAGCTGAGGGACAAATTTCTATAAAAAGCAATATTTGTAGCTCAGCATTGAACTGTAGGGTCCTTGGTATGCTCTAAGCTAGGCTGCTTTCTTCCAGACATTTCACTGCCAAACTAATAACTTCATCAATGCTAGTAGAGACCCCACTTGCTACTAGCAATGTTGATGTTATCTAGTTTGGTAATGAAATGTCTGCAAGAAAACAACCAAGCTCAGAGAGCACTGAAGACTCTATAGGAGAGACTCCTGTATAGTTACTTTTATTCTATACATTTTATTAATGGGGTTTCCTTATTGTGTTTTCATTTGTTCCAATCCTATCATCTTCCTTGTATGTATCTAGAACCACATTAATATTAACATGTCATTTGTTGAACTTTCTATCTACGATTGGGAAAAGTTCATTACAACTGTCTCCCCTGAACATTCCCTGCCCTGACTTTTGAAACTCACAGGATGGAACAGCAATACCAGACATTTCTTGTAGTGAAGGGAAACAATAATAAGGATATAATAAATAATACTAGAATATGATATACTGGTATACTAGATTCTGTAACCATTAGGTTCCTGTAATACATATATGCCTTTTTATTTGTATCACATATATTATGCCTTTATATTTGTATCTCCTGTAACAAACATATTCTGTTATTAGGCCTCTGTAATGTATCTGGTATTTGTCAAACGTATGTCCCTGCCATTTGACCTGAACTCATATCAATCTTCTTTCTGTGCTATCTAAAAGCATGGTACGTATCTCAGTTGAGATGGGAAAATTCATTACAACTGTCTCCCCTGAACATTCCCTGCCCTGACTTTTGAAGTTCACAGGATGGAACAGCAATACCAGACATTTCTTGTAGTGAAGGGAAACAATAATAAGGTTATAATATTTTGGGACCTTACAGTAGGATTGAGATCAAGCAATGAGAAGATGGCCAAATCACTATTATCAGACTTTACTCACTGGTATCTTCTTAACAGAACATAATCCCACAAGTCACTTGGCATAATTTTCAAAACGTCCTCTCTAGTGACCAGGATACTGATGGAAACAGAAGCCCCACTGTTCACAAACCCCTCAAATTGTCTCCATTTTTTTAAAGTAAAATATTTTGCTTTTTTTAAATGCTCAGAGCCATATGAAGCACACCAGAACAAAGCTATCCCAATTAGTTGGAATGTAGCCATTTGGTTGTCGAAATGTAGAAATAATGACTTCATAACTAGTTCAATGTGATCTTATTGCAAGAAACCTGGCTTCAAACTTATTTGGCGTTAAACTTTGATCAAGAGAGGGATCTCTCAGCACAGACACATCAGATCTGCATAAACACTGTGTACTAGTGAGTAGGACATACAACTATCTAAGGAACAATTTTCTAATATAGGGGAAAATGACTTTATACTGATTATGAAGTTAACTATACTGATTTGTTTGGAGCCCTGTGCATTTGTATGCTGCTATTATTCATGACTGACCAAGTATTCCTTCCTGATCATAAAATGTTACAATATCTAAGTAGTGGGATCTGTCAGCAACCCTTGGTGTCTATACAGGCAGCTTAGGACCCAACAAGTCTTGACATGTGTATAGCCTACAACAATATTCTGCAATAAAGTGTTAGGAATAAAGTGTTAGGAACATACCAACATCCCAACATCTAAGGTCTGCTCTGGAGATGCAGGTACTTATTCGTTTTTCCTGCCAGCCAGCCAGCCAGCCAGCCAGCCACTTGAGGTAAGGTAGAGCAGATGGCCTCTTCCTAGTTGCTAACAAGAAGAGAAAACAGTTCTCATACAGACCATTGAAAGAGAAAATGTATTATTTATTTGTCAAATTTATTTGCCACCTATCTTGCCATGGGGCCACTCTAAGCAGACATTAATAAAGATATTTATCAATATTATAATAAAAAGATGGACGGAGAGCAAAGGGGAGGGACGTGGAGTCTGCAATCAATCCAGCAGCCACCTTCAGCGTGCAATTCCCCCATTTGGTCCCTAGACCAGCGGGCAGAGCAACGTCTCCAGGCTCTTGCAGAAGGATAGGAGGGGATCCCGTATTTCAAGCTATTGCGTGTACCGCTCAGACCACATGACTATGTGGTATGTATGCCGCTCAGACCACATGAGAAGATAAACCATGGGCTGTATGCCACCATTCACATTTGGTCCGTTTTGAATTTTCTCGCCCGCCAACAGGACCCGTGTCGAAGTTCAGTGTCACATGTAAACATTAGGAACAGCAACACTGCCGAGCCCTCCCAAGAAACGGTTGCAAATTTTGCAACCTTCGAACCTCTCAAGGAAAAGTTCAAAACTAAACATAATACTCCATTTGTGTAGCTCACAAAAGGATCTATACGTGTGAATCAACTTCTGTGGGCATAATTGTCAACTCAGATGTCTAAAATGTTTCGGTGGGGGTGGAGGACGAGCAGGCCAACATGCACACACACAAACACGCGCGCGCTAAATGAGCTCGGTCTCACGAGGAACACGCTTGTGCACCCGGAGAGCTCGAGCGGGAGAAAGGACGAGGCCGTCTCGCAGTCTTCCCTGCAGGGGCAGCGCCCGGTCCAAACGTACCTCCAGCATTCTAGCCGCTTCGGCAGGGGCAGCAGCAACCCGGCAGGCAGGAAAAACAGAGCGGCCCGATCGCCGCGTAAAACGCACCCCGGCCGCTTCTGATTCGCAAGGCTCAGAGCGGCGGGCGGGCTTTCGCGTTTTGATGAAAGGAGGCGGGGCGTTGCTATCCCAGAGCGGCGGGAACTGTTGTGGCTTCGGTCTCTTTGCTGCTGGGGTGAAATCTCCTTGCTATGGAGTAAAACCGCGTTCCTGCTTTGCAAGAGCAATGAAAGTCCTGTAGGAATACTGTATCCTGAACTGCAGAATCCTAACGATCGTTAAAAGGCAGTACCGTATAAGGGGAGCTTTTCGTGGGTCCCGCTGCCACCCAGCGATGGTCTTGATTAGTGGGCTTGCATAAAATGGTAGCTTTTGACCAAAATGCAGGCAAAAATCTCTCCTCCTACGGGTCAAGTGAGGTAATAATGAAGTGCTTGGTCAGAGCCAGGGCCAGAAGAACATAACCCCTTTATTTAGCCGAAGCCTATCCACTCTCAAACCCAAGGGTCATCGGGGACTATGGATCCCGCAGGAAGCGCCGCCATGGCTCTTCCCGCCCGCTGAGGCGCCACTGCTGCCGAAAGGGCTGCTCAGGTACTGCTGGGGGAGCCTCTGCCCGGCCAGGCGGCCGCCTGCGCGGAGGCGGGGATAGAACGGAGTCCCCACCCCGCCAGGGCCTGGGGAAAGTCCCAAAGGGGCCCGCGCTTCCTTTCGGAACAGGATTGAGCCAATCGGGGAAAGGAAGCCCCGTTCTCCCCGTTGAGAAACGTCGCCTTAGTAATTCGATTCCTACTCTGGTTTATGAACGAAAGAAGTGACACTGAATGCATATTCACGAAGTAGCTCGCTCGCTCGACGGGTTGAGCCGAATTATTTCTAGCCCCTTTGCTAGCGGTGGCGTGTTATGCATGCTCTGGGGTGGATCACCAGTGGAGCAGTCTCCCGGTAGTATTCACCGCCTCTCCCATAGAGGTGAATTCGAGGAATTTTTTTTTAGCAAGAAAACTTTCGTCCCTCTTAATTACCTTTCCTTTCCAACATCGGACCAGAACTCAACTCGAGGATAACTTAACTTTCCTATAATAAATGATTTGCCTGGAAGGAGCCCCTTCCAGGATTTCTTATTTTGATGTCCTAGTCTAGCACATTGTTTAGGGTAAGGCTTCTCAAAATTTATAGTATTGTAACTTCCTAAAATGGATAAATGAATTTGTGTCATTTTCTACATGAATAAAACTCTTTCGTTGGTTAGAATTCTGCAAAAAAGGTACCGTTTATTAAAACTCATGGTTCCAGACTTAAGCTGTTTTAACAGTAATCTTTTCCCCATTTTTAAAAACTAGAATTTAAACAAAATTCTAAACTTCACTTCTACGTGTGCTATGGAGACTACATATGTTACTCTGCTGGCCATTTATTTTTATCCTGTCTTCATTGTTTTTTTTTATAAATAACTCAAGGTGGCAAACATTCCTGCTCCTATTATCCTCACAACAACCCTGTGAGGTGTGATGGGCTGGGAGAGAGTGACTGGCCCAAGGTCACCCTGCTGACTTTCATGCCTAAGGCAGGATTAGAACTGTCAGTCTCTTGGTTTCTAAAACAGCAATTGAATTTTTGAAAAAAAATTATATACTTTTATAAATCACAATCAGAATTTACCAGCTGAGTTTGACTGAGAGCTGTTTGGCACTTTTGAACTTCACTCCCTGTGTTGCTTGCTGCTACTGCCTAAATAAAGCAGGAGCAAGTTTTGATAGTGCTATCAATTTGGACAAACATAAGCAAACTGGCAGCTTCTGCGTCTTTACTGGAGTTGGGGGTTTTCTGGAACGCTGACATACACATTTATTTTTTTAAAAAATGTGTCCCATCCCCTGGAATCATAATCCACATTTTGAAATCTTTGGCTTAGAGCTACCACATCTGGCCCTCAAATGTCTCGGAGTGTCAAACCTGAGTGCCGTATTGGGATGTTTTTTTGCCTTTGTGGAGTCGGGGTGGGCAGCTGCCAGTTTGACTGGCCTTGCTCTAGGATAACCCCTAGAACACAGGAGTTTTTTGTACTGTCATTTCTTTTTCAGATTTTTACAAACTAGATCTGGTAGCCAAGCAGCTTCCTATTCAAATATTAACCAGGCTAATACCCTCCCCAGTTTCCCTTTTTCTATATTTTTCTATTTGTTGTAATCTTTATAATAATACATATAATAATATACTGAAGGGCAAAAAAATCATTAGTAAATCTATCCTGCCCCTGCCTATAATCCATCCCTCACCATCAGCCAGAAACACACAATATATATATGTTATCACCAGAATATTTAATTGCTCTTGTGTACGGATATATACCGTGTTTCCCCGAAAATAAGACTTTGTCTTATATTTTTTGAACCCTGAAATAAGCACTTGGCCTTATTGCCATGCACTCAAAAGCCCGATTGGGCTTATTATCAGGGGATGTCTTATTTTGGGGGGAACAGGGTATGTCAAAAATTCTTTAAGATTGAAAAATTCTTTGAATATTACTATTTAAATTGGCACCCTTTTTGAATGCCTCAGAGATTCTTTTCCAGAAACTAATGTGAAGACGAGAAACATTTACTTTTTTATTTAGAACAGACAAAAGCTGGCTAATTATGCAAACACCTGTCTATTCCATCTTCTTAGTATCTCTATATTAGTCACAGCATTAGCAACACCCTGTGGCTGCCAGTGTGGTTGCTGTACTTATACCTGAAGAAATCGGCTTCAGTGGATGAAGATTGCAATATGGATGAGAACTTTTAGTCAGAACTCCTAAGAAGACATGTAAAGTCCAAATTATGTTGAAAGCATTTTTTCAGCCTCAGCTGATAGATTGACTCAGTACATTGCCCCCGATGAACAGGATAAGAGGGAGACAGACACATGTATCCTCTTCATATCTTCAGAATTGCATGCCTGAAAATTGTTCTAATATATATAGCTAAATTAAGTAGCATATTCAAGCCCAAAGTTTCCTACTACCAAATATTTAATCAGTTTTGAGCATTATAAGAAACATCACTATCCTCATTCCAGCGTTTCTCAGCCCTTTTCTTTCTGTTCCTTTCAGCCATTACAATGGCAGCTACCACAGTTACAAAGACCGTAAAAGTTATAACAAGAACAGTCACTGTCTCAGCAGTACAAAGCTCCGTATCTACAGCTGACAGAGGCAGGTTTCTCAACAGATGGGGCTCCATGCATGTCATGTTATAATAATCATCCAAGATCAGTCTCCTAACACTGTGCAGTTTTGCAAAAACTCTCTGAAGATCACAGTCACAGAACCATGGATTGTCTGAGAGTAAGATGTGAGTTCCAGGGGTTTGCAAAGATAATAATGTTTTGAATTTAATATGCTCAATTTTATTGTGGATCAAGTTAAGTGTTGTAAGGTGGCTTAATGGAATAAAGGCTCCGGGAGCAATAGTTTTTATCATATTGCCCTCCAAATTCAGGATCTCTAAGAGTTGCAGCATAGAAAATAATCTACTATGTAGGACATGAAGGCAATTGTTCTGAAGGTAAAGTTGCCTCAAGGACGTAAGACTGCGGAAAGTCCCCATTTCTATGGAGGAAATGTTGTTATTTTGCAAATTCAGCTTCTGAAGGTTTTCAAAGTATTGAAAACTCTTGTACTGTAGCTCCTGCAATTTATTGTAGGCCAAAATAAGTTCATGGAGAGAAATAAGACCCACTGAAAAACTGTTGCCAAGAAATGATATATCATTTCTACCAATATCAAGCTTGTGGAGCCTGCCCAATGAAATGAACGTTCTTTCAACTTTGTGAATGGAGTTGCTGCTCAAAAGGAGAACCTGCAACTTCCACAGGGAATTTAGAGATTTCCAAGGAATAAAATACAAGTTGTTTTGAGAAAGGTCCAAGTGTTCTGCATCAGGGGGAAATGTTAGATTGGACACCAGAGCATGAACTCCTGAGCAGTTCACAAACATTGTCCCTTCTTTGCAAAAACAGATTTTCTTGCAGGCTTGGTAGATTTTAGAATCACTGTGTGAAAGAGCAAACCAGAGCCAGACTAAGCAATGGAAATACATTTTCTGCCTTATTCTGTGCTTTTGTTGATTCCTGTTGAGTAATACAAATAAAATATATATTTTAGAAAAAGTTGCATAATGCATAATTACATTTTAACTACAGGTAGTCCTCGACTTACAACCACAATTGAGCTCAAAATTTATGTTAAGTGAGAAATTTGTTAAGTGAATTTTGCCCCATTTTATGACTTCTTGCCACATTTGTTAAGTGAATCACTGCAGTTGTGTTAAATTGGAAACATGGTTAATCCAGCTTCCCCATTGACTTTGCTTATCAAAAGGTCACAAAAAGGGACCCCAGGACACTGCAATGAATATGAACCAGTTACCAAGCCACTGAATTTTGAACATGTTATCATGGGGATGCTACAACAGTCATAAGTGTGAAAAATGGTCATGTCGCTTTTTTCAGTGCTATTGTAACTTTGAACAGTCATTAAGTGATCTGTTGTAAATTGAAGACTACCTGTATCATCATGAGACAAAGTTGTTATCTCATTGACATGTTTCCCGTATACTTAATAAATTGCCAGGTTGTCAAGTTCTCAGCAGTTTCCACAGATTTTGAGTTACAGTTTAGTTACATTGTTATTGGCTGTCTGCATGTTAAGGCTCTTCAGCACATAACATGGTAGATTTAAGTAAGAATCTATTACTTATAATGAATACACAACTAAAATGATTGATTATCCAAGGGAGCAGTTGTTTTGAGTTCCCATTGCTCCCAATGACACTAACAATCAAGATACCATCTGACAGAAGATTCAAAATAGGTATGTTCCTTCTGCATTTAGGATAAAACAGATTTTGTTTCATCTGCATACCTACATTTTAATGCAAATGTTGATAACTTGATAAGTTTGGGATAAATCTTTTAAAAAGCACAATGGATATTAGTGTAACTATTTTTTCTGTATTTTTGATAAGAGAATAGGCTACCCACTTATAAGCAGAAAGAAATGAAATATGAATCAAGGAAGAGAGGTTTGACCTTATATTTCCTTTAATTAAAAATTAATCATTTAAGCGACAGTTAAGTAGTAAAAATTAACTTTACTCAGTTAATGTTTAATGGATATTCACTTTAATGCTTTATCATAGGGCACTGATGGTGAACCGTTTTGGCACCGAGTGCCCAAAACTGGAACGTATATGCACCAGCCGGCTGATCTTCATACGAGCCGGAGCACTGGAAACCGGCACGCACAAAGAGCAGCTGGCGCATGCGTGCCCACAGAGAGGGGTGTGAGTGCCACCTCTGGTATCCGTGCCATAGGTTCGCCATCACGGTCATAGGGATTATGACAATTTAAATTAAGATTTTTATTTCAGAATTCTTATTTTGTAGGACATTTCTGACTTAGAACATTTCTATATTGTTTCAATCAATAGATTCCCAAGGTGGTACAAAAGTTTAATAGTTTAAGAAGTTTAAAATACTTAGACATACAATATACCATTTACCAATTGGCAAACTATGAAAAGCTTATTTAATCCCTTGGAAAAGATGCTTATAAATAAGATGCCGGTCTACTTAATGGTGGAGGGTGGAGAGCTAGAGTTGTATATGATGTAAGGAACAGCTTCATCTTAAACAAGGCAGACCTTGAGATAATTTCACTTGATGAAGAGTGTGGGTTTTCTTTTCCTGATATGCACTGAAATTCTTTAAAACATTGAAAAGATTTCATTAAAAGATGAATTAGATGATTTTGCTTGAAAGGACATCACTTCAAACCCAAGATATTTATATTCTTTATCTTTAATTGATAAAGATGCCTCATATTGAAAAATAGGAGTGGGCAACTTCCATTCCTATTACAGCTTCCAAATGTTTGCTTTGTAATGTAGCACCCATAATATACTGATAATTATTGTAAACATGGCTTATCATTTTGAGATGGAAAATATGGAAACCAGTATTGAGCTATAGAAGAGGCTCCTGAAGACCTTATTCTCATTTTATTATAAACACAGTTATTTTGAAATAACCCTAAATTTGTTTTAACTGAGACTGCTTTGACAAAGATCCACCATATATTAATTGTGTATCATCTCCCAGTGATGAAGTGTAGTAAATTATTTGAGTATTTTTAATGCATGAAATGTGAGAGTAAACTGTCATAGCACTTGTGTATGAATGGAGAAATCTAAATAGTTCCATTTTTTCCATGTTCCAAAATTATCCATGTTAAATTGAAAAAAAAAATTAAGTTTTCAATCATTATAGAACAACATAAAGATTGTACTAACAAAAATGTCTTCCAACTCCTCACCTGGAACAGCACAAATGAAAAGATACTTTTCTATTATTTTTCATTGGTCTGCCTTTTCAGCAACTTTCACTATTTGTCATATCCAACAGTAGCAAAAGCAGTCTTACCTTTGTTGCTGCCCGAGACGCCCATAAAGTGCATGTTTCAAATGTCTTTCAAAGGATAGTGGCTGGTGGAAAAAGTATAGAGCTGAAAGGATTGGTTGTCATTGTGCTAAGGCAGACTAGTTGAAGTGTGTGTGTCTGCAGAAGCATCAGGTTAAAAAGAAAAGTTAATAATTTAAACAGCTGCAAATGAACATTTATGCCTACCTCCTGCTTCTTTTAGTAAATACTGATACTCAAATCACCTTGTAAGAGTGTGGAAATATAGCAGTACACGTTCCTTGTAATATATTGTGCTCTCTCCTATAATACACTGAAAGTTGATATGGGTGCATATTTTAAATAGTTACCCATATATGTATTGGCAAGGTATCTCAATAGACGTGTGAAGCAAGTGATGGAATAGTAAAAACATTGATTTCTACTAAGGTATTTTTGCAATAATACTGTATGTTATAGCATGCTTCCCCTTAAAACATGGGTTTACTAGAATGTATTGTATTTGTAGTCTCCAAACCCCATCAACCCATGACATTAAAATAAACAAGACTGCGTATTCTTGACTTTGATTTTATTCTTGAATATATTCTCCACCTCAGCCCTTTGACTGTATTCTTGAATATACATTCTCAACTTCAGCCCCTAAGTAATGCTAAAAGTTTGTTCTTTACTTATTTTAATATATCAACTAAAATTAACAGTTCACATTATTAATGCAAAGCTTGCAGCATAATTGCTTCAGGTCACAGCTACCTTGTGTATTGCTAAAAATTGATATTGAACCTTTCTTTAGCATACAGCAACTAAAGTCTTTTAACATATAGCAGTTTAGCAACCTAACCAAAGGCGATCTGCAATTTTAATCTCTGGTTTAAAACCTTCCACAGGATGCTTGCCCACTACACCACCAAGCTTGAAGGAAATGCAAAACAAGCAATTTGTCAAGATTGAACTGCTTTGCTTCTTTCAAACCTTCTCACTATTCAACTTGCCAATGAACTGGGGGGAGGGAAGGATGGAATGGAGTGCTGAGAATTTGTGCATGGATCAAGAGAGCCTGGAAGCCATCATGGTCACCACTGCAGGTGTTTGAGAAGAGCTGGACTGTTCCCAAAAAGACGTCTCATAATTGAACAATATGATCACCCAAGGGTGGAGAGAAAGGGAAGCTTTTGTTTAACTAGGCAAGCATTTGCACAGAAAAACTAGAACTGGTTTTGATTCTTCAGTACCAAAATGCTGTTATCTAATAAAGTTTTACTTTTGGAAATTCAAAACTCCCGAGATTGTTTGTTTTGGGTTTGCTAGTCGAACAGTTGACATAATTGGCATATTCTTCCAGCTTTTCCAAGATAATCTTGTCCCATTCTTGTCATATGCTACAATAGCCTATTGTAAATATCCAAAATATAACCTATAATTGATTTTAAATCAGTGATGTAAGATAATCCTTTTCTCAGTATATGATTGAAGTTTGTATGGAATGTCCAGGTAAGCTAAAGTTTTCTTCCATTAGTACAATATATACAGGTTTTGTTAGTTTAACCCATAATACGTATGAAAGGATATAAGTCAGAGTTGTCAGCGAGTCCAGAGGTCAGAGTTTCATTGGCAGAATCCACATAAATGTCACTTGAGTTAGAGATCAAACCAGGGATGAAATCTACAAATTTTTGCTACCGGTTCTGTGGGCATGGCTTAATTAGTGGGTGGGACTTGGTGGTAAGGTGACTGGGTGGGCGTAGCCAAGTCAATGTCACTTCTTTGCCCTTTTTTAACCTACAAAACACAACACAACACAACTGGCTCACCCATAATGTAAAAGCAGCTGTGCTAGACTCAAAATGGCCCCGCAACGAGCAGGAACCTCACACAGCCACAAAAAGCCCAAAAAAACAACTTTTACACTTTACACACACACACAACACAACTGGCTCACCCACAATGTAAAAGCAGCTGTGCTAGCCCCAAAATGGCCCCTGCAACAAGCAGGAACCTCACACAGCCACAAAAAGCCCCCAAAACCAACTTTCACACTTTACACACACACAACACAACACAACAGGCTCACCCACAATGTAAAAGCAGCTGTGCTAGCCCCAAAATGGCCCCTGCAACAAGCAGGAACCTCACACAGCCACAAAAAGCCCAAAAAAACCAACTTTCACACTTTACACACACAAAATTCCACATACAGCTTTGTGAGATTTTGTGTTTGTGTAGTTAGTGAAACACTACAGAAACACACTAAATCTCAGAAAGCTGCACAAATATTATCTTATTTTAATTTATTTTTATTTTTATATAAAACCAGCTAAATTTAAAACTTCCTAAACTTTAAATGGCTAGGTCTAAAAAAAAGAACAACTAAAAAAAACTCCAATTAACTATTTTTTTTAAAGCTCCCAAAGGGGAAAAAAACTTACCCAATAGAACAGGGGTCTCCAACCTTGGCAACTTTAAGACTTGTGGACTTCAACTCCCAGAATTCTTCAACCAGCTTTGCTGGGAGTTGAAGTCCACAAGTCTAGGCAGGCAGAAAGAGCTGCTCACCGATGAGCTTGATTGCAGGCAGGGATATTGTTGCTTGCTGATGCATGGATTGCGATCGTCATGAGATCAGCAGCTAAGGTAAGCAAGCTGGAGGCTGGAGTGGGGGTGAGAAAAAAAGAAACTTTTTTTCTTTTACATGGCTCTGGCGATCCAAGCTGAGTTGCCTGGTTAGCAGGCAACTCAACTGGGATGTCAGAGCTTGGCTGGTCAGAGCCATTTAAAAGGAAAAAAGGCTCTGATGATCCCGGGGCTCAGCTGGGCATGGGGGGCGGGGGCAGGGATTTTTGCTACCGGTTCTCCGAACTGCCCGCCGCCATCACTACCTACTCGCCCGAGCCGGTCCGAAACCAGGAGCATTTCACCCCTGGATCAAACCCTTGTTTCCAGCAAAGGAACTTGTGTCAGAGCTGCCTCTTAAATCAGGCTGCAGGCAGCTGTCACTAATTAAGAGAATTACTCCCTTGCTTGGCAAGGAGTTTCATAGAAGTCTCTTGTTCTGCTTTTCTCCTTACTGACAGGGTGCAGACTTTACGTCCTCCTCTGACTGTTCCAGCTATTCAAGTGGTGCATGTTTTTGGACAGCTTCGTGCAATTAATTCCTGGATACTATCATTCCACAGGTTCAGCTCAAACAGGATCTTCGTAATTGGATGCATAGTCTGAGTCCTGGGCCATGACATACCAGCAAGTTTTAGTTGAATCCTACAAATTTGGTGTACTTCAAAATATCTCTGTTTCTGCTATATGCATATAATTATGGGTTTGATCTACATGTATTGGTAGTACAATTGAATTTATAGAAACAGCTATTTTTAAAAGTTAGAGCTAAGTGAGTATTACAAACTTATATTAATGTTTATACTGCTTGAACTTGTTTAGTTATCTAAGTATTGCTATATAATGGATTTCAAACCCTTTCTCACCAGGTAAAATCTCTCCCCCCCCCAACAAAAGGTGTTTCTGAGAAATCAAAAAGAAATTTATTTCCTTGGATCAAGGAGTGAGACTATTGACGGTAAATGTCAATGGCCTCAATGCTCCGACAAAGAGAAGACGTATACTAACCAAAATTGTTAAAGCCAAAGTGGATATAATATGTATGCAAGAAACGCATATTAAATTATCACAAGCTAATTTATTGAAATGCCCTAAAGCAGGGAAACTGTTTGTAGCGGCTCCAGAGGAGAGAAAGAAAGGAGTAGCAATGTATGTAAAGGAACATCTCTCGCCGAAACAACTATTCGCAGACGAAGAGGGAAGAATATTAATATTAGAGGTGGAATTACTACAGCAAAGTATTATTGATATGAATTTACGCCCTGAATACTAAACACAAATCATTCTTCCGAAGAATACGAAGAGAAATCCGAGACTTGGAATTCGAGCAGGTATGTCTTCTGGGCGACTTTAATGCAATTATTAATAGGACAAAGGATTACAAAACAGGGGAAAACTAAAAAAAAAAAAGAAAGAAAGAAAAGAAACAGAGGACAAGATAAGATCTTACCAGCCATTTGTAATGAAATGAGAGATGAATTAGGATTGAAAGATACCTGGCGCGAGCACAATCCGATAAGTGAACAATTCACTTATTATTCTCCCAGGCACAAATCGTGGTCCAGGTTGGACATGATTTCGATGTCACAAGAACTTAATTCTCAAGTGGCAGAGGTCAGAATTATGCCGAATGACTGGGCGGATCATAACCCAGTATTAGCCGTATTAAAGAAAGAGGGGAAAAATAGAAAGAGATGGATAATGAGATCAGAGATTTTAAAAGAAACCGAATTTATACAAAAGCTCAAGATAGAAATATCCCTTTTCTTTCAAGAAAACAAAACACCAGGAATGCCACTTCAAATAATTTGGGATACTGCCAAAGCTTTTATAAGAGGTCTTAAACACACGACCATTAAACACAAAAAAGAAAAACAAGAAAGGGGTGAGTTAACAAGTAAATTAATAAAAGCCGAGGAACAACTACAAAATAATCCACTATCCATAGGAGCAAAAGAACAGATAGCACTCCTAAAACACCAGCTTAATCTCTTGGAGCTGGATAAATTGAAAGATAAGATAAAGGCAGCAAAGCAAAAACACTTTGAATCAGCTAATAAATTAGGAAGATAGCTCACATTTAGATTAAAAAAGGAAAAACAGAATAGACGAATTGATCAATTAGAAGACAAGGAAGGAAATTTAATAAAAGACAAAAAAGGGAAAGAAAAAATTGCAGTGGATTTTTACAAAGAATTATATAAAAGAGAGGAGATCATAACAGGTGCGATAAAAAATTATATAGAGAACTCGGACTTACCCAAGATACCCAACTTAAAGAGAAAATTACCTTAGCTGAGATTGAAAAAGCAGTGAAGAAACAGGGAAATTTGAAAACGCCTGGCACAGACGGACTTCCAGCTGAGTTATATAAAACAATGTTTGAGGTAATGGGAGAGCATATGAAAGATTTATTTAATGAAGTCCTGGGAAAAGCAGAAATTCCCCACTCATGGAGGGAGGCCAATATCAGTTTAATTCCTAAAGAGGAAAAATTTTCACCACAATTCTAGCAACAGATTAAAAGGCTTCCTGAATGAATTTATACATAATGACCAAAATGGATTTCTACCATCACGACAATTACAAGATAATTTAAGAGTCACGCTAAATGTATTGGAATATTACGAAGATCACCCAGGCAAACAGGTCGCACTAGTTTTTATAGACGCCCAGAAGGCATTTGACAGAGTCAATTGGGAGTTTATATTATTACAGTTAGAACACATGGGCTTTGGACAGAGATTTATAAACGCAATTAAAGCTATCTATTCCAAACAAACGGCCAGACTACTGATAAATGGGGACCTGACAGAAGAATTCCCTATTGGTAAAGGCACAAGACAGGGCTGTCCTTTATCCCCTTTACTTTTTATCTTATCACTAGAAACATTATTGTGTAAAATAAGGAATGAAGAAAGAATAAAAGGCCTTATAATTGGACAACAGGTATATAAAACCCAGGCCTTCGCAGACGATATGGTTTTTATCTTGGAAGAGCCCATAGAATCTTGTTTATATTCAATAGAGACAATTGAGGAATTTGGGGCGGTAGCAGGTTTATTAATCAACAAAAAGAAAACAAATATATTAATTAAGAATATCTTAGAGGAAGCTAAGAAGGGCTTACAGGAAGTGACTGGATTAAAAGTAGTTAACAAAATTAAATATTTGGGAAGTTGGCTAATTGGCAGATGTTCGAGCATACAAGAAGACAATTATAATAAATTATTAATTCAAACAAGAAAAGATTTAGATAAATGGGGTAAAATACAACTCTCACTTCTAGGACGAGTAATAACAGTAAAATCCTACGTTCTACTGAAGTTCAACTTTTTGTTTCAAACCGCCCCAGTGAATTTATCCAAAAAGTTTTTCATGGAGTTAAACCAAATAATAACTAAATTTATCTGGCAGGGGAAAAAGCCAACGATTAAAAAAAGATGATGCAAGAGATAAAAGAAAGAGAGGCCTGGGCCTACCATGTTGGGAGAACTACTACTCAGCTTCTCTGTTAGCCTGGGTAAAAGAATGGATTACTTTAGGTAATAGTCGTCTTCTTAAAATAGAAGGTTACGACCTACAACAGGGTTGGCATATGGCACTTTGGAGAGATAATACTACACAAAGCAAATGGTTCACCCGACATTACATAAGAAATATTTTAAATATTTTAAATTTTCGAATTAAATATTTTAACTCGAAACTAATCAAAATCAGGACTGAAAGTTCAAACATCTCACCCTGCAGGAGGCTGGCTTAGAGAAAAGGGCTGACAAATTAATTGGAGGGCTAAAATCATCTCATTGAATTCATAGCATGACACTGAAAAGCAATCGTTAATGTAAGACAGACTAACGCCATATACAAGACTGGGAAAGTATCTTGTGATTTCCAGTCACACGTTCACTTGCAATGAAAGAAGCTGGTATTATAGCACAAGTAGGACCTCTATTCTAGATTAATTAATCTTACTGTTTTTGAAAATGTGGATGAATTAGCAACTACAATCATAAAGAAGTAAAATCATTCTAAGTATTAGAAATATATTTTGAATAAGAGTCTGTGCAATTAATCAGTTGAACATTTTTAATAAAAACATACATTGGTACTTAGCATTAATAATATAAAAACGGAAAGCTGTAGTTGTAAGCTTCCCAGTAATTTTGATTAAAAAAACCTGAGGATTGTTTTATATGAAATATCAGTGTAAAAAGCACATTCAAACACAAAGTTTTTTTTTTTTTATAAAAGCTGATGCAAAATTTATCACACAGAGATCTCTTTATTCAAATGCACATCCATGTTGAAAGATCCGCAGGGTATAACACTAGTAAGCTGTTCACTGGTGAGTAAAGCAGTGACGAAAGAACTCTGGTTCATATTCAAGGCTGGTTCTCACTACATTTAACTCTTTTCTTGTGCAGCTTGTCCTAAATTCATACAAATTTAAATTAAATTTGTTATTCCACAAACTTTTGGAAATAGATATATTACAATTTTAAAATAATATATTTTAAATGGGATTTGAATTAAACAGTATGGAAAATCTAACTTATAATTAAAAGTGAATCTGATGCTATACAAAATATATTGACATATTGCTATTTAAATAAAGTATAAAAGAACATATTGTGGTCTAATTTGCACATAACAGTGAGACATAATTCTTCCCACTCCAATAAGTCTAGTTGTACATGTTGCTTCTGCATTCTAATTAGCTACTGCAACCAATCAATTTTAGCTTCAGGCTTTGCCTTAACAAGCCAGGAGTTCTTAAACTGTCCATGGTTTGTATAGATTTAGATCCTAGAGTTAACATTTGGGGTTCAGCAGCATTTTGATTTTTTTTAAAATATATGACTCAAGAAAGCAAACTACATTAAGGCATTTTGTTCTTGAAGTTTCTACTGCTAACTAATTCCTAAATGTAAGGTTGAGCTTCTAGAAAATTATGCTTGTAGCTGTAGCTGACCAAAAATGTATATAATTGCACTTAAAGTAGCATAAAAGAACAAGCTTTTTGTTCTGCTCTTAAACTAAAGTGAATTACTGATATTGTGATATTACTTAGGTACATAGGAATATATACACTTAATGACTGTAATTGGGATTGGAATTTCCATTACTTAGTGATGCAATCATTAGGCCAAATATCAATGTAACTACACCACTTAGCAACGATAAGTTTTGGCAATCCTGGTTGCAGTCATTAGGTCAGGACTTCACACTTCTTCTACCTTGCTGCACTCACCTCTGCCTGAACTCCCGCCCATCCCCTATCACCCCTTTTTTAGTCACCCTGCAGTTACTTCTGTGTTGCCTCTACCAGTTGACTTCCCTGTCTTCTTCCTCCTGCTGCTGATAAGGTGCCTCCAGCCTGGCCCTTCGTGGGGCCTAGGAGTTTTCATCTTGTACCTTTGGCCGCCCCTCCTTCTCCTCCAGGGTTCCTCCCTTGGGCGATTCTCCACTGACTATTCTCCTCGGCTCCACCCATTCGCACTGGGCAATGGGGGCACGTTCCCTCCATCCCACACGCTTTGGCACGGCCCATTCACAGAAGGAGGGTTTGGCCTGGGTTTTCGACGCTCGGGACAGTTAGTCACCAAGCAGCCATAAGCCACAGTGGTGGCGTTTGGGAGAAGGGCTCCAGCCAAATGGAAAGCAAAACACTTGTTAGGAGAAGTAATGGGAGGGGGTAGGGGGTAGAAACTCCTGATAAAGAACAGTAAGGGAAGAGCGGGGGTGAGGGGGGAAAGGGAGGGAGAGAAAAAGGAGAGGAAGGAAGGACCATAAACCCTGGCACTAGATGCAGCTTCAGAGGATGCTTTGAAACAGCACAGCAATCCAAGGCTGGAAGGGACCTTAGAGATAATCTAGTCCAACCCCCTGCTCCAGCAGGAGACTTTATATACATCAATACACACACACCTTGAGGGAACTGTCCCAGGCATCGAAAAACCCAGGACAAACCCTCCTTCTGTGAATGGGCCATGCTGAAGTGTGTGGGATGGAGGGGACGTGCCACATTGACCAGGGTGAATGGATGGAGCCGAGGAGAATAGTCAGCAGAGAATCGCCCAAGGGAGGAACCCTGGAGGAGAAGGAGGGGCGGCCAAAGGTACGAGACGAAAAGTCCCATTCCGCCCTTCGTGTGCTGATCACACACAGCATTCCCAAGGCCTTGATGGCAAAGGTCAACTGGGGACAGCATGGGCAACTGAGCTGAGGACAGCCAAAAGAGCAAAGATTGGGGGGGGGGGGAGAGAGAGAAATAGGTGGGTTGGGTAAGTTGAAGTATACCCTGTGATCATGAATGTGGGCAGGCTGCCAAGTGCCTACATTTTGATCATGAGACCACAGGTGGTCAACCAATCATTCAGTACTGTCATAACTTTCAACAGTTGCTGACTGAATAGTAATTAAGCAAGGAGTACTGTTTCATGGCGAAAATCTGTACTAGTTTCTCCCAAACTTGGTTGAATAATTTGACTGGAATTTGCCTGTCATGCAGACAGAAGAGCTTTTACATGTTCTCCAGAAGATAAAGGAGAATAGGAAATCATTGAATGAAACTTCTATGGTGTTCACACCAAACTCAGTAAACCGAATCTAGTTTAAGATTGGACTTTATGTCAATACTAAGATTATCAAGTATGAGTTAAAACAGGTTAAGGCTTTGATTCAGAAATTATCAATATGAAGTTACCTGGCAGAAGAATTCCTAGTCTTTCCTGAACGGCCTCCAAGTGTGCAATGTATTCAGTTAATGAATCTTCAGGATCTTTGGATGAAGTTTGTGAAATAAAACTAGTAGACCTGTAAAACAGAAGCAATTATACTTTTCCTTTAAAAATATTACATATCTTAGAAAATATATAAGTAGAAAAATACAAAAGGATGTGTTAAGAGACTTACAACTGTCATAGAAAACGGACATTTTCCTTATTTATGTACATGCCTTTGAGTCTGATGTCTCCTGGCAACTGTCTGCAAAACCCTGAAATTTTCTTTGCAAATTTTTTTGGAAGTGGTTTTGACATTGCCTGCTCTCATTTCTAGGACTGATAGTGTGACTAGCTCAAGGTCACCTAGCTAGCTTTGTGCTTACACCAGAACTCATGATCTCCTGATTTCTAACCTGAGACATTAATTGGTACAGCAAACTGGCCACACTAAACTTTTTGGTATATGAATTGTGAACAGGGTGGATTTGATTTAAATCAAGTTGATTTAAATCACAATTTAAATCATGTAAAAAGGCTTGATTTAAATCAACTCGATTTAAATCATAATTTTTAAACTGTCATCTCTGCTACTCCTTTGACCCACTGTTGACTCACTGATAGTCCTAGTGTTGCAGAATATACAGCCTCATGCTACATAACTAAGCTCCATTTCATGATGAATAAACTAAATTATTTATGTATCTTAAATAGAAAACTATCTTACGATAGATTTTTACCCCAAAGTTTTTTATTAAAATAAATTCGATAAAAATAAAAAAAATCCGGGGCTTCCGGTCTGGCTTCCGTCGCCGCCAGACGGTCCTTTGAGACCGCCAGCCCCGTTGCCCGTAAAGAGCCGCCTTTACACCTGAAAGGCGGCTCGAAAAACTCCGTTTCCGTAAGGAAACGTGAGACAAAGCCGGCGAGGGCAGGTAGAGCCCTCTGCGAAGTCCCCAGAGTTCTTTTTTACCTCTGGGGAGGAAGCAGTATGAGGCTCCCTATTCTCACCGCTGCTCCGGGCTTCGGGCGAACTCTGCGCTTTGCAGAGCCAGGCGATGGGACCAGACCAACCAACGAAAACTAACAGATTTTCTGAATAAGAAGGATGAAATCTGGACCTGGGACCCTAAATTGCAAGTACTTCTAACAACCCTAAGACTGACTTTAAAAGCAAAGAAGAGTGGAAGGGGGGAAAAAAGAAAGTTTAAAATGGTGACTGGCTGAGGCTTGAGAAGAGCTGAAAGCGAAAGTACTTCCGTTTGACTAGTTTAATATGTTATAAAGTAACTGAGATAACAGTGCTGGCTAGAAGTGAAGAGAAAAATTCTTATTTCATGCTTCTTCCTTCTTAGAGGCTTGATATTGATATTGTTTGGAGAGAAGTCTTCTTCTTTAAAGGGGAAAAAAGAAAAAAAAATCTGCTTGTGTGGCAGGATGGCGTTAAAACTCACAAAGCCAGACAACCAAGCTGTGGGGGGGGGGCCTCCCCCATTCATAAACCACATGAACAAGTTTTGAGTTTGCAGATGCAGAGGAATGGCTTTAAAGATCTAACGCAATTTGTATTGGAGGAGATGGCAAGACATGATGAGATTGTGAACCAGAACCTTGAAAAATTTAGACAGGAAATTAAAGAGTTGGTTCAACAAAAGTATGATAAATTCAAGCAACATATGATAAGTTTCTTAGATGCAATGATAAAGATGGATGAAAAGTTTAATTCAGAAATAGAGTCTAATATGAAGGAAGTTGATTACAAGATTCATAATTTGGATAATAAAATACAAAGAATTGAAAATGATTTAACAATGATTCAAGAAAATAGCTCAGAAGTAGAGCTAAAAATAAAGGAAGCTGACTACAAGACTTACAATGCAGATAATATAAAACAAAGGATTGAAAATGAAGTCATAATGATGCAATTCAGATTTATGGAATTTGCGGTCAAAATTAGGGGAATACAGGAAGATAAAAGAGAAGATTTGAGAAAGATGTCTGCTGAAGTTCTGGCTGGGATTTTAAAGGTTAGTCCTGAAGAGGTATCCTGTAAGATTGATAAGGCCTACAGAGCAAATTCTTGGGTGGCAAAGCAAAGGCAGTTGCCTAGAGATGTGGTGATTTACTTTACTGATAAAGGAATAAGAAATGATATTGTGCAAAAGTCTTTTAACTCCACTCTTGAAAGGTATGGAAGGAAGATTTGGATATTTAAAGAGCTACCGCCCAAGATGCTAAAAGATAAGATAGGATTTTGGTTTTTTGGTGACTGAGCTAAAGAAACAAAACATCCCATTTAGGTGGGATGCTCCAGTTGGAATAATATTGAGATATCAAGGAGAAAGATACCAACTAAATACTGTTGAAAAAGCGGAAGAATTTTATTATAAGGTTCTTAAAATGGACTCAACATCTCCATGTATAACACACGAGGGGAATAAAGAAAAGCAAAATCAACAAGAGATTGAAACCCAGGCTAAGCAGATGGAGGCGGAGGTAATGGAAAAACAACAAGTTAGAGGCTTTTGTGGACGAGCCGCTTATGGATTCTCCTTCAGAGGTTGTAGTTGGATTACCTATAAATACAAGAGAGGCGGCTTTGGATTCTAATGTGATGACTTATCAAGTTACAGACCAGCATGGAAATCAATCAGTTGATATACAACTCCTAGAAAGGCAACCAGGATGGAGATCTAAGCCACAAAAAGTTAAGAAAAGAAGAAGCAGGTCCTACAAAAATAAAAATTTTTAGACTAAACAACAGTGTAATGCCAGTTACTTAAGAGACGATTAAAAACATGAAAATATAGCTGAGGCAAAGTATTGGTTTATACTATCTTGAGGAGAGTGACAGATCTCTGCAGTGCTGTGTTTCTGGGATGTGGAAGATGGCCTTTAACTGAGTGGATTGGAACTTTCTATTTTGGACTCTTTGACAAATGGATTATGTTTATGCTGAGCTATAAGGCAAAGAGAACTATGGGACTGGGGCATGCAGAAGATCTGGTTGTTATCCTAATACGGTGGTTGGAATTAATAATCTAGATGAAAGACATTACAGAAGACACTATATGGAATATAAATATTAAGTCACTCGGGTGGTTTTTTATATACGAAAACATTTATTATTGATGGGAGCAGATGGTAATTGAAGATACTGAACATACTGTTGGAACTAGAATTTGATGTTACCCTAACATGGGTGATGGAATTAACAATCCAGCTGAAAGATATTACAGAAGATACCATATGGATTACAAGCTTAAAGTCATTTGAGGATTTTATCTATATATGGAAATATTTTTTAGTGGTGTGGGCAGAAGAACAAAGATATTGAAAATATTATGTATGGTAGACCTGCAGGAAAGTGGGTGGAGATAGGCTAGCTTACTGATTGTTTAGTTTAGGAAAAGGGATGTTATGTTATATTAATATACATAAAAGATTTGAATTAAGAGATATATGTATGGGGGAGGAGGAAATGGATAGATTATGAGTTGAAATTGCCAAATTAGGATTTATTATATAATTTTATAGTTGAATGTTGCTTTGAAATGTATAGTATAAGGGGGATATAATAATATTGTTAGAAAGAAAGGGTCATCTTATGGGGGGTGGAGTAAAAAGGATGGTAAAGTATTATATAATTTGTTATTAATTTGGGTTTTATTCTGGAGAAGCCACAGGGGGAGGGGAGGGGGAGGGGGGGTTAGGGAGGAGGGGGGAAAAAAGGGGGAAAATCTGTATTTGAAAAACTTTTTCAATAAAAAATAAATAAATAAAATCCGATTTAAATAAAAAAAATCCGATTTAAATTTAAAAAATCCGATTTTTTTTATTTTTTAAAAAAAATTGTTGATTTTTATCCACCCTGATTGTGAATAATGGTATATATTATATCAAGAACCATGATAAATACATATGAGTCACAAAATGAAAACTATGAAGTACAATAAAATATGTCCATAGTACTAAAAGTCCGTTCTAATTTTAAAATCCTGTGAAATTCAAATATTGACTTTAGGCAGATAGAAACTCAAATTCTGGATGTTTTATAAATCCACGTACAAATCTATGAACTGGGGTTAAGGTTAGGGTTTAGGAATAGGTTACAATTTGAATTAAATTGTGTTGTCAGATTATTCTTAAAATATGAAATTATTTTAGACATTGAAGCATAGTCCTACAATGTAGTTCTTTGTCCATAGATCTAATGTTTTAATAAAATTTATTATCTCTGTAGCAAATAGTTAATTTAGCATATTTTGATGGAATACATGGTTTAGTAAACCTCAGTAAAAATATCACGGGTTGAAATGGGAACTGAACTTTTCAGATCTGTTTATCATCATTTTCCAAAATTGTTGAGCTTTGTAAAATTGCCAGTAAATATGAAAAAAATGATCTGACATTCTCCATTACATTTCCAGCTATTTTAAGCAAATGAACTATCCATTTTAGCAATCAGAACTAGAGTAACAGCAATACAACTTATACCAATTTTCTCCAAATATAATATTCTTTCCTTGAAATTCCCATTGCTGCTTATACTGGTAGATATATTACTGCATCTTAAATCCATTTAATTATACAGTCTTTGTATAAATCTTGACTTGTTTGATTTCTAAGTCAGATGCTTTGAGTTACATATTATAAGACTCAAATCCAATGCAGTACAAATCCAATTAAATCAGTAAGAGTTCCCCTTGTTCTCCATTCTTTTAATCCTGTACTACTGGTACTTGTCTGAAGACACTGAAACCAGTCCAGTGGACCAAGCCATTGTGAATTAAGAATCTCAATTTTTTAAAGAGGAATTGTCTTGGGCTGTATGTAAAATCTATAATATAATTAAAGTATATTAATCACATAATGTTAAAAGTTTACAATCTTGTGGGACTGCATCACTAGCTACCCAGAACAATATGAGGCTTGCAGTTTGTGAGGTGGACACACCTGATCTAAATTCATAATTTCTAGTAGATTTATGACCATTCATTCAGCAACCATTCAAAGTTACAGTAGTACTAAATGAAGGACTTGCTACTGATCCCACAAGTTCTAACCATTGCAGTCCCCCTGTCACATGATAAAAAATGTGGGTATCTGGCAGCCCACTCACATTTAGAACTGTAGAGAGGCTTTGCCTATCTCACCACATCTATGCCCTTTTGCCCCCTGTATTTCATGATCCTTTGTTGCCTTGCCTTCCAAAGCTTCGCCTCTCTCAAGCAGCTGTTGGCTGCACTAGGCTTTCTTCCCAAGGACACACAAGGTGGTTTCTTTGTGAGACTTGGGGAAAACATGGCCAGTAGCTTCCTTGGGAAGGACCATTCAATGCTGGACATACCTTGTCAGCAGCAAAATCAAAAAGACATGAAAGTCAGCTGGTGCAGCAGACCACATACAGTAGGTGCCCTGGACTGAAGGTGGTGAGAACAAATGAGGCTGCAGTTCTCCCAATGCAAGGGCTTGCTATGTGGAGAGCAGAGGTGAGCAAAAGTATTCTACAAGGCTCCTTCCGAGAAAGGAACCTCGTCCTTCCAAATGAACCCCAGGGTTGCTTCTATTTAAAAAGAGCAGTAAGCTCAAGCCCTTTTGTTGGAGGCAACAGTTTGAAATCTTGTGACTGATTCTGGACCTGGATAACAACCCTGCTATGAAATTTGGACTCTTGAACTTTTCCTGACCTCTCTTATGCCTATTGCTTTGGATTTGAACTCTCTCTCAAGGCAATCTTGCTAGACATTTGGGGAATTGATTTTGTTTGTGTGTGTTTATGTGTGAGATTTGCTATTACTATTTACTATTTCCTAGTAGTAAAATTTGCAATAGTAAAATTTGCAAACCTTTCTATGTGCTTGTGAGTATGTGGCCTAAGATAAAACAATGGCACTGTTTTCATGGAAGCCATGCTGCTACTTTTTAACAATTGCATGACTGAAATAAATTCTAGAAACTAAAAAAGAAATGTAATCAGTAAGATAGATAATATATGATAGAATAAAGATGGCTTTATTAAAGACAATCAAATTCATACCAATTACAAACATTTAAAAAGAAGACTTGTTTTCCTAGTTAAGTTTGATATGAAACTTTATTCATATTGTATGTACTTTTTATCAACAAGTACTTGAATCATACCATTGAAGCTATACCATTCATAAACATGGAAATAAAATAATTACATGTAGATAAAATAATTTTGATATAAATAAACAGATTTTATCTATAGAACTGAACAAGACTCTAGTTAAGCATAATATAAATATTTTTATAATATTGTTAGTAAAAATAATCCTGCAGAAGACACACATACACACATACAGTGAAGTAAGATCTGCACTAACCTGTTATGTAAATGGTGTAAGGATTTAACTGTGCAGCTTGCAAGTCTCATGAGATTATTTCTGTTGCAGTATTGACCGTCTGGAGCAGCGTAACTTGGGAAGGGCTGTTGCTGCTTTAGTACTTCTAAACTAGCTACAGGATCTGTTTTAAGCAATGTAAAATTTTAATCTGAATTGTGAAAATTTTAGGTTATAGCTGTTTCCTCACAAATGAAGAAAAATAAGCATGAATAATATAGTACATTCTATTGTGCAATAAACACTGTATGTATAGGTAGTCCTCAAGTTACGACCATAACAGATCCTGCCCATTGCAATCAGAAGGGCTGTTAAGCGAACCACCTCATTAACAACTGCCCCATCACTGCTCTCCCCAATGCATTTGTTAAATAAATGCATTAAGTGGAGCATGGGATGCCTTGTGGAGGGGAAGGCCCTGGAAGGCCTAATACAGAAACAAGTCCACCTGCTTTGGGCCTTCCAAGACTTCCCCCCACCCTGTGAGATACTTCCTATTTCCTTCCTGCCCACAGCCCTATGTGGCTCCTCTGTACTCCACCATCACAATCACACACTAATGTTTTGAGATCTTCAGAGCTCAAGGAGGTCAGGATAGGGAAGGAGAACAGGCTGCTCTGTTGCTGGGTCATGTGACATAATTGAGAAGAAATCCCGTCTTGAAAGGGAAAACCCTTTCATCATTGCTAGTCTTATCTATGCTACAGTGGTGGGTTTCACTTACCTTTGCTATTGGTTTGCTCGTGCGCGCGCCACTTCTGTGCATGCACAGAGCGTATTTGATGACATCTGGGTGGGTGGGCGGAGCCTCCCGCTACTACTGGTTTTCCTGAACCGGTAGCAACCCACCACTGGTATGCTAGCACTGGGGAACCTAAAACTGTCTAGGAATGAGAGGAAAATTGGCAGGATTCCTGTCCTCACTAGCATTAGCACAGGTAATGATGAGGTAGCTAACAATTTTGAAACTATTGACCATGGTATCCTTTGGGACTGATTTAGGGAATTGACAGCGTTGCACTTGTTCACCTCCTTTCTCCAGTCCCAGTCGGTGTTAACAGGAAGTGACAAGTCCAATTCACAGCCCCTTCTTTGTGAGGTGCCATGGGGTTCTCTCTAATCCTTTTTAACATCCACACCAAGCCCTGTGGAATTAAACATGAAACTGCTGGGCAAGATCATTTGCCACCATGGGATGATGTTTCAACAGTATGCTGATGAGACTCAGTTATATATCTCTATCCTGGGATAAGTGAATGATGTAGTAGATGTTATTTTGTGGTACCTGGAGACTATTGGTGCCTGGATGGGGAACAACAGATGTCAGCTGAAGATGGAGTGGCTGTATATCCAGATCCTTAGTCTTGGATGAGGTTGCACTATGCCAGATGGACCTGGTGCATAACTGGGAAGTCCTCTTGGACTCATGACTCTTGCTCAAAGAGCAGGTAGAAGCTGTGGCTAGGGTGGTCTTTGATCAACTTCATGTTGTGTGCCAGTTACTTCCTTTCCTGGACAGGGAGGCTCTCAATTTGATCAGTCATGCCCTTGTCACCTCCCATTTGGTATCCTGCAACTACATGAGGCGACCCTTGAAAAGTATCTGGAAGCTTCAACTGGTGCAAAGTGCAGCCCTGTGAACTATACTACTAGTATAGTATACTAGATGCCCAAAGAAAGGCACATGTAACACTTCTGCTCCACGAACTGCATTGGGTACCAGTTTGCTTCTGGGTCCAATTCAAGGTGTTGGTTATTACCATAAAGCCGTACATGGCATAGGGCCAGGCTACCTACGAAAACTGCTTCGTCCCATCACATCATCCCATCCCACACAATCAAGCAGGGAAAGTATGTTGTAGACATTAGTTAAAGAATTTCGACTAAGTCTAGGAAGAGAGCCTTTTCTGCTGCTGCCCCTACTCGATGGAATATTCATTCTCTGAAGGTAAGGCAGCCCCCCACTCTCCTGGCCTTCTGAAAAGGGGTTAAAATGCAGCTCTGTGATCTTGTGTGGGGAGCCCAAAGGAGTGCATAGTCGTGGGGTTGGTTAGCACCATGAAAACCATCTTGCCTTTGTCAACCAATTTTTAACAGGATTAATTATTCCTGCCTCCTTAAAAATGTATAATTTAAAATTTTTAACTCAAAATTTTAACTAATATTTTAATTTTTTAATATATTGATTTATATTTTGATGTCTTACTGTATAATGCTACTTGTCTAGAGTCCCTTTTTGAAGGCAACGGCTGAATGAAATGTAAATATAAATATAAATATAAATATAAATAAATAAAGTATTAAAAGTAGTGTATTTATTTCCTGCCTAACCCTAACTTCAATGATACTAATTTTATTATGAGGAAGGTGTTTGAAAATCTCTGAATTAAGATATATATTAATTTAGAATGTTTTTATGTAAGAAATAAACAATGGCTTAAGATTTTAATATTGCTAGTGACAATACATTTTGAGAATATAGCATATATTGGCATACAAATGCTAATTTGCCTGTAACAGTCATGTGTTCTTTTCACATTCAAATTAATAAAACTGAATTAAAATTGTAATTGGAGCAAATATCCAATTATTTTATCAAAATATCATACAGAAAAGAAATATGATGTACCTATTTGTTATAAGCAAGTGACAGATTTCACAAGATCTTCATATAGATATAATTTTGCTATATAAATACCCCCAATTTAAGGCAGCTAAGCCATCCATTGAATCTCTCCATTGCTCTCTAACAACCTCTGTCTCATATCATTTGCAAAAAGTAAGAATATGTTCTGTTAATAATTACACTTTTTCAATTTCTGCAGCAAAATAAAATCTTATTTTGTTTACTCAGAATAAATCAAACTGAAACATATGTATATATCATTACTTTACTTTTCAGTTTACTTAAGATGATTTACTAACACCAAAGCTATAGGATTCATCAGAAAAAACTCTCACATGAATTGCGTCCAAGGCTAGAAGAAATGGCTTCCAGTGGCATTTCTTTCTTATTTACTTTATGCCATTTTCTCACTAGAAACTTTAATCTTTAGAGATAGAAAAAGACAAACATTAATGAGTAACTTGAAACAACACACAAGATAATATTTCTATATTAACTATTAATTATAGAAGTTTACAAGTGCTGCTCAACCACAATATTTTGCTTTCTTATACTTGCCTTGTTTTTAAAAAACAAGGAAACAATGGATTAAAGCTTTACTTATTAATCAACCATTTAAATCCCATTAGTTCCATTGGACTTGCAAGAATTTTTATTCAGCAGAAGTTTCTTATGTAAACCAGTATTAGGAAATAATTAATTAATGTAAACTCTTTGGGGAAAAAAAGTACTAAAGATAAGTTACCTTAATATTGCAATGACCACACGAACTGCAGATCTGAACTTGGTAAAAAAACGGCTTCGTGTTACAGAAACATTTAGATCAGGAGGAGAAGGATAAATGCCCATGCGTGCTATCAGGGACAATGTTGCTTGTTCACATTCTTGAAATCCACCCAAAAGCAGAAGAAGGTATTTTTTCTGATAAACCAGGGCCTTCCTAAAACTCTCAGCTCTCAAATATTTACGATATAACTTTTGTATCTAAATAAAATAAAAATAATAATTCTTATGGGGAGCTAAGAAACTATTCAGAAAATACTTCTTGTGAACTGCTTATGTTTCCATAATAATTTGTTTCCATCTACCATGTTTCCCCAAAAATAAGACCCTGTGTTATATTTTTTTTGAACCCCGAAATAAGCGCTTGGCCTTATTTAAAAGGGTTTGCAAGAATGTAGGAGGGTATGTGGATGTCTAGTGTGAATGGGACCAGGGAGTGGCTGCTGCCATTGTTGTGGTCCTGCAGAGCTGGCAGCGGAGTCAGACAGTGAGGAGGCTGAGGAAGAACATGGGCCAGTCCTGGAGGCTGGGGAAGGCCCGGATGAGGGCTCTACGTCAGAGGCAGAGATGGAGCCAGGGCCATCTGGGAGTGATGTGCAGACTCCGGAGCTTCCAGAGGCTGACAGCAGAGAGGCAGAGGAACAGGACGAGCCTGTTCCTAGTGCACGCATGAGAAGTGCTGCCAGAAGGCAAGAGCAGCTAAAGCAAAAAGGACGACTTGGGAGTAGGGCCAAGAGATGATTGGCCCCTCCCATAAGGCTTAAAAGACCAGCAACGGCTCTTGGCCTCTTTGTCAGAAAACAACATTGATAGATTGGTTTCTTGTCTTGCTGCATTTATTTCTTGTTGGCGTCTTCTGCTTCTGAACTTTTGCCAAGAAAAGCCTTTGGCAGGTTGCCTAAGTAGACCAAGATTGGTGATAAGGCTGAAGAATTGTGTTATGAAGAATTTGCTTTGATTTAGTTTGGACTACGCTGAGAATGAGTTAATTCTCAGCTCTTCTAATAAAGTCTGTTTGTTTCGAACTGTTTGCGTCTGATAATACCTACCTGGGCCTGAGTCACAACAGCCATGCGGTAACTGCTGCTGGAGGCAAAAGGTTGTGTAGATGTGGCATGAGCACAGTGGGCCTAGAGTTGGCTGCTGTGAGATAGGGGAAGCTGCATAGGTGGCTGCCATGGGGGGGGGGGGGGTGCAGCAATTCCACATGAATATGGAGTATAACATCCCCAGAATTCTCAGATGAAAAAGCCATGGGAATCTCAGCGATTTACCAACCTTTTGGGCACCAGGGATCGTTCGGTGGAGGTTTTTCTGTGGACTGGAGGGGGCGTGGTTTGTGTGCTGCCTGCATCTGTTGGGTGGGATTTCACTTATTTGCGTGGACCGGTTTCTGGCATGCCACGGACTGGTGCCAGTCCACAGACCAGAGGTTGGGGAGCCCTGTACTATAGCAACTCAGAATCTTTCCTACCAGCTCTTCGATTGACTTTGCTTAGGGGAAGCTAACAGCAAAGGTTGCAAGTGATGATGACGTGATATAGGATACTGCAACTGTGGTAAATGCAAGTCAATAACCAAGCACCAGATCATAATCACATGACCACATAACTTAAATATAGTTACAGTGTTGTTTACCTTTGGGCTGGAAGACATCACAGTTTGCTTATTTTCTGGCACATTTGTTTTGGTTGCTGCATAGTTTGTTCCTTTCAAACCATTCTGTAAACCACGCTTATCCTGGTAAATATACCCTTCTGATGCTTGCACAGTGTGAATTATACTTGTAGGGATAATCTAAATGTAACATTTAAATAATGTGATACAAGCTTCATAATACAACAAAATTGCTTTAATTCAACGATGTAAATATATACTGTGTTTCTCCAAAAATAAGACCCTGTCTTATTTTGTGAACCAGTAGTAAAGGTAAGTAGAACCCACCCCTGCTTGGGGGAGGGGCTATGTGTGGTCCCCCGGGCTCCATTTTCGGCCTGGACAGCCTCCTGTGGCCCTCTGCCAGCAAAAACAGAGCCACCAAGGGCTGGTCCTTCACTGTTTCCAAGGCAGCCCTGCAGGCCAGATCTAAACCCCCCATAGACCTGATCCGGCCCGCCGGCCTTAAGTTTGACACCCCTGATCTAGGCGTTTGGTAACTGGCTCACATTTATGACCAGTTGCAGTGCCCATTACCACTTGATCACCCCTTGTGAACTTCTCTTCTGGCTTCTCCAGAAAGTCAATGGGGAAGCCGGTATGGAATGTTGCAAGTTGCTGGCCTAAGTCTCTTGCACCTGTGCACCCAGCTCTAGACTTGTGCCAGCCACTCACACATCCTTGTGCACCCTTCCCAAGCATTGCTTCTTTGCACCCTTGCACACCCTCCCTCTCTCTGCCTCCCTCACACTATCCCTAAGCTTTCCTTATACACTTGTGCACCCTCCCCAACCTTTATAATATTTCCCCCACACTCCTTGTGAACTCTCCCACCTGGCAGCGTGCGCGTGCGCACACACACACACACACTCATTTAATTTCCCAGGGAAAGATTTGGGAGGGGAGGGGAGGGAAGTAGTTTAATATGATTTTTTATTTTTTTATAATAAAATATACACACACACACACATACATATATACAGTAATATAAAATGTTGTATTATAATAATATAAGAATAGTTAATTTATTTTAGACACTCTACGGTTTTAAAGGACAAGATCATAGGCTTATGCCAAGATTCTGCTACAGAGGCTTTTCAAACCACAAAGCTTGGAAAAATATGTTGCTACTGTGAGAGTTTTCTTGCCATTTTTAATATGGATTTAGATCGCAATTCACTGAAATACTAATTCAAAACTGATGTGATACTTCACAGCTTTATCATTGTGGAGAAAATAGGAAGAGGAAAGTGTGTTGGATATGTTTGCTGTCTTGAGTTTTGTAAAAATAATAAAAGCAGGATATAAATAATTAAAATAAAATATTTTTATCCTATTGGAAGTTATGAGATATTAGCTGGTTTTCTGTAAATTAAAATCTGTAACTTAAGTCTAAATAGTTATCTATGAAAAGAAAATGTACCCTCTTACCACAGGTTTGGAAGAAGCCAGTAATTCTTTGATTTCAAGTATATGAAGTAAGGCTGCAACTATCTCATCATTTGATGCAGACCAATTTACTGTTCTGTTAAATACAAGACAGAAAAATTTAATCTAGGTAGCTATGTGACAAGTAGCTGTCCCAAAAAACAAATATATAATTCTGTATATTTAGTCTTGAGCAACTTAACTAAAGATAATAAGTTTGTATAAAACAATTAACTAATCTTATATAGAACTTTGCAGCCATATAAAATTAATATTCACCAGCCAACCTCAAAAGTGATTTTGGCCAGGGGACAATTTCTGCTACTCAGAATCTTCATAGAGCACTTGCCTAAAATCTGGAAAGCAGTTAATATTCAGTAAAGAAAGCAGAGTTACATGTATCATTGAATTAAAGCTTTCTGATTAAGTATCGCTAATCTAAATATAATATCAGGTATTGCTGTTAACATTTTTTTCCAAGTAAACTGATATTTCTTGAAAGGTATAGACAGCGTGTCCAATTGTTAGAATGAATAAGTTACCCTTATTTCTCCAATTTCTAGAAGATGTTTCTAAAACAAAGAGAATTCTTAAAAGAATACTCACTTGTCTATAGTTTTATATATGAACTCAGAAAGATATGCAGCAACAAGAACCAGCTGTTCTCTGATGTTTTCCAATATCTGTTGTTCAACATGCAATCTTACAGTATCAGTTGTAAAAGTTAAGTTAGCATAATTATTTTTTGAAGGAAATTGGTTATATTTTTTTAATAATATTTCTTGATTCTTCAGATCTTCTAGCATTTGTTGCAATTCCTTGAATCTCACACAGTTATGTAAATATTGTAACGTGGACTCATTCTATTGAAATAAAAAATACAGTAATTTGTATTATATCCAATAATGCATATGCACAATATTCATAAACAGAGGGAAGTTGTCAGTGTTATTGATTTTTAATTGACAACAATATTATTTGAAATACACTTCTCAACCTCTGAGTATCCTGAGATTTTTTAAAATTGTATTAATCCTTCTGCAGTCATATACAGAGAAACAAAGAACCTTTTGATGTACAAGAGGCATCTTGTGATAGTTGTGCTAAGAGAAATAAGGACTGAGTATGCCAAGCTGTTATTATATATCACAGGGACAACCAGAATATGATGAAGAGATTGCTGAGGCTGCAAAATGTGGTATCTATCCCTCTGAATATTCAACATGAATGACAATTCAAAAAAGACTTTCAAAGTCTACAAGGTCCTGGGCAGAAAAATGGGAATATAAATATTGTTTTGGTAATTTTTCCACTTATCAGGATAAAATCTTTTCACATGTTGTAAGAGGAACAGGATTCTAGAAGTCAACAATTAGCTATATACAGTAGGTCACAGAAGTGAGTACACCCCTCACATTTTGTAAATATTTAAGTATGTTTTCATGTGACAACACTGAAGAAATGACACTTGGTTACAACGTATAGTGGGTATACAGCTTGCATAACAGTGTAAATGTGCTGTCTCCTCAAAATAACACAACACACAGCCATTAATGTCTAAACTGCTGGCAACAAAAGTGAGTGCACCCCTAAGTGCAATAATGAGAACATTATTTGGCAAAGGACGGAGTCCCGGGGCTGCATGCGGGCAATGACGGCAAAGCTGGTGCACATGCGCACTAAGACATTAAGGCCAGCTGATCATTGCACACGCATGCGCACCAGTAACCAGCAGACTAGCTGGTTGGTGCGCATGTGTGCCCTGGAAATCCGGAAGTAGAATGGGCGATGCCACACGTGCCGGGCGACATGGCTCTGCGTGCCACTTCCGGCACGCGTGCCATAGGTTCACCAACACGGGCCTAGGCCATCTTTATGTAGAGCAACAATTCATTTTTTCCCATCCTCAGAGAGTTCATTGCCATGAGGTGCCATGTTGAACTTCCAGTGACCAGTATGAGAGAGTAAGAGCCAAATTTAACACACCTGCTCCTTCACACCTGAGACCTTATAACACTAACAAGTCACATGACACCAGAAAGGTGTTCCAAATACGTAAGTAGCCCTTGCACAGATGATCTAAAGGCAGGCCCACAAAATCTAAAGCTCTATGTAGATTCTTTTATATGCAAAATGCATTATACTACTAAGGTACCCTCCCCCCAAAAAAGGATATTCTTACTTGATTTTCTTGAGCTTCTAGAAGTGCGCTTAGACAGTGACATTCAGTTTGTTGCTCCTGTGCCTCTACTTGTACTGTCCTGATCTCTTGATCTCTCGTTGATTGTTTCCACCCCATTTTTGTTTGTGCTTCTTTTTCTCTTTGTACCTCCAAAGTATGAACAACATCTTGTTTTTTATTTTGCATCATTGATCCTGTAATTTGAACAGTGTTTTGGAGAGATTGTTCTTGTTGAAAGTCTTTACAATGCAGATGCATTTCTTCCATCTGTTTCTTTGAATCAAATATCTGCTGCTGTGATTTCTCAATTATAGCCAAAAGTTTCATAGAATTGGACCTTTCTAAATGCAACTGTGCTTGCAATTCCTGCAATGAATCTTTATGTTTACAAGACCCACATTCATTTAATCTCATAGTCAGATGTTCTGTCAAAACACGTTCATGGTTCAAGGCAGTTAACATGTCTGCATTTTGTTTTTTTTCAATATCTAAATTTTTCTGCAGTTCCAACAGTTTATTCTGATCCTTGGATAATAAAGCCTCATAGCGAGAATGTTCAATTTGGAGTTCTTTACGGAGATTACTGTTTGCTGACTGTTCATGCTCTAAAGCCACAGTTAATTGATTGTTCTGAATACACTGTAACTCCAAGGCAGCTTGCAACTCCTGTACAACACAAAGATATATTTACATTAATTAGAGTAAAATTCAAAGTTGACTATGTATGAAGTCTAATACCATAGTCAATGCAATTTCATGGAAATTAAGATTTGAGTCCAGACAGCTTTAAGAAAAACAGAAAGAAGTATAGTCTTTAAAAAATGCAAAGAAACAATTTCACCAGTGAAAGAAGGTCTATCCTTTGTACTTGTATTTTCAGCTATGGGTTATACCTTCCCGAAGATAAATTGGTTTATAAAACAGCACCATACAATCAGGGAATGGGTCTGTCTTAACACGCATTTACCCAAGAAAATAAGTTAAAGAATTAAGTAAATTAATGAGACATGAATAGTAAATATATTTTTATCATTTCAATTGGTATTGCAAGGGTGAACCTATTTGAAATGCTTTAGTTGATTGAAGTTTGCCAAACTAGCCATGTATATCTTATACAAATCTAAAGTGTACTTTTGCTGGTTAGCTGAAGATAATTTGATGATCTAAATTTTAAAATATTTTGGAGGTAGATTTACTGCTATTAGGCTTTTCTTTATAACTATTGGGAATATGGACTGAATCTGTCAGGACATAAACATCATGCCATATCCAATAGAACTAACATTCAATTCAGGGGTAATGAATTTGATAAAGCCCTCAGAGAAGATTTTTAACTGGTGAGCAGTGTGTTATCTTATCAAACTTGAAAATATTTTGAATTTTCACATTTGTCTTATTTTTCAGCATATTTGACCATGTCATGGCTGCCATTCTAAATTATGTTGCTAAGTTATGCAACACAAGCAAAATACAAAAATAAATGCCCTCTCTCCACATTGAGGTGTTAAATATCGACATAAATTTTATATAAATTTATATTTATGATAAAAAAATAGGGCAAATTCTCTTTTTATTGTTTGTAGAAAAATGAAAGTGCTCTACTGAATTGGTTATAGCTGTCTTTTCACTGACACATATCTTTCTTTACTGTAAATTGAATATTAGATGATCTTTGTAAGATAACTATTGAAAGGAGTCCTTTAAGTATTTGAGTTTTATTTTTCTAAGTAACTGACCTAGTAAGTTTGTACCTTAGTATATTTGGAGGGAAATAAATAAAACAATTGGATGATTTTATTCTCTTTTACATTTAAGAAGTATTAACAACACTACATGGAACTGAGCTAACAAAAAAAAATGTAGATTGAACTTTGATATATTCAAGGAAATTCATGGTGAAGTTAATTTCAACTTGATATTTTATCTAGTATTATTTGCTTGTCCAAAACTATGCTATAGAACAGTGATGGCTAACCTTTCTGCCATCGCGTGCCAGGAGAGGGGGGGGGCGGGGGAGAGCCACGCGCATGCAACCCCACCCACCCCCGCTCCTGGCACATGATGGCCTTGTAGGGCCGTTTTTCTTTCTTATCTGGTTCCAGATCCTCTCTATGCATCTGGGAAGGGAGAAAACAGCCTTTCCCACTCCCTTGGAGGCCCTACGGAGGCTGAAAGGGCCCATTTCCCAACTCTCGGTGGGACAGGAAGTGACATTTTTTGCTGTCCCCAGCCTCCAGAACCTCTCAAGGAGTCTCTAGGAGCTTCTCTAGGAGTCTCTGGAGGCTGGGGACAGGAAAAAACATCACTTCCTTTCCCACAAGGAGTTGGGAAATGGCCCCTTTCAGCCTCCGTAGGGCCTCCAAGGGAGTGGGAAAGGCTGTTTTCACCTTTCCCAGATGCATAGAGAAGGTCTGGAGCCAGGTAAGAAAGAAAAACGGGCCTTCCCCCAGGCCCTCCAGAGGCAGGAAACAGCCTGTTTCCCTACTTCTGGTGGGCCCAGAGGCCCGAAAATCAGCTGGCCAGTGTGCGCATGCGCCCCAGAGCTGAGCTGGCATGCCCACTAATATGGCTCCGCGTGCCACCTGTGGCACATCATGTCCCAGTTTCTTTGATCTGGATAGAGGACTAACATTTAATCTAACTATAGTATTCCTTCATTTTTCAAACATGCCATTTAAAATGATTACATGGGAGGCATGGCTAGTGCCGCGGCGATAAAATGGAAACTTATAAGAGTGAAGACAGGAGAGCAGACAATTGCAAGTAACAAACCCTTAATTCCACGCTTAAATTGCTACTTTTTAAAGCTGCTTAAAGGAGTGAAGAAAATGGTGCTTGTGCTTAACAGGGTGTGAAAGTGAAAGTTAACTCTCGATAAAACTGTTAACACCCAGCACTGTTCAAGGTGGTTGGATAAAAAAAAAAAAATGGCTGGGTTTTTTGAAAGTGATGAAGGCTCACTATTACAAACATCAGTAAATACACAAATACTGATTGTGGATCTCTTTAAAGAAATTTTAGAATCATTTACCTCCGTGTTTGTGGAAAGAATGGAAGGGCTTTTCAAGAAGGATTTTATTCAAGTTCGAAACAAAGATACAAGTGAAGATACTGTATCGGTATTTCAGTTGCCAAATAATAGTGAATTGCTGAATGAAGAGGTGGAAGAAACAATCCAGTTTAATGTGCCTTTGGGAAATGGAATGGATGTTTTTCAAATTAAGAAGGAAAGGCTGAGAGGTTTGAAGGAGTGTAACCAGCAAATATTGAGAGAGATTTCTCCAGAGGCTTTGATACAGTCAACGGGAAAATTGTCAGGAGGCGTTGGGATTTCTAATATAAGGAGGAGGATTCGAAGTGGAATTTTACAACTTTTTTACAAAAATGGACTCTCAATCTTAGTTAAAGAGGTGTGTTTACAGAAAGGAACTACTTTAAGAAGAGAACAAGATTGTAAGGTACAGCAACTTCAGCTGAAAATTCAAGAACTTATAAAAATAAAAGAAGGCGGAGGAATAAGACTGAAGAAGGAGGTTCGCAAAAAAGTCAAGAAAAAATGGAGATGGAAAAATTACAATCCTTTTGCCTGGGGAGGATAGTAATAGTGAAAATGAATGACTATACCTGTATTTAGGGATATGATTTGTTTTGAAAAGTTATGTTATAGTGAAAATGAATGATTTACTTATATTTAGGGACATGATTTGTCTTGAAAAGTTATATTAAGTAATGTTATGTTTGAATTGTTATGGGCTACTGACCAAACTTTCACTTTTGTCCTGAAGTATATTAACACTAAAGTTATATTTCAAGGAATGCTTTGTTGAAAAATTTATATAAGCTCATGGGTTAAAAAAAAAAGAAAAGAAAGAAAAATATTGGGGATGTAAAAGTTATGGACAGTGTAGATCATTTAATATAAGTTTACGGGTTAGAAGAAAGATATTACTTAAATTTTTATATTTTGTTTTAGATTACATTAATACTATATTAAAGAATGTTTTGTTGAAGAATAAATATAAATTAGTGGGTTATAAGGAAAATACAAGTGGTGCAAGGGTTGAGGGAAGGTTTTTACAGTATTTTTTATAGATATCAAATAGTGAAGATGTTATTTGATTATACGCAGTGGATTTGTAGAGAATAAGATGAATAAGTCTATGCAAAGCTATTAAGTAAGGAATGTTTCCAGGAAGAATTAATATAAGTTTATGGGGTAAAAAGTAAAAATAAGATTTTTACAATATAATTTATTTGAGATTGGTTAAAATATTTTGTTAATGTGTTAATATATGTAAGGGTTGGAGATGTGATGGTTAACTGTAATGGGGCTCTGACTGTGCAATGTTGGAAGAAAGAAGACTTGTTTATTATTGAAGAATGGACAAGAACGAAGTTGGATTGATTACTTTCAAGCAATAATTGGTTTAAATAGTTATATTCAGATATGAACAAGGGGAGTTAAAGTGCAAAAGGCCAGTTGCGGCCCTTTCTTGATCGGGATTCCCTGTGCACAGTCACTCATGCCCTCGTCACCTCTCGCCTTGACTACTGCAATGCTCTCTACATGGGGCTCCCCTTGAAGAGCACCTGGAGGCTCCAACTGGTCCAGAATGCAATAGCGCGGGTAGTGACGCACTGGCTCCCAGTGGTCTTCCGGGTGCGCTTCAAGGTGCTGGTTATCACCTTTAAAGCGCTCTATGGCATCGGCCCTAGCTATCTTCGAGACCGCCTGCTGCTACCAACGACCTCCCATCGTCCCGTGCGCTCCCACAGAGAGGGCCTCCTCAGGGTGCCATCAGCCAATCAATGTAGGCTGGTGACCCCCAGGGGGAGGGCCTTCTCTGTGGGGCACCTACCCTCTGGAATCAGTTGCCCCCAGAGATAAGGAGAAACCAAGACCTTAGTGCCTTCCGCCGTGCCCTTAAAACCCACTTTTTCCAGCAAGCCGGGCTGGCTTAAGAAGAAATTTTAAATGTTTTAATTGGTTTGTATTTTTAATTTTGGGCCAAATTTATATATATATTTTAATTGTTTTTTAATATTTGTATTTTATGTTTTTTAATTCTGGCTGTACACTGCCCTGAGTCCTCAGGGAGAAGGGCGGTATATAAATTTAAAATAAATAAATAAATAAATAAAATAAACCTATAGATAGTTAGCTTATGTTTTTTTTTTATATGTTTGTTAAATGCTATATCCTGTATTTGCTCTGGGAGTCGGGGGGGGGGGAGGGTTGGGGCAGGAAGGGGGAGGAGGGAAGGGAAAATATGTGTAAAATTCTTTAAAACTTTTCAATAAAAAAAAAGTAGTAAAACAAATCTAAAAGCTAGGAGAACTTTAACAAAGACCTTTTTTAAAATGATGGAGGAAATAGGAATTAAAGATGCATGGAGAGAATCAAAACCAAAGAAAAAACAATACACTTTTTATTCAAATCTGCTTAAATCATGGTTGAGAATTGACATGATATGGATGTCATTGGAATTGCAAGAGAATATACAAGAAGTAGAAGTGGAATCAAGTATTTGGGCAGACCGTAATTCAATAAAAGCTAAATGGAAAGGACAAATAAGAAAACCAAGATGAACATTAAAGTAGCCAGCACTGAAAGATAAAGAGTTTATACAAACAATGGAGAAGGAAATGGATTTCTTTTTTAAAAAGAATAAAAATGGAGAAACATTCCTGCAAAATGTATGGGACACGGCCAAAGGATACTTTAGGGGATTAGCAATCTCCTATATAGGAAGGAAAAATAAGGAGAAGAAGAAAAGATGAAAGGGATTAGAAGAAGAATACAAAAGACTTGAATTCGAATTACAGAGAGACCACAAAAATTAAATAGCAAAAACCAAATGGAATTAGTAAAACATCTTAGAGAAAGAGGAATTGACACAAAAAATGAAAGCAGCCAAACAGAACTTCTTCGAAAATGCAAACAAGCTGGGAGATGGCTGGCATTCAGACTTAAAAAAGAGAAAGAAAAGAAAGTATACATAAACTGCAAGATGAGACGGGTACAATTCGACACAAAAATGACAAGAAAAAAATAATAAAAGAATTTTATGAAAAACTATACAGCAAAGAAAACATACTATGGTAGAAGACAAAATATTTGGAAGAAGCCAACTTACCAAAAGTGTCGGACGAAGTGAAAACAATGTTGAAGGAAAGAATAACAATGATGGAGTTAACAGAAGCAATCAAGAGGCAAAAAAAAAAAAAAAAAGACAAAACACCAGGACCCGATGGCTTACTGGTAGAATTCTACAAATACTTGCAACACACCATAGGTTCATATATACTCGAAGTCTACAACGAAGCACTGTTTGAAGAAAAGATTCCCAAAACATGGACGGAGGCAATTATAACATTGATACCTACTCTGATTTACTATAAATAAAAAAATTATAGATCAATATCATTGTTAAATGTAGGCTGTAAAATTTATGTCTCAATAATTGCAAGTAGACTTAAAAGATTTTTGAATGACTTCATACATGTAGATCAGAACGGATTTTTACTCAAGAGGCAAATTAAAAACAACATGCGGATGATCCTGAATACATTGGAATACTATGAGACGCACTCCAGAAAGCAGATGACATTGATTTTTCTTGATGCACAGAAAGCTTTTGACAATTTGAGTTGGCAGTTTATGTTCTTACAATTAAAACAGATGAACTTTGGAGAGACATTTATCAGTATGATTAAGACACTATACTGAAAACCAACAGCAAAGGTGTATAAATGGTGATCTGACTGAGAATTTAAGTATAATGAAAAGGATAAGGCAAGGCTGCCCTCTATCCCCATTGTTATTTATATTAACCTTAGAGTGTTAGCTAGAAACTTGAGACAAGATAGTGAAATAAAAGACATGAAAATAAAGAAGGAGGAGTATAAACTACAGGCATTCACTGATGACTTGGGTGTTTATTCTAGAAGATCCACAGGAAACAGGACCTAAATTAATTGCAAAAATAGAAGACTATGGTGCAGTTGCAGGTCTAAAAATAAAGAGAAAATGAAAATATTGGTTAAAAACTTTACAGATAAACAGAAGAGAGAATTTACAAGAATGATGAACATGCAGATTGTAAAGGAAGTTAAATATTTAGGAGTCCAATTAACAGCAAGATGTGTATCTCTTAAAGAAGATAACTATGATAAACTGAAAACAGAAATTAAGAAGGACTTGGAAAACTGGAAAAACAATTGTCCCTATTGGTAGAATAGCGACAATTAAGATGAATATTTTGCCTAGATTATTGTACCTCTTTCGGACAATCCCAATAAAGTTGGGGAAAAATATTTTGAAGAATTACACAAGGTGATATTAGAATTTGTATGGCAAGGTAAAAAAGTGAGAATAAAATTAAAAATACTACAAGATGTTAAGAGTAGAGTAGGGTTTGGCCTTCCGGATTGGGAGCTATTCTACCAAGCATCGGCATTTATGTGGGTGAAGGAGTGGATTAATTTGAGGAATACAAGGTTATTAACACTGGAGGGTCATGATTTGCAATTGGGATGGCATGCCTTTCTATGGTATGAGAAGGGTGAGATACATAATTACTTGCAGAGGCACTACATTAGGAAGGCATTACTGTTAGTATGGACTAAAATCAAAGAGCAACATTATTGGAAAATACCAGTTTGATTATCTACAATGCAGGCCAAATGTCATAAATATGGAAGAAATCATAAAGATATAAGGGCATACTAAATGAAAGGGGAGAATTAAAAACTAAACAAGAACTAAACAGATCAGGGATTGACCTATCATGGTAGCCACAATTACAGATACAATCCAGGTATGAAAAAGACAGGAAGGTGTATGGGTTTTATAAAGAACCAAATGAGCTAAACCAGATGCTAATGGGAGCAGATGAAAAATTATTTAAGAGGATATATAATTATTTAGTAACCATTAAATTGGAGGAAGAATTGGTAAAAGAAACTATGATAATTTGGGCTAAGAATTTTGGCTATACAATCGAATTAGACAAATGGCAGAAATTATGGAATAGAACCTACAAGTTTACAATGTCAACAGCGTATAAAGAAAATCTCTATAAAATGTTTTATGGAGGTCACTTGTCACCTGCAAGAATAGAGAATATGTACAAAGACAAATCTGTCAAATATTGGAAATGTCATATTATCACATGTGGTGGACATGTGGAAGAAAATTCACATATGGCTAGAAGCTATGATAAAACAACACATAGACTTGAAACCTGATATAGTCCTGCTGGGCATGCTACCAGAAAAGTACAATAAGGGTAATACATATTTAATTTTACATATTTTAACAGCAGCTAGAACTGTATACGCACAATATTGGAAAAATCAACAAACTCCCCACATATGAGAATATAATCAAAAAAAATAATGGAATGTGCAGACATGGATAGGTTAATGCCTTTAATGTAAAAATTAAAGAAAAATAAGATTCTGAATACTTTATGACATGGGAACTTTTTTTATAAATGGTTAGTCGATAGATACAGAGATCAGATGGACGGGTTTATATGAAATATGGATTATATGAGAAAGAAAAATTGATTAATAAACATTTTGATGCTAATATAATTGATGTTAATATGGAAGATAGTATACTATATAACAATGATTGATAGTATCTACTATATGTTTGTATGTTGATAGGATCATAATAATTATGAGGATGTTTAAATTTTAACACTTTTATTACCTAGAAAACACACTGTTCAATTTAGAAATGGAATTTGTGATATAAAATCAATAAAATGGATAAAATTATTACATGAATTAATTTATGTTTATTTATATTTGTTCTGAACATGATGAATGCTTAATTTTCTTGGAGCAGGATTTGAAGACAAGAATATAAAAAACAGTGTAGCAATAGGAGTTATTATTTTCATGAGATATTTTACCTCTATAGCTTTTGATTTTTCATCCTCTTTTATTTTATGCTGTTTCTGCTGTTCATCCAATTTAATCTGTAATTCTATGTTTTTAAGATGTTCCCTCTGTAAATTCTCAAGTGCTGCTGTAATACTTCTCTCTTTATTTTCCAATGCAGAACTATGACATAACATTTTAAAATATTATTTATAAAAATTGTTATTCTAACTATTGTTTTTCAGCAAATTAGATCTTTAATGAGTGAGCAAAAATAAAATCAATATATTTTTCACATTATAAATTTTAATCACAGTGGTATAAAAAAAGTCAAATTTCTTTTTGTGAACCTTTTCATGCTGGTATCAAATACACAATATAAAAATAATTTCTCTATCTGTGCACACACAGCTGAAAACATAAACTAGGAACGGTATGTTTCATTACAAAATTAGGGCTATGTGAAAAGGACAACTAAAATAAGAAATCGTAACAATAATGAAGTTAATTACCACAATAAAATTAACAAAAAAACTTCTTTATGTAGGAAGCAGGCATTTTATTAGCGAAGTTGTAAACAGCCAAAGAGAATTTGAGCATCTATAAATTAGAATTCGCTTAAAAGAATCTCAGATGTGAGCCTTTATACTATACAGTAGGGATTGATGCTATGTACTCTAAAATGATCAGTGAATTGGTGTGGACCACCCCCTTCTATTCAAATTCCCATGAATAAAACTAATGATTTCATGAGTGAGATAATCCTACTGAAGGGGCCATGAAAATCCTACATCTTCCTTTTTTCCTGATGCAAATTTTAGGAACAAATATAAACTAACCCTATGCCAGAAATATAGTAGGTTACTGGGAGGGCTTTCCACATGCAATTTACTTTGGAGTAATTTATACAGTTGTAAGAAAAAGTATGTGAACCCCTTGGGATTACGTGGAGTTTTGCATGACTTGGTCATAAAATGTGCTCTGAACTTCATCTAAGTCACAACAACAGAAAAACACAGTCTGCTTAAAATAATATTACACAAACATTAGATGTTGCCATGGTTTAATTGAACATAACATGTAAACATTCACAGTGCAGGGAGGAAAAAGTATGTGAGCCCCTAGCCTAATGACTTCTCCAAGAGCTAATTGGAGCCAGGAGTGAGCCAACCTTGACTCCAATCAGTGTGATGATATTGGATGTGTTGCTGACAGCTGTCCTGCCCTTTAAAAACACACATCTGTCTTGGGTTTACTGGTTTCAAGAAGCACTGTCTGATGTGAACCATGCCTCGCAGAAAAGAGCTCTCAGAAGATCTACCGATCAAGAATTGTTGACTTGCATGAAGCTGGAAAGGGTTACAAAAGTATCTCCAAAAGCCTTGATGTTCATGTGTCCACGGTAAGACAGACTGTCTACAAATGGAGAAAGTTTAGCACTGTTGCTACTCTCCCTAGGTGTGGTCGTCCTGTAAAAATGACTGCAAGAGCACAGCGCAGAATGCTTCATGAGGTAAAGAAGAATCCTAGAGTGTCAGCTAAAGACCTACAGAAATCTCTGGCACATGCTAACATTTTTGTTGACACATCTACAATAAGGAAAACATTAAACAAGAATGGAGTACAAGGGAGGACACCACAGAGGAAGCCATTGCTGTCCAAAAAAAATATTGCAGCACGTTTGAAGTTTGCAAAAGAGCACCTGAATGTTCCACAGCACTACTGGCAAAATATACTGTGGACAGATGAAACCAAAATTGAGTTGTTTGGGAAGAACACACAACACTATGTGTGGAGAAAAAAAGGCACAGCACACCAACATCAAAACCTCATCCCCACTGTAAAACATGGCGGAGGGAGCATCATGGTTTGGGGCTGCTTTGCTGCCTCAGGGCCTGGACGGATTGTTGTCATTGATGGGAAAATGAATTCCAGAGTTTATCAAGACATTTTGCAGGAAAACGTATGACCATCTGTCCGCCAACTGAAGCTCCTCAGAGGATGGGTGATGCAACAGGACAATGACCCAAAGCATACAAGTAATTCAACAAAAAAATGGCTTCAACAGCACAGAATACGCCTTCTGGGGTGGCCCAGTCAGAGTCCTGACCTCAACTCGATTGAAATGCTGTGGCATGACCTTAAGAGAGCGATTCATACCAGACATCCCAAGAATATTGCTACACTGAAACAGTTTTGTGAAGAGGAGTGGTCCAAAATTACTCCAGATCGTTGTGCAGGTCTGATCTGCAACTACAGGAAACGTTTGGTTGAGGTTATTGCTGCCAAAGGAGGGTCAACCAGTTATTAAGTCCAAAGGTTCACATACTTTTTCCTCCCTGCACTGTGAATGTTTACATGTTATGTTCAATTATGGCAACATCTAATGTTTGTGTAGTATTATTTTAAGCAGACTGTGTTTTTCTATTGTTGTGACTTAGATGAAGTTCAGAGCACATTTTATGACCAATTCATGCAAAACTCCATGTAATCCCAAGGGGTTCACATTCTTTTTCTTGCAACTATAAATCCAGTCTGACATTGGCTCACCACCACCTCTCCTTGCAAAATAGCTGCCAAATTGTACTACAGAAAGGGAAGAGGACATGAACCCTCATTTACCCCACTTCCTTAGGGCTTCCAAATGCCCCTCCCAGCCTCAATTTTCGCCGGCAAAATGCTCGAGGGCTTTGCCGGCAAAAACGGAGGTTCAGCGGGATGCACACGCCCCTCCTAGCCTCCAATCTCACCGGCAAAGGCTTTTTGCAAAACCGACTAGAGCAGTGGTTCTCAATCTGTGGGTCGGGACCCCTTTGGGGGTTGAATGACCCTTTCACAGGGGTCGCCTAAGACCATCGGAAAACACATATTTTCAATGGTTTTAGGAATAATTTTATGGTTGGGGATCACCACAACATGAGGAACTGTATTAAAGGATCGCGGCATTAGGAAGGTTGAGACCCACTGGACTAGAGCCTATAGGGACGCAATCTTTCTTCCCTGTAGGACCTTGGCAAGCCCAAGGTGAAACCATGGCAGAGAGACTGCACAGGAGACAGCACCATTGATCATCAAGATCTACGTAAGGTAAGTGATCAGGCAGGATTGGGGGGTGAGGGGGAGGAAGCATGAGATTTCTCAGTGGGGCAGGGGAAGCCTTGGGTAGTTAGAAGTACTACTCTCCCCATGGCCTTCCCCAACCTCAGATACCTTGTGCACTTAACAAATCACGTGGGCGAAAGCATGGAGTGATCATGTTTAAATTACGTGATTCACTCTTACGAATGCTAGGGTTACAAATGTAATTGGCAGGCTCCATTACATTCATAACTCGAGGACTACCTGTATATGGAAATAAAAAAGAAAGATAAGACTTAAAAGAATCCTAGTGACCCTGGTTGCAAAGCTCTTTGGCAGAAGTCCCTTGTGTAGACAAGCTGGCTACTACAACTCTACTACTACTACTACAGAGCCTGTAGTACAGTGGACTAAACACTGTTATTAACATCTGCTGCTTGCAATTACTGCAAGTTCAAATCTCACCAGGCTCAAGGTTGAATCAGCCTTCCATCCTTTCAAAGGTAGGTGAAATGAGGACCCAGATTGTGGGGGCAATAAGCTGACTTTGTATAAATATACAAAAGTATGAAGGCTATTGCTTAACGCATTGTAAGCCATCCTGAATCGCCGGAGAAGGGCGGCATATAAATTAAAGCAAAAAAATAAAAATAAAAAATCTCCCTCCGCCTAAAATTTGCCTATGATCCCACTCTCCAGAGGATTGCAAACTTCTTGTTTAAAAACCCTATGGAAGAAAAGAGACCGTTTTCATAATATAGCAATGAATTAACAAAAATGTAAGGCAGAATCCATTTGGAAATCTTTACCTGTATTTAATTACTTCATTTTGGGTATTTTGTAAAGATTTTTCTAATCTCTCATTTGTTTGTTTGCTCTCACAAAGATCTGATTTCAAATTCAATATTGCAGTGTGTTCCTGTTTCAGCAATTCGTGCATTTCGGAAGCTTTCTCTTGTTCATGTTTTAGGGAAGCCTGCAAGTCATTTGCAATGGATTGTTGTTGCTGAAGTTTGTATTCTAGAAGTTCAACTGAAAATAAAATTAAACATTGCAAAATGTAAATACATAAATCTATTTCTAAGCTTTCTATATTTTTCCCAAATATATTTCCCAATATATTCCCTTTACCATTTTTAAAAATTAAAGTTTCAATTTAGATGGAAGGCCAATGAGGATAATAAGGTAGTCCTCAATTTAGCACACTTCATTTAGTGACCATTTAAAGTTGAAATGACACTGAAAAAAGTGACTTATGACAATTTTTCCCACTTACGACCATTGCAGCATTCCCATAGTCATGTGATAAAAATGAAGACACTTGCACCTAGCTCATTTTGATGGTTGCAATGTCCTGGATCATGTGATCACATTTTGCAACCTACTGATAAGCAAAGTTAATGAAGAAGCCAGGTTCACTTAATAACTGTGTTACTAACTTAACAACTGCAGTGTGTGATAAGAATGGTCATACAATGGGGTAAAACTCATTTAGCAGCTGTCTTGCTTCGCAACAGAAATTTTAGGCCCAATTGTGCTTGTAAATCAATTTTTATGTTTAATATTTATTTATTGAATATTATAATATATAAACATTTATTTATTAATTAAAATTAACAATGAGAAGAAAAGAAAAATACATTACCCTGTCTTTGAAGCTGTTGTTCTTGCTTTTTCCCATGATTCTCTGTATTTATAAGTGTTTCTTGGAGTTCCTGTAACTTCTCTTGACTTTGAAGTTGTGTAAGTCTCAACTGAACTTCAAGATCTTGCATATCAGAAAGCAAGCTGCCCCTATCTGAGGATGAAAGATGTTCCATGACTCTCTTTGGTTGCTGCTCCTCCTGAAAAGAAAGTTCATTTCATACACTGAAATAATATATGGTAGATTTTTAAAAGATGTAAATTCACATGCGTATTTTTTACAGCACAGAATTTAAAACTAATTCAAACTATGAATTACATATCATTTACATTTTTAGGCCGTTTGAATTTACATAGATTTGTAAGAGTTTTTCTGATTCCTTAGGGAAAAATAAAACATTTAATATGAGTTATTTATATTGGCACTGGTTTGGATTTGCATGTGTACATGCATGCATATTTCAGTGAACCACAATTTGTCTCAAATAGGAATTTGAGACAATTAATATATCATTGTTTTGTTCTCAATATGGTATGTGATTTCCAGACTAATTTTTTTTAGAAATAAAACACTGGGAAAAAATAGCCATACACAGCTGTTTGCTTCATATTAGTGAACAGAATGTGGCAGTTGAAAATTATCATTTCACTTTACTGTTGCAGGCAAAAGTTTAGACATTTAGTATAATTGTATGTTTCAATTCATCCTTAAAAAATGGAACTTGGTACAACATATACATGATACAAAGTTGTTATTGAAATTCTCTGCAAATTTTAATGTATATTTACTAGTTATGTTCATTTACTTGTAGATTCAGAATAGGAAAATAGTGAACATGACAGATACAAATATTTGAATCTGATTTCAATCAGTACTTTTTAACACATCCTTATTCCAAATGTTTCCTATAGTCAGCTTTCTATACGTCCTTTTCCCCACTCTTCTTTGCAAAACTCTCTTACTTCAGAAATATTTTTAAAGTCTCCTTTGCACTGCATGCTTGAGACTTCCTTACAGATTATCAATAATATTCAAATCTGGTGACAGTAAACATACCAACCTTTATCTTTCTTTCTTGTAAATACTTCATAGCTGCTGACTTTGAGGTGTGCTTCAGATTGTTGTCTTGCTGAAAAAAGCATCCTTTTTCAGCTTTAATTCCTTCACTGTTTGTGGGCCATAACCCTAATCATTGGTATTTAACTTAATTCATTCTTCCTTTCATTGCATAGTATTTCCTGTGCCACTGACTGCCATACCACTTCTACAGCAACTCCATGCTCAATGGTTGGCAAAGTGTAATGGAGGAACAGTTTAGTTTTTCTCAATCCAAAGCAACTTGTTCAGAAAATGTCCTGGTTTATCAAGGTTTTTTTATGGTTTAAATGATGACATATGAAAAGATTGGAGAAAGAATTTATTTCTGACAATTTGCCCATGCAGATCATAATTGTTTAATCCCAAGTGGGATTAACTACTCAAGTGAGAACTAAATTTCCAAGAGGTCATTAGTGGTTTGTTATATCCTGTCAATCTGACTAGTTTTCTGGCAGTTACAGCATTTTTTATTTAGTTCTAGAATTTGCTTTTCTATGCATAACCATATTGATACATGATATCCTAGGTTCTAGGGAAAAACTCGATGCACATGAAAGCAAACACTAGCTAAAGAACTGGCAACTGTAATTTTTATATCGTTTTGTATGTAATAATTACGTATTAATTATATACATTAATAATTACAGTGACTGTAAACAAAAATATTATAATATCCATGTACCTTGTTTTCTTTATTAGATTGTTTGAGATAATTCTTCAGTGATTGTACTTTATCAACCAAGATTAGTCTCTCTCTTTGCCAACCCTCCACTGATGGACCTTGTTGAATCTTATCACCATCATCAAGAGGTAAAGATTTTTCTGATAGAACAAGTATTTTGTAACTCTCATCATATACCATCTTCAGCACAGTCTGAAAAAGAATTAAATATATTACTTAATGAAAACAAAAGGTCAACACTTAGCAAGGCATTTACCATTTGAAAGTTTGACTTTCTGCTATGTTGCAATTTATAAATTAAGATTCCTACATGCTGTGCCCTTGAAGGAGAAGGAAATCTTTAATTATTATTATTATTATTCATCTCCATGTCCAGGCTTTTGTGATGGAGGAAGTACAAATTTAATTTCCAGCAACAGTTGCTGTTTATATGTTAAGAAAAATACTAAAAGGAAGACAGAGTAAATGGAAAACTTTTCTTTAAATTCTGTCTTCTGTTGAAATCAATAAATACCTTATTTAAAATATTGCTATTTCATATAGATAGTAGATCACCTATTTAATCATGAGACATTACCATCAACTGTTGCGACATCATTTCTGTTTCTTTTACTGTTGGTGCAGTGACATCTGGAGTCATTCCAAAACACTGCAGAGGAGCCATGACATTGCTGTTTTGGCATACCTTATTTTCTGGCTCTGCCTGATTAAGCTGAAGTATCAAATCTAAACTAGTATCTGAAAAAGAGTATTAAATATGTTATTTTTTCCATTTTTATTTTTGATGCAACTTGTTAAAATAATAGTAATTAAAATAATAAAGTATATAGAACAACAAAAGGCAAAATGTTTATTGTCCTCTGTGAGGGCCAAAGTGCACCAAATGGTAGCATGATTTTCTAATGCTTGTGGTTTGCTGTTAGCTTTTTGTATTTAATTTCTATTCAAATGACTTCCTAATCTGGTGCTCTCTAGTACACATTATTTCATCTCCCATATAACCAAGTCCTTGCCCATGCTAACTAGAGATTATGGGTACTGAAATGCATCTTTCCCAGGTAGATGATCATTTGTGGGGGGGAGGGGACTGTCTAACTTAACTACTTTATTTACAGCTTCTGTTTTTATAAATTATTCCATATCCTTGTTAGGCCAGAATATTGTCATGGAATGCCACAGAGTTAATTCTAGGAAATATGTATCCATGAACTCACTGCTTCCATATTCAGTGCTTGCACTTTGAAGTCTGGACATTGTCACTTTCAGACCATCTTGTAACTTAGGTGGTATCAGAGAGAAGACTTCAGTGTTGTTTACCTATTAGATATCATAATAGGAAAAAGAAAAGAAAAATGGAATGAATTCCTAGGTATGTTAACGATTGATCTACAACCACTCTTGCTTTTATTTATTTAATAACCCATGTTATTAAATAACATCTCTTTCCATCCTTTTGTTCTAAAAATAGTCACAAGTTGCACATAACCATATAGCTGAAACAATATGAAACATAAATTTATGAACATTTTTTCAAAGTACACTATAATATTCTAAAGGCTATGTGTTAATGTGACCAATGGTATTTAACATTGTACAGTATTAGCTGTGCAAACACAGTGCTAGTCTTTGCACTCAAGAATTAAATGAGTCCCCACTACTGAATATTCTGAAGCAATATGCTACACGTTTTACATACAAGTCATAATATACTGAACCCAAAGGAACCCTGAAGTAGGTGATCCTCGTATCAGTGACTAAAATGATATATTTGCACCCCAACTTGTAGAGAACTCATCTGAGGAAAATAGGTTTCTACAGAAACTCTTGTTCTCATAAGAAGCTCTGCGGAAGGGTGATCTTTTTTAGATACACCAATACTTCAATCCAATCCTGAGCATTGTAAAAATCTCCCAATGTTTTCCAGAGCATTGGAAGCAGCAGATTCAATACTGCAAGAATCCAGTTTTACTAAAAAAAATATCCTATTAGGAAAAAATCAATTTAAACAGGGGAAACATTCAACTGAATAAGACCTGGAACATAAGAAAAGTGAATGTTCTCCTCAGTACCGCTGCTCAGGTAAGAGCTCTAGCTTCACTGGGCAATGAACTGCTGCTCCCACCATAATTTCTACCAGTAATACATTAACAGGCTTCACATAACACATGCTTCTTGCAAAATTTTAATAATTTTCCCTCAGTATAAAAGGAGCATGCCATATAAATTAAAGGGCCTTCCACAAAATGTGGTAAGACAAAACACATGGTCATCTGAGTGCAGATCATCATGTGGTATGAAGGGAAGGGAGTGCCTGGTCCTTTTTTAATTCTACTTTCTCATTAGAATTGAGCAGCTTGAAAGGAAATTACACATAAGCAAGGGGATAGGAAAACTAGTTTCAAATTCCTCAAGATATTTTGTTTATTCTTAATTTCTTGAATTATTAAATGTACTTTTTATTTTTACAATTGCCCCATGTGCTGGCTACCCAAATTTGCAGAGAAATTCAATCTTTTCCTTTTAGAGACTCCCAATAAGAGAAGATTAAGAATAATTTTCTTACTTAGAGAATGACCCTTGGGCAGACACTACATCTCTTCAGGCATACAGAAATCTGAATTGAAAAACTCAGCTTTCTTTTCAGGGAAATCAGATTCTTTGGCATCGGTCAGAATATTATACCATAGTTCTTGATAGCTTACATAAAGCTTCACATGGTTTTAATTCTCTTGTTAAAGCAACAATCTTCTATGATATTAGGAAAAACTTAAGTATCCAGCACTGTCAAGACCCCAAATAAATGGACGTTGACTTACCTGAACGTCCCTTTTCTGGGCGCTGCGTACACTATCCATGAATGGGTTAAATCCTTCAGCTTTTGGCAAACAACTGAGTGATATTTAAAATTTTTTCCCCTTTCTGGCTGCCAAGCCACGCCCCCAATCCCATGATACCCTAGTCTGAACGAAGGCGCAGCGAACGACAAACAACTGTCGAGTAAAATAAACCACAACTTTATTAGCAACCAACTTCAAACAGAAATTTAACACTAGGAATACAACCCGGCAGGCAGCCCAAAAACAAGGGAGGGTATGGATAGTGTACACAGCGCCCAGAAAAGGGACGTTCAGGTAAGTCAACATCCATTTTCCTGTACGCTGCTCCCACTATCCATGAATGGGATATACCCAAGCTCAAACTCCACGGTTTGCTTCTTCCTGTGGTCTCGAGGTGACGGGCAAAAGTCCGGCAAGATGAGTTCCTGGAAACCAGGAATTCACCTTGGGCACGAAGGAGGGGTCCAGACGTAGGATCACTGTGGTGTCTCGGAAGATACAAAGATCCTTTCGAATAGAGAGTGCCGCCAGTTCTGAGACTCTCCTAGTCGAGGGGATAGCCAGGAGAAAGGTCACCTTAAAAGCCAAGTACTTGAGAGCAACTGACCCAAGGTTCAAATGGGGGGCCCATCAAGGCCCGCAACACTAGAGGTAGATCCCATGTTGGATAGCAGTGCACCGTAGGGGGGCACAAATTCGTAGCACCATGTAGAAAGTCCTTGATGAGTGGATGGTGCGATAGTGACTGGTAGGGTGCGCAGGTGATGACCGTTGACAAGGCCGCTGCTTGACGTCTTAGGGTAGCCGGGGCCAGTCCATTGTCTAGTCCCATCTGCAGAAACTCAAGGATGTCTTGTACCGCCACTGCTGTGGGATCTACATGGTGGCTAGAACACCAGCGGCAGAAAGCCCGCCAGGAGGCCTCGTAAATGCGAGCCGTTGAGGGCCATCTGGCCGCCTGGATGGTACTGACGACCCTATCTGACAAATTGTCTTTCTTTAGAATGACCCGTTCAAATGCCAGACCGCCAATTGAAGCAACTGAGGCTCTGGGTGAGTTACCGCCCATTGGCACAGAACTACCTGGTGTGCTGTTATCACCCACGGTGGGTCTACGGATAGTGCCACGAGGTCAGCATACCACATCCTTCGAGGCCAGTTGGGAGCCACCAGAAGTAGGTTGGCCCTCTCGGTCAGCAACTTCCAAATGAGACGTGGTAGAAGTGGAATCAGTGGGAATGCGTATAACAGGCCGCTGGGCCACTTGCAGCGAAGAGCATCATGGTCCTGCGCCTGGGGTGCTGGGTAATGAGACATGAAGCGGGGCAGCTAGGTGTTGGCTGGAGTCGCAAATAAGTCTACCTCCGGGGTCCCGAATCGGGAGGAGAGCTCCCGAAATAGATGGGGATGGAGTTGCCACTCTGCCGGATCTATCATTTCTCGACTGAGCCAATCGGCACTGACATTGATCGAACCCGAGATATGATTTGCCCTGATTGAGAGCAATGTCTCTCTGCCCAGCTGAACAGGGCCTCGGACTCTAACATCAGAGCTTGGGACCTTGTGCCCCCTTCTCTGTTCACGTGTGCCTTGGCCGAGATGTTGTCCGTCAGGATCAATACGTACTGACCTTGTACTGCGGCTTGAAATTGGAGTAAGGCCAGCCTGATCGCCCTGAGTTCCAGGAGGTTGATGCTGTTGTGTTGTTCTCGTTGTGACCACTGGCCCTGTGCCACTAGGTTGTGGAGGTGTGCCCCCCACCCTCGAAGACTTGCGTCTGTCATAAGGGTCAACCTGTCCATGTCTAGAAACTTGCAGCCCTTGAGGAGCAAGGCTGACGTCCACCAACTGAGGCAAAGGCGGACCTGGGAAGGTAACCACACTTCGTGCTTCGAGTTGGCCTTGCCCGCCCGTTGGAAGGAGAGTAAGAGCCATTGGAGGGGCCTCGAGTGCCTGCGTGCCCACAGTACAATGCCGAAGCAGGAGACAATCTTCCCGAGCAGACGTGATAGTTGGAGTAAGGGTACTCTCCTCCGGGCCAGGATCTGCTTTATCAGGTCTTGAATGCTGTGGACCCTGTCTGGAGACAGGAATACCTGGCCCTTGACTGAATCTATCACTGCTCCTAGGTGAAGGAGCCGGGTGGAAGGCTGAAGATTGCTTTTCTTGAAGTTGATCATGAAGCCGTGCTCTTGGAACACTTTCAAGACTAGTTTCATGTCCTTGACCGCCTGTTTGTGCGATGACGAGAGGACCAGAATGTCGTCCAGGTAGCAGAGGATTTGAACCGGAATGGCTCTGAGTCTGGCTGCCACCACCGCTATCAACTTGGTAAAGGTGCGGGGTGCCAACGAGAGTCCGAAGGGCATTGCGCAGTACTGGAAGTGGTGCCCCACGTGCTTGAACCTCAAGTACTGGTCTGGGTGAATGGGCACGTATAAATAGGCGTCTCGCAAGTCGACTGACTGAAGAAGGTCTCCTTGTCTCACTCCCGCTAGAATTGACCAGAGGGAGTGCATTTTGAACCTGCGGTACTGGACTGTCTGATTCAGATTTTTTAAGGTTTAAAATGCCCCTCCAACCCCCGGAACTCTTGGGTATGAGGAAGAGGATTGAATAGAACCCCAAGCTCTTAAAACAAGGGAAGAATTGATGGAACAAGGTATTTCTATAGACTGGTGGCCATATAACCAAATTAAATCTAGATATAAAAAAGATAAGGAGGAATTTGGCATTGAAACGAGCATAAATGGATTTGACAAGATATGGATGGGTACGGACGACAAAATTCTAGCTAAATTATATAATTACTTATTGGAGTACGATATGGCAGAGGAAGTAGTTAAAGAACCGGTTAGCATGGGCCAAAAATATAGGACAGAATATAAATCTGAACGAATGGGATTCAATATGGAATAATAATCTTAAAATGACAAAGGCGACGGAAAACCAATATAAGCTGTTTTATAGATGGCATATGGCCCCAGCTAGGATAGCGAAGATCTACCCCAATTCGAGCCCTAAATGTTGGAAATGTGACCATCAGCAGGGTACTTTTTATCATTGCTGGTGGACATGTAATCAGGCACAAAAATTCTGGAGGATGATATGGATGTGGATTAGAGAAATAATAAAAGAAAATTTTGATTTCGACCCAAAAGCCTTTCTCCTGGGAATTTTGAAAACTGAATATGCAAAAAAGAAAAAGTATTTAATTATACATATTCTGACAGCCGCTAGAATTTCCTTTGCCCAGTATTGGAAAGAAAAACAAATACCACCTCAAGAACATGTTATTGGAAAAATATTGGAGTGCGCCGAAATGAACAAATTGACTTCAGAAATTAATGACAGAGAAGATTCAGAATTTTATAGCGTGTGGGACATGTGGTACGAATGGATGGGGAAAAGAAATAAAGAAGGAAATAGAGATTAAATATTAATTAATTAACAAAATCTATATGAATAGTATTATATTTAGTCTTAGAGAGTTGAGCACTATTATCTTTAAGTGTTTTGAAATTAAATCTAGCTTTAAGAAACAATATCAAATAAAAGACAAGTAATAATGCATGTAGATGTATATATGTATATAATTGCACCAATGAACCGAAAATGTACCGAATGTATCACTATATGTTATAATAAAATAATAAATAATAATAATAAAAATCAAATTAAAAAAAAAAAAAAAAGAACCCCAAGCTGTGTTGGTTCGGTGGTACTGGTTCTATGGCCCTGATTTCCAAGAGGTGGGCAATCTCTTGAGACATCAGGAGCTTGAGTTCCTTTGAATGCGGGGTCGGGCAACGCAAGAAATGATGGGGAGGAGGACCTGAGAATTCGATAGAAAGTCCAGAAGAAGTCATGCGCTTTACCCACAAGTCCGAGGTTAACTGGGCCCATTGCTGGTGAAAGAGGTGGAGTCTTCCGCCTATAGGGCCCGCAGCTTGGGCGTCACTTCCCCCTTCTGCCAGTTTTGAATCCGGTCCCACGAAACGGTCGTTTGGACTGTTGGTTTTGGCCTTGGTCTCGGAACTGTTGTCTGTCTTGATACTATTGCTGCCCTGATATTGGGAGTGCTGTGAGGAGGACCCCCTGGGTCCTGAGTTGAGACGAAAGGTCTGTTGGAGAGGGTATGGTGTGTATCTGCGCTCCTGATGGCGGTAGGACGACGGAAGCACCTTCCTTTTGTCTTTGTCCTTGATCAGTACGGGTTCTAAAGCCAACCCAAATAACTCAGGTGCTTTATACGGGGCTGCAGCCAGCTTCCACTTTGCCTTAAGGTCGGCCTTCCGGGGGCGTAACCAAAACAGTCTCCTCGCCGTGACAGTAGAAGCAAGAGCCCTTGAGGCAAATTTTGCCGAATTTAGAGACGCATCTGTGGCAGCTACTATTTTATTTATGTCTTGATGTAGTCTGGTGTCCTCGGGAGGAAGCCTTTCTTGCAGCTGCCGAAGCCAAATGAGAGATGCCCTGTTGAAAAAGGACATAGCTGTTGTTGATCTGATCGCCCAGGCCGCCGCCTGATGTGATTTGCGAAAAGCCCACTCTGCCCTTTTGTCCTCTGCCTTGAGCCCGTCCAAGGCATCCGTGGAGATCATCGAGGAAGAAGACAGGGTCGCAACCGGCTGGTCCACTGATGGAAGGGCTAGTAACTCCTCCAGTTCCGGGGCAGAACAGTACAGCTTCTTGTCCAAACTGCTGGGTGTCGTTAGCAAAGCCGGCTGACCCCAGGGGTTCTGGATTACATCTGCGAACAATTGCGGGCAGGGTATATTCTTTTTCCGGTTTAGAAGATTTGAAGAGCGCGTTGTGGGGCCCCACGGTTGTGTGATTGGATGTCCTGACCTCCCTGGGCACTCCCAGATTAGTCATGAGACGAGCCTTATGGAGGAGTAACTTGAACAAGGCCGGGAGGAACAGACCGGTGAATGCCGGAGTATCGGGCATCAACACCTCGTCCTCTGAGAACTCAATGTCCTCTGGCCCCTCCTCTGAGTCCTCTGATGAAGATGCTTGAATTTGAGGCGGCTGAAGTTGAGAATGATGCTGATGATGCGTCCCCTGGGCCGTGAATGGCTGTAAGGGGACCTGTGTAGCCTGCTGCAAGCCTGCAGCCAGGAGTGATGATAATGCTGACGAAAACATAGACTGAAAATCCAGTTGAGTTGCCAGTAAGGGCCCCCTTGCGCCCGTAGGCCTGCCACCGTTGGTGTATAGGTCGCCTCCGCCACATGGTGGTGTTGGCCTGGTGAGCCAGCCGCTGAGATGTCCGGTAAAGAAAGGGAGACACCTTTTGCGTGGAGTAGAGTGGCCCGACTTGGCTGGATCGGGAGTCACTGGGGTCAAGGCCAAGCTTGTAATTCTGGGGCCTGCCTCCCTTGATGCATAGGGCGCGGCTTTTGAGGGTTCAGTCTCCATGGTTGGTGTTGCCGCCACTGCCTTCTGAGCCTTGGCGCACTGGCGCTCCAGTGCTTTATGGCGTCTTAAGGCATCTCTGTCCTGTGTGGATTGCACCTTGTCCGCACTGGATTTGCGGCTGGAGTTCTCAGCCCGCTTCCCAGTGCACTTTTTGGCTGATTTGGTCACCTTGCGAGGTGGGCTTGATTCCAGCTCCAGGTCAGAGGAGAGGGGAGAGTCTGACATGGTTGTTCAGCAGGGTATATGACCCGGTTTTTTTTTTTTGTACTTTTATGGTCTGTTGAGGGCCCGAAGGTCCCCCAAACCACCTTCTACAGCAAGGGTTCCCCGGCTGAAGTCACTTCCCCCTCCTAATTCTTGATGACTGCCCCAAATGTCTGGAACCTCCGGCAGATTGTCGCTGATGGTCAGGAGAGGAGCTGGTCTAAATTCATCATCCAAAATGGCGGCCCGAGGGTCTGTCACAATGGTGGGCGCACGAGGCGCAAAGTTCGAAGGAGCCGGTAATGAGAGGAGGCGGCCCGAGGGTCCGTCCCAATGGCGGGCGCACAAGGCACGAAGTTCAAAGGGGCCGGTAATGAGAAGAGCCGGTCTGAAAAACACCCAAGATGGCAGCCCGAGGGTCCGTCCAAATGGTGGGCGCATGTGGCGCGAAGTACCGGGCAGCCGGCATAAGGTGGCGGACTCACAATGGCGGCCCGAAGGTCCTACCAAATGCCGCGTGCCATCAGAGAGTTCGAGGGTATTTACAGCAAAACTTGGATCGCAATGGCTCACCGACGCTCCTGAGTCTAAGCTCCGCGTTTCCTCAGCCGCTCCGACCTGTCTGCCTTTGACGACCAGCTGCGAGACAGTCACGATGATGGGGATGGCTGCCGTGTCAAGCGCACCCCCACCACGCTGAGGAGAAGCCGGGTTCGCCCTGAGATGAATGGCGAATGGCAATGATTTAAAAAGGGCACCGAGTGCTGAAGCGTGGGCGGCCCGAACCTCCGATCCCGCCACCCAACTGATGAGCGCTCCTGCTGTTCTCGTGCTCCAAGGGGCAAGCCAAAACACGAAAAGGAAAATACTCAAAAATAAATCAAAAGCCTATGCGTCCCTTGTGAAAGGGAAAAACAAATCCCTGGATAAAAATCCACAAGCCCCCAGGAATCACTTCAGCGTTTGCCAACAACTGAGTGAAGACTGGGGTATCATGGGATTGGGGGTGTGGCTTTGCAGCCGGAAAGGGGAGAATTTTTTAAATATCACTCAGTTGTTTGCCAAAGGCTGAAGGACTTAACCCATTCATGGATACTGGGAGCAGCGCACAGGAAAATTACAGTGACTGATCTAGATTTTATCTGCTTCATTCAACCATGCCTGGTAGTCATCTTGACTAAGCATCTTTCATTGGATTCCATCTACCATATATAACTTCACCTGGTCTTGAGGAGAATTCACCTGCTAAGGTATGGCTCATCAGATGCCTTTGCCTATTCTTCTGAATCCCAGGACATAAGTAGATTTAAGGCTTCCTCTCTCAAATTTTTCCCATCATTATTTTTTCATTTTGATCACTCTTTTCATCCAACAACCAATGCACTAATTATGTGGCTTCCATGAGAAATCCTTTGAAAATTTTCCAGGCAAAAACAAGGTACTGGAGTAGATAAGCTTTTGGCTTAATCTATACAAATTTGCTTTTATAACTTGCATGATTCAACATAATCAATATAATCAAATATTATTCAGAAATATTTTGGATCTTGTGTAATTATAGCACCTCTCTAACCATAAAAGTAATCCCTTTTTTAGGTTTTCATGTCAACCTGAAATAAGTGTAGTTGCTTTAAGAATCATATTGAATTAATTTTTTAAAAGCAGACTGGCATTCTTTTAGGCTTGTACAGAAGCCTAAAAAAGGGAAAGTCTGCTTTAATATGTAGAGATGCTGCATTTATGAAAAAAGTGAAGCACTTCTTCCCAATTACTTTCAAAGCATGCACAAGATAATCAGTAACACTTTCTTTGAAATCATTAACGAATGGGTAGAATAATCCTACATTCAACTGTTATAATAGCTCTCTTATTAGATTAGATTGCTGCAATTGTGTTTATTACTTCCTAAAGTAATTATATTTACTTTCAAGGAGTCACTTACATATAATTGATTATTAAAAGGCCACGGCAGTATTATCTGAGAATTACCTTTGCTTTCCTGACAAGAGTTCATGGTGAAATGATACAAAAAGGACTATGACAAAGTAATTACCATTCATAACTCATTTAGTTTCCATGGGAACTGTTGAAGATACATGACTCAGCAGCAAAACAATGTGAATATGGAAATAATTAGTTACTTACTGATACATTTTCTTGTAGACCATTGCACTTGTTAACAGAAGAGGTGGGTTCTGAGAACACAGAAGACAAAAAGTCGGGATTGGCTGCTGCATCCTCACTGCTATTAGAATAAGAAACTGGACATTCTAAAACTCTAGGGGTGTCTTCCTGGATGATTGAGTTCTCCGAGCACAGGCTTTCAAAGGCTATACTATGCATAATATCAACTTCTGAGAAGGGTGTTAGGGAAATACTCGCTTGAAAGTCTAAATTTTGGTTCTCTTTTCTCATATTCTCAGGAGAATCCCACCAAGTTTTATTCATGATTATATTCTGAAAGCAATTTGGTATTGTTTGAGAGATTTGTGAGTTTTGAGAATCCTGATTTGATTGCCACATATTTTTAAAAAGAAGTTTCAGATTTTGCTGTACTTCATTATGATCTGTTTGCTTCCTCTGAATAAAAGGGATGTCTTGCAGTTGTTTATTGTGAATATTTGGATTTCTGCTAATCTGCAGATTAGTCACACTATCTTCTTCCTGTAAAATAATACAAATCTTTAGAAAATTGCTGTAAATTGAATACTTCCTAACATTAGCTGAGATAAAACAGAAAATAGGGAGCTTTGTGCAAACATGCTTTCTATAAAAGAAAATGAAGCACAACTACATTTCTCAGTATGAATTCAGAAAAGTTTATTTTTCCTAGTCATCTAGCATTCAGTGATACTTCAAAGTTAACTTGTTTGAAATTTCCTAAAGTTGTGGTATTTTCCCCCCAATTAGGTATACTGACCCATTCTTTTGATAATATGTTTAGAGTAAGTCTGTAAAGATGCATCATAACAATATTAAGTTTTGGTATGATGGCTTGGCAAGAGCCTTGGTAGTACAGGGGTTTAAGGCACCTTGTTATTAAGCTGGTTATTAAGACCAGCTGCCTGCAATTACTGCAGGGTTCGAATCTCACCAAGGCTCAAAGTTGACTCAGCCTTCCATCCTTTCTAAGGTAGGTAAATTGAGGACCCAGTTGTGGGGGCAATAAGCTGACTTTGTATAAATATACAAAAGGATGAAGGCTATTGCTGAGCACATTGTAAGCCGCCCTGAGTCTTCGGAGAAGGGCGGCATATAAATCAAATTAAAAAAAAAAAAAAAGCTAGTATTACTGGTGATAGGCACATTCTGCTTACTGAAAAATGATTGATAATTTTCCTATACATCTGAGTTTCTTTTAACGATGTTTATCTTAACCTCTGAGTCTATTAAAGATTTAGCAATAATTGGGGTTAATACCTACCAGTGGGAATGAAAAATCAGCAGATGCGGAAAGCATATTACTTAAATCTTCCCCTTTCTCTTTTTCTTCAGAGGAAAATAAGGCATGAACATCAAGGGTATTAGGACATGCAACTTTTTTCTGGTAATTGTCTCGGTCATTTTCCATAGGGATCTTCAGCTGTGAGTGAAACAGATCTTTTTCAGACCTTAGTAATTCTAGTTCTTCCACCTTTTTCTTAATTTCAGCCTTCAGTTCTGCAACAGTAACTTGAAGTTCACTTATCTTTCTTTGATAAGTGATCTCGTTATTGTGCAGTGCTTGTGTCATAATTTTAAATTCATTTTCAAGTTTCACAATATTTTCGGTTGTATGCTGAACTTTAGCTGCTTGCTCTACATTCTGCTCTGACACTATTTGGAGTTGTAGTTCTGTCTCTAACAGTTTCATTTCTCTCTCTCTTCGGTGAACTTCAAGATCCTGACTACATGAATTCATCTCTTTCATTTCATCTTCCTTTTGCATTACATACACCTTCAGAAGCATGTGTTGTTCTTGCATTTCTTTGTATAACAACTGTAAAGATGCTAACGCAGAACAGTGCTGCCTAGAAGATTCCTGAACATTTTCAAAATTTTGTTCTAGGATTTTAAATTCCATTTTAAACTGAGATTCTTTTTCATTAAGCAGCTGCTGCAAAGTTTCTTTATCCATCAAAGACATTTCTAGTTGTTTCTGAAGTTCATTCTGACTGCTACTAAGCCATACACAGTTGTCATCACCTTTTTCGTTTTCTAAAAGACTTTGTGACCCTTCCTTAAATTTATTATCAAGATTCTCTTCTGGTTCTTCCAAAGAAAAATAATTTGGATTGCCTTGCCCATTTTCAATTTCATGATAAATAGGTATAAGAGCTCCTGACTCCTCCTGAAGCTTCTTAATTACTTTACGAAGCTCTTCGATTTCATCTTCTTTATTTCTTAACAAATGCTCCTTCTCACTACGAAGTTCTTCTATAGTTGATTTCATGACTTCGGTTTCAAGCATTTGCTTTTCCAGAACCTGAAATATTACTATGCATTAGTTCTGACGTATCTTTTTATTTTTAAACATATATTATAAACATATTTTATTTTATGTGATCTATGTGGACAGATCTTTTTAAGATCTTTTGGTGGCGCAGCAGACTAAAGTGCTGTTAAGTAGCACCAGCTGCCTGCAATTACTGCAAGTTCAAATCTCACCAGGCTCAAGCCTTCCATCCTTTCGAGGTAGGTAAAATGAGGACCCGGATTGTGGGGGCAATAAGCTGACTTTGTATAAAAAAGAACACCGCGGGGGGGGGCGGGGTGGTGGTGAAAACCCTACTAAGCAGGTATATACAAAAGTATGAAGGCTATTGCTTAAAGCATTGTAAGCCGCCCTGAGTCTCCGGAGAAAGGGCGGCATATAAATCGAAACAATCAATCAATCAATCAATCAATCAATAATTTTAATATTGTGAAGTAGAAACTAATTAGAAACTCAAATAAAAATGTGATTGTGGGCTGAAAAATGATGACTCAAGCAGATAGTCCTCAACTTACAGATAGTCCTCAACTTACATCAGTTCATTTAGTGACTGTTTAAAGTTACAATGGCACTAAAAAAAAGCGAATTTATGACCATTTTTCACACTTATGACCACTGCAGCATCCCCATGATCATCTGATCAAAATTCAGATGCTTGTGAACTGACTAATATTTATGACAGTTGCTGTGTCCTGGGGTCATATGATCACCTTTTCTGGCCTTCTGACAAGCAGAGTCAACGGGGAAGCCAGATTCACTTAACCATGTTACTAACTTAACAACTGCAGTATTTCACTTAACAAATGTGGCAAGAAGAGTAGTAAAATTGGACAAAACTCACCTAGCAAACTTCTCACTTAGCAACATAAATTTTGGACTCAGTTGTGGTCATAAGCTGGGGTCTACCTGTATTTGTCATATTTGTCACATAAGCTGTGGTGGTGCAGTGGTTAGAATGCAGCAAGCTATCTCTGCTGACTGCTGGCTGCAGTTTAATTTTTCCCAACTCATGGTTGACTCAGCCTTCCATCCCTTCTCGGTAAAATGAGGAGCCAGATTATTGGAGGCAATATGCTGACTCTGTAAACTGCTTAGAGAGGGCTCTAAAAGCACTGTGAAAAGTCTAAGTCTAAGTGCTATTTCTATTTAGGTCAATAAATAAAATCTAGTATTTTAGAACTTTAGCAGTAGAAACTTCTAAAATAATATTCTCACTGCTTGAGTTTCTGGCAATTTTGTTGTTATATCTGTTTGAATCTCTATAATTTAATATATATCAATAGATAAGGCAAATTTTAAAAAGTGGTATTTGTTACCTCATTTTCCTTGCTACTCTCTATTTTTTGTTCCAGTCTCTCAATTTGTTCATTCAGGTGATCAGTTTCTTGATTTTTTTCTTCAAGCAAGGATTTGAGAAACTGCAGAATAACCAGCTCATTTTCACCTGGATTTTGACATTGTATGGCCAATTTTTCAATGTTTTCCTAACAGAAAAAAGGTCTGTGTTAGACAGATCAATCTATCACAATCTGTTCCTTTACTGTTGACAAAAATAAAACTGCATGCTGAAACTCCAAATATGTCCCACATTGTGGAAAATATTAATAATACTTTTTTTTAGTTTATATGTATTAAATCAGTACCTTCTCTCTTATATTTGGAACAAATTATATTTGGAACAAATTGGAACAAATAGCCTCTGCTATTAGGAATATTATGAGATAGCATAGCCTTGATTAAAACAACTTTTGGCTTGCAGATGGGTAAAATTTAACAAAATACGTTTGCACTGTTATGTAATTCTGTTCAAAAGTACAAAGCTATTGCATTTTCCTATTTTCTAGGAAATAGATTGTGTTTTCAAGATTCTTTCTCTTAGCCTTAGTAGAATCTGAGCTCAGACATCAAGCTACAAACAGGATTGAAACATAGCTTCTAAATGGGGGAAACTTATACTCCCAAGCTGAAGATACATGAGCCTTGCACTTTAAAAGCAAAATATACTTTGATGTGTGCTATATACAACATAGACATCAGTTAGCATGTAAAGTATAAAGATAATTCTGTTAAAATTTACAGCCTTCAGTGCCTCAAAATTTTACTTATATTTATGTTTTTAGGTTCCTTGCTCTTATTTGTATGTCAATGAGGACTTACTGTAATCGTCCAGGCCAAAGGTGTCTAAAGGTTGAATCATGGCAACTGGATCAATCTTTTTTAATCTGAGACGTTTTGTTGCTAATCCAAATAACTTCATCAGTCAGAGCAAAATTGCTATATTTGTATTTTTATGTCTATTTCCAAAAAATCACTGAGTGATAAATTTCTAACTCAAAGGGAGCCAGGCCGTAAAATACTACACTAGTTTCAATCTATAACAAAGTCTTATTTTTTTAAAATGAATAATGTTCCTTCAATTTTTCCTAGAAATTAGATGGGAAGTCTATCAAAACACCAATGTTAGCACTTCAACAAATGTAAATGGAAAAAACAGCTCTGCATTCCTTTCTGAAAACCATATAATGAATATAAACGTATCTGTTCTCCTAAGAAGTCCAATTTTGAACAGAGACACTGGAATTAAATTTAGGATTTGCATACCATCTTCTCCTAGTGCAATATTTCTCTAATTTTACTCATGCTTATTATTTGCTTTAAAAAAGGCTGTGCACCTAAACTAGATCTAAACTCTAGGTCTAGTTTTAATTACCGGTAATGTTTCGTGGCATTGCTACAGCAAATTCTCCCAAAAACACATTATATGTTTTCTCCGTAATTAAGGTAATTTAGAGGTAGTTTCTAGGAACACAATCTCTAAAGAAACTATTTTTCCTTAAAATTAAATTGCAGACGTACTTTCAGGTGTGCATTTTCTTCTTTCAATTGGATTAGTTTGTTGATGTTAGCATTTTTTTCCACTTCTAACTTTGATTTCAGCTGTAAGATTTCTTCATTTTTATTCATTAAATTCTCTTTAAATTTTTCAAGTTGTTCTAATAAATCAGCAACCTGAAGCAAAATGAAATTATGGAATTAAACAAACTATTACTATCTTCAGTCATTCTATCAACATATCTTTGTAAAAGTTCACATTATTTATTTATATAAATCATATATATTTCAGTTAGAATGACTCCTAAACTGTAAACATCTATCAAAAGAAAGAAAATTACACCCAGATTTGCAAACCTGAGCTAAAAACTCTCTTACAAAAAATGGTGACGAATGCGCTAGCTTCATTGTTTACAAGCAATCATCAAGGAAACCTCCAGCTTTTCTTTCTTTCCTCAGATCAGAAAAGTAAGAAAGAATTTGGAAAATGCTAAAGAAACTTAATTCTTTTTATGGGTTGTGGAAACAAATGGCATTTTGTGCAAGTATGGAAATGTTTTCTGCAGACTCCATTTAACCATGAAGATTTTTCTGAGAACTAAATAAGACCTAATATTCTTTGTATTTTAGAGAAGATAGAATCAATTGTTCCATCTGCCCATGATAGATAGAAACTAAATTGGGATGTTTCAGGAGGCAGAGATTAATGGTCGCAAATCTCATTCAGCACTGTTGTAACTTCAAACAGTTGCTGAAAAAATGGTCTTTAAATGAGGATTATCTGTATAAACATCTGCAAACAAAAGAAAAAGGATCTGTGGACTTTTACAAAAGACATTATGCATTTATAAATTATATTCTTGGAATAGGATTTTTCACTGCTAATTATATTTTCACATGAGAATAATCAACATGAAATTTGTTCCCACTGAGTTTTATTTGATGTACCTCTCTCTCTTTTGTTGTAAGTTCTTCTTGTATTTTTAGTTGTTCCTTTAGCATTATATGATCCTCATTAGTATCAGTAAGTACTCTATGTCTAACTTCATCTAGTTTAGATTGCAAAGTAGAAATCAGAATTAAATTTTTGTTATGTTGCTGCTGTAATGTTCCTTTATCCTGTAAAACATCAAAAATTGCTTGAATAAGTAAATATTGTATAAATAAATATTTTTTCATACATGTTGATGTTTTAGCTTTCTAGAAACAACAAAAGCAAGAGGCAAGTGCTGCTCTAGTCAGTAATCATGTGATCATCTTTTGAAAGGATTTTATATGTATTAATATGTAATTAATTGAAGATAATTAAAGTTCACAAAGCCCTATAATTAGGCAATCCAGTCCAATACCCCCTTCCCAGTAAAGAAAGTAGTTAAACTACTCTTTACATCTTGTTGTTGAGTACATTCAATAAAGAGAATTTCCCTCACTGTTCTGGGTAATTGGTTTCGTTCCGGAAGTCCTTTTTTGAAATATTGAACTGTTATCTCACTAACTCAAATCCATAATAAACATTTTCTTCAGTGGACTTAGCTTCTTATTCCCTTGATTATCGTTGCTACCCTTTGAACACTTGCATTTCAGGCAGGCTCCAGGAGAGAAACAGTATTGATCACACTTGTGATTTGATAATCTCGCAAAAGTGTGATAGGAATAATGCATCCATCCTTGCTCTCCTTGACCTCTCAGCACCCTTCAATACCACTGACCATAGTAGCCTTTTGGTATGGCTGCAAGTTCTAAGTGGCACAGATTTGCATTGGTTTGGCTGTTTTCTAAGACTGGTCCTAATCAGTATTGATAGACTGAAAGGTCCAGTCCCTGGCCACTCCTTTGTGACATATGCAGGGCTTGGTACTTTCTGCGCTCCTCTTTAACATCTACAGATAGCTGCTGGGAGACATCATCTATCACTTTGGGATGAGGCATCATCAATTTTCTTGACAATACTCATATTGTCATCCAGGTGACCCACATGTTGCTATTGCTACCATCTTGCAGTACTTGGAGGTTATGGGGTCTGGATGGGAACAACAGACTTTGGTTAAACTCTGATAAGACTCCAAGTGGCTATAGTTTCATGGATCCTCTTTAGTTCTGGATAGGGTTGCACTGCACCAGAGAGATCCCATGCACAACTTGGGGTTCTTCCTAGACTCACAACTCTTGCTTGAAGAAGGCAGTTGTAGCTAGGAGAAACTCTGTGCAATTTTGTGTTGCATGCTAGTTGCGCTCTTTCCTGGATCATGGGTCCCTGCAATCAATCTCTCAGGCCTTGGTCATCTTGCAATGTGATCAGCAGAAGTTGGTGAATAATTCTTTTGTTTCATTTTTGTTTCCTAAGCTGCATAGTCCAACTACATTTTTGTCAATATCTCCATCTTCGGCATTCCAGTCTCCAATCATATGCAACTCATCTTGCTTACATGTTGTGTTCGCTTTCAGATTGAACTTGACCATAAAACTCATCAACCTCCTTTTCTTCTACATCAGTCATTGAGTATAAACTTGGATAATCTTCATATTAAAGTCCAAGAAGTCTAATTGGTATTATTTGGTCACTGTTTGCATTATATCCATTGTCCTTGCTAAATCCTTCCTGAAGCAATGCTGTACTTTTTTGTTTTTCATGTCCTAGCTAGTGAACAGTATAATCTTTTGACTGAAAATGTCCAATCCCAGACCATTTCTATTTGTTGATGCTTAAGATATCAATAAACAGTTCACGGATATCATATTTTATTGCATTCAGTTTTTCCATGATCATGTTCTTTATGTTCCATATTTCCACTATAATTCTTCTTTCCCGCTTTAATTTCACTGGACAACTTTTTTCAAAAGTTTTGCTTTCTGGAAACCTTCTGATGATTATCATAGATTCCTTCAAACTGAACACAAATATAATTTCAGGAGGACATATCACATAGGAATCTTGAGAGTATGAAATTAATTTTCAATTATTATAATGTATTTAGTTACTAATATTTCTGACATGCTGCATGAGTTCAACAGGGGCAGAAGTGTTTAGCTGATGATTTTGGTTTGTACTCAAGTGCCAGTTGCTCCTCACTGCAGTGTTTAACAATAGCCAGCCAGCCAGTATTAATGGATTCCAGTTGCCCTGATATCATTTTTTGATTACGGCAGTATCCTAATGAAAATCTTCATGTTTTTCACTGACTGCACCTAGATTTTGGGGAAAGAAGTCCAAGAGTGAATACAGAAAATGAATCTTAGTGACATTTTGAATTCCATGGTCACATGTGCCATAAGAGGTTTGTCAACCAGATGAATGTATGTTGGTGCTCTATAGTTGCCAAGAAAATTCTCAACATCTTCCCTGAATGCATTCCAGGCAATTTTCTCTAGCCTGACTAACAGATCTTTGAATTGCTTGACACTAATAATGTATCTGATCTGTGGACCAACAAAAGCCTTCCTTAATCTTGGCATCAGTTATTCTTGGAAACAACATTTTTAATCAGTGAGTTTTATGTAAAGTGGAGGCAAAAATATTTGCCGTGTCAACAAGGGTTCATGGGCCACATTTTTCTCTCCTGGAACCAAATTCTTTCAGAGTGGTCATTTCTTTTTAATGTAAGGTGACCCTCTTGCACGGCTGTCCCATCTGCATATGTAACAACAGTACTTGGTATATCTGAGCTGCATTTCAAGCAGCAGAGCCACTACTTTTGGATCTCCATAGATATTTCAGTTGCATTTGGTGTACTCGATGTGCTTCAACAACAGTTCCGTTTTGCCATTATGTAAAAACAGAAGATTTCTATAGAACATTAAGCAATAGGTTAAATTACAGGTTATTTTTGTGATTAGCAGCCAAAAATCTGTAAGACATACCCAAAAGTGTTCAGGAAGCAAAATCTTCATTATCCAGTGTTTTCACTGTGTCCAGTGTCTGCACAGAAACATCAGCAACTGGCTATCCTGAATGCTTTAATCTAACCACTTCACTGATACTGTTAGATCCTCAGCATTTTCTCAATACGATGCTGAGTGCATCTGACCTGAGAGAACTAATGTCTGGCATTATACTGGCAATCACTTTATACTGTATAACCGAGTGATTTTCTTGATAAAATAAAGAAATGTTTTTGCAATTGCTTTCTTCCATATAAAATGAAATGATACTTTGGCCATAGTTACTAAAGTGATCATCCACTGCAAGCATCTACCCAATATACAGTAGGTACCTATTTACTTTACCTGACCAGCTGGGATGACCATCAAACCTTGATGAGAATATATTCTTACGCTCTTATCAAGAAAATTACCAATAATAAAAATGAGATATGATTAATAAACAAAAACCTATTCAAAATAAGGGGGGCATGGTGGCTCAGCATTAAGATGCTGGGCTTGACAGCTGGAAAGCTGGCAGCCCAGGTTCGAGAGCAGAGCACCATGTGACAGGGTGAGCTCCTGTCCTCGCCCCAGCTCTTCCCAACCTAGCACTTTGAAAACATGCAAATCCGAGATACATAGGAACGACTTTGGTGGGAAGGTAACATCGTGCTGGCCACATGACCGCCAAAATGTCTTTGGACAATGCTGGCTCAATGGCCTTAAAACAGAGATAAGCAGTTCCCCCTTAGTTGGCAATGACTAGTGAAGTAAAATCTGAAGGGACCCCTTTACCTTTTATTCAAAATAAACAGATATTCCCTGATTATATTTCAATCAGTCATGTGCTTTCAGACCTCTTCCTGCCCCTCACAATGCTTCCAAATACATGCCCATGCCTCTTAGTAGACCAAGCCAAAATAGTTGAGTAGCTACATTTTTCTTTACTACCTGTTTGCATTTTCCCATCTTCATTGAGAAGTTTGTACATTTGAAAAAAAGCGCACAATTTCAGTTATTAGCTGTCCTGTATAAATTCCAAACCCTTTACTAAAAATATAATATTACAAAATTAAGCTTACTTCTTTTAATTCAATTTCCTTCTTTTTCATTTTTTCCAGTTCCTGCATATGTTTATCAACATTCTTTGCCACCTCCTTATTCAGACACTGTAACTCCCTGACCTGTCCTTCCAACTTTTCTATTTCTTCATTACGAGCAGCAAGGAGTTCCTCTATTTGCTCTTTTTCTGTAAAAAGTCTGTTATAATCATCCGCTCTCTCTTTTATTTCATTGTGGAGTGATTCTACCTATAAAGACAAATACAAAAGAAACACAAACGATAAGAAAATAATCACCATATTCCTAATATTTTTACTTTGATTAATCTAATGTTTCAAATCAAAAGCTGCTCCTTGGCAGTACTAAAAACCCGAAGGCCTATATTCAGTTAGCTCCTGCTCAAAGTATTTTGCTCCAAGGCAACTGGAGACTCTCTGAAAGATCCCAAGAGATTACAAGGAAGAAAAAAGATAAATCTTAATGCATGTATGGTAGTCAAGTCATTATACTTCATCCTGTAATGTAGACAATTTATATATTCAACATATTCTAGTTTTAATGATACAGTCATATAAATGCTAAGATACACATAGGTCTCATGTAGTCCTGCCTTGCATCAGAAATGAATGGGGGGGGGGAGGCTTAGATAAAACAGTATGCCTAATTATAATTAATTAATATGCATCTTTAACTTTTCAATGTTTAATGGCTAGTGGTACTATTGATATAACAAAAAGGATGAAGGCTATTGCTGAGCACATTGTAAGCCGCCCTGAGTCTCCGGAGAAGGGCGGCATATAAATCAAATTTAAAAAAAAAAGTTGATTTTAGAGCTTTATTATGTACTGTATCTTATTGCACTGAAAAAAGTAAGAAATTACTGCTTTTTGTTTCTTTTTAAAAATTTTCTCACTTCCCTCACTTTATCTCCTCTATCCCCTTTCTCCATTGTCTTTATTTCTATTTCTATTTTATATTAAGAGAAAACTTTTAATAAAATAAAATTAAAAAAAGATTATGATCCAGACATGCCAGGTGTTATGATTACAACATTGCAAGCTGCACTCATGTGATTGCCATTTGTGATATTCCCTGGTTTCCCAGAAACAAAGTCAATGGAGAAGCTGAAGGGAATATCACAAATTGCTCTTGCTACCTCCCCCCACCTCCCCCAAGGAACTCCTTATGGAGTATGAGATCAAAAAAGGTAGCAGGAGCAACTTGTGATCTACCCTGTCAGTTCTGGATCATAATCTTTTTTAATTTTTAATTTATTTTGAATCTCTTACTCTATAGCACTGTGCCTGCACTGAATAACATTACCCCATACATCTATGGCTTCCACCAATCTGTATAGTCTCTGCTTATCCACTTATGCCCTCTGTTGGCCCTTCCAAGATCTCCAATGATCTGCATGTAGCCAGCAACTGCCTTGTAAAGGGCCAGGCCATATGCACTTTGTCAGCAGTGGGAGGAAAAAGACAAAGCTGGTGGAGCATGCATGGCAAAGGGCAGAGCAGCAGTAGTGTAAAAAGAGCATAGGGTAGCAGGGACAGCAAAGATGGCAGAGTGTAGGCTGGCCAAAAGAGTAGAGAAAAGGGGGAAATAGGCAGGTGGGAAGAGTTGAAGCAGAGGCAACAACAGCAGAAGTGTGAGGTTCTGTGTTGTGACTCCGACTCCTGAGCCTGTCCTCATGGAGGAAGAGGACTCAGAAGGTGAGGGGGAGGAACTGACAAGGCCTCCCTCTCCAGGACCCTCCTCTCTGGCAATGCCTCAGGTTCCATCCAAAGGCCAGGGAAACAGCCTAGGATGGGCCAGGAGGAAGGCATTTCGGAGCACCCATTGATAGAGAGTGATAATGATGAATCCTGGCTTGATCCCAGGCAGCATTGGAGGGAGAAGCGTGCGCAGCAAAGGAAGAGGCGTGGGAGGGCCAGGAATTGAGCTGAGTCACTGAGCCACACCCCACAAGGGATAAAAGGGGGCGTGATTGCTCAGTAGGCTTTGTGACGGACAAAAGTTTTAACTCTAAAGAGTCACATGGTGAATCCTGCACTTCGACTCAGATATATTTTGGACTAAACTCTTGTGGATAATTTGTCACTCTGGAAACGGATTGCAGATAAGGCATCTCCTGCTTTTTGGGAGTACTAATTGGACTTGGCAGGCGTTTTACAGTAATCTGCCAGAACTCTCGTCTGCCAGGAATTCTGGTCTATTTATACAATAAATTATTGGCAGGCGTTTGATACTGCATTTGTCTGTGTGAGGATGGGGGACAGAACATTCTGGTCTAATGACTGCATGATTCTGGTCTAACAATAGTAACTGAGATTACTGAAATTGATCTAGGACAACTCACCACGGCCAACATACTGCAGCCAACTCACTATGGCCAACTTGCCATGGGACAATTCAATGCTGTTTTAATTGTTTCATTCAGTTACTTTTATTATTCGTGACCATTTTTTTGTCAAAATTATTTTAACTCTTGTATTTCTGGATTGACTTTATTTTATTATTTGCCACAGTCACATTGAAATTAATTTAAATTTTGTATTTGTTGAATTATCCTGTGGCGAGTTGTCCCATTCCATACTGAAACTGCCAAACGGTGCAGTCATATGAAGTTTCGCTTGAGAAGCGCTTAGCTTAACGATGGAAATTTTGGGCCCAACTAGGGTCATTAAGTGAGGATTACCTGTAAGGATTTCATTGCAGGAACCTTTAAATGCTCCATGATAATGAGGAAAGTGAATCAAGTTGACTGATTAATTTATAGCTGGTTCTGATCTTCATAAAGCCTATATACTCTAGATTGCCACATTTCATAAAATGATACTAGAAAAAGCTTGGGAAACTATGGCATTAGAACACTACTTTGATTTCTATTCCTCGTTCTGCCAGTAAGCACTCATCAACTTCATTTACTCATTGCTGATTAGAAGCAAAAAAATTGGAGGAAATGAGTGAGCCTATAAAGTTTCACTTTCTCCCTGAGTGCCTCTAATTCATTTCCTTTTATTTGGGAAAGTCTACTAAAATTGTGGCCTGAGAGGCTTCAATTCTGCCATCCTGTAGCTGAATTTACTTTTTCTCTGTTAAATCTTTTAAAATCTTTTGGTGCCCATGGTACATCAACAAAATGGTGTAAAACAAAACATTCATACTGAACTCATTGGAACACCATATCCTATTGTAATGGAGCATAGTTTTCCTATTTAGCCTGCATACAATCACAGCAGATCATATTTGACTTCTAACATTCATTCTTCTTCATTTTGATAGATTCTCTTAATGCTTGCTTCAAGCACAAGGCTGCCCAGCCAACAAAATACTTATATTGTAAGTTAACACTAAAAATAGTTTTGATATGCAATGATTTTACTCACCAAATAGGTTCTGGACTTTCCAGAAGCTTGGGATTTTGTTGTAAGTTTTAATTCCATTTCTAGTTTCTGAATTTCTTCTTGAAACTCATCACGTTCATGTTCTCTTTCAATAGCTTGCTTCTGTTAAGAAAATGAAAGTTAATTTTACAGATATTAGAGTCTATTTTAGATTTCAAACCAAATCAAAATAATTTAATTACTAATTTTTAACATTTATTTTTTTCATAGATTAGCATAATTTTATACTTTGCGAGAAACTTTTAAGTCAGAGTGCTAGAAAAAAAAAATATTCCAAATTTTTATACATGTTTTTCTTACATCCATGAAATCTCTCTGATTTTTCAGCTGTCTTTCAAGAGTTTCCATTTGTTGTCTTAGGTCAATAACTTCAGATGCCATTGCAGCTAGATTTTGATTTTTGTTTAACTGGTCTTCAAGTTCAATCTCCAAGATTTTCATCTGTGTATTCAAGTTTGAACAATCTTTCTCTGCTTGACACTGCAATTCCAAATTTGTTTTTGCTAGACGCTCTATCTCTTTGATTAATTCTAATACATAAAGGAAAAAAAGCAGTACCAAGAACATAACATTTTTCAAAATTCATAATTTTTAAATTAGTTATATATCATAAATTAATCTTTTTTTCAATACACTAGAATTATAATTATGACTGAGATTGGCATCTAACATTGTCTTGGCAAGGCCCAGAATTGACTGCATGTAATACAGGGAATAAGAATCTAACTACTTTTTCCTTTGTAAAATATTCTGTAATATAGCTGTACAAAGAGGATTTTGGGAAGTTAAAGTGGAAGTTATAGCCACCTAACTCTGATGCCTATCATCATTGCTAGTAAACCTATAAGGAGCAAAAGAGGAGGGTTAATGAGAAGAAAACTTCACCATAGCTTCCCCAAATTTCAATCAGTTTTTGTGAAAAGGTTATCCTCATTCTCCCCAGATCCATGTATAATCATGTCTATATGGTATGGGTCACAATGCAAATGAATCTTTCAAGAAACATGAACATTTTCTAAAGTCGTTAATAAAAATATTATTGTTAGAATTAACACTTGTGCTGCAGTTTAACCAACATAAATACTATTGCCTACTTTTGTTTTAAGTAGATACAATGAAAATTACATTAACACTGGCAGCAGTCTTATTCTCCAGCCAACATTTACATAAATTACATAAATTACATATTTAATATAGTATTATATATTTCATTTCATACCAACTTCTCTCTTTCCCACATTGGCAGCCAAAGCTTTATTTTGACTTATTAGTAATTTTTGTTCCTCTGCAAATCTTGCATTATGCTGGGTTAACTTCTGAATCTGTGCTTTAAGTTTTTCCAATTCTGCAATGAGACGATGCTCAGATTCTTCTTTAAGTTTTAAAGCTTCTTCCAAATAATGTCTTTCTGTTAAATAACCTTCAATGAGACCTATAACTCAAAACAGAGTAACATTTGAATTATTATTGAACAACAGTAAAATAATTTATACAAAATAGTAATATAATAACTGTTAGTGCTTAGCCCTACTAAGCAGGTATATACAAAAGTATGAAGGCTATTGCTTAATGCATTGTATGCCACCCTGAGTCTACGGAGAAGGGCGGCATATAAATCGAACCAACCAATCAATCAATCAATCGATCAATAATGCTAACATTCTCTATGTGTAGGATTCTATATGCAGGGAGTCTGTCTTTAAAATGTCAATTTCACTATATGTAATTGTTTACCATTTATTCTAATTATAACATTAAACCACCATATAGTTAAAGCATCAGATGGCAGTATAATCAGCATAGCATGAGATAATCTTTTTTTCCCATGTAATATACTGTGCTCTGCAATATTATAACACCATAATCAAAATACTCCTCCCTTAAAACTTTCTTGTTGTTATTTATTTCTGACTTCTTTTAATTTGATGGATGTAGTTTAATCAGAAATATCTGTCATTGGTTGCTTCTGCCTGCATTATCAATGACAGCTCTCTAACCATTTTGGCTTCTTTTTCTGTTGTTTTAAATTTTTTCAATTATTAATGTCTTTTCCAATAACTATTGCCTTTCCATTAAGTTTCCATATTTAACCTTTTGCTTCATTATTAGTATTTCAATTGAGGATTCTGACTTTACATCATCCAACACTGAATGATGTTGTGGTCCAAGTATTCTCAATTTTTCCAGATTGAGCAAATATCAAATTTTAAAATGGGCTGGATCTGTAAGTTGCAGAGAAAAACACTCTAGTTGTAAGTTGCAGAGAAAAACACTCTAGTAAATATATCAGTGCATTCCTATAGGAAATGTAGTTAAGCAGCTACTAAGTGTTGCTGACCGCTCCATTTTAAGTCTCTTCTCTCTGATCACATGATCCAGGCTGGAATATATGCTTCCCACTATCCACATTCCAAGTCCTTGAAATACATAGATGCAATGTACTAATTTGTTATTCTAAAACAGTACTGACGCCTCACCTCTTATAGCCAGTTCTGGTAAAGTGTGGCAGAAAGAATTGTAGAAGCCATGTTTTCCCTATCTTCTTTATTAATTGACAAATTAATAGCTCATATTTCTCAGGAATAATCCAGTACTCAATTGATTTTTACTACTGTACCTAAATTTTTAACTGAATTCTACTGTCCAATTATGAGGATTAGCAATAAAGAATAGAATGAATGAAATTATATATAATAGAGTCAAGTGAAAACTTTAGCAACTGGAAAAACATGTTGCTATAGTAGCAAAATTCCAGTATTTATTCAATGTTTATGGCTCTCTACTTGCTAAGAATTTTCCTCCTCTTCATGTAATTGTGGCCAGGTCCATGATCCATTACTGGGAAGTTTAGCTTGCTTACCTTTTGCTTTATGAAGCTCTAACACAAGTTGATTCTGCACTTTACTCTCTTCATTAAAACAGTCCATTAATTCGTGCTGTTCATTAAATGTTTGGCATGATTCCCAATTCTTATTCTTGCATTCCTCTTTAATCTTACTATGGATATTGTGCATTTCCTCCAGCTTCCAAACAAAGAGATTTAAAAGACAATGAAAATATGTACTCTGAGAGACAACCTGAAGTCTTAGATTGCACCTAGTCCCCAAATCCCTCTTATAGCTGTCACCTGAGATTATTATCAAAATCTGATGGCAAATGACTAAATAGTAGCACAATTCCTAGTGCTTATTGGCGGGAAATATATCTAGAAAGCTGATTTCTCCCTGCCCTCTTCCAAGAATCCAATGAAAGAAAGGATAAGGAATCCTAGCTTTGTCAGTAACATAAACATATCAGCATTCTGTAACTATTTTAAATTTAAGTACAGTACCTTCAAAGGAAAGATATTAAATTGTAGTGAAGTTTCATCTATACTCATATTTTTCTTACACAAAAACAATTTGTAGATAGGAAATTTTATATATAAAATTTGAAACCCTGAAGGTTGTGATCCTTGGGAGACTGAGCATCCAGGTGTGTATGTCACAATTAAAATAATGCCTTAGGCATGGTGTCATGTTTGGACTTTGGAGTATTGGTAAGATAAGAATATAAGTATCCACCTGCTTCCTTTTTGAAGCAGAAAAAAGGGTTTCTAGGGTTTTATGAACCATCACCAAGATTAAATTCTATGTTATATTATAGAATATTATTTGAAAGGAACGTTTACACTTCCATAATGTTTTTATTATACAAAATGTTTAATTTATCTATTAGATTATCATTATATCTAAAATGCCATTAGTTTTGAAAATGTTAAACTACTAAAAATAAAGTAAAGCTATTAATATATTTAGTGGACTGGAGTTTTAGTACAATTGAAATGGACAATTTCAATTTCTTAAGAAGCGTAAGTGATATTTAATCATATGGCAAAGCATTATTCAATAATGATTGATAGATACTGACCAATGATAGTTGGGTTTCATGTATCTCAGAATTCTCAATTGATGTGCCATGCAATAATTGTACTCTTTAGAATGTCTATAACACTATTAGTAATGTTGGGTATTTTTACTTGCTATGTTTCATAAAGCTACATTGATCTCTCACTGTTTTATTTAATCATATTGCTGAGCATGTAGTTATTTGCTTCACTTATGACCATTCATTCAGCGACTGTTCAAAATTATAAAAATGCTGAAGAAAGGACATGCAATCTGTACTCAAATTTATGGATGCTGCAGTGCATCCATGGTCACATTATGATAATTTGGGCGCTTGGCAATCCACCTGCCATTCTGACCAACCACAAGGACACTGCAACTGCCCCACTGATCTATCACCACCCCACCTCTGTTTTGCCAGATCCCAGAGGCCCTGGGTCTCCTCCCCACTTAGTCATGCCTTACTCCACTTTGGAAAATCACACCCTCCTGAGATCCTGAAAATAGTGCCCACTTCCAAAATGCCATCCACTTCTGGGATGGCTCTAGGTGGCTCTGTAGGAAGGCCCTGTATCACATTGGCTGGATGCTCTTTCAAGAAAGGTGACCTTCAGAAGAGGTAAGCAGACAAGGCGTGATGGGATAGGGTGGAAGCTCAAGGTCTGTTGTTCCCAGTGGGGTGGGAAGCTGTGCAAGGTTGCCTAAGGAATGGGGGCGCCTTGCACACACCGCGTATGAGCTGGGAGAGATGCTGCAGAGTGGGCCTATGCCTATGCCAGGTCTCCCAGGAACCCACTCCCATCCTGAGGCACCCTGCAGTCTGCTTAACAACCCCGAAAGAGAGAGCAGGGATTGTGGTCTTTAAGCAGGGCAGTCATGCAGGTGTCTGTTAATAACCACAACAATTTATCACTGTAATTCCAGGCTCAATTGTGGTCATAAGGCGAGGACTATCTTTATTTAAAGTGCTATACTGAAGACTGTTTGAGATGCAATAACATGTGAACTATACATAACAGCAGCATATCAATTCAAGAACTTATCTCCCTTCCCTCCATTGATATAAAAGAATAGGTCTTTAGCACTGCCTGGCTTCCCATGCTATTAATATATAAAATTTAATTACTACTTAGCTAAATAAAAGTATTTTACTTGTTTGGTTGATTCAGCAAGCATATCAAGAAGTTTCTCCACAGCGATATATAAACAACAGCCAATTTTTTTAATCCTCTCTTCATTTTCAAATATAAGTTCTGGATTTTCAAAAATACTTTCACATAAATGCTCACTCAATTCCAAAGAATCAAAGCTGTGTTCCAGTAGTGTTTGATCAGGAGCTTCACCTGTTCAATAAATTGATTTTTAAAATGTAAGTTTAAAAAACATAGAAAAACATTTTATTATATTTTGCTAATAAAATTTTATAAACCAAGTTACAATTCAACTGAATTAAAATTATTACAGAATTGTCACTGTGCAGAATTCAGCATCTATAATAGAATTAGTTTTTAAAAGAGTATCTTTACACGTAACTTTCCTGCATTTAAAATATTCAAGAGATTCTGTTCTGATTGTTTTACGCTACTTGTTGTTCTTAGTATTTTTATATTTACTATTTAAAACTGTATCTGCAGATGTTTTTATTTTTTACTGGTGTTGATTGGATTTTATTGATTTTAGTATATTCTTTTTTGTACATTTATTATATTGCTTGGTAGCTTTTTTATCCCCACAGTGCTTCTTTCTGCACATTCCAAATGTAAAACATTTGACAGAGTCTAATTATGTCTCCACAGGAGGATCCCATATAAGGTATGGATATTTCTCATTCTCAATCAATAAGACCTTCATAATGAGTCCTTAAAATCTGGTTTAGAGGGTTTAAATAAATTCATAGCCATGTGAAGAACTTCATTTAGAGTATTCTTCTTGTTTTCTGTGGTTTACAATATCAAATTGAATCCTTGGTAAAAGAAAATTTTAAGTATTGACCAACTATAGTTCAGAATGATAGCTGGACTTACTGTAAGGCATTTGACTAGCCACTGAAAGATGGATCTAGGAGGGAAGGCTTAACTGCATCTCTTCTAGTTTAGGTCTATGATTTCCCCGTCCAATGGAAGAAATCCCTTCCCATCAGACTTCATCAATAGCAACTAAGTTGCAAATGAGATGGGAATGGGACAATTTATGAGTTAGCATTAAGTGACTAACATGTACATACAGGTAGTCCTTGACTTACAATAATTCATTTAGTGACGGTTCAAAGTTACAGCCACACTGAAAAAAGTAACTTATGACCATTTTTAATACTTATCACCATTTTCAGCATCCCTCATGGTCAATTCAGATGCCTGGCAACCAACTTATATTTATGACAGTTGCAGTATCCCAGGGTTATGTGATCACCCTTTGTAAACTTCTGATGAGCAAAATCAGTGGGGAAGCCAGATTCATGTAACGACCTTGTTACTAACTTATCAACTGCAGTGATTCATAACTGTGGCAAGAAAGGTTGCAAAATGGGGCAAAACTCATTTAACAAATGTCTCACTTAGCAACAGACATTTTGGGCTTGATGTGATTGTAAGTTGAGGACTACCTGTATTGATCAGATACTGCTTTTATTTTATGGGCCACTGATATCTCTACTTTTTTTTTTCAACCCAGGATGAATATGAATAGTTGTAGCTAATCATTTTAATTAAATAATTAAATGATTAATTAATTAAATGGTTTATTTATTTATTTAATGTGGGTGGCATGCAAACCTAGAAAAAAACATAAAATTAGATAGACAGCTCAAACTAAAATCCAAACTGATGTATAAGGCCTTATATTTCTACAGTCTATATAACATACCCCCTCCTCTCAATCGGTATAGTAAAAGCCTACGAAGCTGATTCAAATAAATCTAAAAAAAATTAATATGGCAAAGAAGAAATAAAAGTAGGACTATGTAACTCCAAGTTCTGCTGCCTGCCTGATAACCTCTCCCCCCACCCCAAAAGGTAATGCTATATTTGAACAGGGTCTAGTAAAGACTATAATATATTCCAGAAAGAAAAAAACCATCAACATAAATGTCTAATCCTCATATCAAAGACTGTTTTTTGTTCTCAGGTCTTTTCATTTGCATCCTACATCCAGGCTCATATCAGTACTCAGAGAAAACTGCAAAATAATGAAGGTGCTCTCTTTCTTTTTGTCATTTAGAAAGGCAGCTCAACGGATTTCAATGGTAGTGATTAAAAGAACAAAAGCAAAAGAAATTTGCAACAGTAGGTTCCTTTCATTGACAGCAATTAAACACACATTTAGCACTCCCAGGACTGGGAAAATTGGGCTGGCAGCTCTGCCACTAAGCAAAGTGGTTGCTAAGTGGGAAATCACCTGACCATGACTAGGCTGGGAAAAGGGGCTGCCTATAGAAATGGTTTGCTTTTCTTCATAGAACCCCCTGCAGAGCAGAGATTGGAGAGGAAGAGATTTCAAGAGAGTAAGCTATTTGCTTACTACACATCCCGAGCAATGCCAACAGCAGGAAAGGGTTAGTTAGGCAAATGATAATCTGCCTACACAAAGCTCTTAGTTACCTCCCACCTGGCAGAGTGGAGAGACTGGACAAAAAGAGATTTTAAGAGAGTACTTATAAACAGTTATGTATAGTGTGCCCAGGGCTGATAGCCCAATCACATTGCTTTCAATGTGTAGAAGAGCAAACAACTTATTTTCTTGCTATCACTTTCCTTCCAATCTCTCTGCAAGGGGGCCGGGGGGGGGGGCAGCACAGGGAAGGAATAGGACAATGCATATTGAATATAATGGCAATCACATGAGTGAGGAATACTACAAAGGATGTAATTGAGCAAAGGTTTTTTTTCAGCATGATCATAACTTAGAACAGTCACTGAACAAATGGTTGATAAACAAAGACTACGTGTACAGCAAAGCTATGGAAGACAGCAAGAACATGGTTGCAAAACTCTGTCAAATAATTTATTTTCTATTCTACTTATTTACCCTGGCAAATTCTATTGTTTTTCTTTAATTTCCATAGCTCTATTGTTTTCAATGGGTGTGCAAGTACTGTTTCTTCAGATATGATCTCTTGTAACTCTCCAGATGCCAAGCTGTCATCAAGACAAAGGTCAATTTTCTTGCAGATAAGATCTTCCATATCTTTTGTGGACTGCACCATTTTCAGAAGTAATTTCAAAGCCTGCTGACGAGATTTTTGTAGTTTATCCCTACAACAAAACATTATAGATTGAATTGTTCTGTTTGCCATTTCCACTGATTACCTCTTCTTCCCACAATGATTTCTTCCTTATTAGAAAACAGGAAGCAAATTAAAGCAAAAGCAAAAATAAATGTTTACATGTTATGTATTTATTAGAAGCTATACAGGAAAGGCTAAAATAGGTGTAATTCTTATACCATTTCTCCCACAAATTATCCCTAGTCAAGAACTTTTCTAAAATAAAGTTGAAAATTATAATTTTATTTGTAATTTTGTATTTTATTTAGGTATCTAAAATTACAACTTTGGATACAAAAAAGCAAGCAAGACAAGTTATATTTCAGCTAAAATTATTCTTCCTACCAACACAAAACAAAAGTTAAAGTTTTGATATGCATCATATCCAGGTGACTCATTCTACATTGACCTGACACAGAAACACCCAGAAATTTAAGTTTTACAAATGACACTAAGATCTAAGGGTGAATAAGGATATTTGTCACTTTCTTAGGAAACTGGATTAGTAGATCAAACAATTCAAGATGGTATGCAGCAGCCTACTGAATAGCACCAAGGAACAGAATGCAAGGAACAGTTAATAAATAAGGGCAAAAAAGAAAGTTGCTCCAGGCTTTCCTATTAATAACTTCCATTAAGCATACTGTATATTTTAATTGTATTAATACTTAACCCTTTAGCATAAAATTTCCTTTTCTCCATTTGGTAAAAATGTGCATCTTTCCTTGTACTGCCAAAGATTTCCAAAGTAGGCTTATGCACCTTACCAGTTGATTTATAACAGCTTACTATCCCATAGAGATTAGTTATTGCTCTTTAGTGTTTAGGCTATCAGTTGGAAAAGCACTGAACAAGATTTTAAAATTGGACCAAGGGAAAAAAGTCTCATGTAGGAGGAACACTATGGTCCCTAGGTTGATTGTCTCCAGAAACCACGAAGATCTCAAACAATGGGAAATTAGAATAGAATTATATTAGCTTCATCCTTTATTCTTAAAGATTTTTGGAAGCAGACTGAGGAGAGATATACAGGAATACTTTCCACCATGGATCTTTTCCAGGTTATTTGTACTTAAAGCAGCTGGATATATGACATCAGTAAGGACCAGCAAGCTACATAGTTAGCAGCAGGGGTGAAATCTACTTACCTTCCCTACTGGTATGGAAGTGCATGCGCCCCACGCGCGGACCCTCTGCACATGCGCAAACCCTTCTGCACATGCACAGAGGGTAAAAACAGGTCCTAGTTAAAATGGACATTGGTCCTACCTGAACGCCATTTCTAGTAGAGCTGGTAAAGAGCATCCAGAGAGGGTAGTAGCTCTATGTTCTGCATGTAGACTGAGCACGTGATTTTATTTGCATCTCTGGTCATTCCCTCCTTGTCTGGTGATTCCCAGTTTGGCAAGGCAAGCGATGCATAGACTTGTGACCTGTAAAACAGTAGTCCCTCTCGGATTGTGGACCAAACATTCGTAAGGGTTGGGCTGGATGCTCTCTACCAACTCTACTAGGAAGGGCGTTCAGGTAAGACCAACGCCCATTCTCCCTAGAGCTGGATTGAGAGCATCCGGAGTGGGACATACCAAAGCCGGCCTGTCCCCTTAACGGGTGGGTAGCATCTGGTCCTAAGTCCCCCAGGCATTATGGACCCTCTGGAGGATTCTCCTCCCAAAAGCCACTTCCGCCGAAGCGAAGGTGTCCAACTTATAATACCGAATGAATGGTGAGGGGGAGGACAATGTGGCTGCTTGACACACCTCCTCAATGGAGGCCTGCGTCGCCCATGCCACTGTGCTGGCCACACTCTTGGTAGAGTGAGCCGTTATTCGGCCTGTGTTGGGAGGGCCTAAACCTCATATGCCTTGGCTATGCAGGCCCTCAGCCACCATCCCACTGTTGAAGGAGTGACCCTGTTGCCTAATGTTGATGGTTGGAATGAAACAAATAAGGACTCTGTCCTCCTGAATGAAGACGTATGCTTGATATAAATACGGAGGGCCCTTCTGACATCCAAGGTATGCCATCTGTGTTCAAGGGCATGTCGTGGCTCCGGGCAGAAGTTTGGTAGGATCAACTCCTGCGCCCTATGAAACCAGGTGTTAACCTTAGATATGAAAGAAGGGTCCAGCCGCAGGATGACCCTCTCCTGGTGAAAGATGCATAAATCCTGTCTGACTAATAAGGCCGCCAGTTCTGAAATCCTTCGAGCTGAAGTGATTGCAATGAGGAATGCCACTTTAAGCATCAGGAAACAAAGTGTGGCTGGCCTTAAAGGCTCGAAGGGGCTGCCCGTGAGAGCTTGCAAAACCTTAGTCAGATCCCAGATGGGATACCTGTGAACGACCGGTGGACACAAATTAGTAACTCACCTAAGGAATCTGCGTACTGTGGGATGTCTGGAAAGGGATTCCCATGTCCCGAGAGACAAAACCGAAGACAATGCTGCAACTTGCTTCTTGATGGCACTGGTGTTAATCCCTTATCCAACCCGTCCTGGAGGAACTCCAGGACCTGAGCCACCGAAGCTGCCGATGGATCAACCTGCAACCTGGAGCACCAGGTGCAGAAGGACCTCCAAGTTGCGTTGTATATTCTAGATGTGGATTGTCGTCTGGAGGCCTGAATAGTGTGGATGACCCTGGGAGAGAAATGTTTGCGCCTCAGGGCCTGTCACTCAACCGCCAGGAGGTCAGTTGTAGCCACTGGGGCTCCAGGTGGATCAAGGCCCTCTGGCTGAGATGGATCCTGTCGTCCGGAATCCTCCAAGGTCGCCACACTAATAGAATCATCAGGTTGGCAAACCATGGTCTCCTGGGCCAATGAGGAGCCAGCATGATTACCTCTGCCTTTTCCTCCAACACCTTCCTGATGACTGCTGGGATCATGGGAAGAGGAGGAAAGGAGTACAAAAGACCTGGAGGCCATGGAATGCGGAGGGCATCTGTCCCTTCCGCTCCCCGTGTCCGGTACCTGCTGAAGAAGCATGGTAGCTGAGAATTCTCTGGGGATGTGAACAGATCCAAGATCGGAGTCCTGTATTGATCTGACAGTAGCTGGAATAGAGAGGGATGCAGACGCCATTCCACCTGGTCCACCTTCACTCTGCTGAAACTGTCTGCCTGCGCATTCAGGACCCCTGAGATGTGCTCTGCCCTAAACGACAGAAGGTGCCGCTCTGCCCAGCGACCCAGATGACCTGCTTCTGCCATGAGGGACCTGGAATGTGTTCCCCCCTTGTCAGTTGATGTGCGCTTTGGCCCTCACATTGTCTATTAGGACTAATACGTGGCGGCCAGAGATGGAGCCCTTGAAAGCCAAATGGACCACTCTGAGCTCCAGCCAATTGATCTTGTGGGACAGGTCCTCCTGGGTCCACGCATCCTGGGCTAGCAGATTTTGGCCATGGGCTCCCCAGCCAGAGGCTGGCGTCTGTCGTGATGGTGATGCGGGAAGGTTCCTTGAACAGGCAACCCTTGCGGAGGGCTGGTGATGTCCACCACAGGAAGGAACGCCACACGTTCAACGGGAGTCTTACCTTGTCCTGTGAGTTGCTCCTGCCGGATCTTTGGTATGGCAGGAGGAACCATTGCAGCGTCCTGGCGTGAAGTCGTGCCCACGGGATTACATAACATCATTTTGCCGAGGAGCTGCAACAGGAGTGAGAGAGGAACTGCTCTCATAGCCATTATGCGCCTGGCTAGTTGTTGAAGACTGTCGTTCCTCTCCAGAGAGAGGGAGATTTGGCATGTTGCTGTGTCTATTAAGGCTCCCAGATGGAACAATTTGGTCATTGGAGAAAGGTGGCTTTTCTTGTGGTTTATGGAGAAGCCATGATCTTGAAGCGCCCTTACTGTGGCCTATAGATCCCTTTCCGCCTGTCTGGCTGATGAGGACTGGATCAAAATATCATCCAAATAGCATTGGACTCTGATTGGAACTGAGCACAGATGGGCCACCAGAGTCACCAATATTTTCGTGAAGGCCCTCAGTGCTGATGAGAGGCCAAATGGCATGGCTCGGTACTGATAATGTCTGTCCAAATAGGCAAAGCAAAGGAACTGCCTGTGTGTTGGTTTGATCGGAACATGAAGGTATGCTTCTCTTAAGTCTATTGAGGTGAGGAAGTCGCCCTCGCGCGTGCTGTCCAATATTGATTTGAGAGACTGAATTTTGAATTGTTTGAACTCCAGACACTGGTTCAGATGCTTTAGATCTAAAATTGCCCTCCAATCCCCGGAAATCTTTTGAATCACAAATAGAATCAAATAGAACCCTTGTCTCTGTTGCTCTAGAGGGACAGGTTCTATAGCCTGGATCTCCAGCAAGTGCTGGATTGCTGTCTCCATCAGGTGCCTTTTGGAAGCGTCCCTGGAGACCGGGCATGAGAGAAAAATTTTTGGGGGAACAGAGAGATTCCAGCGCCAACCCTGACCATAGTGAGTACCTATGTGTCTGAAGTCGTGGCCTCCCACTGATGGAAATGGAGGCTGAACCGGCCACCTATAGGTGGTGAGGCCCTGCAGTCACTTTGCACGGTGGTAAGGACAATTTCTAGCCCCTTGAAAGGGCTGCTTTCCTGAAATCTGACCTGTCCGGTTGCCTATCCTGGTGGCTAGGATACTGTCGTTGAAAGGGCTGATAGCTAGAACCCGGATTGGGGGCCCAAAAGGACTGCCTCCTATAATAAAGAGAGGGCCGGTGGTCCCCCCCTGTCTGTAAAGGGAAGGCATGGCTTTGCCCTTGCCTCTGGTCTCAACCAGGATAGTTTCCAGAACTTCTCCAAATAATTTGTTACCTATCAAGAGAGCTGAAGCCAATTTCCATTTGATTTTATTGTCGGCCTGCCAGTGCTTAAACAAAACAGGCAACGGATAGTAATTGAAGATGCTATGGACTGTGAAGCGAACTTAGCCGCATTCAATGTGGCATCTGCTGAGAACTCAGCTGCAGCGATTAATTTATTAATATCTTGGTGTACCCTGAGATCTTCTGGTGGAATGCGTTCCTGCATTTAGCAAAGCCAGAGCAGGGAAGCGCGGTTGAAGAATGAAGCTGAAGTGGCAGCCTTCACCACCCAGACAGCAGCCTGATGGGACTTACATAAAGATAATTCAACCTTTTTGTCATCAGGTCTCAGGCAATTCATTGCATCAGTTGGAATCAGAGCAATGAATATCAATGCTGCCACTGGGTTGTCCACCATGAGTACTTGTAAAATTTCAGCCAGATCTGGAGCAACATTATAGAGCTTCTGCTCAGTTCTGGAAGGGGGAAGCCCTGCCCCAGGGCTGTTCCATTGATGTTTGACTACATATAAAAATAATTTGGGTGATGGAACCACCTCCACCTCAATTGCTGGCTCTGTAAAGAGCACATGACCAGAACTCCCCAGGCTGGGAGCAGGGTCGGGAACAACCTCAGATTCAAATTTCGTTTTGGACTTGGCCTTGCGAAGCAAGATTTTAAAAGGCCTGTAAAGGGGGAGGGATCTGACTCCCTCCCTTCATCCTCAGAAAAGGCCATCCGATCCTCCTCCTCAGCCAAGGAGTCTCTGCTTCTGATTGAATGGGCCACAGATGGAAGACTCTGAGGCCCCATCCAAGCCTCTTGAAGTACAGGCTGCAATACTGGAGGCTGATGAAGTGGAACCCCTGGAGAAGGTAGGTCCCTTTGCTGCAAGACTATGGCTATACCCTTGGCAATAGTTTGAGAAATCATTTGTTGCAAATGACCAGGTACTGCTGACACAGTTTCCTCCTGTGGGCGGATCCCTGGGGCAGTCGGAGTAAAGGAAGCTGTGGGCCTTGAAGTGGAATACAAGCCTGACTCTGCAAAACTTGCTGCAGGCAAACTAGGGTTTGCAAATGCAAAGGCCTCAGCTCTATCCAGAACCTCTCCCAAGATGGGAGAGGACAATTCCCTGGCGCCATCTGGCAACCAGAGACTGTAAGTGGCTGGCTGCAAATGAGCTGGATCGTTAATAGGATCCAATGGCTCCTCTCCCTGAGGGTGGGAAATTTCCACTCCTCCTCTGGGGGAGGAGGGGGTCACTACGCTTCTGGCTCTGTTTAGCCTTCTGGAGCTTGGCCAGCTCTTTCTTCAAGGCCTTTTGACGCCTTTCTGCATCTTTTTTGGCCGATTTCGAGCCCCTCTTGCCACTTGAAGTGGCTGCCTGGCTCCTTTGTTGCCCCCTTAGCTGCAACTCTCTGACTGGAGGTTCCCTTCTTCTGGCCCAAGGAGGAAGTAGGGCAAGCCTTCTTGTCCCCTTTCTGGGCCTGCTGGCTGGTGGAAGGCGCGTGCGACACCATTTACCCCCACAACAAAGGTAAGCCGGCCTGCAAAAGGCTGAAGCTGCCGTGGCTCTGATTGCGCTCCCACGCGCTCCTGCCGCTTCACAGTGTGCCCAAACTGGGTAGGGACTGATTTCCCCTCCGCCCTCCACCGGGAATGCCCAACCCCCGGCCCAATTCAATGCCGGCCTACAAAGGCCCTACCACTAATCACGGGTGGCGGGGACTTTGGCTATGGAAGCCGGAACAAGACCGCTCGCCAGCAGACCAGCTAGAGGCCTAATTGCCAAAGCGATCCTCCAAAATAAGTAAAAATAGTCTCTAAAGCTCACGCTTGGTTGTCTCAGAATGAAAGGCAAAGCCACTCATTTAAACAGGTCTGTCTGCAATGAAGACTGAGCCGAACTGGGAATCACCAGATGAGGAGGGAGTGACCAGAGATGCAAATAAAGATCACATGCTCAGTCTACATGCAGAAGATAGAGTTACTACCCACTCTGGTTGCTCTTGATCCAGCTCTAGGGAGAATCAGGAAGTAACAATGACCGGGTGGGTGGGCGGAGCCTCGCGCTGCCGTCGCTACCAGATCTCCGAACCACTTGCCGCCATCGCTACCGGTTCAGTTGAACTGGTCCGAACCGGTTGCATTTCACCCCTGGTTAGCAGTGACAAAGAGCTGATAAGATAAATTCTAATTTCACTATCCACCTCTTAAATGTTTGGGTATTCACATAGTTGTGGATTATTCATTCTACTACTATATCACACAGTTGTATTTTTATCCTTGCTCATTGACAGATATGAGATGAATTTCCACCCAACTCTATTTTATTTCTTAGACTATTCACTTAACTTATCCATGTACCTTTTTATTTTTTTAACATTAAAGTTTTTAATACTATCCATTGATCATACCATCAAAACAGTTTACTATGTTGAAGATCTGAGAGATCAGAAAAATGATATGATGATTTTACTTGGGCTAAATCAGATTCTGCATATTTCACTAACGTAGTCTCTGCTTCCTACCAATGTATTTATATTAGAAGAAACACTAATACACTATAAACTCTAAGTGCCTCTTTCCCATCCCATCTTTAAAAATGCATATTGGTAAACTATATCATATAGTTAAAGATTTAAAGAAGTTTTTTTATTTCTAAGTTTCATATAATTCTGGAATAGAATATTAATAATTAGGCCATCTCTTCTAATAAGTTCTGCATTATATCATAGTGTTTATACAAAAGTTATGTTAAATATTATATATTAACATATATTGTAATTTCTCTACAAATTATCTCTGAATTCTGAAACAATTTTGAAATTATTATTACATTGTGTTGCATTACTAATGTTTAATATTAAATGTTTAAAAGTTGGTCTTATTGTTGGCAAATATGTTAGCTTTAATATTCTCTATTATACATACCTGCCCATCACACTATTCCCCTTCAGGGTAAGCAGTATTAGGCAGAGTGCCGAAAAAAGGTAAGAATTAATAAGCACAAGAAATTAAATGGATATAACAACAAAAATACTTTTTACTAGATCTAGTTGATGCCAACACCATTCATAACTCTCTCTATACTTTTCTGTTCTTGAACAATCCTCTCTTCTAGCACATCCATAAATCAGTTCCTTTTTTTTCTTTACATTTCCTGTCCTTGAATGTCATTAATGCTATCCAGCTACAAGTTACTTGGTTTTCTTGACATGTCCCCCATTCTTCCTTTATATATACTATTCATTGTTCTACAATTTGATCTTCTTTCATTTTTTCTATATGATCAAATTACTTCGATTTAGTACTACTATACTGATCATTAATTCATTCTAGATCTTCTCTACTTTTGCCAGATACATTTTAAGTAACTCACTTCAAATTACTTTTGTTTGTCCTTACATATTCCATGTCCACATCCATTTTAACATTCATTTCTTGCGCAAATCACATATACCCCAATACAATTCTATCAGTAGTTGTATGCAATATAAATTTCCCCAGGTTTAGTACACATTTTACCAAAATATAGTTTACTTGTTCTATTTTTTCCTTTTATTTATGACTTGAAATTATTCATTCCATTTTTTTGTCAGGATAAATAACTTGATATTTGATATATTAATTCTCAGACCCATACAATCTAACAAGCTAATATTAACTGCAAATCATTTGGGTTCTTGGCAAACAAGACATCATCTACATACAAAATATGCATACATGTTCGTAGTTTGTTTACTTTATATAAAATACAAAATGTACTCCAGAATGTTTCAAGTGTTCAAACCTTTCATTCCTGTAACTGTCAATATCAGATCTCAACATGGCTATAAGAATATTTTCTTCCTGATTCTCTCTCTCTTGTGGATATAATTTTTTAAATTCAGTATTGGCCTTTTCCATTTCTTTCTTTAAAAAATTGACTTCTTTCTCCAACTGTGGAAAAAAATGAACAGTAAGGATAAATATCAATTTTTGCTAAGACAAGCATGCAGCTATCTTGTATTTTCACTGCATTTTGATGAACCATGGCACATAAAATAGAATAAATAATGTTATGGAAATTTGGGAGATAGCAAAAATATTGGAATATATCTACATTTATGCTTTAGGCTTGAGTGAATGACCTATTTTGTGATCAAAGTTCACATATGTTTTAAAATCAGTTACCAAGAACAATAGCAAGCATGTTCAATGTAAGAATATTACTGGAATAGATAGAACCAGAATTTCTGGCAATGTTTTTAAGACTGTACGACAGCAAAACAGACATATGCACAAGAAAAATTTCCTTCTGGAACTTGAAAAAGGTTTAAAGCACTAACTTAACAACTTTTACCAAAAAAAAAAAAAAAGTACAGGTAAAACTTGACTTATAATTGGAATTACAGTAGTAAGTCATGCTGGTTGTTAAGCGGGTCACTACATCACTACCTCCGATCTTAAGACCCTTTTTTGTGGTTGTCAAGTGAATCACTGCAGTTGTTAAATGAACACTGCCGTTATGAATCAAATCCATTGTTCATAATGGGTAGATTTAGCTGCAAACCAGGAGTAAATACTGGTTTCCTGCAAAAAAAATGCCATAAACCTTAGTTGTAAGTCAAGTTCTACCTGTACTTTTTTTTTTTTTGAAAAGTTGGTAAGAGGAGCAAAACTGACCACTTCTATTATAGTTTCTTAAATAGGTAATTGCAAGTTATAGCAAAATACAAAATGAGGTCCAAATGGAAATACAATTTTACTTTTTCAAAAAACATTTCTCACCTGTTGCTTGTCTGACTTTATTTTCTCCAATTCTTTCTGAAGCTGCTGAAATTTTTCTTTTCCTTTTTCAATTTCCACCAAATGAAGATCTTGAAAGCCCTGTATTGTTCTTTTATGTTCTTCTTCCATTTGGAGGATTGTTTTTTGCAAAACATCCAGGGCTTCATGATGCTCATCTTCAAACAAAGGCCTCTGTGTTTCTAGCACAACAGTCAATTCTTCCTATATAGAATCAAAGATAATAATTCACAAATTATAAATTGTTCATCTTTGAAAAAAAGAAACAAAAAGTTGCTACCAGAAAAAACTAAAATAATTCTTCCCCACCATACTTACAGATTAAAACATAATTTAGAGTTTATTACAAAGTATTCTTCCTGTTTAGTTCTAACTTGAAACAATGCAATGATTCATAGTTTATGTCACCATGCCTTCTAATAGTCTGCACATTATCATAGATCTAAGTTCACTACATTTTAGTGGTAAACTACCACTAAGGTACCAGATCTAAGTTGCACAATTCCAGACAACGCTAATTTGGCCCCAATTTTCAACTAGTTGCTTCATAGCAATAACAATAGCAACAGTAACAGCAATAGCACTCATATACAGCTCCATAGTGCTTTATAGCACCATCTGAGTGGTTTACAAATGTCAGCATATTGTTCCCAACAATCTGGGTCCTCATTTTACCGACCACGGAAGGATGGAAGGCTGAGTCAACCTTGAGCCACTCAGAATAGAACTCCTAGCTGTGGGCAGTTAGCCTGCAATACTGCATTCTAATCACTGCACCACCATGGCTCAAGGTTCATGTACAGCAAAGGCAATCTCTATTATAATCAGAATCACAAAAATTAAGATAGAACATGTTTAAGATGGTCAGGAAGTCTGCAATTACGCCTTATATATTTTTTTTTCTTTCATGTGCAACAGAGACCCAAATTTCTATATATCCTAAATGACTGAACACTCAGAACATAGACTTTAAAACTAACTAGTAGGGGTGACCTTCGATTTAGTTATGGCAATCTGACATGAGAAGAAAATGAGAAACCAACTGAAACTAGTGACAACAATGCTATTATACTTAGCATATGAGTAGTCCTAACCTAACGTTCACACTTAGGAACTGTTCAAAGTTAGAATGGTGGTAGTGGTGGTGATGGTGGGGGAAACAGCTGTGAAACCAATTCCTGTACTATGGATGGTGGTACCCATATTTAATAAAGTCATAATGTTTAAATCATAACAACTGCTATATATTTATTTGGGTGTACTGCTATTGAAAAATAAAAAATAAAATGAAAATACTAAAATTGCAATTAAAATAACCAGGTAAACCAACAGCATTCATAATTAAAATTAACAATCAAAATTTTCAGTTAAAAGCCTCACTTCTGAGATATTTTATGAGTTATTATGCCTTTTGGAGATAGCATTCCAAAGAAAAGGGACAGCAGCAGTAGACAAAGCTTGACTTTTGAGTTGCTACCAGATGAGGTAGGTGGTCCTTAGGCAATCTCCTTAATGTGTAATTTTGATTTCTGGTTTGGTATTGCAGCGAGACAGTCGTGGATAGCAGGCTCCGTGAATCCCGTCCAACCCTTCTTCGTTAGAAGGCCTAAGGGGCTAAAGTCACCCTGGAGGGATGACGAAGAAGGGACTCCTTGCTGATTGCGGGAGAGCAGCGGCTCTGCCGCTCGATCCAAGGCACCCTCCCAACGAAGAAGAGAGACGGCCATTATGGCCACACCGAAGCTGGGGCAACTGAAGAAGAAATACTAATGAGCTGGAGCAGTTCATGAACAGAGGATTGGAACTGGGTGAGATGATTTTCAACTTCTATATTAGAAACTCAACCCCAAGTAAAAGAATTTTTGAAAGACTCTCCAAAACAATGAGAAAGCAGCAAGTTAGCACATGGAGATAGATTATAGATCCAAAAGAGAAATAAAATTTTAATGGAAGACTATGAAGTTTTAAAATATAGGAAGACCGGACTGAAACTCTCAGTACTGTGAAAAGTGATTTTAATTTGCTGACAATGTTTGACTACTGGAAGAAATTGCATAAAGAAAAATGGACCTTTTGATCATTTGACAATCCCCTTGGTTTTAATGCTGGAATTTGGAGCTGGGATGCCATCTACTGGTGAAAAAAGATACTATACTACTACCGTGTTTCCCTGAAAATAATACAGGGTCTTATTTTCTTTTGACCCCCAAATAAGGGCTTGGCCTTATTTTCGGGGAAGTGTTATTTTTGAGGGGCAGGAGGCAGCAAGCCCACCGGCCCCACCCTCTCCATCCCACCACCTGTTTGCCTGCGGCCGCAATGACCCAAATTCTCCACACAAACCAGAAATTCAGATCTTCCAACTTCCTGGAAAAAAAAAAAAAAAAAAAGATCTCGCAAAGTTGGAAGTAATGTCACAGACTACTTTTCTTGCCCTGCAAGTGGCAGTGGAGAATGGAGCAGGAAAGCAGGTTAATGGAGGAATGTGGCTGCCATGGGAGTGGTGGGGGGTAGGGATCTCTCTCTCATACACACCATCTTTTCCTTCAGAACAAGGGGAGAGGCAGGAAAATCCCCCCTCCCCATTTTCAAGCCATTTGCAAAGACGCCCCATTCAGAGCCTTCAATGTTGCAATCCTGGAATATGCTGAAGGCTTGGAATGGGGTGTTTTTTGTGAGCAGCTTGAAAATGGGGAGGGGGGGATTTTCCTGCCTCTCACCCTGTTCTGAAGCTCAGCACAGACAGAATAAGAGGCAAAATCTCCCCTCCCCATTTTCAAGCCATTTTGGACCCACGAATCAGCTGTTTCTTGAATGGCAGCTGGAGCGCCTCAGCTGATCCCATTAACGGAACAAGAAGCCCTGAGATGACGGGGGAAGGGAAGGGCTGTCTCCTGTGCTTGCCACGCCCATCCTTTCACTAGGGGTTATTTTCTGGGGAGAGCGTATATTTACGCCCACCCCAAAAATCAGGCTTGGCCTTATTTTCGGGACATGTCCTATTTTCGGGGAAACATGGTACATGGTTGAAAAAGACCTTGACGGGAAGCCAGAATTGATAAGAAGGGAAACAAAGTGAAAGGCAAACAACACCTGGAAGGCCGACTTTTTGTTTTTTGTTCTACATCTATTTGCTTTCTGGCTATTTGGGAGTAACTGGTGAGCCTTTTGAAGATCTTCAATGTAGTGTGGATTATAAACAATAGAAATTGCTCTCAAAACTCAACATTTGACTTTGTGGATTAATGAGACATGGGGAAATTTGGTGGGCCATTCTGGATCATAAATATTGTTTGATAGAACATCTTATGAGGCCAAAGAAGAAAAGTTTGTTTTTACAAATTTGGATACTCAGAGGGAGTAAATTGGCAGATTTCGAGGACTATAAAATTCGTGGATTCAGAGGAACAGTTCCGGGATTGAGCAAATTCTTCTAATATTGGCTTTTAGGTGTTCTGGACAATTGGGATATCGGTGGATTTGGGATTGAGTAACTTTTAGCCCATTAAATTAAAGCAAAATGTTACAACAGGGAAAAACAAATACATTTCAAAAAGAAATGCTATTGATGTTTCAATGTATTCAGGAAGCTATGATAAGGAACCATAGGGAGATGAAGAAACTGATGCATGATACAGATGTGAGACTAGGAAACCCTCAGCAAATGACAATCAAAAATGAACAAAAAATTCAGAAAATAGAGGAGAAATTAGGAGGAGAAAAGGAAAGAATAGAGGAGATAAATCAACAGATAATATATATGGAAGAGATAGTAATTTTTTTTTAAATAGAATAGGTAGATTACTATTTAAGAGGTCAAAATATAGAAGAGGACAAAGAGAAAGAACTCCCAGATGTAATTAAAGTGTTATTGATGGGTGTTCTAGAGATTCAACAGCGAGAGATAGACATAGAGGCAGATGAAATACTTAGACTAAATGTGAGTGATGTAAGGGGATACAAGATCCCAAGGAAGGAACATGGGAGATTTGTCAAAAAGTCAGTAAGAGTTGAAATACTAAAAAGGGCAAGAGATGATGGATAGATGCAGTATACTTCTTAATATGGGATTTGCTTTATTAAGGGTTAGAAAATAGAGATAGAGATTAGAAATTGGGAAAATATTATGTATACTGCTACATAATAAAATTACTATATATACGTAAATGTTAGAAGTTGAAAGATTATTATGTATACCTAAATAGCATTATTATTAATATTGTGTATAAAGTAAATTGACCCAGAAAATACACTGTTCACTTATGTATGTCAAAGAAAAAAAACTATAAATAAAATTATATTAAAAATGTGTAATTTTACATACAAACTGTTGTTTTATCAAATAGCTTGGATCAAATAAAAAACCCTTGTTACTGCATCATTACTGTACATCTCTTTAAAAGCCTTCCCTACATCTTTGAATTCTTAAATAAGCTATTTGAAAGAATGGTTTCTCAAGTGCAAACAGATTACTGAAACCATTACTACAGCAGCCAGAATGAATAGCCTTACAAGTCTACTAAAAAGATGAGATCTAGCCACTAATCCAATCTCTTATAGATGATAGTATGTCCTGAGAGTGGAACTAAGACCTAAAGATGCAAAACTGTGTGCACATGGGAAAAAAGGGGGTAATGCAACAGATAATCACAGTGCAACTATGATAACTAAGAGCCGAGGTGGCGCAGTGGTTAGAGTGCAATACTGCAGCTACTTCAGCTGACTGCTAGTTCAGCAGATCAGCGGATCAAATCTCACCGGCTCAAGATTGCCTCAGTCTTCCATCCTCCTGAGGTGGGTAAAATGAGGACCAGACTGTTGGGGGCAATATGCTATTTAGTATACTGTCTTTGGTGTAAGCCACCCAGAGTCCTCGGAGAATGGGCGGCATAGAAATATGACTAATAAATAAATAAATAAATATCCAGGTTGGCTTATATTGCTAAAATCAGAACTCAAAACCAATTGCAATCTTTACTGTTCAACTCTACCTTATGAACATCTTCATGTTCAGCAGCCATTAATTTATGTTTTTCTTTTTGAACATCAGCCAGTTCTATTTTCAGATTGTCTTCACAAATCTGCAATTCTTCAGCAAATTTTATTGTATTTAATTCTTGAGCCAAAAGCATTTCATTTTCTTTATCTTTCTGAAATAATTGTTCTTTCAATTTTATCTGTAAACCGCCAAGAGCTTTCTTGTGCTCTTCTTGCAGGAACTTAATTTTAAAAAGATATGTAGCCTCCAAACTATTCAAATCAGATAAATGCTTTGTTTCCAGCTGCGTAATGTGTGCTTGATTATTTCTCTGGATATCAGCCACAGGAGTCTCTAACCAGTTCTGTTGTTTTCTTTCTAATATAGATTTGAGAACTTCAATTTCAGCTTGCTGGCTGGATGTAAGGGACAAAATGTGTTCCTTATGTTTTTGATGCAACTCTTTATTTTGAAGCTCTAGCTCATCAATATGCTTTTCCCTCAATTTCTGGAGAAGAATTTCATGTTCTGCTCTGTTTTTTTTATTTTCTTCCAAAAATCTAGATTTATAAGGAAGCAAACAAAATATATTACCAAAAATATAACAGTGCAAAGAACAAATAACATAATAATGTAAAATATCTGGAATATTTTTTGAACATTATCTTAAAATGCTATTCATATTTCTTCTGCTTGTAACTGTAACACAAGGCAAAAGAAGTCTGCTTATTTATTTCTCTTATCATCCATCTACTTTTTTCTGCCCCACATTAATGTGTACCAGGAAGTATAGCTAATTTTTAAAAACCAAGTCAACTAAAGCTATTAATACAAGTCCATGAAGAGAAGACTGAAAAGAGACATGACAGCAGTCTTCCAATTGCTTGAAGGACTGCCAAAAGGAAGAGGGTGACAATGTATTCTCCACAGAACTGGAGGTAAGACAAAAAACAGTTGATTTGCCACAGGGAGATCCAACCTAGAAATCAGGAGGAATTTCCTGACAGTGAGAATTATTAAACAATGGAACAGCTTGCCTCCTGGAGTTGTGGGTGTTCTGTTGATGGAGGTTTTCAAGAAACCTTGGGCAGGGGATTCGACTAGAAGATGCCCAAGGTCCCTTCCAACCTTATGATTCTATGAAAGTTTGTTCAATAAAGGATAAGATAAGATAGTAGCATAGTAGACTTCTGCTGAAATCCAAAGATAAGATTATTTACAGGTAGTCTCTGATTTACAATGGCAATTGGGACTGGAATTCCCTTTGCTAAGTGATGCAGTCATAATGTGCAACTGTATCATTTAGTGATGGCATCACCTACAATACCATTTGTCATCATTAACTGAATCACACTATCACTAGGCAAGGTAATTTCATGCCGGTTTTTCATAGCCAAAGTCAGTTTGTTTGTTTGTTTGTTTGTTTGTTTGTTTGTTTGTTTATTTATTTGTCAGATTTATATGCCGCCCTTCTCCCGTAGGACTCGGGGCGGCTCACAACAATAAAACAACCTGACAATAGATAAAGATTAAATAATATTAAAAACCAATTTAAAATCCCCAAATCCCCAAGTTGCCAGGAAAGATGCAAGTTCCAGGTCTTGGAGGAGGTAAGAAGCTGATGCTGGAATGAGGGAGAGAGTCAGGTGCTAAGTGGATATGTCAGGCAGGGTTAGGGAGAATGTGTGAAAGGCACCATGAGAATAGGGAGAATGTACAATGGTATGTGAGAGGTACTGTGCAGATTGGGAATGACATGCAAGTGTTGGCATGGTGTGAATGAGGAGGGGCTGGATGCAGGTGCACAAGATAGGGGAAACTTACCCCAATGACTTTCAATCTTCCCTGTCATTGACTTTCTGGGGAAGCTGGGAGGGAAGTTTGCAAATAGCGAACATGTGATGGGTACTTGGCAACTGATTTTATGAAGATGTTGCCAAGCACCCAGATCATGGCCACATGACTACAGGGTTGCTAAGATGGCTGAAGACCAGTAGCAACCATAATTTGTTCAATCCAATCATAACTTGAAATGATCACTAACCGAACAGTCATAGGTCAAGAACTACCTGTACTGTTTTGTCATCCTGATAGTGTGGCACTATACATACAAACTTGTACACAGATCTTATGTATAGATTATAGATTTAGTGGCAATAGTAATCTGCAAAACAAAATTCACCTTTAAATTTATTAATTTAATTAAGGGAAATTTTCGGTTGAACTTCCGGCAGTATCGGAAGCTTCGTCTGCGAGCTGTGCAGCTGGCACCAAACTTTTCCTGTCGGAGGGTCCTAATTGGGACCATAGCCACTCCGGAAGAGTGGTGAAGCAAAGGGGGACTGTCTAGCAGGTAGAGAGGAGCCGCATCTCTTCTCCCTGACCTGGAAAGTACCCTCAACCGACTGCAAGGAACAGTGGCAGCAAACGATGGCTGCCATAAATCGAAGATGACCAGAATACACAAGACTAAGCAGGAAAAGAAAAAGTGAATATAAATATATATATATATATATATATATATATATATATATATTTAAAGTATCACCAAGAAATACGAGGGGGAAGCATACTGGGACTATTTGCTAGTGGCGGAATAAGCACATTTATAGAAAAAAAAAGTCATAATATTGAAGAGAATTTTTTAAAAGGAAACAAAGATAATAAATTGAACTCTCAAAGTAAAGATGTGACACTGAAAAGGTATTTTTAAAAATATTGGAATTTGATCTGGAATTTGTTCCTATTTTATTACTATCAAATTTACCCACCTATTGGATTTACAATTTAAAATAATTAAAATTGGATTATCAACATTATGCAGAGGCAAGACCAAGTTGAATTAGGAGCACCATCTGCTTTTAAGAGAACTGTGCACCTATGGGATCTTTATTTTTGTTGAATTATAAAGAATTACTTTAAATTTACTTTAAATTTCAAAATTATGAAACTGTTGAACAAATAAAAGTGATTGGAAGGGATGTGGATGACCCTCCAGGATGTTTTTTTAAAAAAACTGGACTGACTGTAAAATGGAAATAAGTGGAGATAACAATATGGAGCTGATTTAACAAGACATTAAGGATTTTATAAAAGAACAATGTAAGGAGATGATGGAAATATCTGGCTGTATGGATCGTATAGAGCAAAAACTGGAAAATGTAATACAAGGAATAACAAGTAAAGACCAGGACAATGAGGAAAGAATGGAAACACCCGAAAGAGAGGAGAATGCAGAATTGGAAAATCAAAAAGAAAACAATAAGAAGACATTAGTAAAATGAAGGGTGAAAAAGGGATTAGAGCAGAAGGAAAGTATCTTAGATGTGAAAAGGAAATGGAAGAAACAGGAAGATACTGGAGGAAAAGAAAAAGGGGTTAGAATAAGTAGTCATAGAAAAAAACAACGGGGGAAAAAGATGAGGGGAGAGAAAGCTAGAGGTTATAGACAAAACAGACCTAAAAGTAGATGGAATAAATGATCTAAAAGAAGTGTACGGGAGGCAACCTCCCCCAAAAAGTACAAAATGTCTGTGTTATTTTAATAAGCTATATACTTTCATTAGGCATTGTATATAAATGCTAGGCATTGTGCAGAATAACAAGAACTATTTATTTTGAAAAGTATGAAAAAAGAGTCATTTACTGAACCTTTTACTGAAAAGATGGGTATGAAAATGAAAAGAAATGCAAAATAAAGCATAAGGCTATCTTACTGAAAAAAGAGAAAAAGACCAATCCTGACTTACTTGTTGCGACAAGGAAGGCTAGAATGTCATATTCTATTTTATACTTTTAATACTTTGCCAGTTTGCCTTTTGGCATTACATAGTATGTCTAGGCAATATGTGAAATATTAAGCGTTTCATACTTTAATGTCCCATTTTTGGCATTCTATAGATTTCCTAGGCATTCTAAAAATATCTAATTTCACACATTGATGGTTAACATATTAATGAAACAGCTAAACAACTGCACATATAGGGTCTAGCCTTGGGAGTTGGTTATGAAAGCATTTACACTAAATGATCAAGTTATTAGTAATAGGAAAAATTACAAACCTGCTTTGTGCTTCTTTGTATTTAGCCTTATATTCTTCTTCTAAAACTTGTTTGGCTTTTTCTAATTCTTCAGCCATGAGAGTCTTTGTGGAAGATAATTCACTGTTATATTGAGCCAAAGTCTTCTGTGTATTCACTAAACTATCTTCTAACTGCTGGATAGTATTCTGTTGCTCCTTTAGAGTTTTCTCTAATTCTACAATTAGAGCAGCCTGCTGTTCTTGAAGACAAGTCATTTCTGCTTCTCGAAGGTCAGACTGTCTTTGCCATGTTTGCTTCTCATATTCTGCCTTGTTTTGAAGCTCTTTTTGAAGCAATAATATTTTTTCTTCAGATTCTGCTACCAATATCTTCTTTTCATGTCTCCATTCTTCAGCTTCTGCTTTATGAGTCTGTTCCACTTCCTGGAGCAATTTTCTAGTTCTTCTTAATTCAGCTGTATGATCTTCAATTAGTTTATGCTTAATCTATTAAATATTACACAAAATCCATTTGTTGTCCACTTCCAGATTGTCATCATTTCTCTCTTCCCTCCTCCCGTTACCACTCTGATACCACAACCCATCTTATGTCCTCCATCAATCACTCCCTCAAATCCTGGGAACCATTTAACATAATCATCTCCACATTAAACAATCACAGCCAACTATCAGTGAATAGCATCTCCCCAATCTTCTGCTGTAGCACAATCAGCAGCTGGAGGAAACACCAAGTGGATGCAAAGGCCATACCCCACATTCCTTATACCATTTGCTAAGGGCTGGAGCTACTTGCTTAATCTCCCAATAGATAGAGCCAATTCAGGATCTTAAAATTGCAACTAAGAGTGCCGAAGGCAGTCCCACAGGAAGTCCAGCAGGCAAATGTAGTATTAGCATTTTATTAAATCTTCGTAGGGCAGAAATAGATTTCTCCACTTTTTGTTCACCTTCCTTTGCATACAACTCGATTTATAACTGTAATTGAGTCTGCCAATTATGGTGGTAAGTCATTATGGTCATAGTACGTCATCATGTGATCAGACCAGATTTTATCATTTTTGCAGTGATAGTCAAGCATATGCCACGGTTGTAAAAACAAACCCATTGTTCACTATGGGGCGGGTTTTTCCCCCAGAAACTGGAAGTAAACACCAGTTTCTGGAAAAATGTCACAAATTGTGGTCATGTGATCATGGAGTGCTACAAATCATTGTAAATGCTGGCCAGCTGCCAAGCACCCAAGATATGACCCAGATGTGGCTGGCTATAGTGACTTTGGCACTGAATCGTAAGTAGTTTGGGGGGGTGGGAGAGAGGTCCTTTGTAAATTTAAACAATCGCTAAGCAACCAGTTAGGAGTCAAGGACTACATATATTCACTCCTCTTTCTTGCAGATAAAAAAATGTTTATCTACTGACCTTGTCATTGACTTTTAGAAAAATGTCTGCTACAGTCAGTTTGCTTTTTTCTATATTACCAATAGCAATCTGAATATTTATAACCTAAGTTAATGGTAATATCTTTGAGCTAGTTTCATCTTTAATAAAGCCATCTTTTAAACTCTGAAATTAAATGTTATTTTTAAAAAATTATTTATTTACATTTACCCTTTGTCCCATTTATTTGTACTCATTACCTGTGCTCATATCCATGTTTATACTTATGCCTGTTATCCCGTACGTTTGACAAAATAAATAAAAAAAATAGTAAACACACACCTTGTTATTTTAAAAAAATGGCATAGATTTACTATTTTTCAATAATAAAGATTACTTATAGTGTCTAAACAAATTATTTCCTAAAAGCAGTATTTTTGCATTGCTCAGTATATACCTGTTCTAATTCTTCTTTCACATTCTTTTCTTGTACTATGTCGATTTCTTTTAATTCAGTGTTTTTTCTCTTCAGTTCTTCTATTTCTTCTTGTTGACTAGAAATAGATTGCATCTCAAGCTGAAGACCACCCAGGTCATTCTTGTATTCATTCGCTAATAACAAGAGTTGCTGTGCCACCTCTGTTTCTATCTGATGTGCAGCATCTTGAGTACTTTGTTGACGAATTTTAGCAATCTCTGAAAATGATGAAATGTTTTAAAGCACAGAAAAGAGAGTTTCAGAGACTAGCAGTCCTCAATCTTTCTGGCTCTACGGACTGATAGAGGTGGCAGTGGCAGGGGTTGGAGGCAATAGTTTCATGTGTGCAACTTAATTCTGCGCATGTGCAAATAAAGTTTCACATGCTCACCCACAGACTGGTTCCCAAAAGCCTGGGGGTTGGGGGGCCCTGTGATAAGACTGTAGTTGAAAACTTGTCTTGTGAATTCTAAGAAACTATGTTGTCATTTCTATTATGATGCACTTAAAATTATTCATACATCTAACTTTCTGATAAGAGACAATTGTCAACCCACATGAAGTAGCTGGAGAATATTGGTTCTGTCCCAATGAAAGCCAATCTAGAAAAGTTACTTCTGCAAGTTAAAGAGACAGTAGAGAAAATATATGTATCTAAAAGTATGCTGAAATTCTAGAGATGGGATTAACAGAGCTCTTATTATCTAAGCAATAAATCAGGAATATCCTCCCTTTATTATTTTTATAAATAGCTCAAGGTAGTGAACATACCTAATACTCCTTCCTTCTATCATTTCCCCCACAACACCAACTGTGTGAGATGAGTTGGGCTGAGAGTGAGTAACTGGCCCAAGCTGGCTACTAAGAATTGCAGTAAATTTTATAAAAGGTTTCATAAAATTTTGCTCTAAACAATATAACCTGGTAATTCAACCATTTAGTTGCAGGTTTATCAAATTACACGATAAAATATTTTAATATATTTTTCAATGTATTTATATAACTTATGTAGGGGGGAGGGAGGAGACACCAGGCAATCTTTCCTATACTTGACCTGTTGTTTTTCTTCCATTGCATAGAGAAAGGGGAAGTGATTACAAAGGGTGAGCAGGGACTCTCCACTCTGCCGGGGGGGGGGGGGGGGGGGGGGGGGGGGGGAGACAGGTCAGACACAAGATAATACAAAATGATTATAATGGCAATCATGTGAGCAAGAGACACAGCAAAGGTCTCTAAGTATGAGCATTGGTCGTAAAATTATTTCTTCAGCATCATAACTTCAACTGGTTGCTGAACAAGCCGGTCAATAAGTGAGATCTTCCTCTACAATACATGACTACTGGCTAAGTGGATAATCAATTATTTATCTTTGATATTTGATGTAAAATGTGCCCATTTATAGTGTAGAGGTTTTTCTTGTAAATCTGTTACAAATCAGGGCATTTAAAAACCACAGCTTGCTTATGAGACAGTCTTTTACCTTTGAGGTGTTCTTCTGAAATTTTTGCATGGAGCTGTTCAAGATGTAAACAATGTTTCTTTTTCAATTGTTCTATTTCAGAAGTATATCTATCTGAGAGCTCCAATTTCAGCTTTATAATATTCTCTTGGTACTGGAGTGTGAGAGTAGATCTTAATAACTCAATCTCATGTAAATGTTTTTTATCCAAACGCAGTTGTAAAGAACAAAGTTCTTCCTAGAGTATGTATGAGAAATCTATTATTAAGACTAGGAAATTTAAATTTTTATCTAATTTAACTATTTTGCACTATTTTATACATTACCACAATCTATACTCTTGCTTAAAGTGCAATATTATACTACAATATGCAGATGACATTTTACAACATCACAATCGGGTTGAAAAAACTGAATCTTCATAAACAAAATGAGAACTGAACAAGTATTAAGTATAGCATTGTTTTAACAACTGGAGTATTAATGCAAACAAAGTTAAGGTACAGAAATGAATAAAATAATTCAAGGAAAAAAGGTTCAATGATAATGATTTTAGAACACAAGTAAAATATTTGAAGTGATTACTTTATAGTGAATTATCTATTTAAAAAAAGATAAAAAGGAATATGAAAATAGCATAAGCATTGAATTTATGTTTTTATACATTTAAAAATTTGAAAAAAATGTTTTTAGAGCAGTTTTAAGGTGGTAAAATGATATATTTATTTTCTTCAAAATTTTTTTTGTTTTTTTCCTATGAATAAAACATCTCCCTCACTCCACTTTCAATTGGGTAGTTCAAAACTACAGAATTTTAACCACCCAGAAGAAAATGATTTTTCACGTCACATTTAAATTAAAAATGGATTGCTAAGGCCTGATCAATAACAAATAGAAAGAGAATTCAGTTCAGCCATTCAACATAGCTCAGAAACAAAGAGCCCTGCCCTGCTTCCCTAATTTGAGTTCTGGAAAGATCTGCAGCGATCCAGAGTTTGAGGAAGCAGAGAAGGCCATTTCGTTCCTGGGCCATGTGGCGCAACCCTGGAAGCAGCTGCCATTTTTGGAGTGCCTGCAATTCAGGGCAGCCGCCCCCAAAATGGCAACCACTTCTGGAACCATGTCATGTCTCCCAGGAACATAGCAGCTTGCCCTTCTTCCCTAACCCAAGCTTTGGAGATCTTTGAAAGCTAAGTGTATGATGGATGATGTGAGGTGAGGAGAGTCTGGGATCCGATGGGGTGGGAAGCAGACCTAAGGCCTGTAAGGACTCTAAGGGGTGGGAAGCAGAGCAAAGAATGCCTCAGTGGGTAGGGGAGGCCTCTGAAGGCCTGGGACATGTCCTGTACTAATCCTCCCAGTGCCTCCCTTGCACATGTTTAATGATTGCATTGGGAAAAGTAGGGAGGGGGTCGCAAGTTAGGTGATCATATGGATGCTTCACTTAATGGCTGTCATGCCTTCTGACTGTAATGGGCAAGTTCCATCAAGGTTATCAGTCAAATACTATCTGTAATTCAACTGTTGACTATTCAACCTAACCATTTAAAACAGAAACAAGAACACTCTTTTCCAACTTCAGTAATAGGCAACCTGCAAGGGGACCTTTATACAGGTTCACCTTGTACACCAATTGCGACCCTATCTGGAACGGGAGGCTCTTCTCACCGTCACTCACGCCCTTGTCACCTCACGGTTGGATTATTGAAACACGCTCTACATGGGGTACCCCTGAAAAGTGTTCGGAGACTAGTTGGTCCAGAATGCAGCTGCTCGAGCGGTTGTGGGTGCACCTAGGTACTCCCACATTACACCAATCCTCCGTGAGCTGCACTGTGTAAGGGAGGCGCTGGGAGGACTAGTACAGGACACAATTCAAGGTGTTGGTTATTACCTTTAAAGCCCTATAAGGCTTAGGGCCAGGCTCTCTTCAACATCGTCTTCTACCGCATAGCTCCCAACGACCAGTAAGATCCCAGAGAGTTGGCCTCCTCCGGGTCCCGTCAGCTAAACAATGTTGGCTGGCAGGTCCGAGGGGGAAGGCCTTCTCTGTGGCTGCCCCAGCTTTCTGGAATCAGCTACCTCCTGAGGCCCGAACCGCTCCCACCCTACTGGCCTTCCGGAAAATGGTGAAAACCTGGCTTTTCCGGCAGGCTTGGGGCCGTTGATCTTGCCACTGCGATCTTGCGAAATCTGGCCATGAGCGGTGTTTATGGGTTTTTTAAACGTCTTTTATTGTATATTGTTTATACTGTCTTTGTTGTAAGCTGCCCAGAGACCTCGGAGAGTTGGGTAGCATAGAAATACGAAAAATAAATAAATAAATAAATAAGTGGGAAGCTCCACTGTAAGGATATGTTCTCAGCAAATCATACCCTAGCATTTTTACACTATAGAAATCAGGTGGTATGGAGGAGCTAAATAACTTTTAAATACTATTTGTTGCTTGGTAACTGACCTTATAGTGCTCCAATTGCTGAGTTAGCTGTTCAAACAAATCCAATCTCTCTCTTTCTGTCATTTCTTCCAATAGCGTAACAGAAGGGCTGTATAAAATATATGGAATAATTCAGAAAAATAACTTTAGCTAGTATTCTTTTAAGAACAGAATAATTTAAACTTTCTGAATTACAATCTGAGACAATCTTAAAATCCTCACATATGTATCAATATTGTAATCTATGATGAATCAAATAAGAAAATACTAGCATGAAGTAATAGGGACACGGTGACTCAGTAGCTAAGACACTTGTCGGTCGAAAGGTCAGCAGTTCAGCGACTTGAATTCCTAGTGCCGCGTAACGGGGTGAGTTACCGTTACTTGTCCCAGCTTCTGCCAACCTAGCAGTTCAAAAGCACATAAAAAATGTAAGTAGAAAAATAGGGACTACCTTTGGGGGGAAGGTAACAGCATTCCGTGCACCTTTGACATTTAGTCATGCTGGCCACATGACCACGGAGACATCTTCGGACAGCGCTGGCTCTTAGGCTTTGAAACGGAGATGAGCACCGCCCCCTAGAGTCAGGAATAACTAGCACGTATGTGCGAGGGGAACCTTTACCTTTAGCATAAAGTAAAGCTATATAGATTTCCTAATTCATGTTCATTTATGATGGTTAGAGGACACAAGTGTTAGTAATATACAGCTAATTTCACACTAAGTGCTCAGTAAAATTCTAAAATTCCAATATCTGTAAAATAGGGGAATAACTGCTCAAGAGTCACTCGAACAGTTATTCTGGAAGTCATAGTACCTTTTCCTATTCTTAGTGAACATGGCTAGCTAAAAAGTTTTCTTTAACAAGAAATTAAAATAATTAATATATTCATCCTAAACTAGGATTTAAGGCTTACTGGGGTAGAACCAAAAGCAGGATAGCAATATTAAATTATTAGCTTCACCCAAATTCCATATCTTGTTCTTGTGATTTTTCCATCTCCTCTATGGAATAATCTTTTACTTCTTGCAATCTCTGATGCAACATTGTTAATTCTTCTCTGTAATTTTCTTCCACAGACTTCAATTTCTGTTCAAAATAAAGCCTTAGTTGTTCCAACTCAGTTTCATGTTCTGTCTTTTTTTTATCCCATTTAAGTTGATAATCTTTTTTCAGATATTCCAGTTCTTCCACATGTGAGGTACGAGCAAGCAGCTGTATTTTCAGTTCTGATGGATAAAAAAATATCATTCACTTTAAATATATTAATTCAGCTGAATTGTTTTTAAAAATGCAATCCCTATACTATTAAGGTTTCAATACTGAATGCAAACACTACTGAAAACTGGGACTTAATTCTGAACATGGAGATCTCATTACAAAAACATACATTTCCATTCTATGCACATCTATGAAAAAGATGAATTAATTGAATTCAGTAGACTCTGATATATATCTATGGGGTTGCAGCTTAAGTTTGTAATATAATTTGATTTTCTCAGCTGGCCCTCTGAAAAGAAATTATAGGAGAAATAAATGATTAAAAGACTGTTTTTCATCAGTTTTTTCTTTAAAAAGCATCCTCATTCTTTCCATGGTACAACAAGATTGCACATTACAAAATGATGGGACCAGAACAAGAACTAAAGTTGCAAAATTAAATTAATATATAGAATTATTTCATAATATTTCACTATTTATTTAAAATTAATTTTTAGAAGGGCTTTGGGGATAACATGAAATGTAAGGTTACGAATAGCACATTCTGCATTAAACTAGAAAACCAGATTGGAATCTTGTAACCTATGATGAATTAGTTGTGCAATTGCAATTAATAAAGGTAAAGTGATTCCATTATGCTCTATCAGATCCTTAAAAGAGAGTTCCTAAAGAAGGAAAGAAATGTCTTATTGAATTTTTTAAAATCATACAGACAAAATTCTCCACATAAGAAATGCAATACTTTGTTTCACTTGTAGGCAAGATCTACAAAACTACAAACTGAGTCAAGGACTACATGTATAGATAAGGTACTGTATAGAAAGTTATTGGAGGTGTACTTTAGGTCCTTCATAATATTTGAATAAATACCGGATTTTGAGATCTCAGACACAAATGTTTAATATCATACACTTCTTGCATCACTTCTATCAAGTTAAACAAATCAAGATAATGTTATGATTAATACATCTTGTATTACATCTGTCCAATTACATCTATCCAATTAACTTTCTTGGGAGAATTCCCTATCTATGGCAGTATTTCTGAATAGTTTTGCTTTGTGCAATGACAGCATCAAGAGCTCTTTAAGAGGTGAAAGATAACCAAGCAAGAAATACCAAAGACTGATTTTGAGTAAATGGGAAAAATGTGTATGAGAAAGAGTGATTTCCCCCCCTAACTCCAGATCATTCTCTAACTCCTCATCATTGGATCCAAGATGGCGCCGCCAAATGTTGCCTTGGTGAAATGTTAATGGTTTATTTTTAATTATTCTCTGCGACTCACTAGGGATTTCTTACACATGAGACCATCTGCTAAAAATTAAGCAATGTTTCTTTAAGGAGCAGCTTTCTGTGATCTCTCCTCTCTCTCCTCCTCCCCCCCCCTTTACAAAGGCAGAGGAGATTCTAACACAGGAAGAAGGAATTTCCCCGGAGTTATGGATTACCAAAAAAACCAAATGGAAGAAGCGAAGAAAGAGAGGTAAAAGGGGGGGGGGGATTTTAAACAGATTAAGGAATAGGAGAAATAAAACTCCTCTGCCTTCAATTTTCCCAACCAACGTACGTTCACTTGCTAATAATATGGATGAAATACTCCTTTTAAACAGATACAATTCTGACTTTTAGAATTCAGCAGCCCTATGCTTCTCTGAAACCTGGTTAAATGAATCAATTGAAGATAGCAGCCTGCATATCCCAGGGTTTCAGATTCAATCTGGTAAAAAGAAGGGAGAAGGCTTATGCTTATATATCAACAACAGCTGGTCTCAGGATATAATATATAAATTCTGTAATGAAAACGTAGACATATTAATTATCAACTGCAAACCATACTATTCGCCTCATGAATTTCCCTTATTTCTTCTAATTGCTGTTTATGTCCCCCACAAGCCTGTGTAAACAAGGCATTACGAACTCTAGCTGACCAAATTATGGAGGTTGAAGCCAAATACACTGATTCACTGGCCATTATTTTGGGAGATAGAAACAAGGCAAACTTAAGGAAAGAGCTAACAAAATACTTTCAGCATGTCAATTGTCCCACTAGAGGCAAGAATTGCTCATTGCTACACAACACTAAGATGCTTATCAGTCCTTACCACAAGCAGCTGTGGGACACTATGATCATTGCATGATTCACTTGTACCTGCTTACAGGCAAAGATTTAAAACCACAAAACCAACAATTAAATCAGTGAAGACCTGGACGGAGGAGGCAAAGTTAAAACTACAGGCCTGCCTTGACTGCACTGATTGGAATATTTTTGAAAGTACCTCTGCAGAATTAGATGAACTCACAGAGACTGTAACATCATATGTCAGCTTCTGTGAAGACCTATGTGTACTCACCAGGAACTTGCGAATATACAGTAACAACAAACCTTGGTTCACAGCTAAACCTAAGCAGCTATGTCGTTCCAAAGAGAAAGCCTACAGAAAAGGTGATAAAATGCTGTACAATCAGGCCAGAAATGTATTAATAAGGGAGATCAGAGCAGCAAAAAGAAGCTACTCTGAAAAGCTAAGGAATCAGTTCTCAACAAATGAACCAGCAAACATGTGGAAAACTCTTAAAAGGATGAGATGGATAGATAGTATCATCGACCAATGAATATGAATTTGGGCAAACTCTGGGAGAGTGGAGGACAGGGGAGCCTGGTCGAATTGTGAAGAATGAGACACAACTTAGGAACTGAACAACAACCATTACTGTCAATTGAAATTAAAAATTTACAAGTGAGTTTGTGATACGTATGTCCCCTACTTTTGAACATGAAAAAATTGTATCTTTTTCCAAAAATGAAGGTAGATATAATTTAAAATGCTGTTAATTTAAATAATATAATTTAAAAGAAGCTATTAATGATTCCTTTTCTAAGTATACAATAAGACACTAAAAAAAAGCATTCCATAAAGCAAAATACATTCACTAAATTATAGCAAATCTATTCTAATTACAATTTACAATTTCCCAATTTTAAACCTACCACTTAATTCTTGCCGGCTTGCCCTTGCGCCATCCAATTGTGACCAAAGTTGCGCCATTTCTTCTTCTGATTCTGCCTTTAGTTTCTGTATCTACAGAAGTCATCGTAAGTTACAACATCAGTCAGTTTTTACATTAACACGTTACTATATGAACTGTGGAACATTATTAAGGAGGAAGCTGAAGACTCAATAGGAAAGAATCATTTGGATCACATGTACAGTACACAAAGAATATTAATATTTGATAATACTTTAGATATAGGAAGTTAGTGGAGATAATTTTTCTAATCCATTATATGAAGAAATATCAGATTTTGAGTTATCACAGACTCAAATGCTTAAAATCATACTCTTTTTGCAATGATTCTACAAAGTTTTTGTTGTATATCATAATGTTGTGAATTATCAAAGCCACATAAATAACAATTATATTTTTATAGGGCATCTAGGTTACTCTGGCTAATCTCAAAAAATGAAATAAGACCAGGCCTGGTGATTAATTGCAGGAGAGACCACTAGGATATACCAGACAAGGATATACCAGGATATGCCAGACTAGGAAATTTAAATAAGATTCAGAAGACAATGAAACTATTTTATACTGTTGCTGAGACACTAGGACAGCAATGGCGAACCTTTTCGGCACCGAGTGCCAAAAAGGGAGTGCATGTGGCATGAAGTGCCAAAAAGGGAGCACTTCACGCGCATGTGCGTGCTTGTCAGGGCTGTGACCAGGAAGATGAGCTGCCCAGGGGCCATGTGCGCACTGGATAAGGTAGTTCCGGTTTTCGCTGCTGCACATGGACACGCGCCGATCAGCTGGCTGGCGTGCATGCTCACACCAGAAAACAGAAGACCAGCTCTTCCGGTTTCCAGCACTGCCGATGATCAGCTGACAAAGACCATCATTGCTTGTGCATGCGCCAGAAATCCAGAAGAGGAATGGGTGATGCCATGTGTGCCAGGCGACATGACTCGTGTGCCACTTTAGGCACCCGTGCCATAGGTTCGCCATCACGGCACTAGGAGTTGAGCTAAAAGCTTTACATATACATAGAGATTAGGAACACTAGCGCTAAAATGTTTTCTTCCAGAGCTCTAGAGAATCTGAAATAGCTTAAACTCCTTGACATTATGGACAGTAATATGGATACTCCAAGTGTGAAGTAGGACAGCGCCAAAAGTTGCAACAGAGAAGTGAATTTCTAACTGTTGTCAGACCAGTAGAATTTTATACATGGAAAGGACAGAATGCTTCTTTCACTTTATGGTTTTGTGTAGCAGTAAGGCACAATTCTGCACAACATTTTACAATACTGACGCTCAAGAGGATTTGTCTTTATCAAATACTTTGTCCATAATGCATATTTACCTCCTGCTGCAACTCTTCTACTTGTTTCTTGTTTTGTTCTTTTATATCTTGCATTTCTTTTTCATGCTTGCTCTGCAGTGTTTTCATGGCTAGATGGTATTTATTTTCTAGATTTTTATGTTCCACTACAAAATAATGTTGAATTCTGTTATGAACATTCTTATGAGATGACTCATTTAAACTACCTTTTCTAGTATGAGAAGTAGAGAACTAGAGAATTCTGAAGAGATGTAGGAAAAAAGTAGTGAATTTGATGGTCTGCTTAATTTGTATAATTTTATTTAACTTTTAAAAAGCCACCATGGGAGAATAGGTGACAATATAAATCTAATAAATAAATAAATAAAAAACAAATCATTGAAATTTTTGGAGCAATGCAAAAACAAAAAAGGCTATAACCGAAAGAATTATGTGTTTGTCAGTGGTGTGTATGTGTGTGTGTATGTATAATAGATATAATAGAAAGAAATGGGGAAAAAACAACAAAGGGCAAAAGGGATAGCTGTAAAGGAGAGTGGTTAGCAGTTTAGGTACAAAACGTTCTAAACTTGGATAGCTTTTCTAGAATGGATATATATGGAGATGAAAGGGATATGCTGGTAGACAGAGTACATTTAAATGTAATGAAAAACAGTGAAACAAGCCACAAAAAATAAAAAAATAAAATGACCCTAGTAATGAATTTGCATGAAATAAAAAGATGTTTTGTTTCCCCACCTGAGTTTCAAATTGACTATGTTGCAAGGTACAAAGCTTAAAAGAATATTACAAAACCACATTCCTTTGTAACAAAATTGGCAGAACAAAAGTGAGAATTCGGCCCAATACCAAGGATAAAGAGCTAATCCTCTCATAAATATTCTTCACTAGATATTTAATCATCCTTATTCAGATCAATATGGGATATTTTAAACAATACAATCAGGAAAAATTAAATATCGTGTTTTCAGTTGGGCATAGGGGCTTATGAGGTCTTATATATTCTTTGCTATAAGCCAAGCCGCTGGAGATTATCATCCTCCAGAAACCCCACTGCAAGCAATGCTGCTTTTCTTCACAGGAGAAAAGATACTTAATACTAAATCTAGATACATTACTACTGGTAAATAATGTCCAGGACACTGGGGACAAGACATGGATAAAACTGAAAGAGGAGATTCTTTAGAACTACTGGCAGAAGGTGATAGTGACAGTGTAAGAACTGGAGTAATCCTCACGCTATCACTTTTCCTACCAGTGCAGAAGACTAAGCAAATCTTGATTATCTGAGACAAAGAAGCAACATTATTTAATACATATAGTCCTCGACTTACAAAAGTTTGTTTACTGTCCATTCAAAGATACATCGGCACTGAGAAAAGTGACTTATGACAGTTTTTAACTTATAACCTTATAAGTTATAACCATTGCAGCATCCCCATGGTCACGTAATCAGAATTCAGATGCTTCACAAATGACTCATATTTATGACGGTTGCAGTGTCCCTGGGGGTCAGGTTATCCCCTTTTGCGACAAAGTCAATGGGAAAGCCAGATTCACTTAAAAATTGTGTCCCTAATTTAATGACTGAAGTGATTCACTTAGCAACATAAATTTTGGGCTGCATTGTGGTCACAAGTCAAGGTCCACCTATATAGAGCATCTAGTATTGATTCTGATAGTTACAGTTTCAGTTCGTAATTACTTAAGACTTAACAAATTTCACATCATTTTGTATGCCACTCCACTTTTGAAAAACATACTTCAAAATAAATGAAGTCTACTTTGTATTGATAACAGTAACAAACATCTACTTGTTTTAACAAAATCTTTTATTTTGCTGATTTCTTGACTTCTCTGGGGAGCATAGAAATATTGGAAAAAATTATTCCCAAAATGAAGTGCTTACTTTCAACTTGTCTTTTTTCAAGAGAAACCGTCTCCATTTTTTTCTTTAATTCTTCAGTTTCTGCTGTTAAGTTTTGCTTCAGCTTGTTCAGTTCAGTCTGATGTTTTACAGATAACTCTTCAGATACATTTTTTAAACTGACATCTACATTCAAGGCCCATTCCTTTTTAAGATTCTAAAAGGAAATTAAATTTAATAATGAAAATTCCATTACCTTAACAAAACATTTTTTCCAAATTGGACTCTTCGTAACTTTAGTAACTCTTCTACTCTGTCCCAGTTACTATATTGTAAGACTTCACAATAGGAATTCACAATAGGAACTTCAGAATAGGATTCTATTATAAGGCATCTATCAAAACATGAAACACAACCTACCTTTTTCCCCCCCAATAGCATTAACATCTTACTAATCATCTCAGGATTCTTTTAGCACCTCTGAAATCTGTCTCCTAATGGGAAACACAGAACTCTAAATATATCCTTAACTAGGTGATCTTAGGAAGACTGGTATTGGCAATTTCACTCCTATCCTTGCCTCTTACATAAGGGGCATTCTGGAAGAACTGAAACAGCAACGTTTGTCACTCTTAGCACTGTTGCCCCATCCTTCTTACATACATATATCCTTTTTTCCATGCCTTTAATACAGTTATTACTTTTCTGCACTCCAAGGCAGAGGAGTCCAGAGTTATGCAAGTGGTAATGGTTCCCAGCTATTGATTGCCAACCTATCAGCTATTGAAAAACAGTAGCTAGGATGAAGATAGGAGAGGCAATAGTCAAGAGCGATTGAGTTGCTGCACTGCAATTCCACACAAGATGGACAGTAAGCTCAAGGTATCTTCTGTAAAGTTTAACCTACCGTATTTTCCGGCGTATAAGACGACTGGGCGTATAAGACGACCCCCAACTTTTCCTGTTAAAATATAGGGTTTGGGCTATACTCGCCATATAAGACTGCCCCTCTTCCAATGCACACCAAATAAAAATTAAAAAACATCAACTGGCTCATCCACAATGTAAAAGCAGCTGTGCTAGACCCAAAATGGCCCCTGCAACAAGCAGGAACCTCACACAGCCACAAAAAGTCCAAAAAACCAACTTTCACACTTTACACACACAAAATTCCACATACAGCTTTGTGAGATTTTGTGTGTTTGTGTAGTTGGAGTGAAACACTACAGAAACACACTAAATCTCAGAAAGCTGCACAAATATTGTTTTATTTTATTTTTATTTTTATATGAAAGCTAAATTTAAAACTTCCTAAACTTTAAATGGCTAGGTCTAAAAAAGAACAACTAAAAAAACCCCAATTGACTATTTTTTTTAAAGCTCCCAAAGGGGAAAAAAACTGACCCAATAGAACAGGGGTCTCCAACCTTGGCAACTTTAAGACTTGTAGACTTCAACTCCCAGAATTCCTCAGCCAGCTTTGCTTTGCTGGCTGAGGAATTCTGGGAGTTGAAGTCCACAACTAACTCCTTGCTTGATTGCAGGCAGGGAGTTGCTTGCTTGCCTGAATAGATTCAGGCAAGCAAAGCAAGGCAAGCGTTGCGACTAGCAGCTGAGGTAAGCAAGCTGGAGGGGGAAAACTTGTTCCCTTTTACATGGCTCTGGCCATCCCAGCTGAGTTGCAGGGAACTCAGCTGGGATCGTCAGAGCTGGGATCCTCAGAGTAAAAGGTAAAAAACTTTTTTTCTTTTACGTGGTTTCTGGCGATCCCAGCTGAGTTGCAGGGAACTCAGCTGGGATCGCCAGAGCTGGGATCGCCAGAGCCATTTAAGGCTCGTCAGAGCCTTTCGGGCTGGTCTGCCTGGTTACAGGAGAACTACACCCGGCGTATAAGACGACCCCCGACTTTTGAGAAGATTTTCATGTGTTTAAAAGTCGTCTTATACGCCGGAAAATACGGTACATTAGAAATGAGAACACCTTATTGACATCTCAAAATTAATTTTTAATTAGCATATTCATATCAAATTCTGAACAATATTAAAACAATCTTCTAATTTAAAAGATAGAAAATGTGATTTAATGAAAGTAACAAATTACATACAATACCTCTAAAATGTTAAGATGCTTCTTCTCCATTTCCAGACTTATTTTCACCTTCATTTCATCTGCAAAATGAAGTGGAACAGAATGGGACTGACATATAGGTTCAAATGAATATTTTTTAAAATTTGGTCGTGAAAGCACATTCTTCATTAATTTTCAAAGTTAGTACAAATTTTTGCACATCTTTGTTAATATTCCCTCCTTTAGCTTGTACAAAATAGTCAAAATATTACAAAGCTTGAAATATATATTTTTATTTAATTTTTTAAAATGTTTTTGGCAACTCATTTTTTTTTTTCATTTTATTTAATCACTCTGAATATACTGCATGATCCATTATTACAGTATTTGGGATTCATTTTGCTTCCTATTTACTGCTTCTAGTAATAAATCAGCTCATCAAAAAATCTGGTGTTTTATTAATCATATTGACTCAGAATCTATAAGTTGTATACCCATGTCAAGTTGATGTTTCAAAACCATTTCTTCCTTTTCTTTCTGATTCTGTTTGTTTATATGCTCCAATTCAAAATGGTATCGACTTTGCAGAACTGCATTTTCTTGAGCATGCTTATCATTGAGCATTTCACGGAGCTCCATTAGGGCAATTTCCTTCTCCTTTGTCAGATTCATTTGCATTAGCTCCATCTGAGATGTGCATATGTTATTTGAACTTAGTCTTATGGCATCCAGTTTAAGATTATCTGGGACCTACAAATGAAAAAAGACAGCATATGAATGAATATGCTTTATTATAATTATCAGTTTCTCACAATATTAGAGTTCCAATGCTGTGCTCCTTGGAATCAAGCTGCTACTAAAAACAGAAGATATATTAGGTTTATATGGGGTTTTGAGAGCAGCATGCTGTTTCCTCACAGCTTGGTTTCATAATTAGTATAACATCATGCTAACAATATAAACGGCACAAATTAAAAACTTCATTGGTTGCAATTAGTGAGGATTTAAGATCTGCAGTAGCCAAGGACTTTATTATTCTACTAGCTGGATACCTGTGCTTTGCTACAAAACTATGTGATGGGGCTTGATAAATCGACACTTACAGCTTGACAATTAATGAGTAGTAGGCCTCTCCTCTCCCCTTCTCTTCCTCAGCCTTGCCCCACAGAACCCTATCCTATCCTATCCCCTTCTCTCCCTCAGTCTTTTGCATTTGGAACAGATTTCTTTTCAGGTGGGGAGGGAGAATAGAACTCCTAAGCATCAGACTGTGTTAATAATAATATAGGAAATACTAATGCTCTGATGGTCATTTTGAAAAATCCTTTCTTAGTGAGCACCTAGACGCCAAGAGGAACATATGTGGCAAATTTCAAGTTTGTAGGCTTTACGGTCCTGGAGATTTTGTGATTAATGCATGAGTGGTTTTCGCTTTTATATATATAGATTGAATATTGTACTTCAGCTTGCTGCAGCTCCCCTTGAAGCGTAGCTTCCACTTTTTGTTGCAAGTCTTCTAATAACTGCTTTTGTTCCTCCATCAGTTTAGCATGTAGGTTTTTGTTCTCATCTTGACACTTAAAAAATTCATCTATGTCATAATTTTGTTCTTGTTCCTGAACCTAAGGAGAAATAAAGAGCATTACATATATTTATACACAAGAACATTCCCATATCATCAGAAATATGATAACCAGATTTCAAGGTTGGAAACAAAATTTGCTTTTTATTATAAACCTGAGATCCAGCAGCTGCAGTAAACATATATTTGGAATTAAGTAACTCCAAATTCAAGACTATTTTAAGTATCAAAACCAAATTTACAGTCCTTTTTTTTATTGAGTTTTCTTCATCAGCAATATGTTTTACTGTTTGGGGTTGGTCATTTTTCCTGCTGATTTTAAACAAATTAGATCAGGAATGTGCGCTGTTCTATTTCAAATCACCAAGCTACCCAGATATACCTTCACTCTTCTGATAACAGCATAAAAATTATTAAAGTGTATATTACTTTTTTTCCTCCAAGATTACAACAGTTTGATTTGTATATCATTTGCATACTACACTAATATAGTTTTAATATTTCTTTGCTATAATTGGATGATTAGCATCGTTATTTATCCTATGGCTGTTGCTACAAAATTGTGCTATGAGGCAGGGCTACGGACAACCCCTTAAAAGTGTGTGTGGGGGGGGAGAAAGAGCCACGCGCCGTGCAAACACGCGCATCCCACACCTGAGGCTGAGAGAAAGACCCTTCCTCACCCGGTACATAACAGTCCCCGGACACTCCGGATGGAGCATTCGCCCCCTCCCCCAGGCAGCTCGGAAAAGCGCCTGCACTCTGCGACCACTCCACCCCAGAGCAAGTAGAAAGCAACGCACTTCTGGAGGAGCGCGGGGGCTGCCAGCAGCCTCTCGAACTCTTGCCGGATCTTCCCTTTCCATATCCAACCGACGACCCGACTCTCGGGCCAGCAACGGTCGCGCAACCCGTGGAGGCCTCCAACTTTCAGCCAATGGGCTCCCTCGGCGTCATCCAGCGCCCCTCCCACCCAGGTGCCCTGCAAAGCCGAAGCGAAGCAGCCTCGGCGCCATGTATTGGAGCGCCGGGAACCAATAGGGAGCCGGTAGCAGGGCGCGACGCTCCAAACTGAGCTGGCGGCGCAGCTTCCGGAGCCTGTAATCGCTGAACTGGGAAAAGCGAGGGGGAGGCGCCCTTAGAACTCCGAAGCTCTTTTGGGGTCCTTGGGGAAACAAAGCTTTCTTTTGGTTTCGATTGTCGAAATTTCAAAACTGCAACCTGTCTAGGGGCTTCAGTACTGTATACAAAAGATGGAGTAAGGACGGCCTCTGAAAGAAACTTATGTACTAAATTCCCTACGAATTCATACGAGCCTGTTTCTGCCGATCGTGCACTCGAAGTCCCTGGCACGGCCGTTTCTATAGTAGTTTTCTGTTTACATTCTTTTTCACCTTTGTAAGCCTAGGTCCTAGGTCGTCTGCGATTGGGCGAGCAAAGAAAATGAAATTGCAGTGTTTTCGGACGGCGTACTGATGTATTACTTTTGTGGAAGAAAACCATAAAGCATTAGTAATTTGTACTGTCCAATAAATTTTCTCAATCACAGTCCAATCTAGTACACTATTGAAGAAAAAATACAATATGTGTATAGGATATACGCACACCCCCGTTACGATTCGAGCATACAGGTTTAACAAATTATTATATATATTTTACCTATACCACCATTATGAGAATAGGGAGCATAGTGAAGCTAGTGGTGAGAACAAATGAATTATTGAAACTGGCATGGCTTTTTAAAAAGGTAGTTTCAGAAAAAATAAGACCCAGAGTTGGAAAATAGCATTGAGGTTCCTTTTTTTCGCTATCAGCTGTAAGGCCTCCTAGTTTACAATGGACCTATTTCACCCTCCTCCAATGCGTTAAATGTTAGTAATTTCCAAGAATCGAGTTCTAACTCTTCATTTTTCTCTACAGCTCATGCGGATGGTTCCCCAAAGAAAACTCACAACCATAATTTGATCCAGAAGAACACTTTGCACACTCTGTTTTAGTTTTAAATTTCAATCCCCGCCTTCGTTCTCAAAACTATTAATACAGTACAGCGAAGCAAAAACATGGATTTCCTCCATATCGAAGAGCCGCCGGCAATAGGAAGAGGAAAAGGCAGCACCGTAGATTTTAACTCTTTGATGTTTATGAATCAAGCTCTTTTCCTCCTATGTTAAACAAAGAAAATTCATCTTAAGAAAAACGGACGTTTCTCAAGCGCTAATCAGCAAAAAATAAGAAATATAGAGTGGAGCAGCTTCAAGGCGCCTGCAGTTTCCTTGATGGCTTATGTATTTCTTCCCTGAAAAGACCTGGAACCAACTGTATTAATTGCACATTTATTATTTTGGTGTTGAAGTGTTTAATAGATTTTTCTTACAAATGTGAGATTGGATTTACTACATAACAAGAGTGAACTTTTTTGTTTACAGCACTGAAGCTGCATTCTGCTTCTATACCAATTGAAATAGTTTGTACTATTAAATAGTTTGTACTATTTCAATGGCCCTAATTGTGGATTTTTGATACCACCTTTTATTGAAAAAATCAGTGATCAAACTGATTTTATCTGTCAAACAGAATTTTAGGTAGGCTTTCAAGTTAGGAGAAATTACAATACTATGTATCTTCCCTGGCCGTGTATATAACGTACTGTACTTAAGTTAGTGGAGGCAAAGTACCTTCAAGTAGTTTTTGACTCCTGCCCACTCCTTGGACAAGTCCTTGTGGTTTTCTGGGCAAGATGTTCAGAACCGGTTTGCTGTTTCCTTCTTCCTGGACTGAGTTTTGTGCCTACAGCAAGACTAGAATTCACAATGTTTTACTGGCAACCATGATTTCTACAAGTCAGTCCACCAATATGTTTTAAAGACTGTTTCATTGTACAGGGAGTCCTCAACTTACATCCACAATTGAGCCCAAAATTTATGTTGTTAAGTGAGAAATTTGTTAAGTGAGTTTGCTCCATTTTACAATTTTTCTTGCCACATTTGTTAAGCGAATCACTGCAGTTCTTAAATTAGTATTTAGTTGTTAAGTGAATCCAGTTTCCCCATTGACTTTGCTGAAGGTCACAAAAGGAGATCACATGACTCCGGGACACTGTAATCGTCATAAATGTGAGTCAGTTGTCAAGCATCCAAATGTAAATCACGTGACCATCGGGATACGGCAATGGTCATAAGTGTGAAAAATGGTCATAAGTCACTTTTTTCAGTGCCAAGGTAACTTTGAACAGTCACTAAATGAACTATTGTAAGTCGAAGACTACCTGTATTGATGAACTAACCTTCAGTTCACCCATATATCTTCTCATTATTGCATATCTAACAGGAAGGGTTAATCAACTAACTTCAGGACATAACTCTTTTAGAAAGAGGCAATTATTGCAATGTGTTTGAAAAAGACGCTTTTGAAGCCAGAGGACTGTAATAACTAACCTAATAACTAATCTCAAGCATTTTCCAGGGTCTGTTGAATGAAATTCAAGTCCTATTGCTGAAACTCCACTATCTGAAAATTATATTATAATTTGTATTTAAAAATCCATCACCTAAGAAAACTGTATGAATGTGAGAAAAATGGAATAGCTCCATTTCTGACAGAAATGTTATGAAACGTGTGAACTCAGTCTAGATACATTTTAAAATGTTGGCAGTGAAAGATTGCAAATACAGTATTATAAATCTTCCTTGGCCGTGTATATATAGTACTGTACTTACCGTAAGTTAGTGGGAGCAATGTACCTTCAAGTCATTTTTGATTCCTGCCTACCTAAGGAATTAACCTAGAAACTGGTAGACTGAGCTTTGGTACCACCCTAGGCACAAAGCCTAGGGTGGTACCAGCTCAGGATAGCCCCCGACCTTCTTTCTTTCCGTCGCGAGCTGAAGACGTGGCTCTTTCATCAACTCAACTGATCCGTTTGGGGATACACTGTTATAATTTTAAACTGTTTTAATAGGGTTGTTGATTTTAATTGTTTCATTGTGATTTGTATTGGAATTTGTCATTTTGTAAGCTGCCTTGAGTCCCTAGGGAGAAAGGCGGCATATAAATCGCAATAATAAAATAAATAAATAAATAAAACCAGCTCAGTAACCTTGGGCTAGTCATTCCCTCATAGCCCTAGGACGAAAGCAATGGTAAATCACTTCTGAAAACACGTTAGCAAAAAAACTGCAGGGATTATCCAAGCAGACACTAAGAGTCAACACTGATTCAAAGGCATACACACCTACATACACACACATAAATGTAATTGATACATACTATCTCAGATGTGACTGCACTGACTAGACTTCTGATTAATAATGTAGGAAAGTATTTTTCACATACTGCCCTGACAGTTTTTGCAATAATTTATAATTAGAAGTCCTGGGAAAAGAATTATATTAGGCCATATGAGATAGTATCTTTTTTGAAGTAACAATCTTTTAATTATTAATTGGTACATTTTGTTGCTTGGGATTTTTTTAAATTTTATCTGTGATTGGCCAGAAATGGAAACAAATATAGGAGACCTAAGTCAGTGGTCTTGATATACAGCTATATATTATTTGTTATTGATCAAATGTGCTTTAGATTAATCTTCAGCACAACTATACAATCTTCATTCTATTTTTCTTTGATTTCTGAAATCATGACTTTAATGAACATAAGTTGATGCTTTATATTGTCAGATATTGGTCATAGTATGAAATTTCAGGAATTATTTTTTAACTACAGTTTGGGAAACACTTGGTTGAAACTTCACCCATTTTTGTTTGTTTGTTTTCTGTCTTTCTCTGATGACCAAATATTGTATGAGTCAGGTGAGTACTAATCCTTGGAAATACATATTGTTTAAATTGCAGCCAACAGATGTGAAGCTAATTCATTCCTTAGGCTTAACAGAGTTATTAAGAGGAGGGTGTTAGCAACGCACAGGGTTGGGCACATTGAACTTGCACTGGAAGAGTCAGCAGCCCTAAAGAAAATATTTCTATTGTTCTAGTGAAACAATATCTTAGCAACCCTGTTGAGTGTACATTTCAAAAGACATGGTGCAGTATAAGAAGTTTCTGTTCTCCTTGTAACCACAGCCTGTAGCTGTGGTTACTGAGGAAAAAATACATGGAAATTCATAATGAAGCTGGGGAGAGAGAAAGTTAACCCATGTTCAAAATAATGTAGCTTACCAGACACACATTACCTTGGAATTTTCCCCCAGTGATGGAATCTGATGTGGCTGATCACATGACCCGTCTGAAGCTCAAACTCCTTGAAAAGGTAGGCTGATTTTTCTACAATTATATCCAAGTATTAACTATCCAGTAATAGGGCAGAAAAAAAATCTATCAAAATGAAAATTTTGGCATAATGAAGATTTTTTCATCAGCAGTTAGCTGTCTCATACTGAACATGTCAAGAATGCTATGTATGCATAAATATGTACCTTTTGTCAAGCATTCCTGATACTTTGGGCCTTTCTGCAATTTGTCTTGATTTCCTACCTGCCTATCAGAAAGTCTTACTGTCATAAACTTTACTGTCCTATTGCCAAGCCATATCCTGCTTCTATTGCCTGTGTTCCATAAATTACTTTGGAGGAACCAACTGACAAAATTACACAGATACTTGAAAAGTTGCCCAAGAAATGTGTTAGAATAGTGGAGGAAACCCTGCTTTTACACTGGTGTAAAAGGTAAAGGTAAAAGTTCCCCTCGCACATTTGTGCTAGTCATTCCCGATTCTAGGGAGCGGTGCTCATCTCCGTTTCAAAGCCGAAGAGTCAGCGCTGTCCGAAGATGTCTCTGTGGTCATGGCATGACTAAACGCTGAAGGCACATGGAATGCTGTTACCTTCCCACCAAAGTGGTCCCTATTTTTCTACTTGCATTTTTTATGTGCTTTCAAACTGTGGGGTTGGCAGAAGCTGGGACAAGTAATGGGAGCTCACCCTGTTATGTGGCACTAGGGATTCGAACTGCTGAATTTTCGATCGACAAGCTCAGCATCTTAGTCACTGAGCTACCATGTCCATCTTGAGCCACCGCGTCCCTCTCCCTCTACACTGGTGTAGCTAAGGACAATTTTACACTGATTGCTGGCTAGGGTTAAAATATAAAGCAAGTTTACAAGAAAGAAAATGGATGTCAGAGGGCATTGATGCTTTCAGTCCAAGAGGGATGTCTACTCTAATGCTGTATAATAGCAAGTTGAGTTTTATGTCATTTAAGATTTGTCTAATTGTTTCCCGCAGATTCCTTTTCTTAAGAATCAACGTTTTTTTACTATGAAAACTTAATGTGTTAAAATTAATGTGAGAAGTTACAGGTTTTTTTAAAAAAAGAATCGTATTATATTTTTCCACAGAAATTAGAAAATGAACGTGAAAACTTGGATGACTCTGAATCACCCTTCTCTACAAGTAAGCAATTAAAGCATATTTGTACTGGAATTATGTATGATGTCAAGTCATGGATTGCAATAAAGAACTCTGCAAAATTAATCCCATCTGGATTTAATATCTGCCTAAAAATATTTTATCACACCAAGTTTTATTGATCAGGTTACCTAATTAATTGCTAAACATATGGAGGATGAAAGTTAAAAATATCAGCGCAAAAGCATTAATCTAGGATTGCAGGTCTGTGTATATCTACTTGCAGAGCTGTCCTGAAATCTCCATATGGCAGTACTTATCTGTTTATAAGTATGTTGATATAATGTACCCTGTTTCCCCAAAAATAAGACATCCCCTGATAATAAGCCCAATCAGGCTTTTGAGGACATGTATTGAAATAAGCCTCCCCCCCGAAAATAAGCCCTCCCCAAAAAACACAGAGCTGGAAATCAGGTAAGGCAGCAAGAGGAGCCCCATCTTGCTCCACGCGCCCCAAAATAATAAGACCTCGAAAATAAGGCCAAGCGCTTATTTCAGGGTTCAAAAAAATATAAGACAGGGTCTTATTTTCGGGGAAACACGAGTATATTATTTTTATTACTTTTCACTATCTGTTTAATGTGTTTATACTTAATTATTAGCTGCTTGGAGTCCATCAGATCTGGGATAGATTACAAATATTGTTAAATAAATAAATAACAAACATGGATTGGCTTGACTTGCAAAAGCTCTGACCCAAAATATGACCCTCCTTTTCCAGTTCTTTCTCTTGCTTGCAATGTCAGCTTCAAGATCTTCTTTAAGTGGAGTGACAATTTTTGAATTCTGCAGCTTTGTAGTTTTGCTCTCTCTTTTCTCTTCACTCCTTTTTAAATGACATATTAATGTCACCCATATTTTTTTGCAGGGAATTATGACAATTATGGCTATGCCTTACAAAGTGCACTGAGAAGAAGGAAAGACCTTTTACAGCAGCTCAGAGTATGATATCCCTAATTCTTATCATTTTCTTTTAAAAATGGAATAAAATACATCTTCTTCTGCTCACTTTTTACTATGTTAATATGATGTTAATAGAATAGTTTAGTTCTTTGCCAGATAATATTATCAGTTTAGATAAGGTATAGTGGGAATTTAAGAAAAGTAAAAATTCTAGGGAAAAGCAAAGTAATTTTGAGTAGGTAAATTAGGGAGGAGAGGCAAGAAAAACATTTTTGCATCATGATTTTTTTGGGGGGTGAAAGGAAAATCTCTTATAGCACTTTTAAAGTTTAATAAAATTGGAGGTGGAGTTATGCAGTATGACATCTATTTCCCTACAATATGTTGAATACAATTAATGAAAAGTTTAATGTTCATTTTTTTTTGCTAATGACTAGCAAGAAATAACTATATACTGGAAATGTCTTCAATTTCTGTCTTGTTACAGGTTGGTTTTCTTTAAGCAAATGTATGCGTTTAGAAAAAACTATACTTTGTGTTATAGGAACAAAATCTTTTGGAAGAGATTTCAGTACCACAAAGTTTACCAAGAATTCATAAAAAGTCCTTGAAGCCACATCATATCTACCAAATTCCTCCTCCTCCTCCTCCTCCTCCTCCTTCTCCTCCTCCTCCTCCTCCTCCTCCTCCTCCCCCTCTACCTCAACAACCAAGAATTATCCAGCAAACAGTAAGTGTTTTCTGCTTTATTTCAAGGAGGAACAAAAACTCCCCATCAAACTAATCCAAGCAAAACTAACTGTGGGCACAAATTCATTATATAACAAATCTGGAACATCATTTCATCAGTACATCATGATTTCATAAGATCCCTTGGGGTATTATTGGGTTCCAGATTTTATAACTAGCAACTCAATTGCAGATATTAATGAGAACTGTAATATATTCACTATCTAATTTCTGCATATTAGGCTATGCAGGTTTCTGCATATCAAACAGGCTGAGTTACTTTGTTGTGCCCTGATCAGATGGCAATTCTTGATGAACAAAATTTGCTGGCAGATTTCAATTCCTTAACTAATTACCCTGAAGATGACACCACATATTAATTGGTGAATGGTCCAACAGTGTATACATTAAAGCACTTTAGCACTGGTATGATAAATTTAATATTGAAGATTTAAATAAACTTTACGTTCGATTTGAGTGGAATAATCTGAGATCCCCAAACCCTAGATACAACTCTTAGAATTGTACCAATCATGAACAACTGTAATTTTTAATAGAATTATTAAACACATGGGAAATAATACTCATAAGCATTTATATTGTTACGTTATGTTATGTTTTATGTTATGTTATATACTGTACTGTATTATCAAATCAATTTATATGGTTGCTACAAATGCAATTCTGGACAGCTACCAACATATTAAAACAATAGAAAAAGAAATACAACATAAGTGTTATATTTAAAATGCTTGTGTTGTATTTCTTCTTCTATTGTTAAATTAAATCTAATTTAATTTTTTGTCCCGGTCTTTCCCCACTTCTTTGTAATGATCTTCTTCTATAATGATCTTTTCAATCTTCGTGAACCAGCATGCAATTCTTCAGAACATACAGCTTTGCTAGCCTCTCTTCTCTCTCTTCCTAGCTTTCACTGTTTGTTTGCTCAGTGAATTCTATGTAAGTATAACATTTTAATTGTTTAATATGTTGTCCATTAACTTCATTCAGCTGCAGATATACAGTAACAATGGAGCGACGGTTTACTTTTTGACTATTCTTTTTTTCCATCTTTTTTTGTTTTGCAAGTTACCACAGCAACCAGCAACCATAATTCAACAAATACCTTCATATCAGCCACCACTCATTACACAGATTCCAACTCCACAGTCCTTTTCAGTACCCAGATCTGGGAGTATTAAAGAAGGTATTTGTGTTCAAAACTATAGTTCAAAAACTATAACTATGTGTACACTATGTAGGAATAACTCTCATTTAATATAGTAGATCTAATTTCAAGTCCAAGGAAATATATCTAAGATTACAGCATGCTGCAGAGCTACAACCCTATGCAAATTGACTCAGAATTAAGTCCACTGGACAGAACTTGGACAGGATTGTTGATAGGGGTCCTATCTATGTACACAAATTTAAGAGTAAGATTGGTTAGATTCAGGGAGACTAACAAGATTTTATTTCTTCCATTCAATTGTGTTCGATTCTCAGACACTAAACAAGTCCCTGTAGTTTTCTTGGCAAAGTTTTTCAGAAGTGGTTTGACCTTGCCTCCTTCCTAGGGCTGAGAGAGAGTGACTGGCCCAAGATCACCCAGCTGGCTTTGAGCCTAAGACAGGAATAGAACTGACAATCTCCTAGTTTCTAGCCTGGTGCCTTAACCACTAGACCTATAATGGCGAACTTATGGCACGTGTGCCCAAAGTGGCATGCGAAGCCATGTCGCCCAGCATGCGTGGCCTTGCCTGTTTGTCTTTTAGGTTTCTGGTGTGTATCCACATGTGATGATCAGCTGTCCTTCATTCACACGGCAGTGCCGAAAACCAGAGTGTGCATGGGCGCCGGCCAGCTGATTGTCGGGTGCACATGCGCCAGAACTCGGAAGTTTGGCTTTTCCAGAGCGCGATCCCTTTGTGTGTGTGGCAATGCCGAAAACCGGCCTGCACATGCATGCCGGCCAGCTGATCGTCGGACATGCATACACACTAGAATCCGGATATCGGCTTTTCTGGAGCGTGGTCCTGACATGTGCGCGCGCACGTTTCCACACGATGGCTCACCATCACTGCACTAGACTAAACTGGGTCTCAACTTTTAAGTAAAATGGCATAAAGAATGCCAAATATTTTTTTTAAATTTTCCGACTTACAAGGTTTGGGGATGCAATTTAAAAAGTAAAGAGTAGCTATGGAAAGTCTGGTTGAATAAGAGGAGCTTACTTTACTCTTCTTTACTGATATAACCTGTGTCTGTGTCTGTATTATGTACTGGATAAATTTAATACATGCAACAAAACAAGGACTTGTGGATAAGATAGTGGCACCAAGTGACAGGAAATTTAGATCTGCACACAAGTGCTAATCTTAAATTATAATCAGACAATCTAAATAAATACCGTAAATAAAGGGACAGAAAAGGTGAAGTCACACCACTGACCAATGTAGCTTTGAAAAGAAATAAAACCATTCATGGCACTTTCCCTGACAACTTTACCATACTGGCAGGGATGTCTCAAAATGGCAGGCATAAGCAACAGAAGGTAGAATGGTGTCTTTGAGAATTTATTTAGTTCCCACCTTTATTATTTTTACATAACTCAATGACGCCTGAACATATTCAACAAACCTTCCTCCTCCTATTTTCCCCACAATGATAACCCTGTGAGGTGGCTTTTAAGGCAAAGGCAGGACTTGAACTCACAGTCTTTTGCTTTCTAGCCTGGTGTCTTAACCACTAGACCAAATTGGCTATCATAATGGCATGCACGGGGCAGTTGTTTTCAGCCTGGGATCTTGGTTCAGGTGCAGAGAATAGCTGAGAAAACTTGTCCAAAGATGTGGCTGCTTTAAGGAGCTACAAAAGATGCTACTTGAGCACTCTGCACACTCTAAATAAACATATATTACTCTGATATAAGGTAGGCAAGTAGCTAAGAACCTGCTTGGTTTTTTTTCATTCAATTGAAAGATTTATGATGTCCTTTCCTAGATTCTTTCTGGACAGTCTTTGAAAATAAAGGAATTGTTGAACTAATTATTTCCTTCTTTGTTGAAGAACTCTGTGTACATCTGTAGTACGACCACTGTGTGGTACGACCACTGTGTAACTTCCAAGTTGTTAACATGTGCTATTGTAATACTTTTAAAGTATAGATTTGGCAGCTCAGCTAATACTAGGCTGCTTGTTTTTTTAAAAAGGCATTGATCTGAGAGATTATGCTGTTCAAATGGCTGTACTTCACCCTTTGAATTACATTATGTTCTCCATTATAACCATAGGATGGTCTTGAATTGTCTTTTATCCATTATAGATATGGTAGAAATGATGCTAATGCAAAATGCACAGATGCATCAAATCATTATGCAGAACATGATGCTGAAATCCTTACCACCAACATATTCACCAACTAGTGGGTACGGGGTCCCTATGCTTCAACATGGACAACAGGTAATAACTATTTAGTCTGAATCGTATCTGTACATTTTATTATTATTATTATTATTATTATTATTATTATTATTATTATTATTATTATTATTATTTATTAAATTTGTATACCGCCCTTCTTTCGGACTCAGGGCGGTGAACAGCCAGAATAAAAACATCTATACACAAAAGTTAAAATAATTATTTAAAACTAATTAAATAAAATTTTGGCCCATAATTTAAAACATATCAATTAAAAATCAGTATCAAACGTTAAAACCAACATGAAATCAGGCCAGCCCGGCTAGCTGAAAAAAGTAAGTTTTTAGGGCCCAACGAAAAGTCCGGAGCTCTGACATCACTCGTATCTCTGGAGGTAGATCATTCCAGAGGGTAGGCTCTCCCCCTGGAGGTCGCCAGCCGACATTGTCTGGCCGACGGCACCCTGAGGAGGCCCTCTCTGTGGGAGCGAACCGGCCAGTGGGAGGCAACTGGTGGCAGAAGGCGGTCCCGTAAGTACCCTGGCCCTAAGCCATGGAGCGCTTTAAAGGTGGTCACCAACACCTTGAAGTGCACCCGGAAGTCCACTGGAAGCCAATGCAGCTCGCGCAGGAGAGGTGTCACGTGGGAGCGCCCCGTCGCTCCCATAATCCCCCGCGCGGCCGCATTTTGCACCAGTTGGAGCCTCCGGGTGCACCCCAAAGGGAGCCCCATGTAGAGAGCGTTATTTATGTGTGCTAATCATTTTAATGGTCAGCGTCATTCGAACTGAGATTCTTAAAAGGATGAATTATAGTATACAGGTAGTTCTCATTTAGGGACCACAATTAGGACTGGCAGCTCTGTCATTAAGCAGAGTGGTGGTTAATTGGCAAATCACACAAGCGGGACTGCGCTTTCATTTTCCCCACTCCCCCACTTCTGAAATGCTCAGCCCAACACTGGTATAATTAGCAAGAAAGGAATTTATGTTTCTAGTTACAATCATTGGAGCGGAAGAGATTACACATGAGTAAGTAAGAAGGCACATTATGGGAAATATACATCAAATGGAATGCACTGGCACCAGGAGTCACAAGTGTACCACATAAACAGCCTGCTGTATTCCTCATTGTGTGCCTGCTTACTTCTTATACTCCCTTCCACTCCATTCTCTCTACTGTGGGGGAGGGGGACTAGCAATTTCTGTAGGCAATCTCCTCTGTATCTGACCCTTTTTTCACCTTTTTTTTTCCAATTTGAAACCTAAGTTTTACAATACTTAAAAATTTCAGTACTGAAACTGCATGCACCAATATACTGTAGTAGTTTTGGCCAACTTCAAAAGTATAAGTATATTGCATTTCCAATCAAAACAAGTGAAAGCATTATACAATGAAATGTTTTGTGCTTCTTCCAACATGAAAGATTGGCCCTCCCTGAGTGGAGTTTCTTATGGTGGGAAGTGAGTTTGTCACCGATTTATTAATGTATTTTGTGAGTCTGAAACAAAGGAGAAAAAATGGATAAAACCATAAGCTTCAAATCAATATCGAAATCATGGCATCATTTGACTTGATGTATTTAATATATTATCCTGATTTTTTTAAAAAATATCTGCAGTTTACTGCTCCTATTCCAACAAGAGTGGAGAAATCACGACCATCAACTATACATCATCATCACTATACATCTTTAGGAGCACCAGTTATTCCTTCTCAAAGTGGCTTCCCCATGTGGCCATTAGTTCTGCAACCTGGCCTTAGCCCACAACTGGAAGGTTTCCCATCTGAAGTACATAATCTGCCCATTCCAGTTAATGCATCACACACGTAAGTCAAGAGTTTGCCACAGTAGGAAAACTGGTTTCGAAGTTTTCTAAGACATTGGTTCTATTTGTTCCCTTTTTACAGTATTCCAGTTCAGGTACATTTCTTTATGTATTAGCCATAAAGAATCACAGAGAAACAACAATAAGTTGTTGTGAAATATCAAAAGTCATTTTTTCAGGAATAGCAAGTTCTGTTATATTCCCTATAGCAAGTCATATTTGAGTTACTTTCAATTGCTCAAAGGTGCACTAAAAGGAAAAAATAGATAAATCATATAAAGTTAGATCGTTGTGTAAATATGTATTTCTAACTACACATTTTCCTTCCCAAAGTGTGCCACCTCACAGACTGCTTGGATTACCTTCGGGTTTGTAGATTCCATAGCAACAATCTAGAAAAGGTAATTTGAGTGCAGACTTCCTGTATTTATATCAGGGCTACGTCAGCATGCCAGATTAGCCCTTTTCTGCCTGCTAACTCAATAGATTTGAGATGTTTTTAATTGTTCAACTAGGCACAACTAACAGTAACAGTGATGTTCCTCAGCTTGCCCTATCGGGCTTCTCTCATAACCTTGAGAGCTTTTCTGCTTTCATAAAGTGTGAGCAGAATAAAGATGAACAATCCTGAATCTAGGAAAGTCCCCTTTAGATTTATAGGAGTACAAACACATTGACTAGACATGGTGGGAATTATAGCCCAAAACCCCTTGAAGCTTGAGTTTGGACATTTCCAAATCTGTATCACCTATTGAGGAGGAAAGTAAGCAAGCATCTTTTTCCAATTATTGTACAGCATAGGAGTTCTGGTTGCATCTTCTTGCATGAAACTTTTGTTTGTTCAGCTGATCATTTTGTAGTAAGATTCTCCTGGAACAGCTGGTATAGAGAACTCCTGTTAGGGAGAACTAATCTGCATATTAGATAATGTAAGCTTATAAGGACAAAGCTGTAAGTTCCCACAGATTCTACTACAGAATTTATACTAGACCCATTTGATGTGTTTGGTACCATAACTGTGCAGCAATATTTGCTGAGTTCAGAATGTGAATGAAAATAACATGTGGAGAATGGATTGGAGTGTATTATGTGTCTTCTGAATGATTCCAGATAAAATATTGGCCCCAAAAGAAGCTGAGAAAATTTTCTTTTATTTGGAATGGCCCCGTCAGCACCTAGAGTTATATTTTTAATAATTTTTTGGATACATATTTTATTTTCCACCAGAATTAAGATGATGATGAATAGCTTATATAGTTTATCATTCTACCTCTGGCTATTCCTATGATTTTTAATTTTAAAATTAGATTAGTATGCTGCCTTTATAGAATTATTTATTTTATAATTTATACAATAATAGAAAAATATGTGAATTTATAGAAAGCCTATGATGCAGGCATAGTACTGTAAATAGTAAAACATAATGAATAGACATACGCAATTGATTTCAATTATTAATGAACTTCTTGACACTATAAAGATTTTATTCATGAAACTATCTGAGATGCAAGATTTTGGAGCTAGAGAGAAGGAAAGAGAATTTTAGTAGCATATATAAACTCGTTTTCCAAATTAGTTTTTTAGTTCCTTTCTTTGTACCCCTCCATAACTGTAGAAGTACACTATTACCTTGCTTAAATATTGTATACACGCTAACTAGTTTCTCTTACAGGTGGCTTGCAAAGGGGCAATGAGTATCTAATTAAAAGCATTGGAGCTCTCTCATCTGATACTTCACTTCGCTGCAGATAGACAGAAATTATGCACATTTGCTGAGAACATAGGATTTCCAGTGAGCATAAAATTTCCACCTGATACAACAGACTTATGCATCAATTTTATTTGAGCTATACTACGTGATAAATATTGTGCACCATATCCTGTTCATTCATGTTACAGACATGAAAGAGGAGGAAGAATGCCATAGGAAAATAAGGAAAAGTGCCAGCATCCATACTGGCCATACTGGAAGCTATGAGTTACATAGCAGCAGTCATATCATAATAATTAGGAAGTGATGGAGACACCTTTGCGCATTGTTCAATCCACCTAACAACATTTAAAATAGGATGTCATCAACAGGGCTTTTCACTGCAAGACTGTCTACCAGAGTGGTCGAACTAGGAGTTGATGGGAAATCACTGCTCTAATTACCCCAAAACAGGGAAGAAGGGGTAGCATGGAGCATAGTGGCACAATTCTTCTCAAACAATGGAAATAGTGTTTGGTCATACAGACAGAGTAATAAAGCTAAGGAAGCCAGAACTGTTGTAAAAGTGCATTGACTAGGGCATCAGGAGCAGCAAAACAAGCTCTATGAGACAGAATAGGAAGAAAATAGTTGTAGTTTAGCTAGCAAGAGTGTCATCATATGCAAAAGAAAAGGGGGCCCCAGAAATCAAAACTATTGTGCTGGCTATTGTGCTGGCTAAATTCTTCTGTTGCAAAATAATAGAGAAGCTATGAGGCACTCATCATCCCTTTTCTTTTGTGCACGTTAAATAATTCTGGGTTATATGTGCAGAATGTCCAAAGTTTAAAACTGCTAGAGCTTCTCAACAGGAGTGGCTTGGAGCCTTCTTTGCTATCTGAAAACATTATTGTTCTTTAGTGTCAGGCCCAAGCCCAAAGACAACAGAGTGAAATCCAATTGACTCCAATTCTTTATTTGCTTACATGTAATAGAAAAAATCGTGTTAGACTACAGCTATAATCTTCTAATCTAATAAATACAGAGAGAGAGATTCTAGGGTATAACCATCCTGACGCTATCCAGTCACCAAATGAACTGTTTTAAATCCTGGAATCCTGGGAAAAAGTTAATGCTGCCAGCCAGTGAATTTACTTCAGCAGCAGATCCAGTCCGTTCAGAGACTGAAAAAATCCTTGTCCTTTTCTTAATAATGACAATCCTACATTTTACATTCAGCTGTAGTTCTACAAGATCAAAATCCCTTTCAATCATTTTCCTGTGTTCCACTCCTGGAAAGTGGAAAGCTCTCCAACCTCCTCATGTTAATCAAGAGATTTGAAAGGGAACTGAACCTGTCCTTCTTTGAATGCAAGTACAGCTCTGTGCATGATCCAGGACCTAAATAAATCAGCTCTGTGCATGATCCAGATTGTACTGACAGCTGTATTTGCCTTTAAGTAAACATTAGAACTCCCTTTCAGACCTATCACCTGAAGCATGCATGACAGTTGGAGAAATTGGGGCAGGGTTGAATGTTACCCATCCTCCCCTAACTTTGAATTTTTCTCCGTATTCAAGTTCCTGAATAAGATTTGTATTTCTTATGAAATTCTGTCAATTAGAAGCAATTTACAGAACAGAGGTCCTTCCAGTCAGTCTCAAAACTTCTGTCTCTCGAGATCTACGTTTCAGTATTATGCATGCAATATTGCAGAAAAGAAAGTTTCTCTGATGGTTCAGGCCACTTGTTATCAAATATAGCAAGAGGATGGGTATATGGAGAAGAGTTACAACAGTGATATAAGCAGCAGGCAATCTTCCAATTGTGAGCAATGAGTTACTATGTGTCTCATGGAAACAAAGGAAGATGGCATGCCCAGGCTTTGGGAGGCTCTGGTTTCTTAATGTTTAAACATCAACAATGCTTTCTGAATCTTTCTTTTTCCCCAAATGGAATGATATTGTGTTTTGTTTTGTTTTTGTTCATGACACTTTGCTACCAAAACCAGCAACAAACCAGGAAGTTGTTAAGTGAGATTCGCTCCATTTTATGACCTTTTTTTGCCACAGTTGTTAAACAAATTACTCCAGTTATTAACTGAATCTGGCTCCCCCCCCTTGACTTTGCTTGTTGGAAACCAACTGGGAAATTTACAAATGGAGATCACATGACCCCAGAATGTGCAATTATCATAATACATGCCAGTTGGCAAGAGCCCAAATTTTGATCACATGACCATGGGGATGCTACAATGGTCATAAGTGTGAAAACTGATTATAAGTCACTTTTTTCAGTGCCACTGTAATTTTGAATGTCACTAAATGAATGGTGGTAAGTCAAGGATTACATAAATGGCCCTCAAGTTTCCACTTATGAGTTCTGCTTTGGAGCATGAATTTGCTCCTGAGCAATGCCTGTCTCTGAGCATCCCCAACTCTGTATGTGAGGTTTGCAGTTCTTCAATAATTGTCTCTTGAGTGATTTGACAGAATCCATGTTAAAGTTTTAGAAGATCAGATGTTAGTGATAGCTCAAGTTCTTGAATGGGAAGTCAATATACTCTCAGGCCAAATGTCTTTCCTTTAGGGCTCTCAGATTGTGACTGCAAAACCTTAGGTGACTACTAGGTGGCAGCAGAGGCCTGCATGAAAGTCCAAGTCTGAATTTATGGCTGGATGTTTGCAGGACAGATGTTAGCCTTTTTTGTTTGTTTGTTTCTATTGTTCTCCATTTTGTATTGTAAGTGTATGTGAAATGGGAATTGAGATATCTAATACCCAGCTGTGTGATGGTCTCTTTGATTATCTGCAGTAATGTGTATAGGATGAGAGTATAAATTCACGGTACCATTTACAGGTACCATTTTTTTCCTACATTGACATTCTGCAAAATTCAACGAAACATACAATATTTACAGTTATTATAAATTCCGAAATTAAAGACACTGGAAAGATAAGGAGATGGGGTTATGGACCACCAAGAAGATTGGCAAAAGTTTGGTGTAGTGGTTAAGGCACTAGGCTAGAAAGCGCAGACCATGAGTTCAGGCCTTGTCTTATCCATGAAAGCAAGCCCAACTCACCTCATAAGGCTGTTGTTATTGGGAAAATAGGAAGAGGAAGGTGTGTTGGATATGCTCACCACTTTGTGCCATTTGTAAAAATAATAAAGGCGAGGTATAAATACATTTTAAAAAAGCAGTAGTGGAAAGAGACTGAGAAAATTGGGTATTAGGTTTGTGGGAAGATGCTTAGAAGATGTGGTAGCACTGTGAATTTTTATAATACCAATTTTTACTCTTGCACAAGAGTAGAAGCAGCAAGAATTTGTAGTTGAACAAATATAACTCAAATTCTGGTACCTAATTTTCTACCAATATTACATCTCAAACAGAAAACCTTAATTACAGGATTGCATTGTAATTTTTTTTAAAATTTTATTTGCATCTGTTCAGTCTGATACATTTTGTTTTTTCCTGGGATTACAGTTCCAACCATTAAATTAATGGGGTGATTGGAAAAACTAAATCATTCAAAAGCATCTATAAATGCATTTTTCTGTGCTTGTTTCACCAATTTATATTATAAATTATTATATTATTCTCATGTAAGATTAAAATATTGTGTACTCAGAAGTCAAAATAAATAAACCATATTCTCGATAAAGAAACACTGAAGTTTAGTATTTCTTTGATATTACTGCCCTATTTTACATGCATAGCCAAAAAAGAACAAACAGAATAAAGTGTTGTTGCTTTTCAACATTGATTGTGTGGCCATTTTAGGAGGGGGATTAAAAGATCAAGAATGCATCTGACACAACTCCTCCCCCCCTTGTGCTGGCATTGTGATTTTCAGGGATGTAGATAAGGGTTGGGGGAGATCTTGTATCACAATGATACATCATTGTCATTGTAATTTTGGCTTGCTGCATACACCATTTTCATGGGCTGAACATTAAAATACATGAAGTTGGAGAGTCAGCTATTGCACTCAATAACACAATTGGTTTACAAATTACAAGTCACAAGTGGTGTTAGATAGGGCGAATGAGGATCCAGGAGCCAGGTCAAAGTGAACTCTTTAATGTACAGTGAGAATCCAGCAACTTTACAATCTAACAGCTCTCCTTATATAACTACTTGCCAAGTGTGTTAGCCAATGATCATCGAGCTTTTTCCCACTCTAATTTTTCCTCCAAAATTAGATACATAACACTCCTCCCTCCCAGAAGGCATTGTACCAAGTATTTACATACATAATCGCGCTAATGACTAGGGCATTCCCTGATTCTAGTTGACCTGCGCAATTCAGTTTGAGGCGGAGATCTGGGCTGGTCGGACGGACTCTGTCTCTCCCAGCCCAGCCAATGGAACCTCCTGGAATTTCTCATGGGCGGCACAGATTTCAGGTGGGCCTGGCTTCTCGTGGAGGAGGTGCTGGACACCAAAGTCCTCAGGTAAGGCTTCTGGCCACTTCAGGTTTGAGTTAGCTGTTGGAGTAACAATTGGTGAGTCAGGGACTGGATCAGGGGTGGGTTCTAAAATTTTTTACTACCGGTTCTTTGAGCATGGTTTATTTTGTGGGTGTGGCTTGGTGGGTAATGTGACTGGGTGGGCGTGGCCAACTTTTTTTTTTTTACTTTTAAAAGCATTTTTTTCTACAACCTTAAGAGGTTGCAGAAAACAATGCTTTGAAAAGCTTCTGCCGATCAGGCAACACAGCTGGGATCATCAGAGGCTTTTCAAAGCATTTTTTTTACCACCTCTTCGGCCAAAGTGGTTGCAGAAAACAATGCTTTGAAAAGCCTCTGCCAATCAAGCAACTCAGCTGAGATCATCAGAGGTTTTTCAAAGCATTTTTTTTACCACTTCTTTGGCCGAAGAGGTTGTAGAAAGAATGCTTTTAAAAGTAAAAAAAAAAAAAAAGCCTCTGATGAGGTGGGTGGGGTAAGCGACCAGCAACCGGGCCAGGGACCGGTTCGGGGGCATGGCCAGCCAATGTTATTACCAGTTCTCAGAACTACTACAAATTTTTACTACCGGTTCTTGTGAATTGGTGCAAACCGGGAGCAACCCACCACTGGACTGGATTGTACTTGTATTCTGGTTCGTTGAGCTCTGCCTGGGCAATACGCTTTCTTAATTGATCTATATGCCTTCGCCACACTTTCCCATTACTAACTTCCACAATATATGACCGGGGGCCAGTGATTTCACGAATATGCCCAGCTACCCAGAGGGTTCCCTGCGCATAATTTCTTGCGAATACAGTGGACCTTATGGGGAAAATCCTGGTCCTATTTTCGGCTTCCATATACCCCTCAAGTGAGTAATTGGGATGGACCCATTAGGAGTTCTGCCGGGCTTCTTCCCGTTGCCATGCATGAGGTAACATGTTGTGCCACTAGAAAAGTGTCAATCCTGGCCTGCCAATCCCCTGGGCCAAGTCTGGCCAAGGCCTCTTTGGCCGATCTGACCATCCTTTCAGCTTGACCATTACTGGCTGGATGAAAAGGTGCTGTGAGGGCGTGTCGGACCCCAATTTCAGCCAGGTACCCCTCAAATTGCATAGCCATGAATTAAGGCCCATTGTCCGAGACCAGGGTGTCTGGTAGGACATGCGTGGTGAATAGCCTCCAGAGTGCCTTAACTACAGCCTCCGCAGTGGTGGAGTGCATTAGGATGACCTCCAGCCACTTAGAATAAGCGTCCACTACGAAAACCTTGCCGGGACCCAGGGAATGGAGTAGGTGTTGCACAATAGGGACAGGATAGGTGCTCTGCTGTAGAGCTTTATTGAGGGTGCACTTATAGTCAGTGCATATGTGCTCTGACCCGTCAGCTTTAATTGGAGTGACTATCGGGGTCTCCCATTTTGCCCGGTTGACTGGCACTAGTATACCCTGGCTTATGAGCTTGTCCAGCTCCTGGTCTATCTTAGGTTTAAGTGCAAATGGCACTCTTCTCGCTTTCAGTCTAATGGGGGCTATCTGGGGATCCAGATTAAAAGAAATAGGAGTCCCCACATACTTGCCAAGGCGGTTGTCGAAAACATCCTGAAATTTGCGGAGCAAGTTGTCTGCCAGGCTGCTGGTGACGGAATGGATACCAGTCACTTCCATGCCCAGGGCCTTGAACCAATCAAGTCCGAGAAGGCTTGACAGACGTCCGCTGACCACGGTGATTGGCAACCACTCGTTGAACTTGCCAAATTTCACCTGGAATGTCCCATAGCCTTCCACAGGGATGCGATTTCTCTGGTAATCATTCAGTCTTAGACGCTGACGTTTCAGCTGGTGTTTCTGTAGTTTCGGAATGGCCGCCTTTAGTTCGGCCCAGGACATGATTGTGATAGATGAGCCAGTGTCTATCTCCATTTGTCATGGCGATCCCTCAATCTTGACTGTCACATGCAGTTTCTGCTCCGGGGATGTGGTAGCCTGGCTGATGTGACTCTGGAACATCTCGGGGGTTTTATCATAGGCGCTTCTCCTCTGGAGGTTGTTCCCATCCCTCTTGGGGGGTCGTGGTTGGCCAGCCTGGCTGGTAGCCATTCGCTGCCTGTGGTTGGATGGTTGAGTCACCCTGCAAACTCGCGCCAAATGCCCTTTCTTATTACATTGCCTGCAGATGGCATCTTTGAAACGGCATGTCTGCCTCTGATGAAACCCCCCACAGCTAGCACAGCTCTGTTTCTGGTCGTCAATATCGTTCTGCTGCTTGCTCTCTGTTTTGAATACTTCTTCCTCGCTTTCTTCAGCGCTGTCGGTTTGAGCTGATTCACTATGGATGATTTTTGTGCCGCCTGGGGTGGTGCTTGCTGCTGCAGAGACTCTGCTGCTTTATTCAATGATTCATGTGCTCTGGCTTCATCTAGGGCCGTGTTGGCAAACCTATGGCATGCGTGCCAGAAGTGGCACGCAGAGCCATGTTGCCTGGCATGCGTCGTGTCGCCCATTCCTCTTCCGGGTTTCCAGGGTACGCATGAGCACCAGCCAGCTAGTCTGCAGGTTACTGGTGCGCATGCGTGCATGACAATCAGCTAGCCTTTAGTGCAGGTGCGCACCGGCCATGCCATTGTTGCCCGCATACAGCCCCGGGATATCCACCCCTTGCCAGCCAGGAGCACTGCCACCAGTCACTCCCCTATGCCTGGCTGCCTGCTTGCCTCATCACCGCCACCATGAGGAAAGGCCCTGCAGCTGCGCTGCCTGGAATCCATGTGGGCTGGCACAGGGAGAGGACAGATATGGCTGCCTGGAGTGCGAGGGTGGCAGGAGGAGGAGCTGCTGCTGCCTTGTAGCCAGCGCAACCAGCCTGCTGTTGCAGCCTGCCACCACCCTCTCTCCCCCGCCAGCTGCTCCTGCCACCGCTGGAGAAGGGGAGCGCAAGAACCACCACTGCTGGGTGCAAGGGGGTGGTGGGAAGGATCTGCGGTCTGGGGCTTCCCTGTCTCCGCACCCGAGCAGGCTGTTCAGGTGAAAGAAAAAGCTGTTGCCGGCTCCAGACCTGGTGGTCCACAAGCTCAGCCCAAGCTTTACAAGCCGCTGTCTTAACCACGCAGCCTTGCCAGATCACCAAACAGCCCACCGTGTAGGCACAGCAAGAATCAGCTGGCCCAAACAGCCCTGCCTCGGAATAACAAAGACAACACCATCCCCACCCCCCTTTCCACCTGGTACAAGGGGGTGGGGGAAGGATCTGCTTTCGGAGCTTCCCTGTCTCCCCAGCCAAGCAGGCTGTCCAGGGGCAGGGATTGAAGCCCCCACTTGCTGCTTGTTGCCCCAGCACAAGAATCGGCTCCGCTGGGTACAAGGGGGTGGGGGGAAGGATCTTCTTTCGGGGCTTCCCTGTCTCCCCACCTGAACAGGCTGTCCAGGGGAAGGAAAAAGCCACTGCAAGCTCCAGACCTGGCAGCCCGCAGGCTCAGCCCAAGCTTTACAAGCCGCTGTGGCACAACAAGAATCGGCTGGCCCAAACAGCCTCGGAATAACAAAGACAATGCCGCCCCCCCCCTTTCCACCTCCTCCAGAAAAGGGCTAAGCGGGTCGCTCCCACCCACCCCCTCATTCTTCATTCATTGTGGTGTGAAGGGGGAAAAAACCCACAGGAAATCCTGCTCCTGGTGCTGCCAGGGAAGAGGCACCACAAGAACCACTGTTGCCAGGTGCAAGGGGATGGTGGGAAGGATCTGCTGTCTGTGGCTTCCCTGTCTCCGCACCCGAGCAGGCTGTCCAGGGAAAGGGATTGAAGCCCCAGCCTGCTGCAAGTGGGGGCTTCAATCCCTGCCCCTGGACAGTCTGCTTGGCTGGGGAGACAGGGAAGCCCCGAAAGCAGATCTTTCCCCCCACTCCCTTGTACCCAGTGGAGCCGGTCATTGTGCTGCCAGAAGCAGCAACTGGGGGCTTCAATCCCTGCTCCCGAAAGCCCAAAACAAGTCGCGGTAGGGGCGGCACGAAGCGCATGTGGGGGACTGCGCATGCGCAATGCAGAACGTATGCATGGGGGAGTGTGCGCAATGTGGGGCGCATGCATGGGGGTGTCACGTGTGCATGCGCACACGTGAGGGATCACATTGCATTAATAGTGCTGGCACGTGCAGGCATTATCGCGCACACACACACTTCCGGCACGCAACAAGAAAAAGGTTCGCCATCACTGGTCTAGGGTAATGTGAAGGGTGAGGGTCATCTTGGCCAGCAGTCACCTCTGGAGGCTAATATCCTTAACCTCATAGATTAGTTGCTCTAGGTCTAGGAGAATATCATCTAGATCACAGTACTTGCAATGCGTGGCGGCCTTGTGTAATGCTGCCATGTATGTATTTATTGACTTGCCATCCCTTTGGAGTCTTTGCCAGAACTCATAGCGCTGAATGAATTTGGATGGCACGGGGGCATAATGTGCCCTCAACGTGGTCTGCAGGACTTGCCACAGTACAGACTGCACCAATGTTGGCTCTGACAGCAATTCGGCTGTGTCAAACACTTCGTGGCCGCAGTGGCTCAAGAAGAGGGCTCGCTTCCGATTGTCGGACAGCCCTTGGAGGTCATTTGCTTCGAGGAAGCATTCAAATCGCGTCATGTACGATCCCCATTTTTCTTTCACGGGATCGAACGGCGGTGTGAAGGCGGACATCTCTCTGCTATGCTCGGCTTGTGCAGATTTTCCTGCCTGGCTGGATTCGGTTGTCAGCTCTTATTTTTGCAACCTGTCTACCTCGATCGCACCCTTGTTGCCAGTGTTAGATAGAGTGAATGAGGAGCCAGGAGCCAGGTCGAAATGAACAACAACTCTTTTATGTACAGTGAGAATCCAGCAACTTTACAGTCTAACAGTTCTCCTTATATATAGTAGCTACTTGCCAAATGTGTTAGCCAATGATCATCAAGCTTTTTCCCGCTCTAATTTTCCCTCCAAAATTAGATACATAACAGGTAGCTTTTACTGTGCTTTGTGCCACATGTTAAACTAATTCAGATTGTAGCATACCACAGCTTGTGAAGCAGTCCCATGGTCTGGCTGACAACTAGGACGTTCTTGAACTTTTTCTTTCCAAAAGGTTCAGATTACGAGTACCTACACTGGAAAGAAAGAAGAAAAAAACACCCCAGCCTGCTATAATAATTTAAAAAGATGGATTCACAATAGGAGCTGAGTGAGAAGTACACCAAGGAATTCCCTCATCCTTTCTACAGGTAGTCCTCAACTTAAAACCACTTGTTTAGTGACTATACGAAGTTACAACGGCAATGAAAAAAGTGACTTATGACTTATGACCACAGTACTGTTGCAGCATCCCCATGGTTACATGATCGAAATTTGAATGCTTAGCAGCTGGCATGTATGTATGACAGTTGCAATGTCTCAGGGTCATGTGATCAACGCTTGTGATCTTCTGACAAGCAAAGTCAATGGGGAAGCCACTTCATAACTGTGCTACTAACTTAATAATTGCAGTCAGTCACATGACAACTGTGGCAAGAAAAGTCATAGAATGTCCTTTCTATGTCACTTAACTGTCTTGCTTAGCAACAGAAATTTTGAGTTCAATTGTGGTTGTAATTTGAGGATTACCTGTATAGGTAACAGATACCCATCTTCAGATTCAATTATTTTGTCTTGGAGGCAGTGGGGAAGGGGTGATCTTTAGTCTTATTATTCTACTGTTGAAAGTTATATTAGAAAATGAACAACCTGAGAAGACCTGATGTCAAAATGTAATCTGCTTCTGCAAAATCTGGTTGGTCATTGAACTGAATGGACCCTCCTCTTTCTCCTCCCTTGCAAAAAATTTTTGCTGAATGCAAGAAGAGGGTACAGAATCTTCTGACTAGTCAAAGGAGAGACATTCAAACCATGGATTCTTCTAATACACAGAGGAAAAAAGTAGCTATAATTGGGGGAGGATTGGTAAGATCTTTTAAAATATAAAAATATAACAAAATTATGGTCACTGAGCAGAACTGCAAACCAAATTTTAACCATCATTGCTAGGTGTTGAATAGTGTCTATTTTTTGTATTTGAATGAAACAGGAAACCTAACAAGGTTTGTCTGTCTGACAGAAAACGTTTCAACCTTTAAAAATCTGTTTAAGATGAAAATAGTTGCACATTCTGTGATGATAAAGGATTGTTTTCATGTCTTCTTATCTATGTATACTCACAAGTATGTCATAATTCGTTTTCACTTTATCATATGGGTTTCTCAATGGCTTTTGAAATGTATTTGTAGGAATTCTGGACCTGTTTGTTTCCAGTAGCTTTCCCCTGTAAATTGTAGCTACTGAAGTTCTGTTGGTATTTTGTAGCACCATTTTAATTTTTAATTGGCACCAGTCTGCAGAAATCAGGAAGCTACCATAAGATGTCCCATGTCTGCTGAGTATGGGATGGTGTGAATTTGTGTGTGGGAGAGAGAAAGAGAGAGTGAGAAAGTGTGGGGTGGGAGAGGGTGGGGATAATATTACTTACTTTGTATAAAAATGAATTGGGAAGAATTTTTTTTTTTTTAATTTGATTTATATGCCGCCCTTCTCCGGAGACTCAGGGCGGCTTACAATGCGTTACAATTTGATTCTGTGTAGGACTTAGCTTCTTTTTTTGTTGTTGTTGAAAAAGTTTTTATTTTATTTTATAATCAAACAAATATACAATATAAGCAATCATTCAATCTATCATCAACCTTCAACCCCCCCTCCCCACCCCTCACCCCCGACTTCCCAGAACAAAAACAGGGCATAGACTTCAACAAACATTTGCTAACATGTGCTAACTTACTGCAAGATTTAAAACTCCCTGGACCCCTTAACTCCCCTTCTACAAAGTCATCAACCTCCCCTTTCATTAACTCTAAGGGTTCTAAAAACATTAACAAACATTGATCATTCAAACCCTAAAAACTCTCTTAGTATATCTGTAAAATATTCTTAATTCATTTACTTAAACATTTTACTCTCCCTCCACTTTTCTCAAAATTCAGATATTTTAGAAAATCTTATAACAAAAAGTAAACCTTAATTAGTCAATAATTGAATTTCTGCATTTTCCCCTCAATCTTCCTTCCTCCCTCTATCATTTAAATTTTAAAATATAATCATTTTAATTAGCCATTAATACATAAAAATTTTATAACAAAAAGTCTTCCTCCCTCCAACTTTTAAATCTTAAAACATAATCCTTTTAATTAGCCATTAAAACATCAACTGCAAAACCAAAAAAGATTAATCTTCCATTCTTGCTTTCTTTTTATATTTTTTCCAATCTTTCTTCATCCCTCCTAGTTCTGTTTTGAGGAGGTTTTTAATTTTAATTTGAGGTTGATGTATCTGTAAAAATTGTCCCCTTTTGGAAAGTGTTTCCTCTGATTTAGAGCCACCATATCGCCTCTCCTTGCTTATATAGTCAGTCACTTTATTCCTTGTTCTGTAAAACCAAAAATTATCATCAGTTCGCAAAGAAAAATTCAGTTGTTTCTTTTCAGTTAGTTGTGTGAAAGCCGCTGGCAAATCTCCTTTTTCCTCCAAAACCTCGCAAGGCTGGTCATTTTCTACTTTTTTCCTCTCCAAATCATCACAAAGAGCAGGAAGTAAGCTTGAAAATTCTTGAGAACCAGCCGATTCCACCTTCTCTGCTTTAATCAAAATGTCTCCTGCATTGTCATTGTGCTCTGTATTTGCTTTTGTGTCCTCCAACAATTCTTTTAATTTCCATTCGAAGATTGCTATTTGGTTAATCTTAGCTACAGTATGATTGTTCATGGCTTCCTTTACAAATTCTGTAAATTCATTAATAGAATCCTTGTATCTCTGTGAATTAGTCGACTGTGTCATTTCTGACACCACTGGAGAAGTTCCAGCACTTTCAAAAACTCCTTTCTTGGAAGCCATCTTTATGACCATAAAGTCATAAAGTCATAAAGTCACAGCCATAAAGTCTCTTGAACAGCTTTCAGCAATTTGTTTGTAAATCCCCAAGCAAAATGATCTTTTCTCCAAGCAGCTCTTTAAAATCAAATCCAGCAACTTAAAGCCAGTCTCTGAGCACAAATCTGTCCTTTCCTTTCTAACTTTTACTTTTAGACTCACAACAAAGACGCCATCTTCACCTCCAGCTCAGGAAAGCATTATACTTGCAAAAGCTTGTTCTCCTGCTTCCGTTCAGCCTGCTTTTTGGATTCAATTAATCTTCTTTTTGACAGCAGAGTTGGACGCGACGCCTAGCTCTGTTAATACAGAGTCGCATTGGATCCGGAGCTTCAGTGGGCTGACTGGGGGGGGGGCTCTCACCCTCCAAGCCCCTGGAGTTATTCCGGGGGCTTCCGGGGAGCTCTACCCTCACCCACCGGCTCTCCTCCCCTTCTTCTCCCGAAGGAGAGGTTTTTGAGCCGTCTGACAGCTGATTAGCGCTGTCAGGACGGCTCCAACGGAATCACGATGCCAGCGGTCTAAAAAGACCGTCCGCGGCGCCAGCGGAGCCAAACCCTGTGTAGGACTTAGCTTCTTGAAACTTTCTGAGAAATTTGTTATTAAGGACAAGTGACTACAGTAACAGATGCCTGTTTTATTGTTAAAAAATATAAAGCCTCCCCTGTGTCTAAAGAAATAAGGATAAAGTAATATGGAAATTAGAATATGGTCCATAAAAGACATTTGTCTTTTCCTTAAAAGTTTCTAACTGTGATACTGTGATGTGAATGGCAGCAAGTCAGTAGAGCTAATTTCTCCTAATTGGGAAGGTTCTGTGCAAAAAAAAAAAAAACACCTGTTAAAAGTTGGTAAAATTTGTGGTTTTGAGCAAGTTAAAAAAGAAAGCAATTCTAGAGACAAATATGCCTCAAAAACAGAATTGAGAATGATTGTATGATAAATAAATAAACATAAAATAAAACATGACATAAAAATGAAAATATAACAAGACAAAAACATATTTTCCAACTTGTTTTGACTGTTATAAGAAGCAATGATTAAATAGTTTCCTTATTCTCTGCATTTCATGACTTTTTATGAAAGGAACTTCTTTATGTGGATAGAAACAATGAAGTGGCAATCTTCACATTTCTAGCAGAGGAAAGTCCCTCAACATTTACATTTTGTCAACATCTTGTCGAGCCTGATTCACACGAATATATCATTTTGGGGGATTTGGTTGACTTGATTCTCCCCTACAGAAAAGGCTTCAGATGCAGTATGCATTTTAAAACCATGTAGCATTCTCTCAAATCCTTTTCAGCATATTTTCGTTTTTGGCTGAAAAAACACTGTAATGCTTCTGTTACAGGTGGGTTCTCTAAATGCTTCTTTCTTTGCAAGAAGAGGATTCCAAGTAGAAATGTATGAAGCAAGATCAGGTATGATCTGTTATTTGATAATATATGAACATTTTAGATGATAAACCTACGTATATAGAAGCCTGCAAATCTTACTGCAATGCTGTTTTTGAAATTTCTTATTCTTTCAGAAGTGGAGATTTTATAGTATTAAATCACCAGGAGACTTCGATAATTAGAATTATTTACAATAATACTTTAAGTGATGGTTTAGTTTTTTCAGATCAAATACAGCATATCTGTTATCCTTATATTTGCAAGTTGGAGCAATAGGACCTGCTTCTAAACTTCACATCAATGAATTTATACCAACATTTATTGATCAAAATTGCAGAATCAGTAAAAAATTTGTAGAATCTTTTGCCCCAAGTGTGATTTTAAAAACAGAAGAAAAATCTGTATGTTCAATCATTTTACCTGTGAATACAGTATTCAGGATGGAGAAGTAGGGTGACAAATATTACACTATGGAGAAATACAGCATTGATGATTCCTTGATAAGACCAAGGAAATGGTGTTATCCAAAGCCAAAGTATAAGCATGGAATGTTAATAAACTCACATATGAGAAGATAAAATCATATAAATAGCCAGTTGTCTTGTTAGAATCAGGGTCTACAAGAGCCTAGATGGGAAGTCCATCAGCCATTGTCAGGTTTTTCTTTTCAAAAAGTGGGAATTCTATCCCTTTAGTTCTCCAAGCCTTCCAAGCAATTCAAACAATGTAACATTTCTGAGATCAGTTTTCAGAGTGTTATCCTATGTGCCCAATTCAGCCCCCAACTTAGAAGACTTAGAGGATTTGTCTACCTGGAGGTAAGAATTTGGCTCATTAAAACCTATTATTGGCTGAAATTTATAGCCACAACCTGGTGTGTGTGTGTGTGTGTGGCTACATTTATGCTTGCTTACTGTTGATCAAGCTGGATAAAAGATCAAACTAGCTCCATTCCTTACATTGCTGAGGATTCAATACTGTTTAAAAAAACTATTCCGCTCAAATAACAACAACAACAAAAGTGCAAGGGAAGACTCAGAGGAAAAGACATACAGGCAGACCCTTCTGCAGTTCTGTGGCCAGTTATTTTCCTCTGGCTGGTGTCAGGCACAAGAAGGAGGTCAGAATGGAATCCTATGGAATCAATAGTGTTTGTTTGGGGGGGGGGGGGGGGGGGGGTGGCAGCCGGATTGAATCTTCGTGTTTGAAAAGCAATCCATTGTCCATCAACATCCAAAAAGGGAGGGCAAGGATGCCCTTGAAGTGATGTCCCGGTGCCTGGAGGCCGTACGGATCTGGATGGGGAGGAACAGGCTCAGGCTCAACCCATCCAAGACTGAGTGGCTGTGGTTTCCGACGTCCCGATATAGTCAGTTGACGCCATCACTGACTATTGGGGGCGAATCATTGGCCCCCACGGAGAGGGCTCGCAACTTGGGCATCCTCCTGGATTCACGGCTGTCTTTAGAAGAGCACTTGATGGCCATGACCGGGAGGATTTTTCATCAGGTTCGCCTGATTCACCAGTTGCGTCCCTTTCTGGATCGGGACTCTTTACGCACGGTCACTCATGCCCTTGTCACCTCCCGCCTGGACTATTGCAACGCTCTCTACATGGGGCTCCCCTTGAGGAGCACCCGGAGGCTCCAACTGACGCAGAGTGCGGCCGCGCGGGTGGTAATGGGAGCGACATGGCGTTCCCATGTAACACCTCTCCTGCGCGAGCTGCACTGGCTCCCGGTGGTCTTCCGGGTGCGCTTCAAGGTTTTGGTTACCACCTTTAAAGCGCTCCATGGCTTAGGACCTGGGTACTTGCGGGACCGCCTACTACCACCAATAGCCTCCCACCGGCCGGTACACTCCCATAGAGAGGGGCTCCTCCGGGTGCCGTCAGCCAAACAATGCTGACTGGCGGCCCCTAGGGGGAGAGCCTTCTCTGTGGGGGGACCTACTATCTGGAACGAGCTCCCCCCAGAGATACGGAGGATCCCGGATCTGCGCACCTTCCGCCGCGCCTTAAAGACCTTACTATTTCACCAGGCCGGCCTGGCCTAATTTTCCCCCTCTTTTATAAAAGATTTTTAAAATTTTAAATATCTTTTAGTATTTATATATTCAATTTTAAATTGGTTTTAAAAGTTTGGGGTTTTAAATTTGTCGGGGCCAAAATTATTTAATTTGATTTTATTCTATTTTTTAAATTTTGTACTGTATGTGTTTTTATTGTTTGGCTGTGCACCGCCCTGAGTCCTTCGGGAGTAGGGCGGTATAGAAATCTAATAAAATGAAAATGAAATGAAAAATGAAGAAAGTCAGAATGATGTGAACAAAATTGCAATGAAACCCCTCACCACCCCATTGTGTAAAGCCATTCCCCCAGGAGCAGAAAATTGCTATGAGGTTGAAAGTCTGTATAGATTCTCAATCATCCAGGTCATGGTTGTCCCAAAGGTGCTTTTTCAGGAGGAATTGGACTTCCTTGTTTTTTCTTTAAAGATGTTTCACATCTCATCCAAGAAGCTTCTTCAGCTCTGACTGAATAGTGGGGAATGCAAGGATTTATATTCCTTGCAGACAGCTGGTCATTTGCATCCTTTTTGAGGGTCATTGAAGCACTTGGATGTTTTGGGATGAACATCCTTCGAATGGTGTGGGAGTATGAACAGATTTCCAGAAAAATTGCAGACTTCAGAAACTAGGAGCACTACTCAGGTGACCCTGAAGACACAAATAAATCTCCAAGTGCTTCAATGACCCTCAGAAAGGATGCAAATGACCAGCTGTCTGCAAGGAATATAAATCCCTCCATTCCCCACCATCCAGTCAGAGCTGAAGAAGCTTCTTGGATGAGAAGCGAAATATCTTCAAAGAAAAAACAAGAAAGTCCAGTTCCTCCTGAAAAGCACCTTTGGAATTGCTATGAAATTGATTTCATTATACATGTTTTCAGTCATATAGAGACTGACACTGCCCCCACCCCCCCCACAAAGGATATCCATCATGAGGTACAACAGAGACTTACCCTGAGATTAAATGGACAGCCAATAAATTTTATAAATTTGTTCTGTCACCAACCCCACGCACACACACCAACAGAAGTTCAGGAGTTAAAGACCAAACCAGCCGGCAAAATCCTTTTCCTTATGATAACGGAACTTGGCAACAACCTAGTGGCTGCCTGCCAAGAATTTATTTACAAAGAGGAGAGATAACTTCTTCCTACTTCTGATACATCAAAGGAAAGCAGCTCAATAATTACAATCAAGTCCAGAGATAATCCCGTCTTAAAGCAAAAGTTCGGCAATGCAGAATGGCGTGGAAGCTTTCAGCTTTGTTCGTCACAAGGTTTGACTGGCCACCACGCTCCCTTTTATATCCTGTGGGGTATGGTCCAGTGACTCAGCCTAATCTCGGGCACGCCCTTTATTCTGTTGCGCGCGCTTATCTCTGCGACGCTGGCTCATTACCCTCATCACTGTCCATCTGTGGCTGCATGAAAGTGCTTGGCCCCGGCCCTATCTCTTGCTCTTCAGCGGACACCGAAGGCATTGCCAGAGAGGAGGGTCCTGGAGAGGGAGGCCTTGCCAACTCCTCTCCTTCACTCTCGGAGTCCTCTCCTGCCGATGACACAGGCTCAGGTAACGGAGCCACAACAAAATTATAAATAAACATGTCATTCGTATTCTTCTGCTATCCTTAATGGGAAAAATTGTACAGTTCTACCCTGGCACAAGTCAATATTTGGAAAATGAGTAATATGGAATTATGAACATTTTTGATACTAGCAATTATAATATCTCAATGCACACAATAAACGTCTGCTTCATTTCTTTTCAGATATCCGTAGTTCAAGTGTAACTCGTGGCAGGAGCATTAATTTGGCCTTATCTCACAGGGGACGGGAAGCTCTCAAGGCAGTTGGAATGGAAGATCAGGTGACCTTAAAGAGAAAGAGCTAACATTCTCTGTGGGAGGTGGATCATTATAGGACTATTCGTTAATTTATTAATAACATTTCTAGGGCAGAGTATTAAGGATTCTGTCCACCATAATCAGTGGTGGGTTGCTCCCAGTTCACCCTGGTTTGGGTGAACTGGTAGTGGTGCTGGCGGGAGGCTCCGCCCGCCCACCCAGACGTCATCAAAAACAGTCTGCGCATGGGCAGAAGCAAAGCGAGCATGTGCGCCCGCATGCTACCAATAGCAAACCGGTAGCGCCGGGATTTGAATCCCACTACTGACCATAATGTAAACATTTACAAATAATATATAATTATATCTTTTACCCCTTGTTGCCTTGGCAATAGAGCGTGCATATCTCCATCAAATTCATCTTCCTTACTCTCTACAGAACAATAAATCATGCTGCTAGCTATTGTGTTTGACCTTACAGGGATTAAATCGTTAACTTTTTAGGTTGGTCTTGCTTGATGAAAGTCCACTACTTTCATTTTATGGGCTTACATTACTCCTTGGCTGCCAATAATTCATAGTGGAATATGTTGTGGATGATGTAGAGTTTAGATAATGATATGTGATGGACCAGTAGAGATCTGTGTTCAAGAGACCAAACAAAGTCTTCCAGAACCTTCCAGTGAAATAGACCATATAATGAAGGAGCCTGGTGGTGCAGTGGACTAAACTACTGTTAAAGTAGTATTTAGCTACCAGCTGCCTGCAATTACTGCGAGTTCAATTCTCACCAGGCTCAAGGTTGACTCAGCCTTCCATCCTTCCGAGGTAGGTAAAATGAGGACCCGGTTTGTGGGGGCAATAAGCTGACTTTGTATAAAATAGAACACCGCTTGGGGGGCCAAAAGCCCTACTAAGCAGGTACAGTATATACAAAAGTATGAAGGCTATTGCTTAAAAACATTGTAAGCCGCCCTGAGTCTCTGGGGAAGGGCGGCATATAAATCAAACTAATAAATAAATAAATAAATAAATAAATAAATAAATAAATACAAGATTTCAATCAAAATAGAGCTGGAAGGGTCCTTGGAGCAGCCCTCTGCTCAAGCAGATGACCTTATATCAGGGGTGTCAAACTCATGGCTCATGGGCCAGATTCGGCAGTGTGGCCACCCTGGAAATAGTGAAGGACCGGCCCACAGTGCCTCTGCCAGCAAAAACAGAGCTCAAGGCTCTATTTTCAGCTGTGATGGCCTCCTGCAGCCCTCTGCCAGTGAAAACGGAGCCCGGGGAGGTCGAGCGCAGCCCTCCCAAGCTCCGTTTTCGCTGGCAGAGGCACCGTGGCCCGGTCCTTCGCTGTTTCCAAGAGCTTCGATGAGAGCTAGCCACTCCCACCCTGGCCACTCCCACCCTGGCTCCCTGAGGTCAAACACAACCCTGTTGTGGCCCTCAATGAAATCAAGTTTGACAGCCCTGCCTTATACCATTTCAGTCAAGTGACTGTCAGTGTCTTCTTAAAAACCTCCAGTGATCAAGCACCCACAACTTCTGAAGACAAGTTGTTCCACTGGTTAATTGTCCTCACTGTTAGGAAGTTTCTCCTTAATTTCAGATTGCTTCTCTCCTTGATTAGTTTCCATCCATTGTTTATGGTCCTGCCCTCTGGTGCTTTGAAAAATAAATTGACCCCTCCTCTTTGTGGCAGCCTCTCAAATATTGGAATATTGCTATCATGTCTCCCCTAGTTCTTCTTTTCTCAAGACTAGCCAAACCCAAATCCTGCAACCATTCTTCATGTTTTAGTTTCCAGGCTTTTAATCATCTTAGTTGCTCTTCTTTGAACTTTTTCCAAAGTTTCAACATCTTTTTTGTAATGGATGCAGTATTCCAGGTGTGGTCTTACTAAGGCTTTATAAAGCAGTACTAATACTTCACGTGGTTTTGATTTCCGTTTATACAACCAAGGATTGCATTAACTTTTTTGGCTGCTGCCGCACACTGCTGACTCATGTTTAAGTGATCCTCCACTAGGACTCCAAGGTCCCTGTCACAGTTACTGTTTTTGAGCCAGGTTTTGCCTAATCTGTTCTTGTACCTTTGGTTTTTTCGTACCCAGGTGTTGCTTTTCTCCACATTAAATTTCATTTTGTTGGATAGGGCCCATTGTTCAAGTCTGTCAAGATCTTTTTGGATTCTGAGCTTGTCGTCTGGGGTCTACTTGAATCTTTCCGAGCTGCTCCAGGATGACTTGACATGTGTAGAAAGCTCCTGTGGTGTCTTGCTTGAAGAGGTATCTGTGCTGGTAGAGAAGGTGCTTGGCAACATCCACATCTAGGGAAGCAGTGAATTCTCAGCAACCTTTACAGCCCAATGCTCCATGAGCTCTGCCAGTTGCAAAAAAATGGAAGAATTGGAAGAAAGAACTGAAATGCTGGGAGAAAGTATTAATTTTTGTCTATGAGAACAGAAGAATTTAAGAGGGGTTCCATCTCCCTTTTGGATGCTTTAATTATCAGGCAGGAGAAAAGTACAAATGTACACAATACACAACAAAGAATTAACAGGGGTAGAATATGGCCAGTGATCATTGTGCAGGAAGTTTTGAATTGTTAATCTTTAGATAGATTGATTATTAATTAATTAATTAATTATGAAATTTATTTGTTGCCCATCTTGTGTCCAATGACTCTGGATGGATTATCAATAATAAGAAGGAAAGGAAGATATGTTGCAAGTCACTACAGACAGAACATATAGAATGTCAAATAATACGGTTGGAAGAGACCTTGGAAGTCTTTTAGTCCAACTCCCTGCTCAAGCAGACCCTATAACTTTCCATATAAATGGCTGTCCAGTCTATTCTTGAAAACCTCCAGCGATGGAGCATCCACAACTTCTGAAGGCAAGTCATTTCAATGATTAATTGTTCTCACTGTCAGAAAATTTCTCCTTTGTTATAGACTGGATTTCTCTTTACTAATCTTTCACCCATCACTTCTTATCCTGATCTCAGATGCATTGGAGAATAGACTGATCCATTCTTCTCTGTGATAGCTAGGTTACAAACCTTCTTAGGCAAGTGGGCACACTTGAGCTTGAGAGTATGATACAGTCTCTGATAAGGAGCAATCAGTGGTGGGTTGCCCCCGGTTCGGACTTGTTCTATAGAACCGGTAGTAAAACTGGAGGGAGGCTCCACCCACCAATCCTGACATCATCAGAATGCTTCTGCGCATGCACAGAAGAGCGTGCGCACGGCCCCGTTGTGAACCGGTAGTAAAGGTAAGTAGAACTCACGCCTGGGAGTAATGTTTGCCTTTTATAAAAGGGCTGCCATAACATTTCAAGATTCTAAAAAGCAATCCACTAGTTAAAACTAAAATAATTTGCTTCCAACCAAAGAATATTCAGAGACAGCTGATTTAAACTTCCTTGATCTGGTTATGTTCCCCCCCCCCAAATGTAACAAGGTTTTTGAAAATTCAAAAATTGCATGCAGTATTAAAATAATTTTTTTTTTCAATTAAATTTCAGATTGTTTCTAAAGGCATCCCCATGAAAGGAAGGAGAATTCACACTCGCTCAGGGAAAAGATATACAATTTTTTATGGAATAAAGAACCAGGTATGTTAAATCAGTCAAAACATGTTAAAGCTAAAGCATTTAACTTTTGTGTTTTATTTTTGCATACTTGTGCATGATGTGACTAATGAAAAATCGGCTACTATTATGAACAGTGGCACTACTATGAGGACACAAATGGCCACTTTCAATATTGCGCCCATCTTTAGCATTGCTCTCAGGGAAAGCTGGGATCAGCAGGAGTGCATGGCACACAGTAGATTCCCTTTTGCTATATTGTTTTGTCTAGAAGAGGATAGAAAGATATACCTGTGGACTAGTTATCTAATCTAGCCTATAACAATAATCTCTGCTCTTATATATGTATTCTCATTCTCTCTCTCCCTTCTTCTAAAATGTGACAGCATATTGGAAGAATGGAGTGAAATTTGGGGAAATGACTTTAAAATAAGAGTTTTTGTTTTAAAAAAAATCATAGGGTATCTATACAGACATTGATGAATAAATGTTATTGGATTAGAAATGAAAATCAAAATGTTGCCTCAGCAGATGAGGCCCATATTCAATGCAATTCATACAAATAATTTATACTGTACAGTAATTTCAGGTAAGCTCTGCTAGAAATTCAACAGCAATTCTAAAATATTGCAGCCTTGATTTGGTAACCTTCAAAATGGGCTCTTCCAATTCTTTTCTACTTTCAACAAACAGAGTGATATCGGCTGCCTTGCCACTTAAATTGTATTTTGGACAGCTATTTTGATTCCACCCTTTTTCAGTCTCTGCCATACTTCTTGACATAGATATTTTAACTTCCTCTTCTTCTGTAACTGTATATAATTCTGTAAATACTTTCCTGTTTAGTGAATGATGTACTTTCTTTTGTACCTCACTTTCTAGAGAAATCAGTTCCTAAATATTTTCCTTCTGTGCCAACACTTCTGTCATTTTACAATTTCATTTGTAAAGGGGTTCAGTTTAATGTTCATCTGCTTCTATCAAATTAGTCAGAGTATTTCTATCTTAGTGGCAACTTTATATATATTTATATATAATTTATATGCCACCCTGTCTTGCTCTCCAAGACGATTCTAGATGGCTTACAGTATACCCTGGATGGATTACAATTATACAATATTATGATGTATCTGACCTTAAACACTTATCTTTCTTAAGTTTTTTTTAAAATTCTATTTGTTGGTATTCTTGATTGAGATATCTTACCTTGCTGTTTCTTGCTTGTCACTGACATTTATTGGTTCTTCTTAATATTCAAAGCTCTTATCCTTTGTTGTCTGTCATGAAAGTTTGTTTTGAAAGTCACTTGGATATTTTCTTCTTTGAAATTTTGGAAATGTTTTTTGTTTTCGGAATGTCTTTTATCTCATCCCCCACTTCATCAGGTTTTGTTTCACATGAATTAAACATGTCATTTATATTCCTTTCTTGCTGGCACAATTACTCTCTTCAATTTAATCCATATATTTGATAGTGAAAATTCACTATCTGTAACAGTCTGTAACTGGAAATATTTCTGAGGGCTGGCATGCACTTGTCCATTTTCTGTGTCCCGTGGTGTAGATCTGCATCTGGTAATGCCTGTGTATAGAGTCTGTGCTTATATTGCATGAAGCAATGCTTGGGAATAATCAAAGCTTTCCCCCCCAACCTATCTCCTGCATAATTGTAGCTGCCCATTCCAATTTCTCCTCTAATTCTAGCTTCTTTCCTTTTTCAAATATTTTTATTCTATTTACCCATTAATAGTCCTACATGCTTTTCCAGATGATGTGTTAAGCATTTCCTGCAATTTGCCATAGAATTCCTAAATGCCTTTCACCTTTGCATTTATAATAGTTCATTATGCTATTACATTTTATTACATTAATGGTTGCTGGGTATCCACTAATTCTAATAGATATCATTTCTGTCCTGCATTGAGTTAACTAAGCATATATAGCAGAGTTGCCCAACCTTTCCGGGCTGGCTTTGCAAACTGGGAGGGAGTGGAAGGGGATGCTTCCACGTGAGCACACACGCTCACCACTCATGCAAATGGAGTGCACATGCACATGTTAGCCCACTGTTTCCACAAGTGCAGATGCACACACACATATGCCACTACCACAGCCTGGTTCCAAAAGGCCCAAAGGGCCACAGCCCGGGGGTTGGAGACCCCTGATATATAGCAATGCCCTTTTGGAGCATCATTGCCATTCTGATCCTTCATATGATCTTGTATCCTAAAGAGTATAATGTAATCATCTGATTTAAAGTGACCAGATCCAGTCCATCTAAAATCCTAAGGCAGGGCTGTCAAACTCGCAGCCCACAGGCCGGATGCGTCACGTGCTGGCCACGCCCACGCCCAGTTTAGTGAGGGGGTGGAAAAGTCATGATAAGTAACGTGATGATGCCGTGACGATGCGAGTTTGACATCCCTGTCCTAAGGCATCAAATGTAGTATGCTTCATTTCTGCTTTGATGATTTCAGGTTTTCTTTGGTTCATGCTTCTCACATTCTCTTTTCCAATTGTTTCAGCAGTGATACCACCACTGACTCGCAATAGCAATAGCATTTAGACTTATATACCGCTTCACGGTTTTTTACAGCCCTCTGTAAGCAATTTACAGAGTCAGCATATTGCTCCCAACAATCTGGGTTCTCATCTTACCAACCTCAGAAGGATGGAAGGATGAGTCAACCTTGAACTGCTCAGAATTGAACTCCTGGAGTGAGCAGTGAGTTAGCCTTCCAGTATTGCATTCTAACCACTGTGCCACCACTAGCTATGCTTGCAGTTCTGGTCTGGTGAGTTCATTACTTCCAGATTTACCTGTGAATATTCAATATTCCTCCCAAGTATCTAAAACAGTGCCTTCTGACCTAGGGGTGATAATGTCTCACCAGCTGGTGTCTAAACTTGCCTGAATTTTCAGCCATGTGCATATGGTTTTCTTGGTAAAAATACAGAAGAGCTCCTCTATTGCCTTCTTCTACGTATGGTGTTTGGAGATGCTTCTTCTAATTTTGTCTTCCTTCATCTCTTCATAGCCTCTCTTGCTATGGTCTGTGTTGTGACTTCCTTTACCCTTTCTATCTTACAAACAAGATTGATTCTGGAAATCATATTCCCATTAGCATTGTTCTCAGAGTTCTTGAAAATATGGAGTCCTCCAGCACATCAAGAGATAATTCTTTAGGATAGACTTTTAGTAACCATGGCCTCTGCTCATGAGAATAATCTAAGATTTATATTGCTAAAATATTGGGAAAAGTGTATTGTACAAGGCTATATTTAAATATAGTTAAACATATAAAATGTTCTCTGCCTTATTTTGTTTTTGTTTGTTTTTAAACAGTATATTCTTTCTATAGATAGAGCAAATTTGAATAAGGGGTTATTAACTGGTAAGTGTGGATTAATCTGTTTTGATCCTTTCTCAATTTATCATATTTAAAATTATGTTGTGTTTGAGGTAGAATCATCATTACACAGATAGAATCAAGATATAAGAAGGATGAATGGCTATTAATTGTTTAAAATGAGTGTCTTCTTCTCCTTTTGCATGAGCAAAGACTACAGGCAGTAAATGCATGCTTGTAGAAAAGAGAGAGGGAACTCAAAATCAGCACCTCAATAAAGTCTCTGAAGACACCAACTCTTAAAACCCATTAAACTTCTGCTATTTGTCAACCGGCTGCCAAATTCTTAGGTTTAAATACTCTTTCAAAGTAACACACTTCCACAACCTCAGGCAAGCTGAACATCTCAGTAACTACAAGACAGAGAGTTTATCTAGTCATTTTGCTTTAAATGCCCAGCATGCTGCTATGTAGAACACGAACATTTGTTGGCAAGCCAAAAAAAGAGACTGCAGAAAAGTTATAATGGGCATAGCAAAAGTTATATTGGTAGAGTTTACTAACCCATCCCCCATTCAAGAATAGGAGAACAACACTTTCACCAGGCATAATAGAAAGTTGCTCAGAGCTGGTAGAGTCCTGGCTGCTTACACTAAGCAAGTAATGAGTATTTTGGAGTGGGCCAGACTTGTTTTTCACCATATGATTTGTCTTTGTGGTGCAAAGTAGAGTTATTGAGAAGATGAAGGCAGAAAGTTAGGAAGTGGAAGTGGATACATCACATCAAATGCCAAAAGTCAAATCTTGTGTTGACATGTGTGACAGGCCAAATTACCCATATCTAACTACAGGGATCTTAGTGAATGGACTGGGTGAGAAAAAGTGATTAGAAAATGTGCTACGTTCTATAAAAGTATTTATTACAGAACTATTTGTCAGGGCTCCAAGGAACACCCCCAACAAAATAAAGCTCTGAGGCCTGAGGTTCTTCAAAGTTCCAATTTATTAGAGATGTCATGTTGGCACATCTGGAAAAACCTGAATCTGAAAGCTTCCAGGTTTCCCCCACCCAGCTAAGAGTTCACAGCCCTGCCCCACACCCACAAGTTCATCACATTGTCCAATCAACTCTTCACACTCCACCGGATACAATCTTCATGCAGTCTACATCAGATGCTGGCAAAAGTCCTTGAGTACAGAATGTTGTTATGACTAACTTTCTACCGCTCCAACAACAACCCCCTCCCAACTTCCCCAACTAAAATATGTAGCAGTTTAGAAGCAAAAAGAAAATTGTCTTCCAAAACTGACACTGTTTTTTGTGAACAGTTATTCTACCTCTAAGAAAAAAATATATCTAAATGTTTAGATTTCATGTTGTTTCTTTTTTCTCTATTTACAGCTGCTGAGAAGTATCCCAATGTTAAGTTATACTTTGAGCACAAACTGCTTCACTGCAATGTAGACTCGGGGCTACTGACCTTTTCAGGGTAATCAAATGGCTCCGATTTTTCCAGCACACTCTAATCATTAACCAGTACCCAAACATTAGGCCACACTGACTCTTTCCAACTGTTATGGGCCTATATTTGTGTGAATTGAAAAATCATTAGGTTCCCCACCCCCAAGTTAGCAAAGATTAATAATTTAACCTAAATTAACAAACATAAAAAAATGTTTAATCAACAACCAGAAGACTGCACTTCACAAACTCCTGGCAATATAACTTCTTGGATGTAGGGGCTTCTGCTGAATTCAGGATATATTTTTTACTTGAGCAATGATTTATATTTTCAGGAGATTATGAGTTTTTTCAATAAATAAATCTTAATACAAAGCGCCAAGTTTATGCATTTACTTAGTCTCCTCTTCATCCTCTTCTTCTTCTCGTAATAAAAATATAAGATGAAATGTATGGAAACATATTTGAATTGGAGTTTGAAAAGATCATCTCACACAAAATCATTATGTATAATATTGGAATATAGGACTCAGAAATCTATACCTTATTTTTAAAACCTTATTTTATTGTCAGTAAAATCTAATGACATGTAGAGTGTCATTTGTTACATTAAAATATAAATTTTAAAAGTCAGGATTTTTGAATTTTTTTAGAGTTACTATTCGATGTCAAAATTCTTATTTCAGAAATAGTTTCCTTTTCCCCAAATCTGAAGGAGTCAAGTAGGGAAAAAAAGTAAATTTTTTAAACTTAGTGCTACAAGAGAGATCTAAGTAAACGGAAGTCATGTTCTATTATCACACAATATACCACAATATTTATTTATACCTGAGCACACATACTAATGGTACTTTTTGTGTTTTCTTAAAGATCAGACCAAATGACTAAAGAGGTCACCTGTGACTTAATTGTGGGCTGTGATGGAGCCTTTTCCACAGTTAGGAAGCAGTTTATGAGACAAACACGGTTTGATTACAGCCAAGTATATATTCCACATGGATACCTGGAACTGAAAATTCCTCCAAAAAATGGAGATGTAGGTAGTTAAAATTCATGTTCCCAGTTCATAAGGTACATTGGCGTTGACAGATACTTTTACATTACTTTTTTTTTTATCTTTCAGTTTGCAATGGAGCCAAACTATCTTCACATTTGGCCTAGGAACACATTCATGATGATTGCACTGCCAAACCTGGTAAGAGACCCTAAATGCATCTTTCATCTTTGACAATTGGGAATCTGGATTTGGTCTGGACAATCAGTTTCAGTCAACATTGACTTCCTGGAAGCATACGGTATTATGGATTGCATACCTGGAACTGTATGTCTACATTTTTACTGATACAAATTCCATTCCTACACTCCATTCATGGTTCATGCAGTTCATTCCCATTCTTATATCCTCTCTTATTGCTACTGGCAGGTAATTTCTGATTCCTCCAACTACTGAACTGCCTGAGTGGATTCACTCATTCATAATTGTTCTCTCTTATATAAAAGCATTGCCAGCATAGTTTATTACAGCCTGAAGGGTGATTTTAGGAGGAGTCACAAAATGGAGGAAAGGAAGCATCACTTGCACGCTGTACTAAGATATGAAATTAACTTCAATCATCAGAATTGCTATTTTAAAAGCTTGATTAGTATACAAGAGTTCAGAAGTTTCTATTTTCTCTGTGTTACAGTATAACATATTCTAGAAAAGAACAAGGTTCAAATGGTCATTTTTTGTAGTGAAGGAAGAGTGTAACCAGTGGTGGGTTCCTCCCAGTTCCGCCGAGCTGGTAGCGGTGACGATATGACATCACCGAACTGGTAGACCGTTGCCTGCAAAAATAAATGGGTAGACCAGTGCCTGCAAAAATACATGAGTAGATCAGTGCCTGCAAAAATAAATGGGTAGATCAGTGCCTGCAAAAATAAATGAGTAGACTAGTGCCTGCAAAAATAAATGGGTAGACCAATGCCTGCAAAAATACATGAGTAGATCAGTGCCTGCAAAAATAAATGGGTAGACCAGTGCCTGCAAAAATAAATGGGTAGATCGGTACAGCTCTGCAAGCAGTTAAAAGCCTGGTAGACTAGTACCTCTGCTAAATCCTAAATAATTGTCATATGACCATCAAGCCACGCCCACAAAATAAGCCACGCCCACAGAACTGGTAGTAAAAAAAAATTAGAACCCACCCCTGAGTGTAACAGATAGAGTTAAATATCAACTATTACTATCTATTGTGTCCCCTTCTTCCTTCCAAAAGATAGTTTCTTGTCAGATAAAAAAATGACAGCCAAAACCAACTTTGCTATTTCATTTCTTTAAAAAGACTGAAAAAGAGCCTTTGCTATTCCATCAAGGTTGGACAGGCCTGATTTAGTAATGAAGTTGTTCTAAGGATTTATTTTCTTTCCCAACTTTAGACATTCTCTTGCTGTATTATACAGTATATCAGGGCTGCCTGAAAAATCAAACAAACAAACATAAGTCAGCCTTCAGTAATTCAGAGTAGAAGGTGTGTGGTTCAGCGGTTAGAAAAGATCAGCTCTGTCTTTGTTCACCCTTATCTTTTCTGGCTTTAGTTTCAACTGATAGGATTAAGGATTATTTCATTGCTCAACTTGTTTTTCTTCAAGGACTTGATAGATTAGATTGACCTAGTCCATCCTTTCTCTCTGCCTGTGGCTCAATGGTATCAATATTTTGTACACTCCTAGTTTCTAACAGACAGTTTTGGAGCTGGTATTTTAAAATGCCCTTTTCTTTTACTCCATAGGCACTCATTTGCTGATGGTTGCTGTCCAAACATGGGCAAACAATAAATAAATATTTCATTTTTGAATGCCGGTTCCATTTCCAAACCAACAGACTCTAAATCCTTGAAATGTGACTAACATCTCATCCATTTAATGATCTGCAAGTTCACCAAGATGACAGATAAAAATTTGTGGGTATCTCCCCACTTGCATCTAATCATAGTGCTAATATGCCCTGGCAACAGCATTTTCCTATGTCCCTAAGAGATTGCCTTCAGCTCATTGCCAATCTATCAGTAAAGCAGATTTAAGTCATCCTTAGCTATACTGGTTTTATAGTAGCCCAAAGAAGCATTTATTTAACAACACCCAGGAACACACTCAATATAAAGAAAACTGTAGATTTTGTCAGCCAGAAAAGTTAAGATGACTAGCAATGAACAGAGCCAATAAAATATAAGAGTTTGACAATGGAGATATATTACTATAGTTTTCTGTTTTTTCAATCAAACAATGGGGGAAGCCCCTAAAGTAAGTGCAGTACCTCTGAAAAGGGTGGGACCCTCTTTTTTATTGAAAACCTCATGGAACAGCATAGAAAATTATAGGATTTAAATATATATAAATATATGTATATATGTGTGTGGGTGTGTATTCAAATAAGTGAACTTGACAAAACTGAATGTATGTATGTATGTATGTATGTATGTATGTATGTATGTATGTATGTATATTCTTTCATTTGCAAGGAAATTAGTTTTGGACTAAATCAAAATTCTTTTCAAGTTTTCATGTAATTTAACCATTTTAATCCATAGGATAAATCATTCACCTGTACACTCTTCATGCCCTTTGATGATTTTGAAAAGCTTGCCACAGGAGAGCAAGTGCTGAATTTCTTCAAAACTTATTTTCCAGACTCAGTTCCTCTAATAGGAGAGTAAGTTTCAATCTGTCTACTATAAATCAAATCAAAACAAAACAAAACAAGCGTAATCTAAGAATAGAAGCATTTAAGCATCAGTGAGCTATTGCACATGACAGAGCAAGCTCTTGCAGAGATTATGATAGACACTAAAGTCATTGATATTGTTCTTTGGGCGGTGCTTACTATTGTGCATTAATTTCCACTTATTACTTTAGTCTTCACTCTAAAAAAAAGATTCTGAGATGGGTTTTCTGTAAATTCTCCTGCAATCCAAGATGGTTAATAAAAGTTTAACTCAGGAAAATAAACTGTTTGAATATTAAAAAAGCAAGTAAAGATCAAAACAAGTCCAGTTGTCCTTCAACCCCAACTTGTATATTTTATTGAATGTTTGCTTTATATTAGGACTTAATTATTCCTTTAGTGGTGCTTTTTTCAATGTTATATCATAATGCAGATCAACAATAAAAATAGTTTAAAACAATGCAGAAAACCCTCAGGAGCTCAGTCATACATCTGCCTATAATTTTTTTCATTTGATATGTATGTATGTATTTGTGATCTTTAATTTTTCTTTGAAGTTCTGAATTTACACATTGCTACTTGTTGGGTATTTAAGAATAGTTATGCCAAAATCCCACTTCCCATTCTCCTTGCAGCTTTCAAAATATCCATATTCCAATCAGTTATCAAATGTTAATGTTTACTTAGCATTTAATCAGTGATACAGCACTTTGAAATTTCAGGCACGAACTGATGCAAGATTACTTTGTGCTACCAGCTCAGGCAATGGTCTCTGTGAAATGCTCATCGTATCACATTGGCTCTCAATGCGTGCTAATGGGAGATGCTGCACATGCTGTTGTACCCTTTTATGGCCAAGGCATGAATGCTGTAAGTCAATGAATCTTTGCAACTGAAATTTTTGTTGTTTTGTGTTTCTCAATAAAGAGCGCTTCTTTGCAGCTATCAGCTTCCACCCTCTGCAGTAGTTTCAGATAATTGCAGAAATGTCCTCATTGCTAATCTGAAGGAGTGGAGAAGGAGCTGGCCAATTAAAAAAAAAGCAGTACCCTATTTCCTCTGCATTTGTTCACACAACAAGGAAAATGGGAATGAGAGTAAGGGGAAAGCTGCCAAGCAATAGGGCAAAGGGATTGTGAGGTGGTGTCTGGATTTTCTTAGGGCAGGAGAGACTCGGAGCAGGAATGCAGATAATGTAAACATGCCACATCTATTAACAAGTGAGCATGAGAACAGGAAGGCAAAAACTTCATTATAAAAAGGGAGATGTGGGAAAAGAACATGATGGATTTGGAGTAGGATGGACTATAAGTTCTGTATCAGCCTCTAGCTAAATTAAATAAAAATACCTCAAGCATTTCTTTAACAAGCAGCGATAACCATCATAGGGAAACTGATCAGAAGCTTAATACATTAGGGGGGAATAAAACTACAACTATATATAGGAATTGTAGTAATAATAGTTTCCTAGAAAATTTTCTACCTTGCTTGACTATTTCCTCAGTGGAAAATTCAGAGGACATAGTTCACATCTGTCTTCAGAACCAGTAATAAGGGAACTAGCTGTCAAAACCACATAGAACAAAATTTTAAACAAAATTTATCAGAGCAGAAAATAAGTTTAAAGTCTGGTTTTGATGCAGCAAATGGGTCTTTCTAGGTAAATGAAGCAGGAAGATGACTCAAGTAAAGATTCTAGTTCTGCCAAGTTGTGGAGATAGGAGTCAGGGTTAGACAAATATCATACGCATGATTCTAGGAATTAATCTTGTGGCAATCCAGGTGAAGAACAACTAGGTCTTGGAGTAAGGAAGCTAGCAAGCCTAGAAGACAAAGGATGTCTGCTTCAAGAGCAATCATAGAGGTGGGACAAAAAATTACAAAGAATTAAATAGATCTGAGCTGTGCCCGAATGATTAAGAACAAAACAGTAAATTCACCAAAAACAGTAAAAACAAGCTTCAGAGATGTTCTTATTTACTGATCTCTTTTTAAATCTAACAATAGAGAACTTTCTTGAAATATCATTGTGAACAGAAAGATTAGCAAAGATAAACATCAAAGGATAAATCAGCCAAATGTTGGAAATGTTTGCATTTGCCGGGCTCATACTATCATATGTGATGGTCATGTTTAGAAGCAAAGAATTATTGGTCTAGAATATAGAAATGGTTGGAAGAAATACTACATAAATCTATAGTATTAAAACCAGAGTTTTTTTAATTGGGTATTCTCCCAGAGAGATATAGTAAAGAAGATGTATATTTAACTATACATATAATAACAGCAGCAAGAATTGTATTTGCACAAAATTGGAAGACAGAAAAAATTCCATCAGAAGGTGAAGTAATAAAAAAGATTTTATACTGTGCTGAAATGAATAGATTAACTTTAAGAATTAGAGATAAAGAGGAATCAATGTATTTCAAGACATGGGGAAGATTTTATATATGGTTAGAAAAGAAATATGAAGATAAGAGGATAGATAAATGATTTAAATAATAGAAAGTTAAACGAGGGAGAGGATAAAAAATAGAAACCCAGATGACACCAGAGTAAATGAAAAAGGGGGATGGGAGGGGGGAAAAGAAAGAAGATAATAAGAATAAATGTACAATTATGATGATAATACTGATAGATAGAATAAATCTGAAAAGAAATTGAAAGAAAGTATATACTATTAGAATACAGAAATTGCTCAGATATCAAACAAGGAGAATATTCCACAGCAAAGAAGATAGAAAGGAGAGAGGAGTAGAGGTTAGGAAGAGGAGAGGGAGGGAGAGGAATGGAAGAAAGGGAAAAGGAGAGGAAGGAAGGGTAGGGGACAGTAGTAGGAGAGAAGGTGAGAAGGGGGAAAAGAAGAGAGGAGTGGGGGAAAGGAAGGGGAAGTAGGATGAGGTAGGAGAGAAGGAAGGAGAAAGTAGGAGAGGAGAGGAGGGAGGGACGGAAGGGAAAGAGAAGAAGGAAGGTTGTTGCAAAATGAGGGAAGAAAGGGTAGAAGAGCAACTCCGAATGTAAATTAAAATGACTTTTTTTTAATGCTTTCTTTAAGGAAAACATGTATATGTATGATTAATTATGTATAAGAAAATGTACATTTTATGTTATGTGCATAAGAAATAAAACTGAAAAACTTTTCAAAAAAAAAGGTATCATTGTGAACAATAGTGATACTTAACAGGCCAAACTTCCTGCCCCCTTGCCCCTCTGAGGTTTTGGGGGAAGCCTCTCCTCAAATGCCTTCCACTTCTGATTTATTAAAGTTGAGGTAATCACTTCTGCTTTCTTAATTCTGAGTTAAATATTTGTAATTGAGCATTTAATTGTTTTAACTGGTCAGAAAGAACAAAGCATCAAGGTTTGAGGAGGTGTTACCTGGCCTGTGTGACAACCTTATCATTTGAAAACTGTAAAAGTAATTTGGCACCTACTAGGTCAGGGGTGGGCAATTGTGGCTCTTTTACAACCTGTGGACTTCAACTCCCAGAATTCCTGAGACAGCTTGGCCAAGCTGTCTCAGGAATTCTGGGAGTTGAAGTCCACAGGTTGTAAAAGAGCCACAATTGCCTACCCCTGTACTAGGTCATACATTTCTATGTTTTCCCCAATGCAATACCCATGGAATTAGAATTTACTACTTAAAATTAGGTTCTTACTTTCCTTGCATTTCCCCCCCAGGGATTTGAAGACTGTCTAGTCTTTGATGAGCTGATGGACCAGTTTCAAAATGACCTCTGTAAGTGGCTATGAGATAGAAAAAACAATATTCTACCAAATGCAAATTAAAAATGACTTTATGTGAAATGAGTTCAGTATCTCGGTCATCTACTTCCCCATCCACATATTTAGGGTGTGTCTTCTCCTTCTGCAAAAAGGCATAAGAATCAACTCTCCCAACCTCTGTGTGCTAGGCAGATTATAAAGTCAGATAGGTGCTACATGTATGTGTATAGCAGAATAGAAGATAAGGACTGTGATTGCTCCTGAAATGGAAAGAATCTTTCTGAGATAACTTAACTAATATGGCCCAGGTGTCACAATCTACAGGTTTGGAGGATTATTCTGTGGGAAAAACATTTGTTTCCCCATCAGCAGTAATAAGAAGGAATTGAACATGAAGCACACCATAAATTGGCTACTTACCATGAGACCAGAGTCTCCTCTTTATCATGTGTACTGTGAGTAACATTGTGAATTACTCTGTAATATATGCATGAAATAGTCTAAAGCAGGGGTATCAAACTCACTTCATCACATTGTCGTATCAGGACTTTTTTCCCCTTTGCTAAACCGGGTGTGGGGTTGGCCAGCATGTGACTCATCTGGCTCATGGGCCGGGAGTTTGACACCACTGATCTAAAGCAAATAACATGCATAAATTGACTCCATGTTTTTATGCTAATCCCATGACATCTCAGTTTTGGGCCTCAAAGTCCCCCTCCTGTTATGTACTGTACTTTTTAAAGACAATGACAAATATGATGTCTCTGCCTGCAGAAATTCCTCTTTTAGCAAACTATTTTTAAACTAGACCAAACTGTTTTTCATTAATCTTGTGAATGTGTTCTGATAATTTGATATATTGCATTTCATTTTGTTTGTATTTATAATCTGGAACTGCCTCAAGACTGTTCTACAGACAAAATCAAACATTATATATTTGCTCTTTACTTTGTTTTGTAGTTAGTTCAATGAAATTAATAATCCTATCCTACCCTAGTGTTACTGTTTTCTTTAAAAGGAGGTGCTGAATAAAGGTCATGAGTTATTCCTCAAGCTGCATTAACATATTATCCTCTAGTTTTTCAGTCAGCAGAAATGGAGGCCGGCATCAATTGCACTGCTCTAGTAGCTGAGGCTTAAAACATAGAACATAGAATAATAGAGTTAGAAGGGACCTTGAAGGTCTTCTAGTCCAACCCCCTGCTTCTTCTTAGTTCAGCCCCCTTCTTCTGCTTCAGTACAATAACAGAGACCAGCCAGAGTGAGTGAGTGAGTGTAGTGGAGATAATTTAAGAAAGCCTTTGGTGGATTTCCCTGCATTTATTTCCCTTTCACTGAGTGATACCGGTTTGTGGGATACATAATAGCACTGCTTGGTGGGCTTTCAAAGAGTGGGAAGCTCTTATCCAAAAATTCTCTGGCTGGCAAATTACAGGCTTACAGGAAAAATGAAAAGGAGCAATTCTGACCAACTCCTGTTTCAGCCTATGCCCTTCCTCCATGCCTGGGATATGTGCCAGTTGGAAAAGCTGTAAAAGCTGGGTAAAAGTATAGGGTGAATTGGAAGGAAGCTGCAGCTGATAAACACTGCAAAGGAATGGCAGATGAGTGGCTTCAGCTGGCAGAAACTGGAATAGCCATAGGGCATTCAGTAGGATAAGAATAGGCAGAATGGCATTGAATCCCCAGAATAACAGAAACAGAGAAAATATGGTCAGGCAAAACTCATTGTTGGAGAAGCAGTAAAATCTGGCAGGTCTTGTCTCATTTAAGTCAACATTGTGTTCGGCAAAAGACAAGGACAAAACTAGTTTAGCTATCTAAGCCCTAGCTTTTAGAAAGTGGCCTTGTATACAACAACCCTGAGAAATGTATTTATTTGCTAGAATTATATATTGCCTTTATTTTGTACAAGTGTACATAATGCTCCTGCCTCCATTTTTCTCCACAACAACAATCTTGTGAGGGGGGGTGGAGCTGAAAGAGTGTGACTGAGGCCATTCTCAACCTTGTTTTAAAAAAACGTTCAGGTCTTAGGGAACCCCTGCATTAAAATATTTTTGTTGCAATATTTTCAGGATCAGACTCAATAAGTTATGAGAGAGTTAAGAGTTCAAATATATTTTCTTTTATTTACATAAGGCATTCTATATTCACTGAATATTCACAGATAGAAGCAAAGAAGAGAGTGTGTGTAGCTCCTTATATATACAATGGGTGGAGCTAGATATGGGAGTGGTGAAGTATGAATACATTAAGAAGTGAAGAATAAATTAACCCCTGACATCCCGTTCATATACTATTTACACATTAGAGAATAAGGCATTTACTTGTGACAAATCCCCCTCTAAATGCCGATTCGATATGCTACATTTATTACATTCAGATTCAGAACAATATAATACATATAATTTGGAAGTCAAATATTTATGTTGCTTAGATGGCAAAGGCTTTGTCAATATGTCAGCTAACTGTTCCGATGTCTCACAATGCACTGCCTTAATAAATCCATCTTGAGATAATTGTCTCACATGTTTAAATTTTATGTCTATATGTCTAGATCTCTGTCCAATGGCGTCGGATCTAGATATTTCAATGGCTGCTTTATTGTCTTCGTGCATGACAAAAGGTAGTGCAGGTTTTTTCCAAACATCAGAAATCAGATCATTAAACCATACAAGGTTATTTGCTGCTTTAGATAAACAAACATATTCCGCTTCTGTTGTTGAAGTGGCCACTAAATCTTGTTTGCCAGTGTACCAGTAAACTGGACAATCGTTTAGGAGAAATAAGTAACCAGATGTACTTTTTCTGCATGAAGTGTCTCCAGCCCAATCTGCATCTGCGTAACATGTGAGTTTCGGTTCCTTGACATTATTAGGTTCTAACATTAAGCAAAAGTCTAATGTGTTTTTTAAATATCTTAATATTCTTTTAACAGCTTCCCAGTGATACATAGTTGGTTTGCTGACATGTCTGGACAATAAATTAAGGGGTAAAGCGATGTCAGGTCTTGTCCAATTAGAAATGTAAAGAAGTGAACCTATGATTGATCTATAGAACGTGTTATCTTTGAATTCAGGGGATGATTCATCAGCATTTCTTAGGAAATCAGTTTGCATTGGAGTGTCGCAGGGTTTAGCATCATTTAGGTTACATTTGTTCAAAAGTTCTGTGATCTTATCTTTCTGAGAAAGCTTGAATCCCCTTTTAGTCTTACTAATTTGAACACCAAGATACTTATTTACTTTACCTAAGGATTTCAATGAGAAATGTTCATTTAACTTTGTTACAAATATTTCTCTTCTTTCTTTGTGATTACCTATATATAAAATGTCGTCCACATAGATCAATACAAATTCTATGTAATCATTACCCTTTTTAACAAAGAAACAATTATCAGCAGTGGTAGCATTGAATTCCATAGTTCTTAGTACTTTTACTAAACAATCATACCATCGTTTACCAGATTGTTTTAGCCCATATAGACTTTTGTTTAATAACCAAATCTCATTCTTATTTGTATATTGACTGTGAGGTGCCCTTACATATATTTCCTTATCTAATTTTGCGTGTAAATACGCAGTCTGTATGTCATACTGGAATACATCGAGATTGAGTGCTGATGCTACAACTAGAGCCGTTTTTACACTTTCAGTTCTTACAGTGGGGGAGTAAGTGTCAGTATAGTCCTCTGGATATTTCTGTGCATAACCTTGTGCAACTAATCTAGCCTTATATAGAGTATTGCCTCCCTCTAAATTTTTAATTTTATATATCCACCTAGTACCAATAATTGTTTTGTCCTTTGGTGCAATCACAGGTGTAAATACATTTAATCCTTGTAAGCTTTCCATCTCTTTTGTCATTGCTAATTCCCACTTTTCTTTTTCTTTAGGAGGAAGTTTTAACACTTCCTCATATGTGCTAGGTGTCATAGTTTCTCCATCCATATGCATTATATAATCTTTATATTTATTTGGCATTTGGTTTCTAGTGTTTCTAATTGGCTTCTCGGGTTTACTATTATTGTCATGCAAATATCTTGCTTCCTTTTTTGTTAATGTATCTGTCTTTATTTTGTGTTGACTGTTTGTCCATGTTTTGGTTTTGTTTTTATATTTGTTGTCCTTTTGCTTTTCTACAGTTCTTTTCTCTTGGGATTTAGTATCTGTGTTGTTGTTTGGGAATATTTCATTAAGATGTATTCTAGACCAGTTGGCCTGTTCATGAAACACAGCTGTTCTGGAAACTATAAATTTGTTATTATTATCAATGAATCTGTATCCTTTTGTACCTGTCTCATATCCCATAAATCTAAGTCTTCTAGACACATTTTCTCCCTTTCTTCTTAATTGTTTAGGTATGTGTACGTCTGCAGTGACTCCAAAAATGTGCATGTGTGCTAGTTTTGGTTTTCTATTATACATCACTTCATATGGTGTCTTATTCACAATGCTGGACCAAGTTCTATTTTGTGTGTAATTGGAATATTGTAGGGCTTCTGACCAGAATTGTTTGCTTAAGCCAGCATCTTCCAATGTGCATCTAATCATGGTTTGTAATGTTGAGTTCTTCCTCTCTGCAATTCCGTTCTGGAACGCGGAAAATGGGCTAGATGTGTAATGTAACATTCCTCTGTCCTTCAACCATTGGGAGAATTCCTTAGACATGAATTCACATCCCCTATCTGTCATTATTTGTTTTATTTTGATATTGTGTTGTGTTTCTACGCGTTTGTAAAACTCCTTAAATTTTTGAAAGGTTTCATCTTTGTGTTTTAATGTGTAAACAAATCCATAGCGACTATAGTCATCCACAATAGTTAAGAAGTAACGTTTTTTATAAATGATTGATGGAGTCAGTGGACCAACCAGGTCCATGTGTACTAAATCAAAAATCTTGTTAGTTGACCTTGTAGATTTTCTAGGTCTGGGACTAGTTTTTAGTTTTGTAGATTTACATACTGAGCATTCTAAATAGTTTTCACAATTTTTTATTTTGACACCTTCTGCGTGTTCAGTCATTTTCTGTACTACAGGAAAACTGGCATGTCCTAACTTCCTATGTAAGACATGAGCACACTCATCATGAATTGGCTTACCTATTTTTGGTTTTTTCTCATTATGTGCATCCTTGTTATCATGAGCTATTTTACATTCATCATTGTCACTGTTGCTAATGTTTTCATTATCTAGTTCAATACAATCTTCCATATTTGAATCAATGTTATGTAACCATTTCTCTTTAGTTATTAAATAAGGTAGGCCTCCTTTAATCATTACTGTACCTATATCTGTTTTATTTTTCTCCAAAGTTGCTTTTCCTTTTGAGAACACAATATTAATATCAGAATCTCTGCTTAATTTTATGGCACTTAATATGTTATGAGGTATCTCAGGTATCAGTAATACCCCCTCTATTTTTCCTATACCAGGCAAGGTTACATTTCCTCTTCCTAATACTTGGACCTTTTCTTGGTTGGCTACCTTTATTACAAATTTATCTTCTATAAATGAAGATAGTATGTTTTTATTATTAGTAGTATGATTGGTTGCTCCAGAATCAATAAGCCAATTATTATCCTCAGTTTGCTGTATGTTAGTGTTGTCTTGCTTGTTTAGTCCATTTAGTGAACCAGATTTTCTGTCCTTTGAATTATCTCTACCCCCTCTATATTCTTTGTAATTTGGTGGGCTTCTATATCTATGTCTATCAATGGAAGACTGTCTATGGATGTATTTGTTTCTGTGTTCTGACCTATGTCTTTCTTTTGTAATTTTGGGACAATCTCTTCTATTGTGTTCCCTGGATCCACAATTGTGGCATCTGAATGTTTCATTATATCTTTCTTGGAAAACCACTTTTCTATATGGTTTATGTTCAATGTGATTGTTAGAGCGGCTCTTCCTTGAATTGTCTTCAGCTATTAACTTATTGGATAGACTTTCTATGGATAAATATCCAAGATTGATTGTGTCTAAATGTGATATATAATTGTCCCATGATGGGTCAAGTGAGTTTATGATAACACTTTTCATTGTTTGGTCTGAAATCACCTCCCCCCTCAAATGTAGCTCAGCTCTTATTTTGTTTAAAGATATTAAATGTTCACTTATGGAAACCCCTGGTTTTATCCTAGAAGAAAAGAAATCTTTAGACATTCTTGTGGTGGTAGCTACACTATCACTGTGAAACAAATTGAACATGTATTGAATAATTTCTGAGACAGTCAGATTTTGCTTAATACTGTGATACATGGCAGGAGACACACTAGAAATTAATAAGAAAAATGCTCTATGGTGTAAGCAGTCTAACTTTAAAGTCCAAGGTCTTTTTGGGGGATTAGTGATGAAAAACAGTAAGTTTTCTTTCATAAAGACCACCTGGAGCTGCTGATACCATTCTTGTAAATTAATGCCATCTATTCTCAGCTTTGGGAAGTCACTGGGCAAGTTTCCGACATTATTAGGTCCATTACTTACAACCGGAGGTAGTCCGTGGTCTCGTAGATGGTGAAAATTACAAAACGGCATGGGGATGCTCGCGACGAGTCTGCAGGGTCCTTTCGGCAACTCATGTCTTCCCGGGTCATCTGCGTAGTCTCGCGCATGCGCGTTGCTCATTTCGATCCTGGAGTCGTCGTGAGAGGTTCTTGTCGTTGCGGCTCGCTCGTTCAGCTCCTCCTCAGATGAATCGGTCTCCGGCTCGATCTTAGGGGTTCTGACGATGGCACTTGTTCTTTTTCTTCTCTTGAGTGCGTTGGTGCTTTCATCGGTCTGCGGTGTGGGACGGTATTTGCAGGGCTCTCTTGGTTCAGGCGTCGGTGCTCTCGTCGTCAGGATGGGAGCGGGTAGATTTTGAGACGTTGGCTTGCTCGTCCGTTTTCTGGTTGACTTTTTGGTAATTTTTAGTTTTGGTCCAAATGCAGCAAAAAGCGTTTTCATTGCTGACTTTATTTGAGTATCTGTTGAATCACCTTCACTTTCTGATTCTGATTCTTCTGAGGTGTTTGATTTTTCTTTTTCGTTTTCGTTATCCAGTAGTGCCTTTCGCGCCAGAAATTTTGAATCAAGTTTTCTGATTGGCTCTGCTTCGCTCATTCTGGAGGTCTGTTGGAACCAAGATGGCTGCCATTCAAAATTTTGCGCGGGATCACCGTTTTTCTTCTTTATAGCGTTCTTTTCTTTAGTCGTATCACTTACTATTTTGGAGTCTTTTGACTTTTCGGTGGCGATGTGCTTCTCTCTCGCTGCTCCGCTGTTTTTCAACATGTCTTGGAGGTTCGCGATGAGGCTTTCATCGTTTTTCTGGCTCTTTAACAGTTTTAATATTTCTGACCTGAGTTCGTTGTTTTCTATTTTAATTTCCTCTCGGTCACCATCTTCATCTGTTATTTCTTTGTCTTCAGTTGTGTATTCTTCGGATTCTGTCGAAATTGCATTTGTGGACTCATCTATTATTTCTTGATCCGTTTCCATTTCTTTGCTGTATGCCCCGGTGTTGGGCCTATCTCTCTTAGACATATTTAAGTTTTTATTGAGTCAATTAAACCATCCTCTGCTACCAGCTTGTTGCAATATTTTCAGGATCAGACTCAATAAGTTATGAGAGAGTTAAGAGTTCAAATATATTTTCTTTTATTTACATAAGGCATTCTATATTCACTGAATATTCACAGATAGAAGCAAAGAAGAGAGTGTGTGTAGCTCCTTATATATACAATGGGTGGAGCTAGATATGGGAGTGGTGAAGTATGAATACATTAAGAAGTGAAGAATAAATTAACCCCGACATCCCGTTCATATACTATTTACACATTAGAGAATAAGGCATTTACTTGTGACAATTTTTTTCTACAGCTCATAGTACATTAGTATGATCAGTAAGTTGTAGGTATAATAGTCTAATACAGTAATAATTGTTGGTGGTTTTTGGAATGGAGAATTATATTTTTCTGTGGCTCTGGTTTTTTGTTTGATTTTTCCCCTGCCAGAAAGGATATGAAGTCTAATGTAAGTCAGTAATATAAGTAGATGAAACTTAATTTTTTCCTTTCTTTAAAAAAATCCTGCTTGATTTTTTAAACACATACAAGTAAACCTAAAAGTCTTATCACAAATTTCTTCTGTAAAGATGCTAATGAGCAATGATATATGTAAAGTTTTTCCCCATTTAAACTAAAAAAATTAGGGGGGGGGCTTACCTTTCCTGAAAAAAACAAAAAACATTTGCAAGGTTATCATTCTTAAAATCTTTCCTTTCATAAATTTTAAAAACTTAGAAGGCACACATACTAAACCTTTGAAGTTAAAATATTAAACTTTTTAAGCTAATTAAATGTAATTTGTGTAAAGGTACTCTCATTCCATTTTTTTAAAGAAAAGGCTGATTATGAAAAAATATGGACAATATTGAACAGTGAAGCTATTAAAAGTCTTAACCCTAAGAAATATGTATAAACATCTAGAAACTTTATACAAAACATTGAAAAAATGTCCCTTAGTGAGTGACATGATGATATAAATATAAAGTAACAGTTACAAAATTATACAGTAGACGTTATTAATCTGCAACAGCAAAATGGCAGGCCAGCAGCTGAGTCATGGTCTGTAAAAATTTCCAACGCTGCAAGCACTGGTATTATGTGACATACAAAGTTTTTTAAAAATATGATATTTTTTTATTGCAATCTCTTGCAGAACCTGAATTGATAAGGATTGAAGTAGAATATTACTGTAAACAGTTTACAGATTGTATCTCTAGACACTGTATGCTCATAAAGCTATAAATAAAACATGAAAAAGCACGCAACAAATGCTTATCAGGGAATGGCAACTAGCTGCAACTTCTATTTGCATCTTCTGTGGCATATCAAAGTTTCTCTCTGAAGAAGGCCTCTTTCCTGTGCTTTTTCCTTAGGCATTTGCCTTTCAATGTTCTCAAAGCTGAGGGTACCTGACGATCATGCAATTTCGGATTTAGCCATGTATAATTATATAGAGGTAAGTTAAAGAATATTTGATTGGCCATTGAATTATGGGCAAGGCCACCAAATGCAAATCTATCTCTTTCTGATTTCAGATGCGGGAACGTGTGAATTCAAGGTGGTTCATTTTCCGAAAGCATATAGACAATTGGCTTCATGCCCTCCTGCCCTCTATCATCATTCCTCTGTATACTATGGTGAGACTCTAAACCTTAATACCGTAGGATTTTTCATGTATTTTTTTTCTCCCGATTATCCACTTTTTCCTTCTGGGATATGCCCAGGGTCCTGTATTGATTTTGTAATCTCCTTTAGGTAACATTCTCCAGAATCCGATACCATGAAGCTGTGCAGAGATGGAAATGGCAGAATAAGGTAAATTAAATTCAGATGCATTTGCCTGACCTACATCAAACATTTATTATTGTAGCAAATGCATAGGAAAAAGTTGAGAAGTATATCTATCTTCACTTTAGATTTGATAAAGATGAAAATTTGGAATATCTGTTACCATCAAATTATATGTACTGTAAAGATGCAAATAGTTTCCCAGGTCGTACCTGATTCATCTCCTCTTTGTTCATCAGGATGGAGAGCATGACCAGACACACTCCAGGACAACCACTACATATAACCCCCTAGCTAGAATTTGTGAGTCCTGAGGTTGTTCAGGATCAGCAGGGTATCAGAGGCTGCCCTTAAATCTCTTCCTTCCAGGACTCTCTTCCTTCCTGGAATGTGAGCCCAACTTCACCAAACAGTTCTGAGAGAACTAATGAAGTAGGATGGTTAAATGCTCATCATCATCAGCTTCCCTTGTGCCATATCTTGCCAGTTTCATGGTGAGGTAAAGGGACATATGAAAACAGAAAGCTGTCAGCCTTGGAAGCCATATTAGACCGGAAGCTTCAATGCGGCCACCTCCTCATGTGTGGGAAAGTAGGAGGGGGATTTAGGAGAGGGGAATTAGTAGACATAATAACATTCTTCCTTTCGGTCAAGGTTAGGGGCTGGGTCGAGGTGGAACGGACATTGATTGGAACATGTGATTGAAAGGGGAGAAGTGGGATGGTTTTGGGAGCTTTGACTTACCGAAGGAAAGCCCGGGCTTTTCAGATTCGGAATAATGTCAGATGTGCCAGTTTACCTATTCTAGTAAAGAGAACTTTGGAGAATGCCTGCTTCCGCGTCTTTACTGGGAGTTGGGGGTTTTCTGGAACGCTGACATTAGCAATATAACAAAGAAATAAAAATGGTAATTGTTAAATTGTGGGCGATTGAAGAAAGAACTCGACACAATGTAACTGGAAACACTTTATTTAACTCCGAAACAGCAATGGCTACTCTAGCCCTGGCAGCCCTTTATATAGTCTGGAGCTGTCCGCGGCTTCACCCACTGACGTGCCTCTAAATTTCCCGCTTCCCAGGACTAATTCCTGATTGGCTTATTTAAACTGTCACTTGATATTCAACACTCCTCCCCCCTAGTCCAGCGTCCGCCGGTCCAGTGTCTCCTAGGCTACATAGTCGCGTAAGTAGGCGGGTCACTTGGAGGCTCGACTGGACCTGCGCAGTTCAGTCATTCCAGTGTCTTTGGAGTGAGAGGTTAAGGTCCGTTGCTCTCTCTGTGTGGGCTCCAGAACTCTCTCGAGCTCGGTTTCTGGCCTGGATTCGCTTCCTTCTCCCGCTTCACTCGGCTGTCCTCTCCGGTCCCCTTCGGTGCTCGTCTCCTCCTCCGGGGTCTCAGGTACATGCTCGCTGTTGTTTTCTTCCGGGCTGGTGTTTGGCGTCTCCAGTCCTGGCGTTTGTGGACCAGCCCACTCTGCTGCTACTAGTTTGTCTTTTCCTTCCCCCTGGCTGTTATGTTGGGGTTCACTCTCGGCCCTCATCAATCTTCCCCTGATCTGGTCGATGTGCCTTTTCCAGTGCTGGCCGTCTGTTGTTTGGACCCAGTAGGACAGGGCTCCCGTCACCTGGGTTATCGTCGCTGGCACCCAGAGTGGGTTTCCGCTCAGGTTTTTTGCGTGTACGCTGTCCCCAGGCTGGAACGCTCGGATTCTGCTCGTGGAGTCAGTTGGCTTCTCCGTGCTGTACTGCGGGTGCAGCCTGTCCAGGGGGGATCTCAATTTGCGGCCCATTAGTAATTCCGCTGGGCTTCGGTGGGTTGTGGCACTTGGCGTAATGTGCTGGATGGCCAATAGTTTATCCAATTTGGCCTGAATGTCCCCTGGGCCCAGTCTCGTCAATGTCTCCTTCGTAGATCTCACCATTCATTCCGCAAGACCGTTCATCGATGGTTTTTTTGGGGCGGATAACGCGTGCCTTATTCCTTGGTCAGCGAGGAACATCTCGAAGGCGTTCGACGTAAATGGTGGCCCATTATCGGAAACTATGAGATCGGGGATTCCATGTGTGGTGAATAAGCGTCTCAAAACTTTAATCACTGCGTCTGCTGTGGTCGTCGTCATGAGCACTACTTCGAGCCACTTCGAGTACGCGTCCACGATGACTAGGAACGTGTTCCCTTTGCATGGCCCTGCGAAGTCGATATGTAATCTGGCCCATGGTGTTCCCGGGTTCTCCCAATCGTGGACAGGGGCTGAGTTCGGAGCTGCCCTAGACTCTTGGCAGTTCACGCAGGAGGACACCCACGTTTCAATTTCTTTGTCCATTCCTGGCCACCACACGTAGCTCCTGGCTAGCGCTTTCATCCTCACGATTCCCGGATGCCCTTCGTGGAGTAATTTGAGTGTGTGTTGTCTTAATGTGTCTGGAATAATGACTCTATCTCCCCAAAGCACGCACTCCCTTAGTCCTGACAGTTCATTTTGCCTCCGTCTGTATGGTGGGAATTCTGTGCTTATATCCTTTTCTTCCGGACACCCCTTCCAAATCCAATTTAAAACTCGCGCCAACATTTTGTCCTTCAAGGTGGCCCTTGCGATGTCGGCTGCAGATATTCGGGCTTCCTCCATCGTCTCTATTAGCAGTGTGGTCATCGCTGGCGCTGGATCCTCCCCTGTTTCTGGAAGTGGGCACGTACTGAGGGTGTCTGCATGGTCGATTGATTTCCCAGGGTGATGGAGCAGTGTGTAATTGTAGGCCGCTAGGAATTCCACCCATCTAAGCATTCTGGGTGACAAAACGGGGGTGTTGGTTTGTCCCCCGCTATGATGCCTAAAAGCGGCTTGTGGTCGGTTATTAGTTCGAAGTTCCGACCGTAGAGATACTCATGGAACCTTTTTATTCCGGCTACTGCGGCTAGCGCTTCTTTGTCCAATTGGCTATAGTTCCGTTCGGGTTTCGATAGAGTTCGGGAGAAAAACACAATGGGGGCTTCTGTTCCGTTTGGCATTTTATGGCTCAATACAGCTCCGATGCTGAAAGGGGATGCATGTTAGTCTTATTGGCAATGTCCCGCTGTATTGCACCAAAATTCTGTCCAAAGTTAGGAGGTTCTTTATGTCTTTGAACGCTTTCCTTTCTCGCTCCCCCCATCTCCATTCCGCCTTTCTGTCCAGCAGCCGGTGAAGTGGTTCAGCAGTGGTGGCTTTCTGTGGCAGGAAGATATTATAAAAGTTAAGCAACCCCAAAAATGCCTGCAGTTTGGTTTTATTTTTTGGGGTGGTTGCTTCTTTGATCGCTCTCAGCTTTCCCGGGGTGGGCCTAATCCCCGACTCGTCTATCAAGTATCCCAGAAACTCGACCTGGGTCTCTGCTAGCTGGCACTTGTCCCTTTTAACTTTGAGCCCCACTTTCTGGAACCTTGTCAACACCTCCCTCAGTCACTGCTCCAGCTGGGTCGTGTCTCTTGCTGATATCAGGACATCGTCGAAATAAGGGACGACCCCGTCGATTCCTTGTAGGAGCCGTTCCATTAGACTTTGGAATAGCCCGGGCGCTATGCACACCCCGAATTGCAGTCTCTTACATTTGAACGCCCCCCTGTGCATAACGATAGTTTGTGCTTCCGCGGTGGCTTCATCTACGGGCAGCTGTTGGTATGCTTGTGCTAGGTCCAACTTTGCGAAGATTCTTCCCCTCCTCAGGGAATGCAAGAGGTGTTGTACTACTGGCACGGGGTATGCGCTTTGTTGGAGCGCCTTATTTAATGTACTTTTATAGTCTCCGCAGAAACGTACTGACCCATCAGGCTTAATGGGTGTCATGATGGGGATTTCCCATCTCGCGTGGTCTATTGGCTCTAAGACCCCCTGCGCGACCAGCTTATCTATCTGTTCATCTATTTTTGGTCGCAGCACAAAGGGGGCCCTCCGGGGTTTGATTCGGATTGGGGCTACCTGGGGGTCTAGATTGAACGTGATTGGGGACCCTTTGTACTTGCCTAGCTCGCCGTTAAACACTTCCACGAACTCCCTCATCAGGTCTTTCTCCCAGGTGTCATTTTCGATGTGATCGATGCCGGTGATGGCTAGCTCCAGTGGCTCGAACCACTCCATGCCCAGCAGGCTGGGTCTGTCTTTGTCCACTATCGTGAGGGGTAGCGTGGCTTTGAACGTCTTGTAGGCGACGTTGAACTTGCTGATGCCTACCACAGGAATTCGGTTCCCTTGGTAGTCGATGAGCGTGAGGCACTGTCATTTGAGGTCGCGGGCTATGATGTGTGGCAGCAGCTTCTTCTTTTTTTTTTTTTTATTGCAAAAGTTTTACAATTACATTTTCACCCCTTTTTTTCACCCCCCCACCTCCCTCCCCAAACTTCCCGTCCTCCCTAGCCCTCCCTAACCCTCCCCCCCAGACTTCCCTATTATATACTCATAACTAATAATACTGATATATATACCTGAACCCATCCCTCCCCCTATATAATTTTCCCTCTTTATCTCTTTACATTAAAATATTTCTAATACATTGTTTTCAAATAAAAGCTATTTGGTACTTTCTAGTTTGGTATTTGTTCTGAACATATTCTATCCACCTTTTCCATTCCCATTCATAAGTCTCTTGTGAACAATCTTTTAAATATGCTGAAATCTTCGCCATCTCTGCAAAACTGGCCATCTTCAAAGTCCATTCCTCGATAGTAGGCAAAGCTTCATTCTTCCAATATTTACCTATCAACAATCTTGCTGCTGTTATCATATACAATATTAATTTTATTTCACCCCGTGTAAAACCCTTAACTATACCCAATAAAAACAATTGTGGAGAAAATTGAATTTTTTTCTTCAAAACATTCTGCATGACCCACCATATTTTTATCCAAAAAGCCTTAACCTTCCTACAGGTCCACCAAACATGATAATACGTAGCATCCAAACATTCACATCTCCAACATTTTGGCTGAACATTAGGGTACATACATGACAACTTTTTAGGATCTAGATGCCATCTATAAAACATTTTATAAAAATTTTCCCTCAAATTCTGCGACTGTGTAAATTTAACATTCTGAACCCAAATTTTTTCCCATGTTTCCAACATCACTGGTTCTTCAAAATTTTGTGCCCACTTAATCATACAATCTTTAACTAATTCTGTTTCTGAATCCCTTTCTAGCAAAACATTGTAAAGCCTTTTAATATGCATTGGACCTTTCTCTCTTATATGTCTAACCAATTCTTCCTCATGCAACATAATACCAGTTTTTTGGTCCTCTTTCCATCTCAATTGTAATTGATTATATTGTAACCAGGTTAAATTAATCCCTTCGTCCAACAGTGTCTGCAATGTCTTCAACTGCCATCTGCCCGCATCTGTAAAAAGAACCTCTTTGTATAAAAACCCCCCGAGTGACATTATATTTGTATTCCACAAAGTATGACCAAGATCCAGCCATAGCGGTATTTTATAATCCCATTTGAGTCGGTGCTTCTTCCAAACTCTCATCAAAGAGTCTCTAAGTATATGACTTTTAAATACTTTATCAACTTTGTCATCATAAAATAGGTAAGCATGCCATCCAAATTCAAGATCAAAACTTTCTGCATTCAATATTCCAGCCTTTTTACTTCCAAACCAATCACTTGTTAAAGTTAAAGCTGCTGCATCATAATATAACTGTAGGTTTGGAAGTTTAAGGCCTCCTCTTTCTGGAACATCTTGCATAATTTTCAATTTCACTCTCGGCTTTTTCTCGTTCCAGACAAACTTATTAAGTCCAGTTTGCCAAACTTTCAGTTGTTTATCACTTTTAAGCACCGGAATCATTTGAAACAAAAACAGAAATCTTGGCAAAATGTTCATCTTAACTGCTGCTATTCTTCCAAGTAAAGACAGTTGCAGCTTTTTCCAAGTCTCCATGTCTTTCTGAACCTCTCGCCACAACACCTCATAGTTATTTTGAAACAATTTCATGTTTGATTCTGCAACCTGAACTCCAAGATATTTTACCTTAGGTACAATTTCAAAACCTGCCCTCCTTTCAAACTCATGTTTACGATCTTGTGTCATATTTTTGACTATCATTTTAGTCTTTTTTGAGTTCACTCTAAAACCTGAAACTCTACCATAGTCTTGTATAATGTCGTTCATCAAGATTATTGATTCCATTGGTTGTGATAGGGTAACCACCAGATCGTCTGCAAATGCCTTTATTCTATAATCCTCTTGCCTTATCATTATGCCTTTCAAAATTTTTGAGTCCCGTATTATATTTAGCAAGACTTCCAATGTTAAAATAAATAAAAGTGGGTAGTCGATGAGCGTGAGGCACTGTCATTTGAGGTCGCGGGCTATGATGTGTGGCAGCAGCTTCTTGATCGTCGTCCAGGACACCATCAATAGGCTGGATCCTGAGTCCAACTCCATCTTGCAGAGTCTCCCCTCGATCAAGACTGTCGCCGCCATCTTGTTCGCTCTCCCCGTGCTGGCATGGCCGATCACGATGGTCTGATGGGTCTCACCTCGATCTGTCATCGTTTCTTTGTCCTCGCCCAAACGGTTGTCTCTTCCCGCTGGTCTGGAACTTTCTGCTGTTCGTTGGTGAACGGGGGGGTCTGGTCCTTCTGGAGGCTGGCTGGGATGCCCTGAAAACCCTCGCTATGTGCCCTTTCTTCTCGCATCTTTGGCAAATAGCATCCCGGAATCTGCATTCGGCTCTTGGGTGGTTTCCTTCGCATCCCGAGCACCAGGCCTCTCTCTTCCCTTGTTGTGTCTCCTTACGATCGGCCCGAAGGTGATGGACTTCATCCTCCTCGTCCTCCTCCTCCGATTCTGATTCCGCTCTTTCGTAGTGCACAGCTACCTCCTCCTTTACTGGCGGTCTGCTTTTCATCTTCTTCATAGCCGCCGCCGATTTCTGGGATGCCTCGGTTGCGGATGCTTCTTCCAAGGCCTCCTTGAATGTGATTTGAGGCCGGGCCAGCAACCTACTCTGTAACGTGAGGTCTCTCAGTCCCAGCACTAGACGATCCCTCATGGCCTCTTTCAGGTTTAGGAAGTCATATGCGGCGGCTATTTCTCGCAAGGTCACCATGAACGCACTGATCGACTCTCCCTCTCTTTGGTCCCTCCGGTAAAACTCATGCCTTCTTACCAGGGATGATGCCTGCGGTGCGTAGTGTGCCTTGAGTATCTCCTGCAGCGTTGTCCAGGTCATCGTCTTCAGGTCGGCTGGGGCGGCGAGTGCCTTTGCCATTTTAAACACTGCTGGTCCGCAATGGGCGAGAAAAAGGGCCCTCTTCCTCTGCTCTGACAAACTCAACAGGTCGTTTGCCTCCATGAACATGTAGAATCGCTTCATGTAGGCTTCCCAATCTTCCCCGGTTGGGTTGAATGGAGCAGGTGGTGTGATTGCAGACATCACGGTAGCCGATGATCTGACCGGTACAGTACGGTGGATCGGATGGGTGGCTGATGATTGCTTGGAGATCGCTGTGCTGTCCTGTTCCTTCAGATCCCACCTTCGTCGCCAATGTTAAACCGTGGGCGATTGAAGAAAGGACTTGACACAATGTAACTGGAAACACTTTATTTAACTCCAAAACAGCAATGGCTACTCTAGCCCCGGCAGCCCTTTATATAGTCTGGAGCTGTCCGCGGCTTCACCCACTGACGTGCCTCTAAATTTCCCACTTCTCAGGACTAATTCCTGATTGGCTTATTTAAACTGTCACTTGATTACTGAATTCAACAGTAATTAAGGATGCAAGAAATGCTGGCTGAACTCAAACCTAAATTTCTTTGGGATTGACATTGATGTGTGTTCAGAACAAGAGCCTTAAATAGCCAGATTTAAGTCTTACTAAAAATGTTGGCAAAATAATTGCAATTGTTACCCCTGCAATATTTTTCAGACCTTTTACTAAAATTCAAATTTTTCATTGTTTTAAAGGTGATCAATAAAGGCCTCTTCCTCACCATGGTAGCAGCAGCAGTGATTGGCATCTATCTGTTCAGAAATGGAAAGTTACCCAAAATTGACTTTCGTATAAAGGATTTCTGGAGACATACTTAAAAATGGTGGGAAACTTTCAGAAATCATTTGAGATAGAAATGAATGCTTTCTGAATAATTAGTCTCTATTTTAGAAGTTGGTCTTCCAAATATAAAAACACATATGATATAGATGAATGCTGGATCCAAGACCTAAATTCCTGTTCATATAAAGAAATTCACTATTATTTTGTTATCAGTGAACATGTCAAGCCGCTTCTAGATTTGGACATGCCTTGCATTTCATCGTTGCTTTGCTGTCTTGTGTTTCATTTGCAAGGAATCTGCAATATCCCAGCTATATCATCAACACATTTTGACAGAAGACGCTAGGGCGTTTCTAAGACTGTTCTACCATCTCATCTTCGGTTCTCTCCCATAAGATAATCATTATGGCAATGCTTGGTGTTATCTAATTCAATTGTTTCTGCATCTTTTAAAAAATATTTTCATGTAATCCTGTTATGGATATGTTCTCAAGTTCTAGTATGGTGGAAAAAAAAATAAAGTTGTTGGTTAGGATCCAGTTGTCTATTTCTGCTAGAACAGTTTCAGTAATTGCAATAGAAAGGTAATGATTCTCTCCTCTATAATTATCTCCCTGCGCATCCTCAAAATATGACCTGGAGGGTCTTTCAGGTTTTGTGGCAACAGTGAAATTCAGCTTGCATGATACAGTATTAGTTCCATCCAAAGTTCTAAATCTCAATGTCATGCTCAATGGATTTTAAGGCAGATGGTTCTGGGAGGATGGTAAGATCGCCAGTGGGAAGACACTGGGAAAATTAGGAAATTAGAAAACAAGTCAGTGAGACAATCCTAGAAAGATGGGAGGCAGCCAAGCTGGTGGGAAGATACTATGATGATTGGTAGGTGGAAGAGCCAGCAGGAAGAGGCTGAGAAGGTGGGGTGGGGGCCAAAGTTGCGAAGAATAGTGGAGCAGAGAGCAGAGAGTATGCACTAGGAAAATTGGAAGTACATTTGAATCTGTTGTATTTCTGATTACATACCTGAATCTCATTTACTATTTAATCCCAGCTGAATCTTCTCCTGCTTGCCTTTAAATGTATGAAAATTCTATCTATTCATAATTTAAGGGGAAATAAAATTGATACCAAATAATCCCTTTCACATCTCAGACTACTTCAACACATAAGGCATATCTGAGCACAAATTGAAATGTACATGAGCTTTATTGATATCAGTGTATAGTTGAGAATTGCAAGCATGGCTACATAATTACAAATTGAAATGGCTTTAAATCAGTAAAAGATTTATTGATTTCAATGATGCATTAACAACATTTATCAAGTACCTTATTAAGTGCCTGGGATTTGCAACAAGCCAAAATTTTATGAAAACAATGCTATGCACATTTGTGACATCAAAAATACTGCTCCCTTCATACCTATACATGTGATACATTGCAGTGCTAATACAAAACGGGAGAATTTCATTTCCAATTGTTGTCTTGCCATTTTCTCTCCCTGTGGAGAGTCATGCCTAGCATCTTGAGAATTGACAAACTTTAATATACAGTGCTAAAGTGACTGCAATTATCTTGTTTCATCTTGGTTGCATACAGCTTGCCTGATCAAACCAATCTTTTTCTGTAGAAGTACAGGGTTTTTTTTTAACCCACAAAGAAGTTTAATTCATATACCACTCTATTAATTAAAATGGGTTGTAACTTGTGACAATACTATTCCTCATGTAGTGTCCAGAATTTGTGCTTTCATGTCAGCAATTGATGTCTACAGTGCTGAAAATTTAGGATTTACATATGTCAATAGATCAAAAATGAAACACACAGCTTTCAAACATCTCATCTGCTACTATGTCTCATGCTGCTTGGCTTTGCATTTGCTTATATTCTGTGGACTTAACCAATTTAACCAAATTAGTAAAAATGGTTTAATTCAATTGGTAAACCAGGATAAAACTCTGTTCATGCATCTCATCAATCATAATATGGTTTGCCTGATTTATGACTTAGCATGTTCTTTGAATGTAGCGCTAATCAACAGCCCAAAGAAAGCTATACCATAATTTGTGGATCTGTCAGCATTTTTTCAGTAGAAGGGTTTTCTGTATTCAGCAGCTGATATAGTTAAGTTTAAACCGGAAAATGGAAGTTACCACTCAGTCTTATCACTCACTGGGTAATACTTTTGGAAAAACTCATTTTTCTGGACTAACAAAACATTCTGAACAGTGGAAAAGAAATGCAAATACATTTTTACCAACATGTTATTGTTTAAAACAATCCTATTACTGGGGCTTCAATGGCCGATTGCTATCCAGACAAGACATCTGGCAAAAGGAATCTCATCCTCAGTTCATAATCTGCTCCTCAAAGTTATCAGATCATCAGATCCCTGATATAGCACCAGGTGAATAAAAGTCTTTATGGATTTTCCAATTCATTTGATAATAGCTTCAGACTTGTCCCTTACAACCAGAAACAAAATTTTGGGTTTGCTGGACAAAGCTTGCTGACCTACAATCATGGATGAGCCAAAGCCATTTGACGCTATTCCACAATAGCCAAATATTCCCCCCCCCCCACACACAAAAAAATCCCCCAATATTTTCTGACTACTCACTTGGTTTTGTAAACTAAAAGACAAGCATACACATAGGTACATATAGGCAATATGTATGGAAAGAGCAATGCTAGAAATGTGTTAAGTGCTGGAAGCCCTCTGAGGTAGTAAATGCAACAATTTAAAGCAAAGGGACTGAATGCTGATTGGCTGCTCTGCTCTGATTGTTTTGAATTCAACATAGTGCTTACTTGGGAAAATTGCCAGTTTGTGGTAATAGCTCATCACCTTCTCACTATGTACCTCACCTTAAAATAGGCCTTATTGTTAATTAAGCAAAATTGTTAATTAAAAGAACTCCCTGAGTGGCAGTTGGCAATTTTATTTACATACTATATAGTAATATAGTAGAGTTTTAGGTAATTTCACAAATGAAAATTCAAATTTCTACAGTTTGTGTGGTTGATGAATGGAAGAGGCCTAGTTGTTCTGAGTGCTTCATCTGAGTTATGCAGTAAAGTTCTCTAATGCTTAGTTTTTTTAAAAAAAATGGAATAGAATCATGAATCAGAAAACCCACAGAATGGTTTTCTCAAAAATAACTAATATTATACAGCAATAACGGTTGATTTAGGAAAAGCAAATGGATTCATCTTCTGTTTTTCTGCTGAAGAGTTTCTTTGTGCTTTACACTGTTGCTGAAGTTTCATTTCATTGGCCATTAAATCGGGGGTTCACAACAGTGGTAGTGGCACTCTTGAAAAGAGGATTGTCAGCCTGTCAATAAAACATCAGAAACCTTTAGCTGTTAATAAAACCCAATATTTCAAAAGTAGATCAGGATTCAGATGGACAATTATACACTCACTTAACGTGATAAAACCCAAAATAAACAGCAGGAAGACGATAGAATCTAAACCAAAGGCCTGCCCAAGTACCCCAAGCTGAATCAATTACTTTGATTAATAACTCAAATACAGGAAGAAAACGACACAAGAGGGTCTTCTCCTTCCTTTATATCTCGTCACAAGAGTTAAACATCTTACCTCATTCCATTTGGCCTTGGATTTTTCCTTCTCAAATCTGTGATATTCTCTGCGATCAATCAACTCTGCCACTAGCCGCCAAGCCAGGAGAAGAAGGAGCCCAATAAGAGCCACTCCAGCTATAGTGCCCCCCACTATGGCTGCAATGTTTGGGGGTTGGGGGCATTCTAAGAGAAGAAGGAAAAATGATTAAAATATGTGTGCTTGACTGAGCGCTAGGTATGTTTTTATAAGACTATATCTGTTTGCATATATTACATGCTAGTGGTAAACTTTTTTTAATGGATAAAGATGAGGCAGAATTCAAAAACTTTTCCCTATATAAATAACAGATCCTGAATCTCCATATGAGATTGCTAGAAACTCTTTAAAGGCCACATATTCTGTCAGTGGCAGGGTTCGCCATCCCATCAGGGAGACCTCTTAACTAATTCTGACTCACTAATTCCTACAGGGTCTTCTATCACAAGGAAGAAAAATCCTCATGAGATCCTCTTAAAATGCTGAACAATACAAGTTGCCTCTTTTCCCATTACTTACACAATGAAGGCCAAGATCTGTTTCTGTTACTGGCTGTGACCAACACAGCACTAATGCCATTTCTAGTCAAGAGATATTACAATGGAGAACAGATGTTAGTTTTTGGTGATGTGGCACTAAGCATACCTTTCTCAGGGTTGACTGTAATAGAATATTGCTCTTCTCCGTCAGTCTGAAACATTGTGTAAGAGATCCAGCAATTCTGTGAATCCTTCTCCCTGCATTCTTTACTTTTTGGTTGCACTTTACTTTCAAGAGCAATATTTGAACAATTATCAGAGCAATTCTTCTGAAACGGACCACTCCCAAAAGCAAGACATTCAACACAAGAACTAAAAAACAAACAAACAAGAAGCAAAGCTTTTTTAAAAAGTTTCATAACAGAACCATTACAAATCTATATTTTATATAGCATATTATAGCATATTGTAAGTGATGATGTAAAGCTGAGAGAATCCAAACTTATTAAAATACATACTATGTAAGTTCTGTTTCAGGAGGATGAAAAATTTGAGCTAACCTCAAATAGATGAGATCTCTCAGTGGTGAAATCTGAACCAGTTTACTACTGGTTCACTGGCTGCGCATGCGCAATGCGCACCACGCACCAAATGCGAGGTGCATGTGCACAGTGCATGCCAAAAGGAGGTATGCGGTAAGTAGAACAGTGCGTTGGGGGGGTGATCAGCTGTGGCGCACAATTTTTTTTTTACTTTTAAAAGCATTGCTTTTAAAAGTAAAAAAAAAAAAGCCTCTGACGATCGTGCTGCTCAGCTGGGATTGTCAGAGGCTTTTTTTTACCTTTTAAAAGCATTTTTTCTACAAACTCTTTGGCTGAAAAATGCTTTTAAAAGTAAAAAAAAAAGCCTCTGATGATCGTGCGGCTCAGCTGGGCATGCGGGGGGGAGGGATTTTTGCTACCGGTTCTCCGTACCATCCGCCGCCATTGCTACCGGATCCAGCGAACCAGTCGGAACCGGGAGCATTTCACCCCTGGTTTACATTAATTGTCCCTGGTCAACTGGTATTGTTTACTAAGGAGAATAGAGACTGAGGTAATATACTAATGAGACTCCTTCCAAACCATTTTATGATATAAATAATCTGAACCTGAAGTGGAGCAATAAAATCTAGTTGTACAACAGATATCTCTCTAGGAGCCTAGGATTTGTTGGAGACTCCCTCTTTGTATTTTTAATACCAAAATCTACAGATAGTAATGAATTGATGCCAATTCCTGAATAGGTTGGGAAATCAATGGAAATAGTTTAAGGTAAGTTCTGCTTAACCCTTTATACTGACAATATAGCAGCTGGCTCACTGTCTCTCTGTTAACATAAAGACCAAAACATGAATAGTAAAAATGATGTACTTTGGGATTTAAATTAAA